CGGTTTAGCGGGAGCACGCAAGGAGAGCTGCTGTGATGTACGATGTTGTGCATGTACGGCTACAGACGGCGGGTAGTGTTCGTACGAGTGGTCGGCCGACGACCGCATGCATGCGTGTATGTACCGGCCCGTTAGCATGCGTGCAAATTGGATGCATCCTATAACGCATGCGTGCATGACGTTTGGCAGCTCCTTTCTAGGGGCGTACCACGCCCTGTCTAGGAACGTACCATGTGCTTACCCACATACCTGCTGCCCCACATGACGACTGCAATCGTCACGTAGTGCTGTCCTTCTAGGCGGAGGCAAAGAGCGGCTTATCACTCTTCTGCCGATGCCGACGCAGATCCATGATGACGCGGAGCAAGTCAGGGCTGATAAGCAGGTCCTCCTCGCTCTCGTCAGCTTGGGTGATCTGAAGGTGGAAAGGTGAGGTGGGGCGTGAGGTTGTCAGACAGGGGCTAAGACAGGATACGGGGAGGGGCAATGCGCGAGCGACGGAACATGCGGCCGAATGGCTGGTTGGATTCAGTCCAGACCCTGCCATCAGCAGCAGCTTATTAAAGCACCTAGGAAAGCTTAAGGACACAAGCAAACTTGGAAGCATCATCCATGCATGCATTCCATTGCAAGATAGCCCTTCTACCGCAGAGCGAACCAAACCCTTGCCTTGGCCCTCTCCTCCTTCTCGTACGGGTAATAGCACCCCTCCATGTTCCTCATCAGACGTTTGTGGCTCACGTAGGACACATCGCCGCAGTAGAACCGCCGCTCGTCGGCAGCAGAGCCCAGCAACTTGGCGGCCACAAACAGCACACCGCGCTTGTCCACCTCGAAGGTCACCTTTTGGTGTGTTGCATTGGTATGTTTCAAGGATAATCATATGCGGGCTGCACAAGACTGGGCCCAATCCATCTATACATGTTGCACTGCGTAACACGTACGTGCGTTGTGCAATGCATACCGGTAGTACTAGCATGAATGATGGGAGCCACCTAGCATGCATGCGTAGCAGTTGAATGGCCGCTTCCATCTATCCACCCATCCCGGCCCCTGGCTGGCAAGCAACCGCACCTGTGCCACCGGATACTCCCAGGATGGCGAGCAGTCAAGCTTGAACTTCAGCCGGCGCACGTTGTCCCGCACGAAGATCCGGTTTCCCTGGAACACGCTGATCCATATCTGCAGCACCGGCAGGCGTTTACACGCTCTTGTTGGTCATGTAGGTGCTAATCGCGCGTGTTTTCAATCCAGCATTTCCACATGGTCTTGCAACAGTCCTGGTTCGTAATCAGCAGTTGTTGACCAACATGTGCCGTAATAACAGTATGTGATATCCCGTGCGTGTTGGGAACACACCCCATACACCGACCCGCCTTATGCCGTACCTCGCTCTGACCCTTCAGCGCAGGAGCAACGTACACCATCTTACTGTCCGGGTATTTCGTGCGACTCTCCATTACTGTATGGAACACACCGCCGCTCGTACGGAGGCCCAGCGACAGAGGCACCAGATCTTCATCATCATACCCCTGCAGGTAGATAGGTGTACAGCACCATGTGCATGCATGGTGTTATCCTCTGGCCAAGGCACCTTGGAAACCTGGCTGGGGAAAGCAGCGGTGCATGATAGTACAAACCACACCACGCAGGAAAACCTACAATCAGCACAATATCAGGCAACCACGCTCTCGTGGCCGCGCAAGCCGGGTGTCCCATGGGTCACTACCATAAGGTGTGTTGGCCTGTCCCGCTCTTTCCATCCAGGGCAAGCCAGGCTCCCTTCCCACCCCCAACTGTTCCGCCATACATCACTATCATGGCTGTCCTATCCAACACCTTGCAACCTTCTTCTTCTTCCTCTTCATCACTCTCCTTGCCCTTAAGCTTCTTCCAACTCATCCACGCACCCTCCTGTCCGTCCTACCTCCTCCTTTCCCTCCTGTCGCCCCTCCCTCGCCTCCTCCAGCATCCCGGACAGCTCCTCCGCGACCCCTCGGGTCAACAGCTCCTGTGAGGAGATGACAGGCAGGCGCAGCGGCAGACGCACGTGCATGCAGGATGGTAGGGGGTCGTCAGAAACTCGAGGCGCAAAGCAAGCACGTGCATGGCGGCCATCCGGGATAACTGCTGGTGCCATATGTATGCTGGCCTTGACGATCGATAGCTATCGTACTATAGTACACTACATACCGCTGCTGATGACCGCTGTGAACACATCTGTTGCACCTCCTGTCTACTGGCCCGGTATCCAGGCAGCTCCCTGCTGCCAAACGAGAGACGGCAATCCCATGTATGAAGCCCGCAAAGATGGCCGGCGTCCCCGTGTCACCACGCATGTCATTCATTCAACCCAACCCAAGCCCCGTCGACCCCCCACCTGGCCCCGTTCCAAGGGCCCCCCTGCTGCCCATGAGGGGGGGGGCGCACCAACCCACCTGCTGCGTACGTGTCCTCTCCGCAGCTTCCTCAACCGCCCGGCCCACCACCTCCCTCAGGCGCCCCTCCAGAGCCGTCGCCACAGCCTCCGACATGGCTTCATGCATGACATCAGCGGGGAGCGGTGGCGCTTGGAATCCCACCATGGCCTCCCGCACGGCCTCTCGCAGAGCCTCAGCCGGGAATGATGCCGGAGTAGTCTGCTGCACATACATGAGTGGCCGGGAGGGGTGCGTGGCTACCTTGCTTCCCGGCATGAGGCGAAAAACGTCGTGAAATAGGTTAGGTAGAGGTGAGATGCAAACATTCCCCCAAGCAACTGGACATGCATACAAAGTACTCATCACAAACTCACAAACCGTTGCAAGCCCTTTCAAGCACACTGCTAGTAAAAACATTGGTAGCAGCAGCTAATAAGGCAAGGCCAAAGTAAGGCAGCATGGAACGTGCTCACAACCAGCAGTCCTCCAGCAGTACCCCGTGTCATCTACCCGGGATTCTTCTATCACACTCATGAAACCTGCCCTTTCTTGATGACCACCTGCTGCCTCCCTCGCCACCGCCCTCTGCACCTCCTATCCACCACTATCCTCAAGTAGCACCTCCTTCCCCTTCTTCTCCCCCGGATACACTAACCTTTACCCCTGCTACGCACCTTCACCCCTGCCGCCGCCTCCTCCTCCACCTGCCTCAGCCGCTCCTGCAGTGACGCCACCTGCGCTGCCAGCTCAGCCTCCCGAGCGGCGGCCAGCTCCCGCACAGCAGCCAGTAGCACCTCGCCTTCGCTGTCGGCATCTGCACCCGCCGGCCCTTTCATGCCCTCCCGTAGTTCCTCCCGTATGCCCTCTCTCATCGGGACAAGCAGGGCATCAGCCAGCTTAGCAGCCAGCAGCTGTAGCTGGTCGGAAGAGGAAGAGACGGAGGCGGAGGAGGAAGGGCGCCTAGCGCCGGAGGATGCATGCTTATCCGGCTGCAGTATGGAGATACGTCAGGGTGGAGCTTACGTAAAAGGATACACAATTCGTTAACACGTTAGTTATGGTCACAGCTAGCTGGTGAGCGCATGCGATGCCTGATTGGCATGGGTTATGGAGCTAGGGAGGCAGACCCTAGGCGGGCACGTGCAAAGAGGGTTGGGACCCATGGATCGGTCTTGCTTGGCCGCCGCTGCCGTACTGCCTACTCATTTGCAGACGTTCGGTCACGCAATCGGCCGGTGGGAGGAGCTGCTATCTTAGCACAGCTGCCAAGCACAAGGGTGTCCTGTTCGCCTACATCCTGCTGATGGCCACCCCTTGATCCACAAGAATGGATAGCCTAATTAGGCGGCGGTGATAACTAGCCAGTTCAACAAGACGCAGGGCTTACTACAGGAGCTGTCTCGCCGGCAGTAGCTCGCCGAATGAGCGACGCCGCACGCGCTGTGGTGTGGCAGCCAATGCTGGCGCTGCTAACAGGGTACTTGCTGTAGCAAGCGCCAGCATACGTGTTCGTCCTAGCGCGGCTGACAGCGGCAGAAGGTGCATACGTGCCGTTGCGTAAAGCGCATCGTTGCAGCATGGCTCTTGGGTACAGCGAAAGGTGCGCCATCTTGTGAAGATACTTTATAAATGAGATAAACCTGTTCAGCGAGCGACAGCTGCGTAAGAAATGAAGCACGCAGATGTCATTACCTCAGTCCGATGGGGCCGAACGATATGCATGTCAATCCGTACAATGGTAGTTCCGAAACGGCCAGATGACATCGAACGACTCCATGTTCAGACACCCAGTGATTAAAATACCAACAGCGAACCTCTACCGACAACGTCAGTTACGTACCTACCTAGGCACATCCCGCGATGGCCGTTCACAACGCAAAAGGCTGCCGACTGGTTCTCGTTTCAAGCGCGGGGCAAAGCAATCAAGCGATCGTTCTCTGCGTGCATTAGGGCGACTTTAAAGGAAATGGATACGTCTCGTCGTTCGGTTGACTCACTTGCTTCGAGGGCTGAGTCATGTGGTATACTTAGAACCTAATCGGCCGTACGCACGCAAGATTGATTGCGCCATCGCGAGGTGAAAGCGTGTGAAGCAATGTAACCAAGTGCTTCCTTATATGAAAGTTAACAGATTACAGCTCTCACATCTCAATCCTTACTAAACGTGCGGTTCGACGGTCATCCTGGATTGCTAGTGTACATGTGACCCCTGGGTCGTCATAGCAGCCAATGGTCACCATGTTGCATGGCATTCACAAGCAACGCGCGCTGCCTACAGCTCTTGAATGAACCTGTAGAACCAACATACCGCTTGTACCGTCGCCCTTGAACGACCCAATGACTCCCATCCTCTCCTTCCTTCGGACCTTCATGAACCCCTAAGAAGGAGCCTCTGTTGCCAAAATTAGATAGCTTAAAGCACACCAACATGTTCGTACCAGCAGTGCATGCATCGACCTCACGCATGCATGCACTGCCGGAAAACTGGATGCATCACTAGATATAGCGCTTGCACACGGGGTGTCACGCACTGCCTTAAAGCCCCAATGCACCTGCCCACGTGACTGGCAACCGTTCGGGGTCGTGCGATTCCTCCTAGGCGGGGCCAAAGAGCGGCTTATTTCTTCTAGGCGGGGGGAAAGAGAGGCTTGCCGTTCTTCTTGCGGTGCAGCAGGTCCAGGACGCGAAACAGCTTGTCGGTGATCAGCAGGTCTTCCTCGCTCTCGTTAGCTTGGGTGATCTGGTTGCAGGAGCCAAGGGGTTGCGAAGCGTGGGCAGCGGTTATGACGACCGCAGTAGGTAAAACGCAAGGAAGGCGGCGGGGGGCAGTAAGCGAGCACAACAGCAGCAGGCAGCCATATGCTTGGACGCTGTGCAGCGTTTGGGTGGTTGAAGAACTATCCAGCACGCATGCGAGCATCAATGAGAACCATTCTACCGTCGGTACGCTTGCCTTGGCCTTCTCCTTTTCCTCTAGCGGGCAAGGGTCTTGCAGGTTCTTCTTGAGGCGCTTGGGGACCACGTAGCCCACATTGCCAACATTGAAGCGCCGCTTCTCGGTAGTGACCAACATCTCGGCGGCCACAGACAGGTAACCGTGTTTGTCCACTTCCAAGGTCACCTTTGGGTAACGAATGAATGAGGCAGGGGGTCGGAAGGCATGAGGTTGGATAGCACGAGGGAGGCAGGCGGCAGAAGTACTGCTGATGTGCCACACGTACGGGATGCTCATGACGGGGTAACACGTGTGTCATGCCTGGCGTGGAGCGGCCGGACGGAAGTTAAGGGGCTGCTTGCATTCATTCAGCCTGTTTGTCCGCTAGCAGCCGCACCTCTGCCACCTGGCTTTCCCGGGCTACTGGGCCCCCTCCAGGGTTAGCGGCCAGCTTGAACCTCAGTCGTTGCGTGTTGTCCCGCACGAAGACCCGGTCACCCTGGCACACGCTGACCCACATCTGCAGCAACAGCAGCCAACCGGCCGTACAAGCAAGGTCAACAGGGCATGTGCCGGCTGCAAAGTGGGTGGCATGCGTCCCCGTCACAGGGCCCTAGCAGTCAACCACACACATGGAGCACGCACCGCTGTAGCCCTGTTGCTAAAACACACACCCTCCCCTTACCTCCGACTGGTCCTTCAGTGCAGGGACGACGTACACCGTCTTGCTGACCGGGTAAGGCGTGTCACGTTTGATCACGGGGTATAAGACACCGCCGCTCGTGCGGAGGCCCAGCGACAGCGGCAGCACGCCTGTTGCAACCTCCTGCAGCAGCCGCATGAGTGTTAAGAAACAATACGATGGCACCAGCAGGCAAGCCTCGACCGTTGTTGATCCGAGTTAAGCTAACACGCAGAAGAACCTAAAGGCAGCACAAACCGATTGTCCCATAGCGATAGGGACCCTACTTGCTGAAGGCAAGAGCGTGTTGTATGTCTTACCTCACCCTTGCTAGAGATACCTACCCAGGCTCTCTTCCCCCGCCAATCTACAATGCTTCCTTTGACTCCTACTGCTGGTTGTCCTGCCCACCACCTCGCTCCTATTGCCCTTCCAATCTCCTCTTGCCTCCTACATCTTCTCGCCGTCCTACCTCCTCCTTTCCCTCCTGTCGCCCCTCCCTCGCCTCCTCCAGCATCCGTGATAGCTCCTCTCGGAACCCTCGGATCAGCAGCTCCTGCAGGCACGCAAGTGCAGCGCACATGCATGCAGACAGGCAGGGGGCCATCACTGAACAAGATGAATGAATGACCGTTACAATGGTTCCCTAACAAGATGCAGAAGGCGTGTGAGGGGCCCGCCGTCTGGAATAACGGTAATAATGCGCAGGATAGCAGGTAGGTAGTAGACGTGGTAGTGATGAGCAAGCCGCCTCGCCCGCGAGCTAACGAGGGCCGCCCGCCCCAACCTACCTGCTGCGTACGTGTCCTCTCAACAGCTTCCTCAACTGCCCGGCCCACCACCTCCCCCAGGCGCCCCTCCAGAGCCGTCGCCACAGCCTCTGATATGGCTTCAGCGGAAAGAGGTGGAGTAGGGGTTTCCTGCACGGAGGAGGTGCGGGAGGGAGATATGCTTGACTTGGTTAGTTAGGGGACATTGATGCATCTCGGTAGGACCTCCCGCCCCCGACCTTCCCCTCCGCTTTCACAGTCTACCTCAGCCCGAACCCCTGCTGCTGCCACGCACCTTCACCCCTTCCGCCGCCTCCTCCTCCACCTGCCTCAGCCGCTCCTGCAGTGCCGCCACCTGAGCTGCCAGCTCAGCCTCCCGAGCGGCGGCCAGCTCCCGCACAGCAGCCAGCAGCACCTCGCCTTGGGGATCCGCACCCGCACCCGCCGGCCGTTGCAAACCCTTCCTCGTCTCCTCCCTCAGCCCCTCCCTCAGGGGCCCTAGCAGTTCCCCAGCCAGCTTAGAAGCCAGCAGCTGGAGCTGATCGGAGGAGGAGGAGGAGGAGGCGGAGGCGGAGGAGGGGCGCCTAGCGCCGGAGGATGCATGCTTGTCCGGCTGCGGAATGCAGATACACGTAGCGCGGGCAGTTGGTGACATGCAAAGCGAGGTGTACGTCCATTGATACACACTGTGTATACACGTTCATTCGTGGGACAGTCGATGCACACAACATGCCTGGTTGGCATGGAAGATAAGTTTAGGGACGGAAGTACCGGTAGACCCCAAGCGGGCACGCACTTGCAGGTGGAATGAGACCCACGGTTTCGCTTGGTCGCATCTGAGGTGCTTGCTATGGCTGGGTGGACTTAAGAAAGCTGGTCGGACCTAACTGAGCGGGATTCGTCCACATGAAGCATACGGCTCTATGCTTTTAGGTCTGACCCCGAACGCGAATGCTGGACGATAGACCAGCTGGGAAAGCGGTCAATGGGGACGTATCCTAGTCACATACAGCTGCCTAGGGTTTCCCTGTTCGCCTACAACCCGCTCGCCAACATTCCACAAAAATTTGAAAGTACGCGCCTATTTATGCAGTAATCATTTCAATTAGGGCTGGAAACTTTCACCGTAATAGAGATTTGGTACCGTAATGATGGGACCGTAATTACGCAAACCGTAAGAAACATAGTAAATTACGGTTAAGATGGCTCGAAAGGGCACCGTAACGAATTACGGTGGTCGATTTTGGAGCCAAAACGAACATCTAAGCTGTAATCTTCAATCATTTACCCTTTTTATATCTTTCTACAAAGGTCTAGGTAGTTGGTTGCTGCCAAACATGGCCGATAAGCCTGGCAACGTGCCGCCTGGCACGATTGCTCAGCCAACCACCAAGGAGACCAGCAGTAACCTGAAGAAAGGAACAAGTCTTCCCATTTTGTGTTATAAGACGGCTAGTGGGCTTCCTTCGTTGCCTCCATCGGGGAGGGGCGGTCGGACTAGGGCTGACTGGGTTCGCATGGACGACATGGCCATTGCCCAGCTGGCCAAGAAGTGAATGCCAGCCAGTACTTCCGTGACAGCTGTAATTGTTAGATAGAGAATGCTGTCATTCGTTCTCTAGGGTGGATATGTTAGTGAGCATAACCTTGAAAACCGTTGCTGCTGCTATTGCTTTTGTAAAGGCCAATTGTGTTAGCTACTGTGCTGCGCTGAAATGGCGTCAGGCAGCCGAAAGAGGCAGCGGATGCATAGTTGCAGCTGTTGCGTAAACCGCTCGGTCGCGATGTAGGCCTTGGAACCCTCGAGAGAAGCGCCATTGCTGTCCAGTTTAATGAGTATAAACTGAGATACCGGTATTGCGCAAAAATAAGCGACTTTGGCTCCCTGTAGCACGGTCCTAGAGAACGTACGATGCGTTGTACGGTTTCGGATAAAAAGGAATGGAAGCAATCCAAAGCGAACAAGCAGGGTAATAATACTGCACTAAGCATAGCCCTTTATTCCAGGCGCTCCGCGAGGACGCGGCCTGGAAGCAAGGGAACAGCCATAGCGGGCTTAAGGTCCTTACTTTTTGCCTATTTCGGGAACAGGGCTCAAACACAGAAAAAGACGTATGGGATATTTTTGCAATGTCTGAATGACAGTACCAAGCAGTCAGGCGGCGAAGCGGTTCTTTCCATCCGCGGACAAGGCAGCATGTCCCAGTAACGTGAATCGTGCATAGTTTGGGTTTATGGTGCGGCGTGTGTTGTGAACTGGCATACATCTTGTTTACAGCTAGATTGCTTTTCAGGAAGTGGTGGCTGTCGTGCATTCACGTGTTGCTCATCGCTCGCTTGGGTTGTGAAACGCGCGCACCATGGTTCGATCGGTGCTGACGTCATCAAACATAGTTATCTCCTCAACTAGCTCACAGCTTGCGCTGCGTTTTCCGTTAAGCCCAATGAAGGATGGACGACCAGCTAGCGTACGGGCGACCCACGGGTCGTCACCGTGCACCACTGGCTAGATAGGTAGGACGCTTGCAGCAGAGCTCAACTATCAACTACCTGTCCTCGAGCCGCAAGGACTATGCTATTTATAACGACTGTAGGGTTGCCCTCCACCTCTACAAACCCCCTGCGAACTGGTTGATTCCTACCGACAACGCCCCACCCACCGTTTTGCAAATCCAAAAGCATGCACCACGTTGCATCTTCTCATACTGCTGCAAATGGTGTCGGCCTGCCCAGCTGCGCCTAATGGCGAAAGTGCCCTCGATAACTAGAGGGCACTAGCTCGCACGCAGTGACTGCTGCTGCACTCTTAGCCGGCTGTGAAGTAGCAGTCCGGGAACGCGGCGCGCGCCTCCTCTAGATAGTGAGTGCCGCACAAACGGCCTCCACTCCTCGAATGTTAGCCAGTAGTTGGTGACCTGGATCAGGCAGTGCATCAGGCGGATGCGATCCCTGTGGACGGAGCACGGAGGCACAGCAGGCAAGGGGAGCAGAGGGGCAACCACTGTGATGTGGGGCTGCAGTGGCGCCGAGGGAACCATCCAGTGATACCGGGGCGGGTATATATGTATCGCCGCATGGTGTTAATAAGTAGCAGCGTCATCGATAACTCCGGTACCGAAAAAAGGTCGTTCATTACTTCTGGTGAGTGGAGATCGGTGGCCCAGCTTATAACGTCATCAGCCCAGCCCAGCCCAGCCCAGCCCAGCCCAGCCCAGCCCAGCCCAGCCCAGCCCGCCGCCCCCTTTTTACCTGTCAGTGATCCACGGGCGCTCTTCCAGAGCGGCGGTCAGCCCCTTACAGGCGTCCTCGCGCAGCCAGTTGTAGCGGTCGGTCGCCCGGATCGCCCGGCCCTGCGAAGAGGGGGAGAGAGAGTGCGGGCACCGGGCAGGTAAGGGGTTATCAGGGATACATATTCCGCAGAAAAGGGGTTCAGGACCTACCGCATGGCAGTGCTTATTACTAAGACAGATGGTATTAGTAAGTCACTGCCATCAGACAGTCACAACAAACATGCATGATGCACATATACCTCCTCTCCACTACTCATCCCTTCCCTCGCACCCTTGCTTCCGTGCCTCCGGAACCATTCCACTGCTGCTGCTGCACTCCTACCATTTCCTACCCGTCCCTGTCCTCTCTGCCCTCCCCGAAACCTCATCGTCTCCGGGTCTCCCTCGCCCTCGTCATAGCCTAGTTTGCCGATATCCCCCCCTCCCTCTTTCCCCATCTCCCTCTCTCTCCTCACATCAGAGAAGACCTGGGCGATGGCGATCTCAAGTTGCGTGTCGTTCCACAGCACGTCGAGGCGGAACTTGTGCTGCCGGAAGAGACAACATACCGGTATAAAGAAATGTTGTTGAAATGAAACACGACGGTGTAAGCTACGAAAGTCGTAACTGCAGATGTCAGGATTGCGAGTGCGCGGGCTTACAGACGGGTTATAATTGGCATCAGTTTAATTGACACCAGAGAAGCCCCCTGGGTATGTAGCAACGGTATGCCTGGCTCTTGCCCTTTCATCCCACATGCCAGGACCATCCCCCTCCCGCCGCTGGCTTTCGATAGAAGCGAGGCAGGCATGCCGTCCCCTGCTGCCTCCTACCCAGTAACCAGCAGACATTCATGCGGGGCGGGGGGGAGCAGCTGCATGCGCTTATTACCTTCAGCCCCGCGCTCTCGTCCCTCTCCGCCTTCACACTCCGCGCCACCTCCTGAGCCTCTCGTGCCTCCTTCCGGGCCCTGGCCAGCTCCGCCTCGAACTGTGCCTCCTGCAACAAGCATGCATTACCCTCCCCGGCGGCCATGCAGCATGATTCTGCGTGCTGTGCTACATCCCCGCCATGTGGGCAACAAGCAATAAACAGGATGCGGACATCGCAGCATGCAGGTAAATGCGCAGTATCCTCCTCGCTCCTGACGCTACGTACCCACAACCTCGCTCGATCGCATGCCAGCAGCTAGTAATAATACCGGTAATAATAAACAGCTGGGGCAGCTCCTCCTCCAGCTGCCCCAGCCGCCCCTGCAGTACCGCCAACTGCGCTGCCAGCTCATCAGCAGCCTCCTGAGAGGTGCTGTTGTTGCTACCAGCATCTCCAATCAACCAGGCGCTCCTCCTCCCTCAGCCCCTCCCTCAGGGGCCCTAGCAGTTCCCCAGCCAGCAGCTTAGCAGCCAGCAGCTGTAGCTGGTCGGATGAGGAAGAGACGGAGGCGGAGGAAGGGCGCCTAGCGGAGGAGGATGCATGCTTGTCCGGCTGCGGAATGCAGACACGCGCGGGAAGCGGCGGGCGGATGCATGGGGTTTTTACGGCGCGATTGAAACCATTCAAGCATAGGGCATGCTGCCAATTTCCCCGCCCCCCATGCACGCCAAAACAGCCTCCCGGAGTCCTCCCGGTACAATAGCATGCTTACGGCGCGCAAATGCGGCAACCGGTCTATGACTTGCTGCCCCCCTTCGCCTATATCACCTCTGACGCTCGCTTTCATGGTGTTACTGCTGGAGCGGCTGTCTCGTTGTACGAGAGACATCAGACCTAGGAACAGCCGACCCTGCCTACTGGTAACATGCAGCAGAAGGACGGCCGAAATGCGGGCATGCATATGCAAGATGGATCCCTCATGATCATCCGGATGCAACAATACGTGATCGTGTATAACAGTAAGGAAGGTATGATAGGGCCACTGAATCCCTAATTCCTAGCTGCATGACCCATGGGTCACTCTGCCTAGTACGTAACGAAACTGCGGACTGCTGCCGGAAGCCAGACATGCGCATTGCACCATGCTTTCTGGTTTCGGATTCCTCACCCAGGCCTACGGTCGTTACATAAAGTATGAAGCCGTACAAGGGGTTGTTGGCCTCAGGAGTACGGGTATTGCTTGTACAAGCCGGGTTTAACGCTTCCATTCTCAAGCAACAACCAGGACAACACACAGCCTGCTCCACTCTGTGATAGATACAGCGTCCTGAGTCCCTCCTGTGCAGACGACCCTGCTGGGCTAGTCTTGCATGGCAAGGTGTTTATCAGGTGTGTGTATGACCTGCTTCGCGCCTGGTTGCTGCAACAAACACTAATAACGAACCACTAACCAACTGAGAACTGGCCACGATGTACTAGCGACCGACCTTGTCAGCATTCATACAATGGGACAACGATAACAGAGGAAATGCGCACAGCAGCGCCGAATGACTCTTCGCGGTGTTCTCTCTCTCCTTCCATACCGGTAACCAAGAACTATCTCTTATCTCCCTTGCACCGTACGTTAACACACCGCGCCACACTCCCAACGCTGCTACCTTATTACCTGCTGCATGAGTGCAGCACCTCGCTGACCATACATGCATAGCCCCTCCGAGCACATCCACCCAGTTGACTTTTACATCACCACGTGCATCCCCTTTCGCTTTCTACGCGCCCTCGCTCTCTGGTTCCCTACCTCCCGCCTAACAACTCCTCCTCACCTCCCCCATTAAGCACCTCCCACCCCACCCCCCATCCCCTCACAGCTCCAGCGCAGAGCACAGCTCCCGCTCCCCCGGCCTCCCACTGATGCAGTGCACCTCCTCCTTGCCGCTCGCCTCCCAAAGCACCGTCACAGAGTCCGGGAAGAAGCCCGTCTCCACCACCCTGCCCCTCCCGCCCTGCCCTCCGTCCAGCAGCTCCCCCCACCGCCAATCGGGCCCGCGAACCACCTGCAAGCCCTTGCGCACATTGAACCACGTCACGACGGGCACGGAGGGCTCCCCAGCCTCACGCTGCTGCGGCTGCTGCTGCTGCTCATCAGGATCCTGCTCATCAGGGTACGGCATGTCCTCGTCCTCCTCCTGCTGCTGAAGCTGCTGCTGCTGAGGCTGCTGAGGCTGCTGAGGCTGAGGCTGCTGAGGCTGAGGCTGCAAGGCCTCCTTGGCAGCTGCCTCAGCAGTCGTGCGAACCTCCGCACTCGTCATCAGCATCACCGCCTCCGCATTCTCGTCCGCCCGCCCCGGCGGCAGCTGCAGGTGCTGCCGCATGTGTGAGAGCTCCTGCTCCAGACGGCTGATGCGCTCAGCCTGCACGGCAGTGGCAGTAGCAGCAGGCAGCAGGGTGCGGTGTGTTAGGCAGTGACAGCAGCAGGAGGGTACGGAGTTGTACGGCAATGCAAACGCAAGAAGCGATCCGCTAGAAACCGTCCCAGCAGGGTGCAACAAAGGGTGTTGAGGAACGTATGATTGTGTGTGTGTAACAAGGTTACGGCAGCAAGCGTGCACGTGGCCATCAGCCTCATCACCAACTTGCGCCGAAGCCAGGACCAAGCCGGCAACGCTGCAAACAACCAAATGTCACCCCCACCTGGACTCTTCCCCACATCCATACCGGTGCACCCACCTGCTCCCGCGCCTTGCCATCCGCCTCCTTCGCAGCATCCTCCGCTGTCTGCATCCGCCATTTCAAGTCCGTAAACTCCTTCCTCGCCATCTCCTCCCAAACATCCCTTGCCTCCCCTTCCATATTTATGTCCAACTGAAGCGCGCCCATTCGGTCATCCAGCCACTGCTCTTGCTCCTCCCGCTGCTGCTGCTGCTCCGCTTTCGCCTTCGCCTCCCGCTGCTGCTGCTCCTCCCGCTCCCTATCTGCTCGCTCCTTTAACTCCAGAAGCTGAAACGAAAGGGACTTCTGCAGCTCATCCAACAAGTGTTGCGCTTGTACGGCAAACCGCTTCTGCTGCTCCGCATGCAGCTCTTGTACGGCAGTCTGCGCCTCCTGTCGTACAATCTGTCGTACGTGATCCAGGTACTGCAGCAGAACAGCATCGTTGTCGCGTCGCTGGGCGGACAGGGCGTCCCAGAGGGCCTGAGTGCGGAGGGAGGGAAGAGAGGTGGGGAAGAGGAGGAAAGGAGGACGCCGAGTGGAATGGGTGTGAAGGAAAGTGGCCGAATGGAATGTGTATGTACGTAGGTTGTGGGAGGCCTTGGAGGCAAAGGAGGAGTAGGAGGTGAGGTAGGCGTCGCCAATGGGAAGGAATAGGAGACGGTTGGTGGGCGGATGGGTGGAGGAAATACCGTAAACGACTGAACGAAGAGAAAGTTACCGGTAAGAAGGTCCAGCAGGATGGAAGATGCGTAAGATGCAGGCAGTTAGCAGCCTTCAAATCAGGGCTCATTACACCCAAGGCATTGCACGCCGCCCCCCTCCCAGCTGCTTACCGCGAACTCCTTGCGTGTGTCTTCCGAAGGTAAAGCAGCAGGGGCCGGGGCGGCGGGAGGCGCAGCCTGGGCCGTTTCCGCAGCAGCCGCTCGCAACCCCTCCCTCAGCTCATGCCTCAGATCCTGCCTCAGCCCCTCCCTCAGAGGCCCCATTACTGAACCAACCAGCTTAGCAACCAGCCGGTCTAGGTCGGTGGGGGAGATGCGCCGAGCGGAGGAAGAGGAGGTCGCAGCAGTTGCGACGGTTGCAGCGGGAGGGGTGCTCTGCACGGGTTCCGAACGGCACAAAGCAATGTTGTTAAGCCTCAGTGCTAGCATATATATATACCGTACTTTATTTGTGATTTTTTTCCATTGCTCTGCGCGTCATGAGCTTCACTTAAAGGATTAATACTACGACCGATGCGAGCGGTTGGTGCGAGCGAGTGTTAGCCACGAATGCTTAGGAGGCCACAGCCGCGCCTCCGTATGTATGTTAAATAAGCTAATGTGCGAACCACATTTGCTGACATAAAGCTTTGACGGACAGGACTCACCGCGGCAGTTGGACGCGTCTCGCGTAACGCCTCGTCGCCTCCCGTCGCGCGCCTGATAAGCAGAGCTCCCAACAGAGCCTTGTTACCATTAGCGCTCCAGCCATATGCGGTGCGTTTGTGGTTCACCGAAGGCCGCGCGAGGTAGCTGTTGCTGCGACATCCAATGGGACGTGACGCGACCCGAGGCCTTGCATGTTGAGTAGTGCCGCCCGTTAGCATTTTGACGAGTTTACAAGGACAATATCATAACCTGAATAATAAAAAATAGCTAATATTACTGCTGCTAAAGCGTTGTCTTGCAACTTATTATCTGGACCGGCGGTTGGTCGTACACACGATCCATCTCGGCCTCAGCAACAGCCTCTTCGGCCGCAAAGTTGATGGTGTGCCTAACAGCATGGACCTACTGTACTAAAATGTCCCGTATTACCTACATAACGCTTGCGTGGTTTCACGTTAAATGGGTCCCGCCTGACAAGACCGTTCGCCTCCGCAGAAATGTTGCTTTGCATAAAGCCCTTCTTAAGCCCTAACGTGCTACTGCCAGTGATGGTTACCAGCTGACCGGCATTCGAGCAGCACAACCTTGCGTTACATACTACCATGAGCACACCGTACCCGCTGCTGCTGCTGCTGCTGCACTGCATAAACACCACCGTGCTTCTGCCGCCCTGGTCGGGAGGTGCCTTCCCTCCATCCTGCCTTCTTTCCCCCATCCTTTCTGCCTAACAGGCGCCCAAACCGTCCCCTCCCGCAGCTGCCATGGCGGCCCCCTTCCTGCGAATGTGCGGACCGAAACACCCTTACACCCTTACACCCTATACACGTATTCACACACCGCTGCATAGGAGCGCCTGCTTGGCCCGCCCACCTCCCCCCGCCTGCTCGCTCCAACCTCTCCGCATCCCGCCATGCAACACCTCCCTCCCCCCTAACCCAACCCCAACCCATTTGCCAACCTCCCTTCTCACCCTTCCCACCCCACCTCCTCCCTCGCTCCACCTGCCACTCCCCCTCCCCTCTCCTCCAGCCTACTTACCCCCCAGCTTCAGCCACTTGGGCACCTTCCCTCCGCCCGCTCCCCCACTGCCCCCACCACCCGTCGCCCCACCCGCCCCCGCACCAGGCACCTTGCGAACCCCCTCTCCCGTACCGCCTGTTCCTGCCCCTCCCCCTCCCCCTCCCCGCCCCTGTTGCCCCTCCTGCTGCTGCCTGCCGCCATGGAAAGCGGCCAGCTGCGGCGGTATGCTGGTTCGCAGCCGCGCCAGGGCCTCGGGTCTGAGCAGGACGGAGGGAGGCGGGCAGCTGCAGCTGGAGGCGGGCAGGCCGGCGGCGGCGGCTGTGGTGGTGATAAGGAAGAAGGAGAGGAAGAACCATGCGGGTGGAAGGCGAGGGGGGGAGGAAATGGGGGAAGGAGGTTAGCGGGAAGCGGGAAAAGACAGAGGGGCGCTAAGAGGAAGGGTTGGAAGGAAAGAAGCAACACCACGTCAGCCGCGCACTCCCATTCGCCACTACATCACTGCAACCCTTGCCCCCAAAGCCTCTCTCAACCCCCTATCCCCCCGCACCGCCCCCCCTTCCCCCACGCCACCCCACACCTCCCCCCCTCCCTTCCCCTCCGCCATCCCCCCCCCACGCACCCTTCTTCTCATCCAGCCCCAAGTGCACATGCGCAGCCGGCACCAGCCCTGCCGCATACAGGCTGCGGGCGTCCTGCGGCCCCGGCGGCAACACGGTGCGCGGCGGGGCGGTGTACAGGTAGGCGGCCGGCGCCAGCGCGGCGGGCAGCACCGAGGTGAGGGCGGCGCGCAGGGCGGCGAGGGTCTCAGTGGCGGCGAAGGTAGCCTGCAGGATGAGCCCTCCTGGGAGATGTGCCCGGATGGCCACCCGCCCCCACGCCCCTGCCCGAGCCCGCTCCTCCGCCTCCCTCGCCGCCCGGGTTTTGAAGCCGCCCGCCTCCTCCGCCTGCCGCCGCGACTGTTGGGATCGTAACATGCCTGCCAGCTCCTCCGGGGTGAGTTCAAAGAACTCGTCACCCTCCTCAGCTGTTGGTGCTGTGGGTGTCGCCTCAGCAGCATCAGCAGTGGAAGAGCTGGAGGTAGCTGTCGTACCAGCACTGCTGCGTACGTACGACAAGCGGAAGAGGGCGGGGCGTGCGGGGTGTGTCAATTATTTTAATACACAGACACACGCGGCCTACTCACGGCCAGTTTCCTTAACACACGTGCCGTGATGCAGCACTTTCGTCTCCCCCGGGACTGTGCAACCTGCCTTCCTGCCCTCCACCCTCAACCCCTCCGCACTTCCCTCTCCCTCTCTTCTCCTTCTCCCTCTTCCTCTCCCCGCACCCGGCCTCACCCTGCCGCCGCTTCCCTCAGGGCCGCCTCCAGTGCCTCCCGCGTGAACAGCGCCGAGGGCCGACCCAGACCCAACTCGTCAGCACCCGCATCATCATCATCATCCGCATCCGCACCACCCGTGGCGGCACCCGCACCGCTGGCGGGCTCAGAAGGGAAGGCAGCGGCGGGGCCGGGGTCGGCTGCCGCTGCGGGTGTGGCTCCACGGGAGTCCACCTCCATAGGGTCGGCGGGGGGAGGTACTGCGGGTGCGGGTGGTGGTGCGGGTGGTGGTGCGGGAGCGACAGGAGGATCCACACCTGTTGCTGCTGTTGTTGTAGTTGCTGTTGCCGCTGCTGCTGGCGCCTCAGCGGCGGGTGCTGCCGACGTAGGCGGTGGCGGTACTGCTGCTGCTGCTGCTGCTGCTGGTGGTGTGACTGCAGCGGGTGCCGCCGCCTGGGAGGGCTGGGCAGCCGGCGGCTCCTCCGCTGCCCGGGGCTGCTGCTGCTGTGGCTGCGAGGCTTGAGTCGGGGGAGCAGGAGCGGCGCCGGCGGGCACTGCTACGGGCGCTGTGGCGGGAGCAGCAGCAGTCGGGCCAGCAGCAGCCGGGGCAGCAGCAGTTTTATTGTACAGCAGGGTGAGGTTGCTGCCTCCGGGAATGTTGGCGAGGCGGAAGGGGCAGGAAAGGTCGGTGAGCTGCTTCTTGCCAAGTGCCAGAGATGCGTGTGCGGGGTCCAGGGGGGGCTTCATGCGAGCGCAGGCGTCCGCCAAGAGCGATGAGATGGGCGCCATGGCGGTGGGCTTGAGCACGCAGCGCTGGACTGGGGGCGGGGAGGGAGTGGAAGGTAAGAGTAATATCAAGAATGAAGTGTTGGAGGAAAAGGTGAAAGGATGGCTGGCAGGAACAGCCAGTAAAGGGTTCATGGAGAATGGATACGAAGCGCGCGAAGACTCGACCCGACACAGGAGGCGCAGATCTAGAGCTTGTGTCGTGCAGTTCAGGCGTGGTTATTCCATAACCACTGGGCAAGGATTAATTGAGTGCGACCGCTGCCAACGGGTTGCGTCTTCCGACCTTCCAGAGTCATGAAGCGGTAAGCGGAAGCAACACAAGTGGTATTACTCTTACCAGGAGGGCCATCATAAGTTACGCTTATGCTTGCCATTTAAGCTCTTTAACTGAACTGTGCTAGGAGAGTCGTGTCGACCGCTATATCCAGCAGCGAGCGATCTACAGTAAAATCATCACTTTCATCACGCAAAGATAGAAAGCCTAGGTACGTTTGTACCTGGGCTATCTGCTGTCCAGACTCTGCGGCCAACCGTGCATCTCGAGAGCACGACGCTCCGTATTTGCTGCATCACGACCTACGCTGTGGAACAAGTTATCCTCTTATAGCGACATTGAAAAGCAAGTGATACACCTATCCAAGCCTGAAATGTCATTGCTGTTCGTCGTTGTCACTGCCGTTGTCGCGGCAACTTTGGGGCATGTGCTGCAGCTGCTAGGCATCATCCCAAAGCCCAGCTCCGATGCAGCAGCCCGCACAAACTCAACATCAAAGCCCTTCGTTTCACAATCACTTCGTGGCAACAGCCTACAGCCTAGCGCTACGAGGCCGCTTAGCAGCCGCCCTTCACCCCAAAGCAAAGCTTCCCAGCCTCACACCACATCCACTTCCCTCGCTTGTCAGCCCGTCTTGTCAACACGACTCGTCCCTGTCGGACTTCTCTCCCCTCAGACGCCGGCACAATGGCCGGAAGCAGCATCAGGGTGCCCGGGCTCCGAAGCCACTCGAGCTACGCCGCCGCCGCCGTCCCGCGGGTCGGTCCCGCAGGTGTTGCCGGATGCGTCCACGCTGTGCTTGTCCGCTGATAACCTGCAAGGTCCCATAGCGCAAGCTGGCTTGCAACAACAGCACCAGCACCAGCACCACCAGCAACCATGGGCGAATGCCTTGCTTGCTGTGGTGGCAACAGCGGCAGCGGCAGCAGCCGCAGTCGTCAAGACTGCTCCCACCGCTGCCACCAGTTCCGCCACCGCAGCAGCTGGTGCCGCTGCTGCTAATGGCGTCAAGAACCACCCCCCTCCATGCTCTCACCCTAGCCTGCCCCAGCCCCCTCCCGCCGCCACTCCAGCTCCTCGCCCTCCACCGCCTTCCTCTGCTGCCCCCGCCGTGCCACATCCAAGCCGGAACTCCATCCTTACCCTTCCCACTGCTGACAGTGATGAGGATGATGACTCATCCTCCGCCGCCGACGTCGTCCGTACGACACACCGCCGCACTGACGTCGTAACGCTCATTGTGAGTGGTACGACATTCACCGCCCGCCGCCGAGTGCTCGTACAGGAGATCCCCATCTGGCAGCAGCCCCCTGCTTGCTCGTCCCAACCACCGCTACAACCGCCACCAGCGCCTCTTTCCCCTTCACCTGTCGCACCGGCTGCCTGCCCCGCTCCTCCTCCTGCCCCTCCTCCTCCTCCTCCTCCGCTGCGTGGCGTTGTACGGCTTCTACCCAGTGTGCTGGGGGCGCTGCTGAGTGGGCGCTGGGAGGGCGGGGCGGCGAGGGATGAGGCGGGGCTGCTGCTGCTGGAGTGGGACCCCACCTGCTTTCGGTGCGTTGCGTGGACTCCCGATGTGGCGGGGAAAGAAGTACCTCTGCGGGGGAGGGGAGGGGAGGGCGTGCCGTCGCCTGCTTCCTTGCTCCCGATCCTTACCAGCACTGCAAAGCACTGCAATGACTTGGGATTCCCTCGTACGGTATACGCCTCCCCGCTTCCCCCTTTCCGATTCACGACACACCCATGCGCACACGCATGCACTCGCAGGCAGCTGCTCAATTGGTTGTTGGCGCTTTACCGAGTACGGCAGCTGCTGGGGCTGGATCTGCATCCGGATCAGGAGCCGCCAGGGCTGCAGCGGCGGCGGCGGCGCAGCAGCACCACCACCACCAGCGGTAGCGAGCGGGTTGAAGGTGGGCGCGGAGGTGGAAGCGACCATGCTGGCGGGGCGTCGGAGCACCAAGCTGCACAACCGGAAGGCAACTCAGGCAAGAATTCTTTAAAGGCGGTGGCGGCGGCGGCGGAAGCAGCCGGCGGCGACGACGACGGCGACGATGTGGATGCCGTACGGTTGCTTCAGGCGTTGGCGGCGTCGGGCGTGCCGCCGGCGCCGCCGCTGCCCTCCGACGCCGCCCTGCATCAGGCCCATCTGGACATGCTGCGCTACCTGGGCATGCCGCTGCCGTACATCCCGCCGCCGCCACCGCCGCCACCGCCGCCGCCGCCGCTGTTGGCGGCGTTGGGCCCCACGTCGTTTACATGGCTGGTTGACCGGCCTGTGTGGGTGCACGGCTGCAAGCGGGCCTGCTTGATACGCTGCGGGACGGCGGAGGCGGGGGTGGCGGGAATAGGGACAGCGGCGCGGGCGGGGCCAGCAGCGGAGGCGGAGATGGCGGCGGCGGCGGCGGCAGGAGGGTTGTTCCGCTTGGTGGGGCATGAGGAGGTGGTTCGTGCGTCGGGGGGCGTGTGGGTGCTGGCGCCCTTCCGCATCGGGCCAGCCCAGGAGGCCGGCGGGGAGCAGAGGACGGCGGCGGTGACGGCGGGGGGACTTAACCCACAGCAGGGATACCTGTATGAGCAGCAGCAGCAACTGCATCGGCAGCGTGAGCATCAGGAGTGGGTTTGCATCAGGTGTGGCGCAGGCTGGCTGAGCGGGACAGCGACAGATAGCGGAGGTACGACTGACATGGAGGCGGGCGGGCCTTCCACGGGGTACGACAACCGCTGGTGCTGGCGCTGCGGGGGCCCGCCCCGTCCGGCAGCCCTAACCGCCCTAACCGCCACGTTCCCGCCTGTTACCGCTAGCGTCGTCGCTGCTGGCGGCGGCGGCGGCGGCCCTTTGTTGGACGTCGACGTCGACGGCCCAGCGGCGGCGGCAGCAACGACGGCTCCGCTTGACGTAGCCGCTGCGGCGGCCTCTGCAACCGCGTTAGGGCCGGCGGTTGCTGCTGGCGTCAGCGGAGCAGCCGCGTCCGCCACTGCAGCGGCGGCGACAGCGACGGCGGCGGGGCGCTACCTGTTGTGCAAGCTGCGGGTGCCCGCAGGTGCGGCGGTGGGGGTGCTGCTGGGGCCGCCGGCGGAGGTGGCGGCGCGCTGCGGCAAGCTGGCTGTCACGTCGCCGGCGGAGCACGGCGCTTTTTTTGGATGGGACAGCGGCGCTGGCGGGGATCCAGCAGAGCTGGCGACGGCGGCGACGGCGGCGGCTATTCCGTCGACAGCAGCGGCGGCGGAGGCGCCGGCATCGCCAACACGAGGAGGCGGCGGCCCCGCCGCCTCCTTCCCAGCAGCCGGCCGGCTACCCGAAAGCCTTCGTCACCAGCAGTCGTACCAGCAGCAGTACGACGTCGTACTGGGTATGGACGCCGCAACGTCGCGGTTATCGTTGTACGGCATGTGGGGTTGGCCGCGGCTGTGGAGCCGGTGCCTACCCGACGACTGCCGGCAGGGGGCGGTGGCGGTGTTCCTGCGGGACGTGGGGGCGGAGGTGGCGGTGTTTGGGGAGCAGCAAGTGGGTCCGGCGGATTGCCGGGCGGTACGGCTGCCGTTGCCGGGAGCCGGGCTGGGGGCGGGAATGGGAGGAGGAGCGGGGGTGGCAGGGTCGGGTCTGGCAGGTGGGGCAGTGGTCCCGGCGTGATGATGGAGCAGGTGTGAGTTGGTGGTTCTGGTTTTTGTTTTGGTTCTGAGGAGTTGATGGTGGGTCCGGGATTGAAAGGGATACCGGTATGAGAGGACTTGACGGCAACTGCGACATGGCGTCAACCGTACAGGTGGAGCCCATAGAGCCGCACACAGGGGTGGCGAAAGGGTGACTGCAGCAGCGGATCAACAGCAGCAGCAGCGGGTGGTGGCAGCGGGGCAAAGGAGCATGGGTGCCGGCTCGGATTTGTGGGTATCAGTAGCAGGTGCGGTAGAGGAGGCGCAGGATGCTGATGAGCTTTAAAGGGAAGCGGAGTAACAAGGTAGGCGAGGATACACGGCCTGGGCACTTGTCATATCTTTCGACGAAGATGTTTTGCCCTCGAACCTCCACACCGCACGGCAACTCGGAACGCGACGACCCTAGCTCGTCCGACTTTGGATCCTGCTGGATCCTGGGACCATTTAGGGTCGTCGCTTGGAACGGCACGCACTTGTGCCTCGAAGCTCTGGAGCATCATAGTGTTTGCCCAAGGAATTAACCCACACGAAGGCTCTTCAAGCAGCCCAAACATGCACTTTTACCAATTTTAGCGACCCACCTTGACTGTCACCACCCAGCACCCACAAAATATTCCTTTTTGCTTTCGTAGTGGTAGCGTATAAACCGCCTTCTATCCAAGCGGCGTATCTAGCTTCCTGGCAATTGGGTCCGGCCATGGCTGAACCGCATCCCCTTGCTCACCAAGCTCTTGCAGCTTTTGATCAGTCAAGAATCTGGTCACAGTTGCCAGCAGAGCTGACAGAGCGGGTGTTCTCCTTTTTGCCAGCGAACGACGTTCCTTGCACCGTGAGGCTACTTAACAAGGCCGCAGCCGCGCAGTTTCGTGGCCCGCTCCACACTACAATCCACCTATCCTTACCTGTACCACATCATGCCTTCCTACGGCAATATGGCAATGCCAGTGCTATGCGGGGCCTGACGGTTGGGCAGCGTCAACGGCTTGTGTGCCTAACAGCGCGCAGCGGAAGCGTCCCGAACCTCAAGGTTGCAGCAGCCAAAACGGGGTGTCTTTTAACAGATGAGGTGATGGAACACGCTGCGTCGGCTGGGAAGCTGGATGTGTGTCGATGGCTCCTGCAGATGGAGTGCCCCTACGGCTCCCCACTGAAAGCTGCAGCAGAAGCAGGGCAGCTGGACGCCTGCCGGTGGTGCCTCAGCAACGGCTACAACTGGACAGTCGATGCTGTCGCTGCTGCTGGTCGTGGGGGCCACATCGCTGTCGTGGACTTCCTTATGAAGCGTTGCCCGTTCAAGCAGGCGGTCTCAGCCGTATACTTGACCGAAAGCGAGGAAGAAGACCAGGAAGTTTTTAAGAATTGGGAGCGACTGGAGGCAGCAGCCAGGGGCGCAGACCTGGCTACCCTGCAGCGTGTGAGGGCAGAATCCCTTGGCTGGCTCGACACGGAAGGCGATCCCAACGGCTCTATAAAGCACCGGATGACTCAAATGCTCACGGCCATCGCCTGCAGCCGCACGCCCGACTGGCAGGCCAAGGTGGAATGGCTGGAGGAGGTGCATGGCGTCCTCCGGAATGGCTCTACCTGCCCGCAGGTAGCTGACAAGTGCGAGGATGCGCTCGATCGGCTAAGGTGGCTGCATAAAAAGTGCTTCGTGCTGGATGCACGTGTTGGCGACAACGCTGCCGCTCGCGGGCGCTGTGACGTGCTGGTGTATCTGCTGGAGGAAATCCCCCCGGCCCCCGAGCAGCACTGGGACCTGGAAGACTGGGTCTGGTCGGCGGCCCAGGCAGGCCATCTGGACGTCCTGGTCCTGCTTCACGACAAGTACGGCGCTGTCTTGGACGGCAGCACCCTGAGGGGTGCAGTTGAGGGCGGCCATGTGCATGTGGCCAGGTGGCTGATAGAGGTGCAGGGGGTGCCCGTCCCCCGAGACCTCCTCCTCACATGCGGCGAGGTGGCGGCGCAGGTGGGGGGGCAGCAAATGCTTGCCTTGCTGCATGAGCATGGGTGCGAGCTCAGTGAGTACACATGGCTGGCGGCGGTACGGACGGGCAGCATGCAGACGCTGCACTGGCTGCATGAGCGGGGCTGCCCCTGGCACCAGAAGTCCTTCCAGCACGCTGCCGCGAGGGGGACAGAGGAGGCGCTGGAGTGGCTGGTGGAGCAGGGCTGCCCGCTGCCGGTGAGTTGGGTGCTGCTGGGCTGCTTGGGGGGACCCTGTTGTCTGTTGTTCATTAGTGGATGAAACCTCAAAGGGGCAGCATGATGGGTGTCGTATGGGTGCTTGCCGCCTGAAAAACGAAAAACCGTACGGATGCTGCTGCTGCCGCATCCAGCCTCTGCTGTGGTTCTGGGGCGGTGTGTTCCGTTCCACAAGATATCTGTCCCTTCTACTCCACAAAGCCTGCATGTTGCCTACCCATGCAATGCGCAGGAGAGCGGGTATCCGTATCGGTTGGCAGCTGGCAATGCGGATATGGCTACCCTGCGCTGCCTGCGACGGTTGGGCTGCCCCTCGGGTGGCGATGAGGGATGGCTGTTTGTGAGGTGTATGGAGGATTGCTGTCGGATTGAGGTGCTGAGCTGGCTGGCTGCAGCTGGGTGTCCGGTGGACTGGAAGCTGACGGTAGATGCCGTGGTGAAGCTCAGGCTGCCAGAGCCTGGGGTCACTCCCTCGCACAGGAGATCCGGAATTGCTGTGAAGGAGGTGTGGAACTGGATCCAGCTGTGCAGCGAGGGGTGGTGGTGGGACGCGGGCTTCAGGTCGGCCAAGGAGGCCATGGATTACGCGTATAGGGAATATTCACAGGAGGTCCAAGAATGGTACAACTGCATCTAGGTAAGAACGGGGAGCAAGCTTCTTGGGGGAGTATTGGACGTGGCAAGGGAAGGGCGCGTGGCAGTGGGGGGAGGTGTACGGCTTATGTATTGAAATGTGTTGGAATCGAGGAGGGGATAGCTTGTTGAAGGGAGACCTGACTGCCACGCATGAAGGTGGTCTGGAACAGGGCAGCATGCGTGTTGGCAATCTCATGCATAGTTTGCTATGAACATGCTGTAGTGCCGAACGTGGTTGGGCCGATGGGCGATGTGAACATGGCAGTGGGGGAAGGTACGGCTTGGTATGCAGTGCAGCGGAGTGGAGGAGGGAGTATGTTTGGAGTGGAGAAGTACTGAGCAGCATGCGTGTTCCTACCCCTTGGTTTGTCGTGAACACATGATACGATAGTACTTGACGGCTTGGGCTCATGATGGATGGCTGTAGCGTAATGCATTGAAACACTTGAAAGGGTGACAAGGATACCTACGAGGTACGAACGTTGGGAGGAGCCCCGCGCACGTACCGGTCAGGTCTTGACAAGCCGGAGACAGGTAGGACATGCCTGGTTACTTTCAGCTGTATGCCAACCACCTGCGGGCGTTGCTGGTCGTGCTACCTGGTAGCATGGTGCCTACATGTGAATGGGCTGTTCAAGTACACATGAACAGCTGCAGCCGATTAACACAGTAGTGAGCCGGCGTGTTAGGGGGGATGTCGTATGTGGCGGGGGTGTGGTTTCACCCGTCGTGGTGGGTTCAGGAGGGAGGCAAGAAGAGAGGTTGCATGGACAAGGGGCCTTCGGTCAGCTTATGTTTCTGGAACCAAAGTAGTTACCAATATTGTTACATGTGCACTGAAAGGACTGCAGCTCCATTTTATAAGTATATGGTTTGCTTTGCGCGCTTCACTGTAAACCAGGGGGACAGTTAGGCGCCAACGACCAACAACTGTCAGCCAATCGTATGAAGCCCAGTGTCTAGGCTGTGCCGTTGACTTTGCGCCACACGCTTTCCGTTTAATAGTGTTCTAAACCCATGCAAAAGTCGCAAAGCTCCCGGGGCAGACGCCGGTAGAATAAGATGTATCATGTATGATACTCCCGCAAGGAATCCCGCAACAATTCCATACACAAAATCTGGGCGGCATCAGGACACAAGGTACGGCAAGATTGCAATACAACGGTGTACGGCACACTCGCCTATTCAGTAGGGAACCTGCATCACACCAATCTATGTACCTGCCACGTCATGTCACGTTTCACCACTGGTGACTAGTGACTAGTGACTCACTCGTGTCACCACTTCAACCCCGAACCGTATCACACAGCCCAGCATGTGAGATGTCAGTCCCCGGGTAACACAGCACGCAGCATTCCGTTACAACAAAACTCAGTGCCTGCGCCCGCATCCGAGCACAGCGCCACCGCATCGCTACTTCCTTTCCGTTTGCAAACACGCAACCCTCCTGCAACCTCACTTCCGTTCATCCCACGCTTCTGCAGCCCTGCCTCCCAGCAGGTGGTGTGCTGGCGGGGCGAACGACAAAAGCCCCCGGTCCAGATACCGGTATGATGTAGTAAACAAGGGCAAGGGCAACGGCTGAGTGCCCACCTTGCTGCCATGCACATGCAGGTCCGAACCTGGGTTCATTCTGGAGAGCGAGAGGGGCGTGGGGAGGACGGTGAGGGCAGTCATCACAACAGCCAAGAGAAACACACCAGCCAAGCATGGCCCTCATGGGCCCATGGCGGTTCACGCCACCGCAGCCACTGCTGCTGATGTTGGCTCCGCATGCGTGACAAGCAACAGAAGGGCTGGGTAGCGTTCTGTAAGGGTGGGGTAGCGGTCCCGGCGGTGCAAAAGAGTTCACGTTTTGGAGCCTCAAAAGTCAGAACCGCCATGCCGTTTCGGAGAGGGCGATTCAGGTCTTCCGTACTATGGCATGATGATCACGTGGGCGGGCATCACGGCCCAGTATGCGCCCGCAAATATCAGGTTCCAGTTTCTGTTCCAACAAAAAGCCACAGTATGTACGACAAGTGTGTACATCATTGCCTGTATGTACGGCAACACGAGGTATGCGTGTCCGGTAAAGATAGATCACGCTGGGTTGGGGGAACTCGATTCATCAAGATCATCACCGCACCACACGTTCCTCTGTGTCAGTCAAAATACAAGATACCGTGCCGACCTCCGATCATAAACAACAACACCATACGTTATTCCCGGACATAAACCGCGTCATCTTTTAGAATTTTGGTCCTTTATTTCGAGCTGGTACATTATCGGTAGTTACACAACAGATGACGACGCAGAAGAGCCAACACACACAGCCCCCAGTCTAAAGACGTGCATGCACTGCCCTAACGTTGGCCACCTTGTTGCAGATGGCAACACGACTCTGGGAAAACCCGAGGCGAAAAAGGTAACTGTCCTAATGCCCCATTGCCCCCTTCCCGCAGTGCCCGCTCCAACCACACCTCGTCATCGCCACTCTCCCAAGTCAGCAGGTGGTGTAAGGTCAACCAGCCTTTCGCACGCCTTTAGGCTTCCGTGCCCATACATTCCAACCCGTACGGCACAATCCTCCCAACCTCCATCCCCCGCCTCCCAGTCTGCAGACCCCGCAGCCGTCCTTCCCCTGCACCCAGCTACTACCGTACCCAACCGGATACCACCCGCCTCCCATCACCACTTTTGCCAGGGATCTCCCCCCATCGCCACATAGCGCCCCTTCTTCCCCACACCGCCGCCAATTCCCCCCACCGCCGCCGACGCCGCCTCGCTGGCCCTCTGACTCTTCCGCAGCGCCAGCAACAGCTTGGCCTCCGCCTCCGCCGCCTCCGCCTGCTGACTCAGCTCAACAGCGACCTCCGAGGCGACGGCTCGGAGCTCCGCAAGCACCGTATCGCTGATGGGAGTGCGGGTCTTGTTGCTACTGCTGCCCAAGGCGCCCATGTTGTTAGCGCTGCTGGCATTGCTACCGCTGACAGCGTTGTTAGCAAAGCTACTGCTGCTGCCGGTGCCGAGGTTAGGGTTGCTGCCACTGCCGCTGCTCAAGCTGCCGTGACTGATGTTGCTACCGCTCTTCCGTACGGTTTTGCTGGTACCGGTGCTGGTGCTTGCGTTGGTGCTTGTGCTGCTGCTGCTGCCGCCGCTGCCGGCAACGCTGCTGCTGGCAGTCGATGTCAGGCTGCTGCTGCCGCCGATCACAACCACTCGAGCAGCTCCACCACCACCGCCACCGCCACCGCCGGCCGCATTTGCAGCGGCGCCGGCGGCGGCGGCGTTACTCGCCGAGGAGGAGGAGGTGGTGGCAGCGGCGGTGGGTCTGACGTGGATGGTCCTCAGGACGCCGAGTGACGCCAGGGCTGCCGTACCCGCCGCCGCCGCCGCCAGCGCCGCTGGGGAGTTCGTGAGGGAGGCACTTGGAGGGCGGGGCAGGTGTGGCGGTGAGGGGGACTGTGGTGAGGCCCCCAGAACCCGACCTCCGCCGCCTGCTGCTGCCCCTGCACCCGCTGTATTAAAGCCCTGGCCGTGACTCGGTACGGCAAAGTGAACCGTGGTTTGGTTTTGCTGGATCGGGGTAATTTGTTGGTTGTTGCAGCTGGGAGCGGTGATGCGGCGAAAGTTGGGGAGCTGTCCCAGTGTGTATCCCGGGGGTGCGGCGGGGGGTGAGGGCTGCTGTGCGGGGGGCTGAGGGGAGATGGCAGCGGAGGAGGCGGCTGGGAGGGAACGAGGTGTGAGGAGCATGGACGAGGTGGGATGGCGGGCGGAGGCGGGGCGTTGAGATGGCGGGACAGGGACGGGGCTGCCTGCTGTGGGTGTTGTTGGGGCTGCTGCTGCTGCTGCTGTTGGGGATGTGCGGAGGGGCGTGGGCAGGGGCGCAGATGCAGCAGCAGCAGCGGTGGCGGCGGCGGCGGATTGTTGCGCGGAGGGGGACATGGGTGCGAGCATGCGGAGCTGCTGCGGAGCGGGCGGAGTGGTGGGGGTCGTAGCGGAGCTGGCATGGAGGTCCAGGGAAGACGGGCATGCGGCAGTGGGAGTGGCGGGTGAGGACAAGGGGCTCCTACAGACGACGGCGGGGGCGGGGCTGGGTTCCGGTTCACCCCCGAGTGCCATCTGTGCGAGTTGCATGAGCAGGGGCTGAGGGGAGGGGTAGTTGCTGCCGGGGGACGGGGAGGTAGGTGAGGCTGCCGTACCGTTCCCTGTTGCGGAGGTCCGCGGTCGGGGGCAACGGATAGAGCTAACGGTACCGCCGACACCGCCACCGCCGCCGTCAGCGTCTTTGATGGATGATAGCGGCGTCGTGGGAGGAATCATCATCCCGCCGCCGTTGCCGCCGCCGCCGCCGGAGGACGCGTCAGCACGGCTCAAAGGTGCCGCTGCTGCCACCTTGCACAGAAAGGGCGTCGGAGTAACGGAGGCGGAGGCAGGATCCAAGGAGCTGGGTACGGCATACTGCTTCATCCGATCCGTAATCGTGGCGTACTCCGTAGCAGCAGCGGCGGCGGCGGCGCCTCCTGCCGTACCGACTCCAAAACTAAATCCAGATCCCCCTCTGGAAGCACAACGAGCCATCGGCCGCTGCATGTCCGCTAGCCGCGGCAACGCTGCCGCCGCTGCTGACGTCGACGACGACTCCACGGGCGACAGCGGCCACGGCGGCAGCTTCCGCTGGGTTGCCGTACCGGGACCCGCTGCCGTACTGTCACGGAACATGGCGGCGGTGGCGGCGCCGCTGCCGTCAGCCGACATGGAGATGGATGTACGGCGCTTGTGGGCCATCAGGGGCTCCAGGGAGGCGGTCAGCGGCGGGCTGCTGATGCAGCAGCCGCCCAGACCCGCACCCAAGGCAGCGGCGGAGCCACCGCCACCACCACCGCCACCGCCGTTTCGATCTGCCAGGTTGCCGTTGCTGCCCCGAGGGGATAACGGTACGAGAACTCCCGTCAGCGCGTCCGGATAGAGGCCACCGCCACCGCCGCCACTGCCGCCGCCGCCATTTTGACCAGCCTTGGCGGCAGCTGCCGCTGCGGCGACAGCGGTAGCAGAGACGGCTGTAACGGCGGGCTCAGCAAAGGCACGGTGATGAAGGGGAGGAGAAGCCGAGAACAAGGGAGTGCCTGTTGATCCCGCGTTCCCTGCTGCGGGTGCTTCAAACGCCGCCTGCCCCGCTTGTCCTGCTGCTGCATGCTGCTTGTCCGCGCTGCATCGCGCAATGATGCTGTTAGGTTCGGGGCCGCTGCGGAAAGCGAGTGGCAGGCCGCTGACGTGACTGTTCATGCCGACGGCGGCGGCGCCGGTCCCTCCGCCGCCGCCGCCGCCGGCAGCGCCGCTGGCAGTGCCAGTATCCGAGAAGCGCCGCGGCGTCATGGGCCGCGCATGTGGGGTCGTCGGATTGGCGCCGCCGCCGCTAACATCCCCATTGCCGGTCTGGAGGAGGATGCTGTTCGCGTTTCCGTAGTTGGTCCAGGCGCGGCGAGCGCGGTCGGTTGGCGTCAGCATTTGCTGGCGGCACGGCGACGACGGCGTGCCCAACATTGTACGGCGCTGTTCGTACGCCGCTGCCAGCGCCGCCGCCTGCTCTAGGGGCGGGGGCTCCTCTCCGGGCACCGCATCCAGCGTGATCACTGCAGGGAGGGAGGGCGGGAGGGAGAGAGGGAGCTGGGGTGACGCAGTGCCCAGCAGGTGCTTCTTCCGGCTCCTTAACAGGAGGGGTGGACCCCTTGCTCCTCCTCCCGCTCCCGTTTCCTTCCTCCCATAACAATTCCGTGTCCTCACTCCCTCTCTCCCTCGGCTCTCCCTGCCCCCCCCCAACCCCGCTCACGCTGTATGCCCGCCTCCCGCGCCCCCTTGCCCCGCTTCAGGTGCTCCTTCAGCGCCACCGGGGTGCGCAGCTCCGCGATGGTGCCGCTGCCGCCGCCGCCGCCCGCCAGGCTGGAGGTGCTCAGCCGGGCGCCCATCAGCGGGCCGCCGCCGCCGCGCCGGTCGGCGCCCTGGCAGGCGTGCGGCGGGAGATTAATAGGGATGCATATGCTGGGTTGGGGTATAGGTTACAGGGTTGAAGAGGGGGAGGGGAGGAGGAGCAGAGCACCATGCCGTGGGGAGAAGGAGGGGGAGAAGGAGGGGAGGAGGAGGAGACGGGAGGGATGTGAGAGGGAAGGCAGCACGAGGCGAAGGGGAGGGAGAGGTGGGTAGCGAGGACGTGGTGAGCTTTGGCTTTGGTGGTGCAAGGGCGAGCGCACCGGCTGAGCTGGATTGGAGTGAGGTTGGTTTGCGCGGTGTTTAGAGGTGCCGGTATGTCATGTCGCATTGCGGCTTAGGGGCTGCTGCAGATGTCAGGACTGAGAACCTGCCGCCGCATTTGGAAGCGTTCGTTCCGTCGGGCACGACTTACCATCGGGTCTGAAACATTCGATGGACTCCAGTTGTTTAGCGAGTCATCCATGCCCGTGATACCCATGGCAGACCGGGCCATGTTCTCGGCGCGCTGTGTTCGGGCCTGACATGGAAATGGGAGCGGGAGGGGCAAGGGTGCAGGTTTGCCAGGCATACAACGGAACAGCTGAAAGGAACGCTGCGATGAACTTTGCGACAATTACCTTCCTGTCCCATCCCGTGGACTTGTGTGCTGATTGAAACGCCTTGCCGACTTCATCTCTCGACGACGAGAATGGCGGTCTGTACCCTTCTCTAGCTTGTGTAGTTACGTTGCTCCGTAGCGTGTTAAGGGCCTCATCTGATAGATTGAAAAATGGCAGAAACCATGACGCAAAGTATCAGCCGCTGCAAAACCGGACAGGACTGGGATGGTACCCATGCGCTACCCACCTGCGAGGGCTCCTCCATTCCGGCCAGATGATAGGAAGGAACCCGGAGGCATTCAAATCTCTATAACGTATGATCGTTTTGGTGCCAATAACCTAAACGACGAGCTGTCTAACTGACACCTCCTATCCTCCTTCACTTAAGGTTCAGAATCAACAGAACCATGGCTTTGGTAGTGTTTCGCTTTTCAGGTATAAGACATAAAGCAGCTGCTTGCGGCACTATTGCTTGCGGACTTCTGGTGACGTTCAGGTGGACACTGTAAAAGCCAGTAGAACGGGCAGCTTCCTCAATTACAGCTGTAGGCCTCTCTGCTCATAAAACACAAGCGCCATCAGGTGCCTGGCGGCCATCTCGATGCGCGAATTTGCAGCTGAGCCTGTACTGCAACGCAAATTTGTCCCATGCGAACGGCTAAAATGAATTGAAGGTAGGACACAAAAGTATTGTGCGTTTAATAATCATTTCCCAAATGCCTCACCGCATATCGGCAATTTCCGAAGGCAACCGTTCCAACCAGACTGGCTAGTACATGTGAGGCTACTTACAAAGGGCGAACCTTACAGCACTAGTGCATATATGCTTAATATATGTATATTCCTTGTGAGACTCGATTGCCAACGAATTGATGGCAAGCACGTTTTTGGAAAATGCCTAGCTACCGTATTGCAGCTATTGTTCCTTCCTAGTTTCCGCCCCGGACGACAGACGTCTGCAAAGGCAAACCACCGCTCTCATTCTAGAGAATCCCAGTGCACGCATGCTGTTTCGGGTGCAAATCCTTGGGATGCAGATAGGCTCGCCAAGACGTCAACGCTACTGCATACTGTAATGCCCTTGTCACTGCGAGGATCAGTCAGGATGGGCTCGAACCCCCGGCCACCGGATGGCAAAAGGGGACCAATCCAATCCCAAGTGCTTCGGAAAATCAGATTGATCAGATTGATCAGTGCTCATTCAGGAGTGGTTGGTACTGCCAAGGAACGTGCAGGCCATTAAGAGCTGCTGGTGTCATAGACCACCATTGCATTGCTAGGACGAGAGTTGTGCTTAGCACAAGAGGGCCAGTTAGCTGCCAAAGGTGCGCATGGGAAGACCCGGGGGTCGTAAGAACGCATGTGTGCATGGAAATTACCCGATAGCATCTACGATTGCGGTAGTTGAGTGATCTAGGCGCCTTACCCGTTAGCGAGAAACCCATCAGGTCCCCAGGTTATTCTCCTGGTCTGTCAAACAGCCAGCCCGAAGCAGCAATCCTGACTTGCAGGTTACTTATAAGCATTGAATGAGTTGCGACGAAAGCGTCAATGCGGCGTCATGGAATACCAATTCAGTGAAAATTCTCTCCTGGCACAGGGTCGGCAGGTTATTGCCTATGCCTCACAGCTTATATCGTCTTCTACATAACGGCTACCAAATTGCTACCCTTCCAAACGTACTTCTGTCAAAAAGGGAGTGCAGTACATGTACAACATTCTAGTCGTCGTTCATTTTCGCATTGCCTGCCTAACCCAGTACGAACGAGTGATACATCACAGCGACTACACGGATGAGGGTTATTAGGTTTAGTAAGTCGCCTCGGCGACGCGAAGGGTGAGCTAGCATCTCGTTTGCATACTTGACGGCCCCCCGGCACTGTGCACCAGGCAAGTGCTCGGGGGGTGGACACTGGATTACCAATCGTATCTAAGTGAGGCGCTAAGTAGCTTGCGAGCCTTGGACTTTCGCACGCGAAGACATAGCAAGAAAGCCCTTAAAAACATGGGCTGCGTTAATTCTAAAGAGGATGCCCTAGCGGTGCCCTCTGGCAAGGAGTTTACGGACTTGAATAACTACGATGCCGGCGTGCTATCAGTTTACTTGACCGGGGGACCGCTTACAGCCAAGGATTACAAGGAGCGTTTGGTGTCGTCGGAGGGTACCCAGTCAATATATATGCCGCAGTCGGGCTACACTATTCGTTATGCGTTCGTTAGCCAGCGTGGATACTACCCCGATGCACCCAACAAAGCCAACCAGGACTCCTTCTGTGTTCAAACATACTTCGGGGGTGATGCGGAGCAATGCTTCTTCGGCGTCTTTGACGGTCATGGAGAATATGGCACCCAGTGCTCGCAATTCGCGAAGGAGAAGGTACGGTCATTGGTCCAGGTTCTTACGTATCTGCGTGTGCCCCTCTCGGGGCATCCATGCCTATTAGTTCCATGGCCACTATTCATTAGGGGTGGACAACTCTGGCTGCCATTCCCGGGACTGGGGTTAGTCTAGTACCAGCCACCCGCCCCCTCACTTTGTCCACTTGGACAGGGCTTCTGTCTGCGGCTTTTAGCTGTGCCCCTTGGCGGGATGGGGTTGGCACATGTGGGGCAGCATCAGTCCTCCACGGAACGACACGGCTGCATGCCCCTCTGACCGCATTTCGGCCCTGGCCCTGACCCTGACCCACGTCTCTTCCCCTTTGCAAACGGCTCTCCCTCCCTCCCTCCTGCCTGCCTTCACTGCATGCCCCCCAGCAGCAGCTCAGCCTGACCCACATCAGGGGCAACCCCTCACTCACTCACTCACTCACCCGCACCCCCCCTCGCCTCCGACCTACCCACCTGTCACCTCAGCCACAGCCCCCACCCGCCTGGACCATCAAAGCTCCTGCCCCCTCGCCCCCCCCCCCGCCCCCTCGCCCCCCTGTCTGTCCCTTATCCTCCTCTAACCCACCCAGCCACCCACCCCGCAGGTTCCTCTCCCGTCGCCACACGGGACTACAGTCCTACGGGTCGTCTGCCCCCTGCCCTCCCCCTATCCATCTCCCCACCCCAACCCCCAACCCCACCTCCTCTCGCCTGTGGTTTCCTATGGTATGGACGTATGGTATGGTCTTGTTTGACCCCCTCTCACCCCAAACGCCCTCCGTCACCCCACCCTCAGGTCCCCGAGAACCTGATCAACAACACGCACTTCGCGGTGAGCCCCGAGATCGCCTACCACCAGGCCATGGTGCTCTCAAACAACCAGCTGCACCGGTAGGGGGGGCGGGGGGGGTGAGGGTTGGAGAGGGAGAAACCAGCTAACCAGGAAGGGGGAGGCAGGGAGGGGCGTCGTGGAGCTATGCTGTGAGGGAAGTGCAGGATGGGGTCGAGGGCGGGGCAGTGCCGGTGGGGGCCGAAGGGATGCAGCAGCGGCAGCGAGAGCAGGTAGCCGCGCTGGCAGGGGCGGGAGGGGAGGCGGGCGGCACCCACCGCTGCCTACCTGCAGTACAGGGGCAGCGGGGGCTCGTCAGGGAGGAGGGAGCGCGGCGGCCTCGGAGGGGAGGGAGGGTGACAGAGGCCGAAGGGGGGGAGGAAGCGACTGGGCGGTGTCTGCTGCACACCCCACCTGCCCTACCCTTCCCCCAACCACCATCCCACACCATCCATACTACAGCGTACCATACCACGCATCCTTCCCACCTCTCCTTCTCATGCACGTCTTTCGTTACTCCCCCCCTCCCCCCTAGTTTACCACTATCACACCACACATTGGAGTTTCTATTCTCCCCCCCTCCCCAGCTCCGAGGTTGACGACTCCATGTCCGGCACCACCGCCATCACCGTGCTTCTCCGCGGCCGCACCGCCTACGTGGCCAACGTGGGCGACTCGCGCGCCGTGCTGGCGGAGCGGCACGGTGACAAGGTGGTGGCGCAGGACCTGTCGTACGACCAGACGCCGTTCAGGTGCGGAGAGGAGGGGACGGGGATGGGGGCGGGGGTGCTCGCCGGTTGGCAGTGTGTGCACACTGTTGGTCCTCTGTCGCATGGTGCTACTGCTGCTACTGCTACTGCTGACGGGCTCCTCTCGGTGCTTGTCTCCTTGTTTCCGCAATTCCCTTCTTCTCCTCCACGCCCTCTTCCCGCCCTCTTCCTGCCCTCCCCTCCCCCCCCCAGACGTGACGAGTGCGAGCGCGTGAAGCGCTGCGGTGCGCGGGTGCTCACACTGGACCAGCTGGAGGGGATCAAGGTGTGTGTGTGGGGGGGGAAGTGTCGGGAAAGACCTGGCAAGGCCCCAAGGGTGGGGGGCCTTGCCTGGTTTGCTGCTTCCGCGTCCTGCCTGGGTATGTATGGGGATTAGCGCCTGACCTGCCCCCCTCACTCACTCTGCCACCTGCCCCCTCCCCCCCGCATCCCGCCTTCCCCCCCAATTCTACCCCCATTTCCTTGCCCTAACTTGTGGTCTCCTATGGTTTGGTATGGTCTTTGACCCCCCTCCAGGACCCCAACGTGGAGTCCTGGGGCACGGAGGAGGAGGACGACGGCGACCCTCCCCGCCTGTGGGCGCCCAACGCCACCTACCCCGGCACGGCATTCACACGCAGCATCGGAGACAGCGGTAGGGGAGGGGGCTGTGGGGGAGGGGGCTTGGAGGGGGCGGGGCGCGATGACACGTTGAATGACACCCGTAGGAATTGATGGTAGGAGCCCTAGGAGGCATCGGAGGACAGCCCGCACCGAGAACCCTGATGCACATTGCCCTGCCTCCCGCCCTCCCCGCCTCGCCCCCCCCCTCCCCCGCCGGGAGTCGGGATATGGGATTGGGATTCGTTGTTTCACTTTTATATAATTTTCCCCCCTCCCCCGCCCCTCAGCCGCCGAGCGCATCGGTGTGTTCGCCGAGCCCGAGGTGGTGACCAAGCAGCTGTCGGCGCAGCACCCCTTCATCGTCATCGCCTCGGACGGCGTGTTCGAGTTCCTGTCCAGCCAGTCGGTGGTGGACATGGTGGGAAGCGTGGGGGGGAGGGGGGGGGAGGGGGAGTAAACAGTATAACAAGACACTGACGAAGCAGGGGTGGGGAAAGGGGGGGGGGGGGGGGGAGGGGGGGAGATGCACGGCAGCCGTGGAAGGAACCCGGATACGGACAGTGACACACAAAGGGGGGAGCAACTAGTCCGTGCAGCCCTCCCTGCAGCTGCCCACACCTGCCCCCCCCTGTCACCCCTGTCACCCCTGTCACCCCTCCTCTCTTATCACACGGTTCGTCAGTCATTACATCTTCCCCCCTCCTTCCCTACTGTCCCCCCTACCCCTCCCCCCCCCTGTCTCCTATGGTTTGGTATGGTCTTTGACCCCCCCCCCCCTCAGGTCACCAAGTTCGAGGACCCGCAGGAGGCCTGCCTGAGTGTTGTCGCGGAGAGCTACCGGCTGTGGCTGCAGCACGAGACGCGCACCGACGACATCACCATGATCGTCATCCAGTTCCAGGGGCTGGAGGACGAGGCGCCGCAGATGGCGCTGCCCACTCCCAGCGGGTAGGGGGGAAGGGGGGGGGCGCTGAGGGGAAGGAAGCGGGCGTGCACTGCATGCGACATGGGGGGGGTTTTGGGACTCCGGTTGCTTTACGTGTTCCACTTCATTTCCCCCCCCCCCCTCCCGCCTGCCGGCCACCCCAGCCTGTGGCTTCCTGTGGTTCGGTAGGGTCATTAACCCACCACTCCCCTTGACCCCCCCCCCCTGCCCCGCCCCGCCCCGTCTCCCCCTTGTGACTTCGCCTCCCCCCCGCCCCGCCCCGCCTCCCCCTTGTGACTTCGCCTCCCCCCCCCCTGCAGTGCCGCGCTGGACTACTCCACCCGCGCCATCCCCTCCATGTCGGGCATGGCTCTGCGCCGCCTGCCGCCCACCCGCCTGGCCGCCATCGAGGGCCCCGCGGTGAGCCTGGAGGAGCTGCAGGGGGAGCTGCGGGCGCTGCAGCAGCGCAAGGCGGCCATGGCGGCAGCAATGACAGCAGCGGCAGGGGGGGCGGGGGTGGGAGGAGGGGGGGCGGGCCAGCAGGGGGGGATGGTGGAGGGAGGAGGGGGAGGTGGGGGGATGGGCGGGGAGGAGGGCGAGGTGGAGGGGCAGGGGCCGTGGTGGCGCACGCCGGAGGAGATACGGGTGAGTGAGGGGGGTGGGGGCAGCGGGGCTGGGAGGGGCCCCCCGGGCCGGGGCGGGCAGGGGCTATACACATGGGGAGGCGGCTGATGCTGGGCTGGGTTGGGTTGGTATGATTGATGGTGTGGGCTTTGTTTTAGAGTGACGATGGACGCGTGTGAGAGGGTCTCATGTCGCCCCTCTCTTCCTCCTCCCACGCTATGCTTCCCCCCACGCCTGCTGAGCTGCTTCCTGCCTATCCCTTCCCGCCCCTGCTGACCACCGTTCACACGCTGTCCCTATAATCCAGCCAAGTATGGTACTTCACATCCCCTATTTACTTCCTCCCACTCCTCCCTCCCCTTCCCTCCCCTCCCTCCCCCCCTTTATCAGCTCCTCTCCACCGCCACCGCCGCCAACTTCCTGTTCACCAGCATGACTGAGTCCGAGCGCTCCGACGCCTTCTCCCTCTTCGAGCGCCTTGCCGTCAAGGCGGGCGACGTGGTGGTGAAGCAGGCGGAGCCGGGCGACTTCTACTTTGTTGTGCTCAGCGGGCAGTACGACGTGTTCGTGCAGGCGGGGCTGGACCCTCCGCTGCTGGTGCATACATACAGCAGCGCGTCGGGGCAGCCGGTAGGGGGGGGGAGGAGGGGGGCTAGGGGGGAGGGGGGGAGGAAAATACTTACCGAACCATAGGATACCACAGGTTGGGGCAAGACAACGGGGATAGGAAGCGGCTGGATGCCATATATACTTCAGGTGCTGGCTGGCTGGAGGTCCCCCACCGATACCAATAAACCGATTCACGATGGCGATGAACTGCCGACCAGCGAGCGGGTTGTATGCTGCTTGCTGAGGGCGGGTTCGTGTTTGCGCAGCCTGTACCTCCGGTTCCCCACCCCTCCTCCCTCCCTCCCACCCCCACCCCCCCAGGCCTCCTTCGGCGAGCTGGCTTTGCTGTACAACAAGCCCCGCGCCGCCACCGTGATGGCCCGCACGGACGGGCAGCTGCTGCGGCTGCACCGCTCCACCTTCCGCTCGGTGGTTGCTGCGGGCGGTCAGCCGGGTCCCACTGTGCGCACACTGCGGGGGGTGGAGGTGCTGCAGTGCCTCAGCATCACACAGCTGCAGCGGCTGGCGGAGATGATGGATGAGGTGGGGGGCGGGGAGGGGGAGGGAGGGGTGAGGGAGGGAGGGGGGGTAATTAATGGGGACGGATAATTTCGCATTGGGCTGGAAGGGGTGGGGAAGAAGCAGGCGCGTGCGCTGAATGATAGAGGAAGTGGGGGGGAGAAGAGGGGGGAGGGGTAAGGAATGTGGTAGATGAGATGGGGGAGGGAGGAATTGCTTTGCCCTAAGATGTGGTTTCGGTACCTCTCCGCCTCCCCCGCCCCCCCCCCTCCCAGGTGACCTACGAGGACGGCAGCTACGTGATCCGGCAGGGCGAGGAGGGGCGCGACTTCTTTGTCATATCCGCGGGGGAGGTGTCGTGCACCGTCAAGAAGAACCTGGCAAACCAGGACGAGCAGGCAAAGGAGGTGAGGGAGGGGGGCGGGGGAAGGGGGAAAAGAAGAATCCCAAGGTGTTTAATGATGCTAGCAAACAAGCGGACGAGCTCCTGGGGGAAGGAAGGGGGGGGGATAAAGCAGTACATGAGGAGGTGGAAGGGGGCGGGGTTGTGGGGTGGGGTTTGGTGCTGTGTAGGTTGGGGGCAGGCAAGGTCTCTTCCAACCCCCACCACCTGCCAATGCTGCTCCCCTCTCCCCGCCCCTCCCCCCCCTCCCCCAGGTTCTTCGCCTGTACGCGGGTCAGTACTTTGGCGAGCGCGCGCTGCTGACCAGCGCCAAGCGGGCTGCCAATGTAGTGGCGGCGGGGCGGGTGACGCTGCTGGCAATCAGCAGGAGCAGGTTCGAGGCGGTGTTTGGGCCGCTGCAGGTGAGGGTTGGGGTGGGGGTTGGGGTTGGGAGGGGGTGGAATATGGGGGAAACTGAGGTGGGGAAACTGACAGCACCTCCCGCTGCATGGCACACCGCCTCCTTCCAGGCAAGCACCTGCAGCATCCCAACCCCCCTCTCAAACCCCTCCTCCCTCTCCTCCCTCTCCCCCCCTTCCCTCACCCCACACTTTGGAATTTCTTTTTCTCCCCTCACCCCCCCTCATGCAGGACATCATTGACAGCGAGGCCGCCTGGAAGGAGGCGGTGGCCATGCAGCGAGAGGTGCTGTCGCGGAAGACAATGGCGTCGGGGTTGCAGGTGGGGGGTGGGGCGGGACGGGGCGGGGGGGTTGCGAGCTGCAGCCAGCCAGCCGGGGTGCCAACGGGTGGAGCTGTTCCCGAGGGTGTGTGTGCGGAGGGGTCAGCTAGTCCGCCAATCAGTACAGTGTGTGGGGTGCGGCGGGTCATCGGGTCATGCAGCGCGCGATGCAGGGCTGGGCTGGAGCGGTGCAGCACGGCGAGCCCCTCCCTCCCTCACAAGCTGCCCACCGCCGTGGGAGGGATACCGGGGGTATCCCTCCCCGTCCCCCGCTCCCTTCCCTCTCCCAACCCCAACCTATGGTTTGGGTATCTCTCATTGACTGACCCTCCCCCCCTCTTTCCCCCCCTCTCCCCCTCCCCCCCCCTCCCCCCCTCCCTCGCCCCCCGCAGGTTGCGCAGGCTCAGTTCAGTCTGGAGGAGCTGTCGGCGCGCGGCCTGCTGTCCTCCACCGACTGCTCCGCACTCATGCTCATGGAGCACAAGGCCAGCGAGGAGGTGTACACGGTGAGGGGGGGGGAGGGGGGAAGAGGGAGGGCAGGAGGGAGGGGGGAGGGGGGAAGAGGGAGGGCAGGAGGGAGGGGGGAGAGAGTAAAAGTGAACCATAGTGAATGAAAATGTGAACGAAATGAGGTGAGATTACAAACTGAAGGGAAATGAGGAGTGAAGCGCAGCCCCGTGTCCTGACGCATGCAGTGAGTGCATTGGCAGGCATTACACATCGGAAAAAAATTACCTCCCGACGCCCCCACACCAACCCCCCTTTCCCTCCCCCCCCCAGGTCCGTGTGACCAGCGTGGCTGACGTGGTGTCGCTGGGCAAGCAGGGGGTGGTGATGCGCTCGCGGGACGTGACTCGCTCGCTGGAGCCGTCCTTCTTCGTGCCGGGGGTACTCAAGAGCTTCAAAGACAACAGGGTGCTGGCGGAGGTGGGAAAAGTGTCGTACCCTGTATCGTCACTACTACTGCGTTACCTGCCGTACCTGCTTTACTTCACCTCCCTTCCTCTCCCCCACCCCCCCCATCGCCCCATGGTCAAGCCTCGTCATACAGTTCGCCAATTTCCTTTAAATTTACCCCCCCCTTGCTTTCCCCCTCCCCCCCCCAGGTTCTCATGACGGTGGGACTGTGCACGCTGGACTGCCTGATGTCGCCGCTGCCCTTCGACGAGGCCAGTGCGGTCTACATCGCCGCCTCGTTGGTGTTGGGGCTGGAGCACCTGCACTGGAGCGGAGTCATCTACCGGGGGCTGTGCGCACACAGTGTGGTGGTGACGGAGGGGGGGCAGGTGCAGCTGGTGGATTTCAGGTAGGGGGGGGAGTGGAGTGGAGGGGGGCGGGAGGAAAGGGGGAAAGGAGGAATCGGACACGCTGTATGACACGGCTTCACCATGGGGGGGGTATAATTAAGGAAAAACTGACGAGGCAACTAACGAGCTGTCTCATCCCCCCCCACGCCACACATTGGATAAACTTCCCAACCCATCCCCCACCCGCACAGGTTCGCCCGTCGCAACGAGGGTCGCGCCTTCACGCTGTGCGGCAGTCCCGAGTACCTAGCCCCCGAGGTGGTGGAGGGGCGCGGACACACCGAGTCCGCCGACCTATGGGCCCTGGGCGTCCTCATCTACTGCCTCATGTCCGGCGAAACACCCTTCGCCTCCCCCGGTGACGACGAGCTGCGCATCTACCGCCGCATCGTCTCCCGCCACCTCGCCTTCCCGCACCACTTCTCCCCTGCTGCTCGCGACCTGCTGGAGCGGCTGCTGCACCCCGACCCGGCGGCTCGGCTGGGCGGGCAGGGCCCCGCCTCGCTGCGGCACCTGAAGCGGCACCCCTGGTTCGCGGCGGTGAACTGGGATGCGCTGCTGGAACACAGGTGGGCGAGGGGGGAGTTCGGGGGGGATAGGAAGGGGGAGGAAGAGAGGGAGGATTTAGAGGGGGAGGATTTAGAGGGGTAGGATTTAGAGGGGTAGGAAGGGGAAAGTGGTGGGTGGGTGCGGGGGCGGTAGTGTTTGGGAAGGGGCTGGCGTGTTAGTGTCTGCTGATGCGCCTCACCGCATGAGCCGGGGTATGAGGTTGGGACTCCGGATGCTTCACTTCCCCCTTTTTACCTCCCCCCCTCCCCCTCTCCAATGCGCTCACTGCATGAGTCGGGATTCGGGATTGGGACTGTGTTGTTGCACTTATTTATAATTTTCCCTCCTCTCCAGGTACCTGCCTCCCCCGGGCATTCGCGAGCGCATCTACAATTTCGAGGGGGTGGCGTACGCGCACTTCGACCCGCGCACCTACGAGGGGGACATGTCCTGGGCCAACAACTTCTAGTGAATACGGTATTGGCGGAAGTACGGCAGCTGCTGCTGCGGCTCCTATTGGCTAGGGGCAACCTTCACATGTGGTTGCTATTCATAGAGCGTATGAGGAGAGTCTTGAGTTATGATTGAGGGGCAGAGAGAGAGAGGGACACAGGAATATACCGAGTGATGAGAGAGGTTGGGGGCGGGGCACGGACCCATGGGTCATGTGTTTACGGCATGGGAGGCCAAGGGGGTAAGGGGAGAAGGAGGGAAAGATAAATGAGGCGATGCAGAAAAGAGGGAGAGAGAGGAATAGCGAATAGGGCGGGAAATGTCCAGGTTGCAAGCAGGAAGCAAGCAGCTAAAAGGGAACCAAGGGAGGAAGGGAGGGAGGGAATGGTGGCGGGGGTTTGTGGTCGCGGAGGTTCCTAAGAGGCGGTTGTTATGCGCGTTGGTGACCTCTCTTATCCTGCGTGACAGGCGGATAGAGAGTGAGAATGTATAGGTTTCGCTGAATGCTCAGCATATCAGTAAAACATTGAGAACACGTTGTGGGGTTTAATCTATACGGGGAAGGCAGCCGCCACTACAAAGAGGGGGGGCGGCTGCGTCGCGCGGGGCTCGCGGGGCTGCTGCTGCTGCTGAGGGGTCTCATTGTTCCGTTGCTTGCATGCACTTGCTTGCATTTGTTGATGGCTGAAGGGTACGCGGAAGGGGGCGGGTGACCGAAAGCCGTAATGGCCTTGATAACAGACTTTTGACGGGGTGTTTGTGACGCCGTGTTCTCAACTTTGCATCCTCGGCCAAGAACAGCATTTGGGGATTACGGATGGCTGTGGGGGGATTGCGCGCGTCGGCTTGATGGTTGGAAACTATTGGGAGAAGAATGGGGTGATAAGAGCCGCGTGACTGGTAATGGAGGGACGTTATTGAGCAATCTCAGGGCACGCCTGAAAGGGAGGTCTGCGAGCAGCAACACGTGCATTTACGGCTTTTAACACAACAGCCATGACGGTTATCCGTCGTGTGGAGTTTTACCTACGATGCCAATTTGGTGGTTAGGTTTGCGTCCTCTGCTGGCCGTTCTGAGAAGGCGCCTTAAGAAGGTTTCAGCCATGGGTGGGGCTGGAATCAGGGTGGATGAGGCGGTACGCTGATGCCTAGCCATCCAGGATGCTAGCAAGGCTCAGAATGTGGCGCATGGCCGGTTTCATCTTGTTTCTTGTAACCATTCCCATCCTGCTGCAAACTCGCTTAGTCGCGCCTTTCCGGACAGCACGAACTTACACCATGCCCTGTGTGAACCGGTGGGAGGCTGGGAGCATGGAAGCGCCGGGGCGGCTACTGGGGTACAAGCCTATGCGGGGAAGGAGGACGGCCGCGTTCCCCGGTAGCTGGGGAGCAAGGCTGCGGCGGTGCTGGTTCGATGCAGCCCTAGTGTCGGCATGATGTCCCCTGGGGCGAGCGAGAGGGCCACGGCTGCATGACGTGGGCGTGGGTGGGGAGGACCCAGTTGCTGATTGACCGGCCCCTGCTGTGCCACCTGGACAGCGGAGGCGAGAGGGTAACAGCACAGGGACGTGAGTTTGGCTTCCTTTGTCCGCTGCGCTTAGAATTGCATGCAACTGTTAACCGTCCTTTGGGTTATTGCATGACGCAGAGTTTACGCAACTCGCAATTGTAGACAAGACAGCTATTGACAGCGTTTGAAACGGCGGTCAAACCGTCGGGCTTTACCTGACTTTGCCGTTACCTCCGAAGCCAAAAAGCGATGCCGTACGATTAAGCGAGATCGGCGCGAGCAGGCGGCTGGGGTCAGTCATTGTAGGTAGGCGCTAAAGGAAGAGGAGCGTTATTAACTATGCCATATTCTTAGCTATGGCAACGCGACTACTTGCATGGACTCTCACACTCTGAACAGTACAGTTTGGCGCTGGAGCGCATTCCGAAGCATTAATACCAGCTTATTCACGTAGAGTTTGGAGCGCTTGTAGTCGTAGAGCGCGAAGGTTCTTGCAACTTTTCGCCATTAGGATAGCATTTACTTGCTAGTGACCATGCTCAAATGGGGCGCAAAGTCTCGCGCTCGGCCTAAGTCGTACTGCGCTGAATCGCGCATTACCAAACACCCAGTAAGATGTCAAGCAGCTGGCGTATGGAACTGGACTGCCCCTTGCCGAATGCGTCGATCGCAGCGATGCCCAGCCCTTGCCACGGAAACAGTCCAGGAAACCCAACTGGCGGTACCTCAAACCGACCTGTCTTGCATCGAGCAGGAAGGTGACAGGGAACAAGCTGGACCCGGTCCGTTGAGCGCTTTTGGAGTCCCGGATGTGTCCTTCGTCTCCCTGGTCAAAGGCAAATACACGGTACGACATGACCATGGCTGAAACACCTGTTTCCGCCACCTGTCACCACCTGCCCCTAGACATCTTGGTTCATACTAATTCTATCTTTCAAGCTGTTCTGCCATCCTTCACTCGCTCGCAGGTGTTCGGCCGTATACGGCTGCGTGCCCCCGCCTCCGCCGTGTACGCATTGCTGACAGACCACGGCAACTGCCACCGCGTGTTTTCAAACGTAGCTTCTTCGGAGGTTGTGACTGCGGAGGAGGGGGGCGAGAAGGAGGTGGTGCAGGTGTGGCGTGTGGGCGACCAGGAGGTGGTGCTCCAGCACAGCAGGGGATGTGGTGTCGCTCGCATACCCGTTGTGGTGGCTCGCAATCCTCGCATGGGCGACATCAGTGTGCTTGTGTTTCTCCTTCCTCTCCATGCCTTCATATCCATTTGAAGTGATTACACTAGACCCGTTTGGACCCGTTTCAGTTCGCGGCTGATGCACGGGCTGCTAGTCCATAACACGACGCTCCTCACCACGTCACCAGCCTTTATCCCTCCTTTACCTTTCCCCCTCATTATCTTTCCCCTCTCCTCTTCCCCAACCCGCCCGCAGTCCTGCCGCTGGAACTTCCTCGCCTTCTCCGGCACCTTCCGCATCCGGCTGGGAGTCACCGAACTGCCCGACTGCCGTACCCTGAGCTTCAAACTGATCCAGTCCAGCTTCATGAGGGACTTCGAGGGGCAATGGGTTGTGAGGCAGGGGGGGACATCGTCGTCAGCAGCACCTGCAGGTGCAGTAGTAGCAGCAGCAGCAGATGTTTCTGGGAGAGGAGGGGTGGAGGATGAGGAGGAATGGTGTGAGGTGGAGCACGTGCTGTCTGTCGTACCTGCGGTGCCCGTACCGCCCCCCGTGGCGTTCTACACACGCAGTGTGTTTGTACGACAGGTTGAAGCCATCCTGACGGACCTGCAGCGAGGCGTGGCGCAGGCGGCTGCTGCGGGCGTTGTGAAGGAAGCGGCAGCAGCGACGGCTGTGGTGGGGGGTGCAGTGGAGGTGGTAAATTAAAGGACATGAACACCGAATGTAAGATGTGAAGTTGTGATATGTTAGGTGTGCACCTTGTGTCGTGTCGTGGGGCTGTCACGCGCGACGGCCTCTGCATGCGTGCGTGTGCTTTCAGCTGCTTCGTACAATGGTTGGGGGTGAAAGCTGCTCTTTCATATAGTTTCCTTTTATATATATTCTCTTTCTTACGAAGGAGGATGCCGCACATGCGCTGTGGCAACACGGCTCAGCGTTAACTAGATGACTAGATGACTATGCAAGCACACTTTGTGTGGCCAGTTTTCGTATCACATTGCCGTACGACGACGTTTAGGGGCTTGGTTGCGGCTTTTTGCGCTGTGGCCGCTTGCCATACGGGTATCGGCGGTCACGCCTGTCCCGCTGTGATTGAGGGCACGCCAACCGCCAACAGCCATGTGGGATCACTCCTGCCGAGTAGCGGAGATTTAAAAGCCCTTGCTTGGTTAGGGCACATGACGTTAGGGCATTGCACATGGACTGTGACTAAAATGTTGGATGGCTATAGATGGAAGGGGTTATAACTTAACAAGCACCTGAACTTACATGGGCAGGGGGCAGGGGGGGCACCATTGCCGCTGAGAGGGCTTCCCGTCCCCTGCCCGCAAGCAATCCCTGCTGGTGAGCCACGTGGGAGGTGCGGTGCCCGGGAGCTCCCAGGAACGTCAGTGCGTTCCCCTGTTTTGGGGCCCCACATGGCCCATGGGGGTGCTTCTTGCCGACGTGCCTGGGTGGATGAGCGGAGTATCGCATGTGGGGTTAGGAGCGTGGGAATGAGGCGATTTTTCAGTCTTATGAGTTACCGGTACACAGGGGGGCAATTCAGGCTTGCAATGCTGCTGTCCCTGTGACGGTGACTGTGCGACAGTCATTGTGCGGCTGTGGCTGTGAAATTCCATTGGTGGATTGCCGTACGGCAGGTTTCTTCAGTAGGCATGTTACATTAGTGGTGCTACAGGGGAATGCAGGTGCCTCAGGAGGCCACGGCGGACTGAATGCCGGTGAACTGTGCGGTATGTCACGCGCTTGATTGAACGATTACCGGTAGTTCAGTAGGTCGAGGAAGGCTTTCGGCTGCCAGCAGCGAACATACAACCATTTTACGTGGCCGCTGCATGCGTTGCTGCTGTGGGGTTTGCTGCTGTGGGGTTTGCTGCTGCGGAGACAGAGCGGGAAGGAGCAGTCGCGGCTTTCGGTGGAATGCAAGTATGCATTGGACGGAAGAGACCACCACCGCATCGGCCCAAACCAGTACCTCTGGGTTACCCAATGTTACAACTTGCTAGCTGATACCGGTACCTTACCGGTGTACCAATTCCTAATCTCCTGGCCTGCCATGTCCCGGCGGCCCAATATGAATCTCAACGTGCTACCCATTAACATGGACCCACCCGGCTAGTCCCCAACCCCGGACCCGGACCCGGCCCCGAACTCCCCACCACACGGTCACGCGGTCCCCATACATCAAACGGTCAGTTAGTTGTTTCCTCTTTATCCCCACCATAGCGGCCGCTTCTGCTGCTGCTACCGCAGTCCCCATACAACCCCACCAGCGGTATCGTACACCAGGATCCCTTCCATGATTGCCCCATGCATCATGCCATGCACACACGAACACAGTGCTTCTCAACCCTCAGTCATCCTCATCCCTATCGGCTATTGGCTGAGGTGGGAGACGATGAAGGCGGCCACGTCCTCCGGTTGCTCCTCGGATAACTGCGATCAGTGGGCGAGTGGGCGGGTGGGCGGGGGAGACAAAAGAGGGGTGTCGTGGGGATGCTGAACATGGGGGTTTTGGGGTGTTCCTACACATGCGGTGTTAGGGTTCTAGGGAGGGCCACTGCATGGGTCTGACCGCCTTGGGTAGTAACTACCTACCATAACTCATAAGGACAGCAGCAAGAGCGCTGCGTGCTTGTAATGCTGGTAACGAGGCAGGGCCGAAACGGTGGGCTGGGTCCAGCAAGGAACTCAGGCGCAAGGGGCAACGGCAAGAGGGGTGAGACCAGGGGCAGGGGTTGTTGTCGTACGGCACTACCGTACTCACCCGCTGCAGCAGCTCCGCAAAGAGTTCGTGGACGCCCTTGGACATGAGGTACTGCATGGAGGGTGCAAAACACCAAGGGATGTTCAGAACACCCTTGCCATAACGGTGATAGGGAGAGACCACCAGGGCACGAACCTTTTGGCACGCGGCGTCAGAGTGGGTAAACGCGACACGGCCACCGTCCTCGGTTGATGAAATCGCAATTTCCCCTTCTGCATCATTGGTCTTCATGAGCAGGTGCTTAATCCTGTTACATGGACAGCACGCACATCAGAAAGGGACAGAAGCGGGAGCGGCAATAACCATACATGAATGTTCGCCTACATGTGCGCTTGGACGTTCTCCGGTTTACTGTGGAGTACGCTGACGACCATTTCCTTCACCATTTTATCTATTCTTTGGGACGAAAGGTAATTCTCTATGTCCTTGACAATAACTTCTGGCCTCTCCATGTTGCAAAACCTTTCTACAGTCTGGCGCGCTGGAGTTACTACACGACGACGTCCGAGGTGAAAACGTATTTCGCCTTGCGATAAAAGGTCCTGGCCTACTAAAAAGCAGTCACATAACCGCGCCTCGGCTAGATGTGTAATAGCCAGTAACACGGAAAAAACGTAGGCAGGACGAAACGACTTGCAGTTACGGTAAAGGATGCGCAGGCTGCGTCGGTGTGAACGCGTTTGTCATCAGCATCAAGATACTGTACGACAGCAGTCATGAGCCAGAGCCCATGCAGTTACGCTATCACACATACTGCTGCTGCAAACCACCGCTGGGATGCAGGCTTTGCCCCGCCTGCTCAGAACTCCTGCAACCTCCTTGCCCATGGCTCCGTTAACGTTGTACAAACGAACCTGCCGAAATAGTACAAACTGTTGAACAACCCTAAGCTTCTTCCTTCACCGCTCGACTGGGTCCGGAACACACAGGTCACCTACCGGCACTGTCTTCACAAGCGCTGTAAACGTCCTAGCAGCACCCTGTAATGCCACACTACGGTAGCTGCCTTCTCCGTACACTCCGCTTTCTACTTTATCCAAATGTACGGCGTATCCAAAGCCCATATGCGACGTCCCTATGAACAACAATTTGTTTTTCTGTACACACCTCCGTAGCAGCCGCCCTCCGCCAGCACCTATCCCACATACGCACACAGCCCGCTCCCCGCAGCTCCACCCTCCCCTGTCTTGTGGCACCCTATATCCCTCAACCCGGAAGGGTTAAGAGGAAGAACTAGCCATGCGACGACAAGGCTCCCCAGGCAAGTCTCTCCCCGCGTATTGCTCGCATCATGCTTGCTAACCCTTCCAGCACGCCCCCCAAGAGGAGGGGCCCAGGTGCTCGCTGCAGCCCCTCCCATCCCATCCCATCATGCATGCAAGAACTTGATCTTCTGCTTCTTCCTCTCCCTCCTCGCCCCCTCCATGCACACACCTCCTCAGCCCCCTCACACCACCCCCATGCGCTGCAGCCTCAGGTCGTTACCCCCTCCCGCCACCACCAGCCGATACTCCACACGCCCTCCCCCCGCCCCTGCCCCTCCCGCCGCCCCCCCACTCCCTCCCACCCCCACTGCCGCCAGTAGCCCCCCCTTCTTCTTGCTGGCCCGCTCCTGCTCCTGCGCCAGCTCGTTCTGCGCCTGCCGTACCAGCCGTGACAGGTACTTCATGGCGATGGTGGCGACCTGGGGAGGGGGGGAGCGGGTGGGGGGGGGGGAGCGGGGGAGCGGGGGAGCGGGGAAAGAAAGAAGAATACTTGATGTGTTGAGTGAGACTGGGAAACAAGAGGGAGTTGGAGGTCGGGGGTGGCTGGGGGTTAGGCAGCTAGTAGTAGTTGTTGCAAGAAAGGATGTGTCTAGTAGGTCGCGATGAGGCTGCAGCGAAGAGGCTGCATGCGGCCACACTTGCCGCAGCCGACCCACATGGCCCCCGGGGGGCGCCCGGGCCACCCAGGAATTGACACCCACGCAGCCCTTGCCCCCCTTGCTCCTCCCACTGGGTATTCTTCTTCTCCACCTCCCCGTCGGGATTCGGGATTGGGACTGTGTTGTTGCACTTATTTATAATTTTCCCCCTCCCTGCCTCACCTGTTTGGCCCCCTCCAGCGGGTACTCTCCCCCCGCGAAGTTGACCTTGCCCACCAGCCACGTCAGCGCTGCGGGCTCCGGAACCAGTACGGCACCGTGGGGTGCCAGGCGGTGTCCGTACACCGCCACCTCCACCTCCATCAGCCGGGCGATCTGGGGGAAGGGGGTAGGGAGGGGAGGGAGGGAGAGGTGGGTACGAGTAAATAGGAAGCAGCTGATGGGGATGGGGAATAGGGGTGGGGATTGGGAATGGGTAACACGTTCTACACGTGTCATGTGTTGAGATCTTGAGAACATGACTGGCCGCCAGTCGGACCGTACTGCCGCATCAGCCATCCCCCAACAACATCTTGCCCGACCCACCTCCTAAAACCCCACCCAGCCACATCCCCCCCGCCCTCCCCCGCCCCTCCCCTTCCCCCCTCACCTCCTCCCTTGCCAGCGGGAAGAAGGGCAGGAATAGGTCCACAGTGCTCATGAAGGCCAGCGTGTCCGTCAGCCCCTCGCACGGCGCCCGCCGCCACTCGCGTAGCACCACCTCGCGCAACGCGGACTCGGCGACCTCGGGGGAGATCTGTGTGTGGGGGGGGGATGAGGTAGGGAGGGGAGGAGCGGGTTGGGGTGAAGGCGGGGACGGGGCGGGGCGGACGCGCCGGCCGATGGTGAGGCCGGTACACCGGTATGCAGGGACGCGCCTCAACTAGGCACACGGCTTGGGAAGGGGCCTATAACAGAAGCCAACGTTTGGACTTGTTAAGAGGGGGAATTCCTTATGCGGCGGGAAAGGGCGGGCTCACCCTCCCCTCCCTCCCCTGTTGCTGCCCCTACCTTGCGCCTGCGGCCCCGCCCCCACACCTTGTGCCTTCCCCGTCCCCCCTCCCCACACACCTTGCGCTTGTCCCCCCCCGCCGCCGACAGCAGCTCCTCCAGCTCCAGGAAGCCCAGATTGGATTCCAACAACACGATGGCTCTGGGGGGGGAGGCGTGTGTGTATGGGGGGGAGAAGAGGGGGAGGGGGCGGCGGGGAGAGAGGGGGAAACGATGAGGACCCAATGGGGAGCAGGGGGAGGTGAGGGGGGATGGGGCTTGTGCTGGCAGCTGTGCTTTCTGCTCCCTCACGGCCCCCGGCCTCCCATGCAGAGACAGGGGCGCACCCTATCAGTATGCATTGCTGCTAACATCGGTCACGTCGGTTGCGTCATTGAACTCACTTGTTGACGGTTGTGTTGGTTAGCTCCGGGTGACTGATCAGCTGCCGCAGCAGCGCCCGGCTCTCGCAATCCAGCTTGTCGTACTCCTCAAACACGAGCAGGGGGTTAGGGGTGGAGTGAAGGTGGTCCAGTACGGCATCCCGTACGGCAGCTAGCTGACTGGACCGCTGGCTCTCCAGGTAGGAGGCGCCGTACAGCACCTGGGTTTGGTGGTGGAGGTGGGGGGGGCGGCGTGCGTGCGTGGGTTAAGAGAAAACTGGCCGAAAACTGGCGTGTGTGTGTGTGTGCCGTACAAGAGGAAGGGACACGCGCCCTGACGTACCTGTTCCCCTGTCCCATGCTCTTATCCCTCCAGCTCTTCACTCCCTTCCCGGTCCCTTCTTCCCTCCCTCTCCGCGCCTGCTTCCCTCCCGACCCAAATCCCGAACCCAATCGCCGCCCCTCTATCCCTCTACCCGCCCTCCTAACAAGCGTGCCAAAACCGCCCCCCTCCCTCGCCATCCTCGTACCCCCCCTTCCTACCTTGGCACCTCGACACCCCTCCCCCGGACATCTCCCCGCCGCCGCCGGGTCGGTGTTGTACAGCGCGCGTGCCAGCAGCGTGTGTGTATAGGTCTTGCCCACACCCGGCGGCCCGTGCACGCTGATGACTAGCGGTTTGCGCTGCAAGGAAGAAGCTGACGCTGCTGCTGCAGCCGCTGCAGCCGCCGCCGCCGCCGCTGCTGCTGCTGATGCTGCCTGGCTACTTTTCTTCGAGCCCAGGCCTAAGGCCTCGAGGGGTGAGGAGGAGGAGGAGGATGTGGGTCGGTCGGTTACGTGCTCGCAGACGGCGTCCACGAGTTGCCGTAGGGCCAGGTCTTGGCCAACCACGTGGGCTGGAAGATAGGTTTCGACATTGTTGCAGGCGCGGGATACGTAACGGCTGGTGCCTACGTGAGGTAAAGTGAAAGTTAAATGGAAAGAGTAAGGATAAAGGGAAATTGGCAGGAGGCAAGTTACATGAGCCATGAGTGTCGTCGGGGTGTTACATAGAGCGGCCCGCGGTGAGTGTTACAGTTTCAGCGAAAGCAGGTATGCCTTTTGCGGTAACACAAGCCCCACCTGAGAAATGGTACACAGCGAAAGCGAATAGCGTGGCAATTGTGCTAATGGCGATGACAGCCATGCGACCACCGTTCGTGCGGTTCTGACGCTGGTAGTGGTAAATCTGCTCCGCTGCCCAGATATTACAATCCGCGCTAGGCTAGTTGCCGTTGTGTTGGCTTTAGTACCAGTACGCAACCGTATCCTATCTACTAAGTCATGAACAGCTGCACAACCTAAAAATGGGCAATACGATACCGGTATGAGTAACAGTCAATAGAGTAAAGCTCTCACTAGCAGACGGCGGTGCGGGAGAACGAATGTCCCACAAAGTGTTGCAAAACAACGTCTACAGAATTCCAAACGGCTAGGGTGTGTCGGAATGCCGGTATATAAGGGTGTAAGGACAATATAATTCGGCGACGTCAGGTAAAGCGATCGGCTCCCGCCTCTTTCCTAACCACCGCATGCGCCGCACGCAAAGTGATCACCACGACGAGGTCTATGCAAAATGGCTGGTTTCTGTCGCTTTTCATCCTCCGCGTGGATTGACACCTTATTACTTACGAGCCGTTGACAAACAGCTTGCAGGGATAACTATTCCTGGCTAACCTGGCAACCCTTATCACGCTTCGGGCGCGTCGTGCTTAGTTTGTACTTTTATTAGACCACATTAAAACATATTATTTGCGCTTACGGTTATGGAAGCGCTGGCCAGTTTACCAGGCAATGCAGCAGCATCATGGCCGACGCGCAGAATGTCAAACGCTCACCCTAAAGGCTCTGCAATCAACATAATGGCAACCGTTAGTCGCCACCCAGCATTATCTCCAAGGCCGCGATGGCCTTGTGCACCACGACGTCTCATCTTCGTTGGAGCTTGCACCAACCCAGTTCGCCAAACTTCCGGGTCTTCGTTGCGGCATGGCCAACGCTGCCAACACTCAGCAGCCCGCAGAGTGAAGCCACTCCTACCCGCACTGCCCCACTCCCGACAGCCGCAGGGCCCAGCCAAGGCCAGGCCCAAGGCAACCATTCCTTGCTCCCACGCCAACAGCACCACCACTACCACCACCACCAACAGCAACAACAACAACAACAACAACAGCTTGTCTAACAACAACAACAACAGCAGCACGGACGCAAACACCAGTCGTCGTGCCTTGCTGTTCTCTGCCGCTGCTGTAGTCGCCACAGCCTCCACAGCCCCCTCAGCTGCCTCAGCAGCGGCTGGGCCCTTGGTGCTGCCCCGTGCTGCCTCAGCCGCCGCGGTGTCAGGGCGGCCCCCACCCGGACCACTCGGGTTCGAATCCCGCGTGGAGCAGTTCACGCTGCGCAACGGCATGACCTTCATTGTGCTGCCGCGCCGCAATGCGCCCGTCGTGTCCTGCCACACATACGCCAACGGTAGGGGTGCACAGAACCTAATTGTAGCAGCAGGGTTATAGCGGTCTCTTATTTTTACCTCCCCCCCTCCCAACACACACACACACACACACACACACACACACACACACACACACACACACACACACACACACACACACACACACACACACACACACACACACCTCCCCCCATGGCGCTACTTCCCCACCCCCTCGGCCTGCAGTGGGCGCCTGGCAGGAGGTGGCGGGCTGCACGGGTATGGCCCACCTGCTGGAGCACATGGCGTTCAAGGTGGGGGGGGAGAAGGGGGGGGAGAAGGGGGGGGGGAGAAAGGGGGGAGATAAGAAGTGAGAAGCGCAGCACAGTCCAGTGGAGAGCCGGAGGGGCAGTGTCACCCATGTTATGGGCCCTATCGCATCCAACACTTGCCCCCGCCCTCCCTCCCTTCCTCCCTCCCCCTCCCCCTCCAGGGCACCCCCCGGGTGGGCAGTCGTGACTTCCCGCGCGAGGCCGCCCTGCTGGACTCGGTGGATGAGGCCTTCTACGAGCTGCGGGTAGCTGGGGGGGGGAGGGGAGGAGGAAGGGGAGGGGGCATTGCAAGATGCAGGGGAACAGGGGAGGGGAGGGAAAGGAAGGGGGATCACGGGACCAGAGGGGTAATGCCCTCCCTTGCCGCCTCCTCCTCCCTCACGCCTGCACTCCGTTCCCTCTTTTCCTCCCCCGCCCCCCCCAGTCCGCCCAGTCCGCCCCCTCCCCCACCTCCTCCGCCCGCCTGGCCGCTCTGAGCTCCCGGCTGCAGCAGCTGCAGGCGCGGGCGGGGCAGCTAGCAGAGCCCAACGCATTCGGGGCCCTGCTGCAGGTGCGGTACGACAGGGGGCGGGGGCAGGTGGGGTACGACAGTACGACAGGGCGGGGACAGGGGTGGGGGGTCAAAAAACACATACCGAACCGCAGGTCGCCACATGATTGGGCAAGATAATGGGGATGGGAAGCGGCAGGGTGCCACAGGGTGGCAGGGCGGGGAAGGGGGCCGTGGGGCTGGGAAAGAAGTGGGAGAGCAGGAGGGGGGAGCTGGCGGAAAGGCTGACGCAGGGGCACAGCTGCTTGCTGCTTGCCTGCAGCACCCGACTGAGCCCCCTAGCTTCCGTTCGCCCTCCCCTCCCCCCCGCCCCGCCCCGCCCCCAGGCCGCCGGTGGTGTGGGTCTCAACGCCACCACCTCGCACGACGCCACGCGCTACTTCGTGAGCCTGCCCGCCAACAAGCTGGAGCTGTGGATGGGGCTGGAGGCGGAGAGGTTCAGGTGGGGGGGGAGGGGGCGGAGAGGTTCAGGTGTGTGTGTGGGGGGTACGGGAATGATTGCATGCGGGGCATGCGGGGCGCGCGGCCTTACTCCACCACGCACGCGCGCACCCCCTCACACTCCTCCGCCGCCTCCATCCCGGCTCCCACTCCCGCTCCCCCGCCCATACATCCTACTCCTCTGATCTGATTCCCACGCACCCCCCACCCCCACCCCCACCCCCCCACCCCTCCCTCACCCCAATCAGGGCCCCCGTGTTCCGCGAGCTCTACTCGGAGAAGGCGGTGATCGAGGAGGAGCGGCGGCTGAGGGTGGACAGCACACCCATGGGCAGGTGGGTGGGTGGGTGGGGGGGTACGTTGGTTGTACGGCGGCCCAGGGTACGGCGCGTTCGGCGGGTCGGGAGGAGGGAGGAGGAGAGAGGAGGCGCTCGCCGCGGCATGGCTATGGGGCAGGCTTGCATGAAGTAGATACCGTGTAGGCATGAGGCCCTCCTCGGTACTTGCCCCGCGTGCCACCAACCTCCCCCCCGCCCCTCCAAACCCGCCCGCCCGCCCGCCCGCCCGCAGGTACCAACAGGACTTCTCTCTGGCCGCACTGGCCAACCACTACCGCCGCCCCGTCATCGGCTTCGAACAGGACTTCGCAGCCATCGGGCGGCGGGAGGTGCAGGTGCGGGTGCGGGTGGGGGTGCGGGTGCGAGGGCGAGTGCGAGGGCGGGTGCGTAGGTAGATCAGACGCAGGTTGCAGGTTGCACATCGCATGATGCAAAGCCACATCCGCCACCGCACCACCTACCCGTACGCTTCTGAAACGCTCCCTCCTGAGCACCCTCCGTACCCCCTCCTCCGTACCCCCTCCTCCGTACCCCCTCCTCCGTACCCCCTCCTCCGCCCCCTCCTCCGCCCCCTCCTCCGCCCCCTCCTCCGCCCCCCCGCAGGCCTTCTTCGACACCTTCTACGGCCCCGCCAACCTCACAGTGGCTCTGGTGGGGGATGTGCAGCCGGAGCAGGTGCACAGGTGCGTGCGTGCCCGGGGAGGCGGGGAGGCGGGGAGTGTCAGGGGTGAGGGGGGCAGGGCGATCCGGGAAAGCTAGCAGGGCGGGTTGAGAGGAGCTGCAAGCGCCTCTCGGTAGCTGTGCTTTGCTGTCCCAACATGTGACCATGGCCCCCCAGAGTAACCTCCCTCCCGGCCCACCGCTATCCACCGCCACTGTCCAGGCTAGCGGAGCGCTACTGGGGCGAGTGGGAGGGGCCGCCGGGCTACCAGGTGCAGCCCCGGGGCACGTCCATCTGGGGGGTAGCGCAGGAGGGAGGAGGAGCAGCAGGAGCAGGTGGTGGTCAGCAGCCGGCCACGCCTGATGAAGGGGCGTTGGGGCCTCTGTGGGGTGCTGGAGAGGAGGATCCCCGGCCGCAGGTGAGTGCGGGTGCTGGTGCTGGGGGATGCCGGAACAGGGGTTGCGGGGGGGTGCATTGCCTGCTGCTGCTGCTGCTGCTGCTCTTGTTGTTGTTGTTGTTGTTGTCCTCCCCGATGCTTTGCGATGTGATGCGGTTCTTACATCGTTGCATCGTTGCAGGTGTGCATGCTGTGTTCACGCATGCATGCATGCAGATGCTGCCCCTGTCGCGCCGCGTGCTGCCAAGCAAGTAGTCCTCCGCTGCGGCTGCTGCTGCTCCTGGGTAATGTTGCCTGCCTTCGCACGATGTGGGAGGCGGTCGCCAGCGGGGTCGTCAGTGGCTGCTGCTCCACCCCCGCCGGGGCTTTCCCTCCAGCATCCCCTTGCTGCTCCTGCTGCTGCACCTCCCCCCCACTCACCCCCGCTCCCCGCACCCCACCCGCCCACCCCTCCCTGCCGCAGTCCTTCCTCACAGGCGCACGTACCTCCCTCTCCGCCCCTGCCCCCTCCGGCCCTGCGGCGCTGCTGGGCTTCTACCGGCCGCCCCTCACCAGCAGGTCGGGGGTGCTGCTGGGGGTGGTGGGGGAGCTGCTGGCAGGCGGCCGCACCTCGCGGTAGGTGGGGTGTGCATGGCGGTGGGGTGAGGGGTGCTTGTACTCGCATGTGTAGGAGGAGCAAGGGGGAAGGCGTTGGAGAGGTATGAGCATGCATGGGGGTGCATGGGGATGATTACCGTCTCACTCACGATATCCCACGCAACTCCGCTCATCCGTTGTACGGTGCGGTAATCCCCCGCTCATCCAATCTACCGGTATTCCCTCCCTCCCTCCCTCCTTTCCCCTCCCCCCCTCCAGGCTGGTTTCGGAGCTGGTCCTGAGCGGCAGGGCGCTGAGTGCCACCGTGGTGACCGACTACCCCGGGGAGAGGCACCCGGGGCTGGCGCTGGTGTACGGCATCCCGAAGGATGGTGCGTGTGTGTCGTACACACACGTGTACGGGCGTTAGTACGGCATAGGTCATGTGTGTTAAGAAAACTGGCCGCGAGTGTGTGTGTGTGTATGCGATAGATGTAGAGGTTTGGGTCGTACTTTGTCCCTCCGTGCTTTGAGCCCCGAGCCTCAGCCTCACCACTCTCGCCGCACCGCTCGCCCCACCACTCTCACCCCCCCTCGCTCCCCCCGCTCCCACCCACACCCCTCCACGCCCGCCCCCGCTCCCACCCCCAGGTGACAGACCGGAGGATGTGGCCGCTCTGCTGCGATCGCAGCTGTCCGCGCTGCTGGTGGAGGGCGGCGTGCGGGAGGCCGAGCTGGCGCGGGTGCGCCGGGCGGCGCGGGCGGCGCTGCTGGGGGCGGCACAGAGCAACACCTCGATGGCGGCAACACTGGCAACCTACCACGTGAACAATGGTAGGACCGGGTGTTGGGGTGTTGGGGGGAGGTGGTCGGGCTGCATGCTGATTGGTTGATTGCTCACACGCGCGTGCACACGTGTACCCGGCTGCTTCCCTGGCTCCCGCGCCATTTTGCCTCTCCATCCCAGCCCCGACCCTACATGTACAATTCCAAATTGAACACCCCCACATGCATGCATGCACCCACACACCCCCGCCCCATGCATGCACCCACCCAACACTGCCCCCCCCCCCCAGGCAGCTGGCGGGGTCTGCTTGAGGAGTTGGAGCTGGTGTCCGGGGTGCGGCCGGCGGAGGTGCAGCAGCTGGCGGCGCGCGTGTTCGCTCCGGACAACTGCTTCACGGGCTACGTGACCAGGGCGGCGTGAGGTAGGGGGCCCCGCAGGGAGGGGAGACCTCCTCAGGGTCATCACCTGCCCCTGCCTTGCCTTGCCTCAAGGATTAGGGTAGGTGTGGCGAGAGGGGGGATGAGGTGGTGGTGGGCAGGTAGCAGCAGTAGGGGGCGCTTAGGCTACTTAGGCGGCTGGGTTTGCGCATGTATGTAATGTTTTGTATCACCACTACCGTATGTATGTGTGTATTTAATCAACTGGTGTGGGAAAACGGACACTCTGAACTTGGACCTTGGAGCAGAGAGGAGCACGCGCGTGTTTATGCAAATTGGCCGTGAGTCGGAACGTACATGCCTGCATGCGCGCATGCGTGTGCACCGGTATGTGGGGGTTGCCGAGGTGCGGTTCGCTGGGTAATGAGGTGCTGTGGTGCACGTACGTGGTGTTCTTAACACACGTGGTGATGGGCAAGGCATGGAGCAGCGCGCTTGGTGTCTATGTATGCGCACCGGTGGATAGAGGCCATGCGGTGAAGCGCCGCATGCAGCATCCAGCATGCTTGCATGTCCACCTTATACTTTGACTGGTTTCTTTGAGGAATTGCAATTGTGCGGCGTTGTGTTGGCGAGGGTGGGAGTAGGTGACTGGGGAAAGAGTGCGACCAACCAACAGTAGCCTCAGGCCCCTGACCTCTTTCCCAACATCTGCTACCCAGATCTCTAAACGGTACCTGTTCATTTCTTAGCAATCCATACTGGGCTAAAGCAAGAGAAGGGAGTGCTAGGTGTGCGGCACATAGTAACGGTCGATGTATGAACTGTAGCCTGCGGCTGTCCCTTTTTACTTTTTGTGTTTGTGAAACTCTACCGCCTCCCATCCCCTTTGCTTTGCCCTTACTGTGGTTTCCTATGCGTTGGTATGTTATTTATTCCCCATCCGCTACCCGCCTGCCCCTCCCTCCCCCCGCCCAATCCGTGCTGTGCGTGAGAGGCCGTGCAGACCAGCCCCTCCCCTAACCGTAGGTGGCAAGTATTAGGGTATGTATACTAGAAGCACGGGGAGGGTGGAGAATGAGGCCCTTTCCTTACCACAGCCATCATGAGGAGCCCCATGCCCCCAAACCGGTACCCTTCCTAGTTGTGCAAGTCCCCCCGCTAGCCGGTGAGCTAGTATAGCTGACAAGGCGACCCAACCGTAGGTGGCAGTGCGAAAACAAGCTAACTGTAATTTCAGGCTGAGGGGGCGCACGGGCCCCCTCCCCCTAAACCCCTCACTCCCCCCACCGCTAACCCTCACAATTATTATTGCATCCAGCCAGATCCAGCCACCACAAATCCCCGTTGCGTTGCCCTTACTGAGAATTCCTATGATTTGGGATGTCCTTAAATCCCACCCGCTACCCGCCTGCACTCCCCAAACCCTCCCCAGAAGCTGAAATGTTTCACCCCTCCTGCCCAGAGTAGAAATTATTTTGAAAAAAAAGAATTTGCCACCCGTCCAGGTGCCTCACCATCCTCCGGCCCACCAATAACCATAGCCATCCAGTGTCCCCCACCCCCCTCCCCCATGTTGACGCCTTATCCCTCAGTCAGTTAGTTGTTTCCTCTTTACCCCTCCCCCTCCCCCGGCCCCCTAGGAACCCAATGGTAAAGCCCCATCAAACAGCTTGTGAGATTCCTCGTTTTACCACCCCCCACCAGCGCTGTGCTCGAGCCCGTGCAAGCCACAAGGGCCCACTCACCCCAAACCGGTACCCTTCTTAGGAGTGCATATTCCCCAGCTAGCCTTTACTTGCTCCCCATGCCGTGTGCTAGCAATCCTAGCATAGCTGGCAAGTCATGCGCAAGCGCTCTTCTTTTCCTATCGTCACCATTGACTACGTACTATGTGCATTTACGTTTGCTTTACACCAAACCATGATTTGCTGCAAGAGAAGGTGTCGTTGCCGTACAATACAGCTGAACAATACACCTCAAGTTGCCTAAGAAAAGAATAACGGGCCAAGGGCTAAGTTCTTGAGTTACTTGTCCGCATGCCCGTGTGTATTTGCTGTGTACATGCAGACTGCGTTGGGTTTATGGAATATGAAAGGTTGCATGCGGCTTCTGCCTTGGGTTGGCAATGCACATGTCGGCATGTCTGGAAGGCCACGGCCTTTAGTGACCTGGTTTGCATATAGCGGCTCAATACGATGAACTGTAACGACAACATGGCAGTTTGCATGGTGATCCCTGGGTGATCTGTCGAATTCATGCACGCCAGGGATATCCGACAACTACCGGTATGTGCTCCAGTTGTAAGAGGACGCCCCATGCACATGGAGCTATATCGCATTAGTTAGTGTAGACTATAGCTTCAGATAGCGGGGATGTTCCTGGTTGGCATGCAGCGTCAAGGACACCCAGGAGGTCCTCGGGTGAACTACACGCCAAGCCAAGTAGCAGTTGGTTTCAGTACCTGACAAGAAGTAGCAGTTGGCTTCAGTACCTGACAAGGAGGACCCATTGATGAGATAGAGAACCGAGGCAGTTTCGGCCACACGTTGTTGCTGCGGTTGTGCGGTTCGACGGAGTCCCTGCCGCCCTGCCCAGGAAGCAACGGCACGCCAAGGCAATGCCAAGCAGTCTTTGCTGACATTTATTAAGCCAACCACTCACGGTGCCGTAACATCGGACCTCCGCCCACATAGCATGCTTTTTTACAAGGGCGGAGCGGCCTGCATGCAGCATGGAAAGCCTGCAAGCCACGGCAATAACGTATTCCAGGCTCCAGGAATATCCCAAAGGAGGCTAAGGCCTCCGTTCGTGCGAGCCAACGAGACCCGGTGCTTTTGCCAGCCGAGGGAACACAGCCTCCCGACCGACCTGATGCTCGCCTTGCGGTTCACCTACGCTGCCATGCATGCGTCACTCCATATCGCAACAAGCTACGATACCCCCAGACAGAACAGCACGCCACCATGCGAGCAGCCGCAGAACTCAAGGGGCAGCAAAGTAGCAGTAGCCATGAGGCAAGACAGGCTAAACGGACGAGCAGCCCGTGCTCTGCGCTGCAGCACACGAAGCAGCTGTCACCCGCTGTGCTTCTACTTCTACAGCTAATGCACGTCCTCATGCAGAAAAGCCCGTTTGCACAAACGTTACTACTACCCCCGGTATACGGCATGAAAACGGTTTTGCACGGCAAGCTTGCTGGGACTCATCCGCCATTGCGGCTGAGAGTATAACAGCCCGCCCACAAACACCACGCAGTAATGTGTCACCAAAGCCCAACGAGAGCGGCGGCATGTCTCCTGCTACCTGGGCTAATTGCATGCTAGCCTACGCGTAACGTCACAATCACACAATCCACAGGCTAGTGTGTGTAACTACGGTACTGATTGCACCTCCCAAGTCCCTGAGGCTCCTGTCCAAAGAAAAGGTGCACACTCGGCCCACGTAAAGGTGCAAAGGTGATACCGCATACCGTACTGAGGACTAACACAATAGGTGGCACGTGCGGGCCCTCGCGCACACGGCACACAAGAGTTGCTGTCTATGACACATATGGACAGACACAGGTCTAGTTATGAGCGAGTGCGCCTTGCAACCAAGCGCGACGCTTAACAGGCAGTGCATGAAATACAGAAACGTACGCGGGCGGAGTCAAGTCTCCTCGGGCCCAGAGTGCCTCGCGCAAACGACAGCTCCAAGCGGTCTTCTAGCCTACATCACCTAGCGGACAGCCCGTGCAAGATTTGCCACTTGTCGGCACGTTTACATTTCTGACATATTAATCTATATAAATTACTGTTAGGTGTACGTCTCTGCGGCGCTGCCGCCGTGGCACACTCCAGCTCGGCTCAGCCAGCCGACTAGGCACAGCTGCAACTAAACAGAAAGCGTCAGCGAGAAAGGACTGGCTCATGCTGTCTTCTAAGCAGCGGCGCGTGCTTCGTCATTCAGGATGTACTCAATCAGCTGCTCCTCCGCGTCATCAAGCGCATTGCATGACGGCCCGCTACCGCCGCTACCCCGCGACCGCGGCTTCAGCGAGTTATTGTTGCGGCTAGACTGGCTGCTGCCATTGCGGACCGACTGGCTGCTGTTCCCACGCGCCGACTGGCTGCTGCTACCGCGCACGGGGGTGGACGTGCCCGAGTGGATCATCATCACATCCGAACCCATGTCGCTGTCAGGCAAGGACCCAGGCAGCAACCCAGCTGGGTCTGCATGGCAGCCACCGTTCCGCAAGGGCGACGCACCGCGATGCGGCGACGGCACACGGATGCCGTTGCCGTCGGGTGTTCCCATACGCGTGCTGCGCGGAGGTGTGCGGCCTCGGGATCCGCCCGGGGCGCTGCCGGGAGTAAGCGGTGTCCGCGGTGGCTTGCCCGCTGGATCCGCAGGCGCACCCCCGGCGCTCATGGGCGGTGTGCCCGTCGGGCCCGGAGGCGTACGACTGCCACCGCGCGAGCCCACCACTGCCAGCGCCGGCAGTGTGCCGAAGCGGCCGCTGATGGGAGGCAGCGCGTTGCCCTTGCCGCCGGCTGACGGCGGCCCGGCGGGCGATGCCTTGATGGTGATGCCGGTACCCACCGGCACGTCCTCAGCCCCGGCGCCACGGCCCCCTGCAGTAGCGCCGCCACCAGCAGCAATGTCCTCATCCACCTCGGCAAACCGCCGATGCAGCACCTGCAGCAGGGCAGGCTTGACGCCAGCACCCAGCAGCTTCTCGACCTCGAACGGCTGTCCGGCGGCCTTCCGGGTGCGGTAGACCTCCGCCACCAGCCGCACGGCGGCGGTGCGCACCTTGTCGTCGGGCATGTCCAGCGCCGGGCGTGTGAAGCGCACAATGTCCTCGGCGGATAGCGCGTCGCCTGCATTTGGAGCGGGGGTCACACCGGGGGGCACGCGGCCGGCTGTGCCAAAGCCCAATTGCTGCTGCACCTGTGGGGCAAGGCAGGCGCGTACGGATGAGGTCAGCTGTGTACGGGCAAGGGCGGAGCCAAGGTACAACTTGTTTATCTGCTTGCGAAGGCAGTAGGGACTAGGAAAGTCGCTTGCACCATACCATGTCGCATACTGCCTTTGCCAACGACGACTGCTCTTCCTGAGTATGCATGCACTACGAAGCTGGATGTGTACCCCAGGCATGCCCCCTCGGCACGTGCGCAAGACCTTACACACCTGCACATTGAGCATGCATGTGATTAGCTCCAGGCGCCCCGCCATCTGGGAGGCCGCGGCCGAGCCCTGCTGCGACTTCTTGGGTATGCTGCTGAGCGCATGCGGGGCCAGGTAGGCCAGACCCAAAGCGGGCTGGTTGGCCAGGGTCAGCAGCGCCTGGATGGAGGTCTCCTGGAAGGTGGTGGGACGCGATGGAGCGACGGAATGTCAGGCATACGTTAGCACGCCGGAACATGCCAGATGAACCAGGAAGTGCAAGTAGCAAAGTTGCAGGGCTGAGAAGACGATGTGGGTCGCAAGTAGGTACCCCTGCCTGTACTGCTGCCGTGGGCAGCGCGAGTGGCATTGCATGCGGCCGTGTAAGCGGAAACGTGACGGCACCTAAGGCCCCTAGAGAGCACAACTTGTTGCAAGCCGCTTAACAAGATCCCCACCCACATGTCTCCCAGAGCCAGCTCACCTGGATACGCGCGTTGTTGTTCCCGACCCGATGCAGCAAGGTGGGAATGAGGGGCTCTAGGCCTTGCGTGAGGACGCTGAATGGCAGATGCAGCGAGTAGCTGGCAACCAGGGTGGAAAGGAGCTCCAGAGAGGCGTAGTACAGCGGTGCTACCTTGTCTCTGGGGAAGCAAGAGCAAAAGAGGGGCGGGTGGAGCATTCAAGACGCGTCGGTTCAGGCAACATCGCTCCTTGCGAGGCAAGTCCCGTACACCAGGCTCCCAAAGCAAACTTGAGGCAATCAGTATGCGGTTCCCTGCCACCCTCACTTTAGGGACTTATCCAGCAGCTGCGTAACAGTGTTCCAGACATCCTCAGGTGACCGCTCTGCGTTCCACCGCGCGTTGCCCAAGCTGCGCATGACAGCCTGCAGCGCGTGCTCGCGTGTCTTCCAGTCCGGGGAATGCAGGTTGCGGACGATGCTCTCGCCCAGCACAGCCATCCATGCCGCAGCTTCATCGGGTACTTGCACTGCAGCCGGCAAATCCGCCGCGAGCTTGGTGCCGTCGGACTGTACCCCGACGTAGTCCATTTTCTTCGGGGCTCGCCGTGTTGGCGTCGATGCATCCTGAGGTGTTGCGCTAGCAGCACTCTGGAGCTCAGGAGTCTGCTGGTCGGGCTCAGGTTCTTCTTGTTCTTGCTTTCTTTGCTGCTGCTCATCCGCCTCCTCTTCCTGCTGCTGCGTCTGTTGCTGCTGCTCATCCGCACGCTGCTCGCTCGCCGGCTCCTCATCCACTTGCTGTTCTGCGGGCTGTTCAACCTTTTCTACGAAAGTCGTCGGCTCGCTTGCCGGTTCATCGACGGTGATAGGAGGCACGACAAGCTTGGGCCTCTGCAACAAACAAGCATGGGGGCAACATAGCTTGCAAAGAGGAATATCTTTCAGTGTGTAAGGCCTAAACGCGTTCGGAAGATAGCACATCGGCGCTTAAATACAAGTATTGCAAGGGGCTTTCTAACTTCTAAGCATGTGAACAAAATGTGACCAACTTCCAGTCGGGTTAAACCCGCACCTGCTCCTCCGACGGTGATGTCGAGGCAGGGGAAGGAGTGTCAGCTCCTGCCGAGACCGCTACTGGGCTGACTCCTAAGTCCTTCTGCCGAGTTGCTGTGTCCGGGGTAAGAGCACGTTTTATAGGGACCTCTGAAGCTGGTGGCGTTGTTCCATCAAGGCCTTCTAAGCGAGATGGTGCAGAGCCAACGGATTTTCGTTCCTCAGTCTTCTGCTTTTTGTCCTTTGAGAACAACGAGCCCATTTTCGCCTCCGCGTCCCAGCCCTGACAGTCACAAGCTCAGCCTCCAAAACTTAATAGTAATGTCTAAATAAAACAGTGATCTATGAAGTTGCAGGGCTGCAAGGCCATAGCCAGGCGCCTGCGCAAGGCGCTAGAAATGCAAAAGGAGTTTCATAGGATAAAGCTACCACAAAGCTCCAGTCAGGTTTGCCTGTGAAACTAAGCGATGTTGGCAATCTTCAACAAAACTCTACTCCGCAAATCCTAAAGAGAGTTTCATTGGTGTGTACGGCACCATGGCGACGTTCCCTCTGCCGTAGTGAACTTAGAGTGTCGAGCATCATAGCAGCAATACGCATAGCAGATGGTCCTATAATTAGCTCCTGGAGCGTGCACCGGGAGTATTGAGGGTGATAGTTGCTCCCTGCTTGCCCACAATGCCCAGGCACGTCTTGAGTTATGTTGCACCCATTCATGCTCCTACAAGCTCGTTGCTACGAATGAGTATTTCAAGCGACATTGTCAAAATGCAAGATTGGAAATTCCTCCGACGTTCGCCTCTTGCGACTCTTCCTTCCCCCGGCGCCCCCTACGCCGGTGTATTCCTTGCCTGTCCCTGGCGGACTGCCGGACTCAAGGGCTCTGGTAGAGCTATTAGCCCCTTACGCAATCACTTAAACAGCCAGCAACACCTGTTTTACTCGTACGGGTATGGGCCCCGCAGGACCCCAAGGATGGTACAACACAACTGGAGCCTTGATGTTCAAAGACTTGACGGTTCTGACTCTCCTGCCATATTCGCATCCTGTACGGTGTGTCAGCTGCATCGCAAAGGACTGCAGGGTGACATCCGGAACGGGCTAAGCACTACGATTGCATAGGGTGTTGCATGCGTGGACACAGAACAGGTTGCAGCGCTTACGTCTGCGCCTGTGCACCGCCTTCAAGGATGCCATGCATTAGACCTCCATGCTATCACTAGTTGTTCGCAATGCATACTCTCAAAAGAACCCCCAAAAAGGGACGAGCACGGGACGTCACACTTCACTGGTGCACATACGGTAGGCAGGAAAAGGGGCCCCTCGCCAAGGCGTTGCCAGGGACACAGCCCTTTTCCGCGCGGCGTTGCACATGGCACATGTCATCAAGTAAGGATCGCACCGCTCCCAAGGGGACTCGTAATGTCGGAAATCAACCACTTTTGTGACCAAGCAGCGAACCAGCGGCGCACATTGTTCCATGGCATTTCAAGGGAATAGGGCCCGACACGTCGACACAGCTTTTCATAATAGCTCTGCCGCCGTTAAAAAGGTCAGCGCACAGGTAAGTAGGCGACAGCAGATGCCGTCCCGGCAAGGTCCCCCAGTGGTTTCGCCAATAAGAGACCGTGAATGCTGGTAAGCCACAGGTTAGTGCTGCACCGTGCCAGGTGAGTCATTCGTCGATGGGCAGGTTTGCTGCCGCTCATTGTACAGGTAACAGGTAAAAGAAATGTCACCGTATGTCGTAAGAGAACCGCATACACATCACAGCACCTACACAAAAGCGGGACTACAATGCCATGCATTACCTTTAGTTCTGCTCAGAATCAATCTGGTTCCTTCTTCGACCATAATAAAGCCCATCAAGCTCGGAGATCGGGATTCAAGCGGCTTTCTTCGCGGCATATGTCCATGCCAACCCACTACTTCCACAGCTCCAGAACCACCAGCTGCCTTGCATCGAGTCCAGTCCTGCCACCAGCAGGACCGCACGGGCGCCACACACGCCATCCACCCACTACACCGAGGAAAGCTGCTGTGCAAAGCTCTTGAGCCATGCGCTGTGCTGCTGCAACAACGACCGGGCCAGGTCGACATTGCTGCCCGCCGCACCCCCATTCCCCGCTGCCGATGCACTCCCTGCACTCGCAAGCTGGGCCGCATGGGGCAGAGCACCCCGGCCTGGGGAGACGGAGGCGCGGTTGGAGACGGAGGACCGGGCGGTCGCCGCCGCGGCGGGCCCCACGTTGGCTCCAAGACCCGCGACTGCGGAGGTCGCCTTGGCGGTGAGCGCCGAGAGCTGCTCCCGCATGCGGTGGAGCTGCGAGGCAAAGGAGGGTTGGGGAGGGGTTGTCAGGCCAGGTGAAGGAAAAGGAAGTCCACATTCCACGCAGCGCAAAATATCTCCTATACATCCTACCACCGGCAGCAACCCCCTTCGGGTCGTCACGCCAACAGCACTTCACCACAGCCGAGGCCACGGTCTCTCGGGCCTTAAAGGTATTTCGTTACATTCCCCTGGTTTGAAGCTACCATATCCCCTGCGATCTCCATGCAGCCCCCCTAACCGTGCAACCCATGGCAAAGCCTGCCTGTCATATGAGTAGCCCGTTCCTTCCTCTTTACCCGCCCCCCTACCTGCTTGCTGTCTTCGTTGAGCCGGTGCACCTGCTCCTCCAGCCCCACCTTGGCGCTCTGCAGCACCGCCAGCCGCTCCTCGCTGCCTGGGCCGCCGGCGGAGGACATGACGGCCTTCAGGTCCTCCTGCGAGCAGGTGAAGACGGGGGCAGCAGGAAGGAGCAGCGTGGGTGCATGGCAGCAGCCAGATGTACTGCAGCATGTGGGCCGTACGCGGCAGTGGGGCAGCAGTGGAGCTGCGGCGGAGCGTACCTTCCAGTCTGCCCTCGCGGCTTGTAGGATTGAGGAGCGCTCCTTGAGGTATGCTTTCTGCAGCTTCAGGTACACCCAGGCCTGCGGGCGTGACCGGCCACAGGGGGAGTGAAGAGGGAGCAAAGAGGGAAGGAAGCATTGGGATCATGACAGTAACGAGGAGCGGTAACGTGCCCAGCAGACCGATGCCACCAAATGGGAAGCTGCAAGCTGTGGCATGAGCAATGAAGTCCGGCTATGCTACAAAGACAGGTTGCAGCACGCGTAGCCCCAGCTAAAGCGTAGCACTTGGCCTGGAGGTCGAAGCTGTATCGTCCTGTGCAGACTACCGGTACAGTGATGCGGAATCCCGAGATGCGGAACCCCGCCCAAACTTCTAGCACGTGCGGCAACACCCGCCTCACCCGTGACAGGACTGGGTCCTCCGCAGCCGCCTGGGGCAAGGCAGACGTCGACCAATCCAATGCCTGTTGTTGCTGTGACTGCTGCTGCTGCTGCTGCTGCTGAGGTTGCTGGGGTTGCTGCTGCTGCTGCTGAACTGCCGCAGTCAGCTGCTGCAGCTGCTGGCCGAAAGCCGCCAAGCGAAGCTGCTGCGGTGAGGCGTTGGAGGTGGCGGTAGGCAGGTGCTGCTGCTGCTGCTTTGCTTGAGCCGCAACTGTGTTGGAAAGGAGGGGGAGTTGGAGTCACAGTTGAATTCGGAGGGTAAGGAAGAACACTGTTCCTAAGTGCCAGAAGGCTCGCAAGCGGCGGTTAGTAAATAACGTGGAAAAGCAAAACGACCAACACCCACAGGATCCCCACTTACGAGGCATGAGCAGCTGCAGGCTGCGATGCAGGTTCTCCGCCAAGCTAACCAGGTCCGGGATGTTCTGAGCGCCGTTCTGAGCACCATGCGCCGCCATAGCAGCCGCGGCGTACTGCGCAGCAGCGCTCTCCGCCTGCGGCGCCGCCGCCATGCCGTACAACAGCGCCGCTTGTGGAGACATGCCGTACGGTTGCGACTGACTCACGCTGACAGCCGTACTTAACGGCAGTGGCGGTACGACAACCCCACCGCCACCGCCAGGCAAGGCAAGCATCCCCTGTTGTTGGCCCTGCTGCAACTGGTGCTGCAAGGACGATGACGTCAGCTGAGGATCGGGCGGCAGGACAAGCGGCGCAGGCGCGTTTGAAGCATGGTGGCCCGGCGGAGGCGGCATCTGTACGGCATACTGTGCGGAGGATGACAGGTACGCCGACGGCAGTGACTGTGCGTTGGGCTGGTGTAGCGAGGTGGGCAGTCTGGGGCTGAGGGTGGGCACGGGTCCGGCCCAGACCGAGGTAGACGCGTGCATGTCGTCGCCGCCGAGGGTGGTGGTGGAGGCGTTGACGGGGTTGCCGGCGCGGGAGGCGGCGGTGGTGCCGGCGTTCGGGTCGTACGGCATGCCAGGGGTGCCCTGCTGCGAGGCAGTCAGCAGCTGCGGGGGCGATTGCTGCTGCAGGCGGGCGCGGTACAGCTCGCGCTCGGCCGCAACCTGCAAGGGGGGGGCGCGGGAGGCGAAGAGCAACAGCATGCTGGTGGTGATAATGGGAGGGATTAGGTGAGCTGAACAGGGGAGGGAAGGTCCCACAGGAGAGCACAGGAGGGTTCCACATATACGGCACCGCAGCAGCCCTCCTGACCCTGCCTCTGCTGGCCCCCCGCCCCACCTGCGCCTCCACATCCGCCCGCACAGCCGCCATGCGCGACGCCAGCAGCGTGCGGCGCTCACCCTCCACCGCCTCCTCCACCGCGCGCTGCATCTGGCTGCGCTTCAGCTCCAGCAGGTCCTTACCTGCGGGAGCACACAGCATCGCGGAACAGCAAGAAGCGGCCGTGAGCGCGCGTGCGAGCACACCGGCACATGCCAACATGTGCAGTAAACCCCGAGTAGGGTCCCAAAAGCCAGGCAAACACACATGCCCCCGGACACCCCCTCCCCTGACCCACTCTGGTCGGCCACCGCCGTGTAGAGCGAGTCGGTGTCCGCGAGCTCCTTCTGCCGCCGCAGCAGCTGCGCCGCCACCCCCTCCAGCGCGCCGCTGCGATCCGCCAGCTCCCCCCGCACCGCCCGCAGCTCCGCCTGGCACGCCGCCAGCTGGGAGCGCGCGTCCTCCAGCTCGCCGTTGCGGGCCGCCACCTCAGCCTCCAGCTGGGCGCGTTGGGCCTGGGCGAGGATTGAGGGGGAGGACACGGAGGGCACGGAGATGGGTGATTTGGGTGGGGGATAAAGCAGCGGTGGGAGCCGTGCAAGGGCTGCAAACAGCCGTAGCTCGTCGACAAGTTGACAAGGTGCGCTGGTGTGGGAACCGGCTGTGGGAATGTGAAACCCGAGGAAACCCATGTACCCTTGACTCCGTCTAGGTTTGTGGAGAACCGGTTGCATGCCCTGGCAGCATGGTCATGCCCCTCGCAAACGTACCCTGAGTGCGCCGCACTGCCCCTCAGTGCGAGAGAGCTCCGCAGTGGCAGTGGCCAGCTGCGTGCGGGAGGCGTCCAGGGCGCCCCGCGCAGCCTGCGGTTTCGTACGCGGAACGACACACTGAACTAGCGACAATAAAGTATAAGAACTTATTAAAGGCTGGGTGAACGTATTAAGGTGAAATGGATTACATGTCAGCATGCCTTTTTTTGCCTGCACCACCAGAAGCTGCAGCAGCAGAGTGCGGCGGCGGTGCTTACCTCGAGCTGTTTCTGCAGGCCCTCAAATTCCAGAGTGGCTGCGCTTTTGAGGTCCTCCACAACTTTAATTTCCTGATTGAAGAACCAACAGGAGCATGCGGAAAGAGGCGAGGTCAGAGAAAACCCGAGAGGGTAAAAGGCCGCTGCACAGCTCGGCAAGACTGGCGTAGCGTAGGTTCCAACACAAACCAGGCGGACATGCAAAGTAAGTAAATGGAGCCGTATTGCTAATATGATACCGGCAGGACGAGCACAGGTGGGAGGAAAATACCGGTATGCACCAAGCCAGTATGTAATGGGTGTTTGTATGTGTGCGCACTTGCGCAGGTCCATGAAGAACCCCACTTGCCCTCTGACCTCAGCAGGACAGGGGGCGAGCTGTGCAGGGGGCAAGCTCTTCGTGTGGGGTCCTACCTTCGCCTGCAGTGCGGTGCGGGTGGTTGACAGCTCCACCGTCACCTCCTGCGGAACAGCCACCCAGGGCAACGTCACAGTGCGTTGGGTTGGGTGGTAAAGAGGAGGAAGAAACGCACGGTCTGTGCACCAGGTTGGGTGCGGCAGGGTATGCGGCCAAACAGCCGGTGTCCACCGCGTCATACAATGCGGACGGGACATGTAGGCACGAAGTGAAAAGGAAAAGTAAGGGGTACTATAGCGGCACTAAGCTGCAACATCCTCAGCTCTTCGTCGTTCACATGTGCTCGGCTTGCAGCATTGATTGTATGCACGGTACCCCCCGTGCCTTGTGCCATGTCCCTCTTTACATCAGCCGCTCCTCTCCTCCCCTTGGAATCTCCAACCTCTGCAGATTCCCCCGCTTACCGTCAGCTCTGCCTGCCGCGCCGCCAGCTGCCTGCTCACCGCCGCCAGCTCCTCCTCCCGCACGCGCAGGTCCGACGTGACGCGGGCAAGACTGGCCTGCGAGGCGGACACCTGCGCGGCCAGCTGCTCCGACTGCTCGCGCAGGGACTGTGCGGGTGGGGGTGGGTGACAGGTGGGGGTTGCGAACAGGGTGGTGGTTAGGGATGAGGGGGAGGGATAGGAGGAGGAGGGAGATCATCTGGTGGGCCAGTTTGGAAACAAACGGATACGAGACTAGTACCGCAGTACCGCCAGCAGCAGCGGTAGCAGCAGCCAGGGAAGACACGAGCACCCCGCCTACCCGCACGCGGCTCTGCTGCTCGTGATACTCCTCATCAGCAGCCTTGCGGCGCGCCTCAGCGGCCTTCAACTGTGGGGGAGGGGGGGAGATGATGGGGGCGAAGGCATGATTGATACAGCATGCCACACTGTAGCCCAAAGTGATGTGCCCTACTTGTCCGACCGGAGCTTCCCGGCGGTGCCCCATCCGCCACACGATACCAACATCCCCACCCGCACCGGACCCCACGCCTCACAAACTCCGCCACCGCCCTTTGCACACCCTTATCACCCCTCACACGCCTCCTAACCCCAGTTGTTCCCCACCCGCACCTGCTCCTGCGCGGCCTCCAGCTGCGCGCTCTTCTCCCTCAGCTCCGCCGCTTTGCCCGCCGCGTTACCCACCAGCGCCTCGAACTCGCCGCTCTTGGCCAGCAGCGCGGCGCTCACTTCTGACAGTTCCGCACGCTTGCCGCGCAGCTCCGTCTCCGCAGCCGTGAGCGCCGCGGAGTGGGCGTAGGAGGACTGTGTGAAGTTGAGCGGAAAACAATAGCAAGCACACCGGGGTTTGGACATGGACATGTTGGGATGTGAGGTGTGAGGTAAACGGCGGCGGCGGCGCAGGGGGGAGATGTGGCATGTCAGTGGCGGTGATGGTGGTGATTTGGGTCAGAGGAAACATGCCACGGCGTTGCGGTGGAAACCTTTTGAGACATGCACGAGAAGAGCTGGAGAAGGATATGGGTACAAGGGGTAACAACTGATGTGATTATGCTGGGCATGCAGCAAACTGGTCGTATATCAAAAGTGTATGGAGTATTTACGGGATGCGCAACGCCCATGTCCTCATCAGGCCCTTCCCCGTTCCACGTCCACTGTCGCACTTCCTGCCGCAACCAACTGCATGCACCACCCACCAGTTCCCGCTCGTTGTCGTGAATGGTGTGCTTCTGCTCCCGCACGCGGCTCTCCAGCTCCGCTAGCTCAGCAGCCTTGGACGCGATCTGGGTCGGCAAGCATGACAGCGACGTCAAGAGGGACACAGCTTCGTGTAAAGAACGCGATAACGACACTCAGGGAAGGATCCCAGTAATTCCCCATGAACCAAATGTAAGGGCTGCATAGGACGGTGTCGCTCACGGGCGCACAGTGTACCCGGCCGGCCGGTGCCACAGGTTGTACCCAAGCCGTTTGATAAAGCCGTGATACCGGCGGCAGCAGTTACGGGGCGTCACAGGCACACAGAACACGCACCTCTGCCTCCAGCTTGCGCATTTCTAGGGTCTTCTCCGTCATTTGCTCCTGAAGGGATGAGGTTGGTCGCGGCATTGTGAGGGCACTAATGATGAGGAATGGTCAAAATGACGGTGGGTGAGAGCAGTAGCGATACCACCTATACACCCGCATTGACCCTGAAACGTTGACACGTTCCCGGCCTCCTAGCCCGCAACCTTCATACCGCCCGCCCTCTAACCTGCAGTTTCGCCAGGCTCTCCCCGCGCAACCGCTCTCGCTCCGATGCCAGCTCGGCATCCACCTGCGTCGTACCGGGGGACAAGGGAAGCGCATGCCGTACATCAATGAACAGTGTGCGCCCGGAAACAGATGTCTTCCATTAGATTTGCTACAAAATGGCCGCGAGCCTCGGGTGTGGGTATGTGCTTGACAGGAAAAGCAGGGCCGGGTGGTACCGGCGTTAAACCGGCAAGGCGCGGCATGTTGCGGGATACGGCTCAACAGCCCAACGCGCAGGGTCTCTCGCACCCATTACACCGTCGCCATCCCTCCGTTCTCCACTACGAAGCAAGGGCATCTGTCCCGCGAACATAATTGCGACAACCGGTATGTTCTTGGCACGGCAGCACCCTATAGCAGGCCCTACAATTGACATAGCAGCAGGCCCCACAAACGAGGCCTGCGGAACAGGTTGCCCCGCCCCCACCTGTTTCTGCAGCTGCTGCTTGGCATCTTCGTACTGCCTGCTCAGCGCCTCCTGCAGCTGAGCCAGCCGCTCCTCCGCACGCCGCCGAATGTCCGCCTCGCTACTCGCAGTGCGCCGCACCACCTCCTGCTCCGACTCCTCCTCGGAAAGCGCGGCCGCAGCAGCCATCGCGGCGGCACCGGAACCCGAAGCACCAGCACCCGCAGCAGTTTCAACAGTGCCATTGCGGCGTGTGTCAGGCTGTTGCGGCTGTTCCCTGCCGTAGGGGGCCGACAAAGGGCTGCCTCCGTACGCTGACGCACCCGCGGACCCGCTCCCGTACAGCTGCTGTTGCGGGTGCTGTGACAGCGGCTTTTGCTGCTCCTCTTCCTGCCGTTTCGACGCAGCTGTGCCTGTACTCGTCGTCCGGCCTGCACCAGCCGCACGGGTGGTGGCTGGTGATGACGGTGCTGCTGCCGCTGCCGCCGCCGCTGTTGCCGTCTGCTCATGCTGCGTTGATGGGTGAGGATCCTCATTGTCATGGTCAGACGGGTACCTCCGATGATGGGTAGGTGTGAGTTTGGCATTGTCCGATCCGCCGGACGCGCCAACGGAGCTCGACGCACCCGCCGCTGCTGCAGCACCGGTGGCGACGGGAGCAATGAGCTTAGCGGATGCCACGTGACCCAGATCGTCCTTGCCGCTCACACCGTCAAATCCCGCAATCTCCTCCTGCACTCCCTCCTCAATCTCGCACCCATCCTCGATGTCATCATCATCAATGTCAAAGTCCGCAAACTCATCATCGTACTTCTTGCTGCGGCGCAAAGAGGACAAGCCGCCGCTGGCGGCCGTATTGTTGCCACCGCCACTAGCAGCCCCTGCAGCTGCCTTACCACCGAGGCCGGGGCCGGTCGCTGCAGCGCCAAGGGGCTGATCGCCCCAAGCGCCTCTAAGCCCGCTACCGCCAACGGCGCTGCCGGCAGAGCTTGCTCGGCTGCCCCCCAATGCGGCGGTAGTCGTCGCCAAGGGTGCTGGCACCAGGCCGCTGCCGAGGCCCCCGGGGCCTGCCGCCGCTCCTGCTGGGCGGGCCAGACCGGAACCGGACGTCGGCGACAAGCCACCTTCACTGTTGCTGCCGGCGGAGCTGCCGCGCGCGCTCAGAGGCTCCAGTCGAGAGGGGAGCGGCTCCAGCTGCACGCCTGCGGCGCTGCCACGCAGGTTGCCACCCGTGCCGAGGCCCAAGCCGCTGCCACCTAGTCCACCGCCGCCTCCCAGGGGTTGCAGCCGCTGCGGCTTTGGACCCTGCTGTTGCTGGGGCTGCTGCTGTTGTTGGGGTTGCGGCTTTGGTTGCCCTTGTTGTTGAGGCTTTTTCTCCAGAGACGCACCAGCAAGAGGAAGATTGCAGCCGTCCGGCAGATCAAGGTCGTCCATGGCGGCAGTGAGGGAGCTGTGATGGGGCAGGGGACAAAAAAGGGTTGGAGGGACAGGAATGGGGTTTGCGGCTTCAGTCGCACGATAGAGTCAGGCGGGTGGACTACAAAGCACAGACCAATCTCGAGGCAATGGCAACCCCACCCCAAACAACAACCCACCTGACGCTCGATGAGAAACTCTGCAGCGACGATTGCTCCATATCGCCGCACTCCTCACGCCTCTGTGACTGCTGCTGGGGCTGCTTGTTCAGCGTCGCGCCGGCCTCTCTGCTCTCTCCTCGCTCCGTGGCGTCTCCTGGTCCCATATCCCATCCCGACCGCTGGGCTACTGCGCCGCCGCCGCCACCGGGACTGCTCCCACCTGCCGCTCCAGATCCCGCAGACCTGGCAGGCTTAGCAGCCTCGAGAGCGCCGCTGCTGCTGCTGCTCGTGCTGCCACTATCAAGATGGGCTCCTACTTCGAAATCGAATTCATCCTGCGACGCAAGGTTAGTTCCATTGCAAAGGGTTGACATGAAGGAAAGCAGTCACGAGATGCGCTGGCAGTGTTGTAGGCGTTTTCGGGCAACGAACAACGGCACCGCTGCGCCAGGACGATGTTCTTTTGTGTGCGCGAGTATCCGTGCTGGTGCATGGGGCGTAACCCAAAAGGAGCAGAAGGGAAAGCATAAACGTTTCGGACTCAGCACAACAGTCGGAAGGGGAAGGCGTCATCGCAATGGAAAAGGATGAAAGATGAGACAGACGAAGTCGCTGGTGTTGATGGAAGAGGGAAGAAGGGGAAACACGGGTGGGCATCGGTAGAACCGTACCCAAGGGGGTACAGCACACTCGCCTGCTCCTCGAAGGTCACCGACTCCCGAATGAAGTCCTGCGGGAAGCAGCGGGGGAACACAACAGGGGCAACAGGCGCTCATTCAAAGGAACGATGGACGTTACGGCGAGGATGACATGCCGCATGTCGCCTGGGGTGTACGTGTGCAGCTATGACTGCCGTCAGTACAACACCACTGCAAGGCGCAACGAGAAGTTGTGGAATGCCGGCCCAACTGAACGCCATTCCTACCGCCATTCCAATTCAGCCTGCACTCACCGACGCCTTGGAACTGCTGAGACCCAGGGGACTGGGCACCTTTGTCTCCGCACCCGTGCGCTTGAGGATGCCCCGCTGTTCAGGAGTATGGGAGGGCTGCTTGGCTTTCGTCGCTTGCAGCTTCGCCTTCTCCTCCTGGTACACCTTCCTGAAGTGGGATGGCATATGGCGACATGAGGTGGGCGCAATGGGGTGCAGGCAACGGCTTTGGAGTAGGGGGGGACAGCGTGGGGGCAAGTAGGTTGGGGAGGGGAATTCGAAGGGGCCTGGGAGTATGGAGGTTGGTTCCATGAGGGCGGTAAGGAAAGAGTGGTCAGGCCTTAACGCTCAGGGACTTACCGGAAATGTTCATCGCATGGATGGTCCCATATGCTTTCGCCGGAATTGAAGTTGAAGTAGTAAATATCACCCGTGGGAGTTTTGCAGGGTTTCCAGCCATCCGGTAGAGGCGACTTCAAGCCCTCACGCGCAATCCAGAACAACTCCTACATGAGAAAGGATATGCGTAGGTTAATACTGTGCACTGAAGCCTCGCTTAGATTTGCGTTGCTTGCGAACATCAGCATCTCCGTCTTATCTGCACCTGGCAACTTTGTCTCACCTTTTCCGTTTCTGTATCAATGCCAAGCCACTGTGCATACTCCAAGATTTCTGCATGTGTCACGAAAAGGCTTCAATGTTATCGATGCTATTTAGGTGAACCAAGCGCCCAGAGAAAGGCCCATAAGCTTGCTGACCTTGCTCGTTTGGTTCGTAGTTCTCATCTATCTCCTCCTCTAAGACGACCTGGCCATCGGGCATAACCTCTCCAGCCATCCTTCCTTGCCGGAAGCACCAAAGGACTGAGTTACGTCGGTGAAGACATAGCGCTTCGTCGCTATTATGCTATTGAAATCATCTAGCTATTTGGGTTATTCTTCGTCGCTGCGCTTCGGGGTCAAACATTGACCAGATGGACTCCCATGCAGTCATGACCGTCATGCTTGGATTCTGCTGGTATGCTGCGCAGTGAAATAATCGTAAAGATGGACTGATAAGTGTTGTATTTACTTATTCGCTTGTTACAGTGTTAAGGAATTCACCGTGCTGGATAAGCTCGCGCCCCGCCGTGTCCACACGCAGGCGGCCTACCAACCAACACGAACGGGGCGCAAGACATATGCATGTCGTTCTTTCCTGCTAAGGAACTTATTTTATGTCTCTAATGGTCAGGCGTCAACCACTGCGCCAAATCAAAACGCCTTGCTGACCCATGGATGCGCAAGCCAGTAACCTTTCAAGAGCCCATCGCAGGCTAGATTGGACGTAGCTTGGCGTAAAAGCAAGTCGTCGTAGGCCCGTGTTGCTGCACATACCGTCATACCCCCTCATATACCGTACATGAGGCAGCATATGGCTTGCACTTGACAACACGCCGCCCTCCTAAGCACCCGAAGCAACGCGGGCCAGGTGACGAATGCCAATCCATGGAAAGAATGTCCAAAAAGATTCGCCTTGAGCCCCCGGTCAACTTATGCGGCCCTCGGAGAAGCAAACCTAGAGTGTGACCCATGGGCCATTCACAGCTGCAATTGCGGGGCCATTCCTCCGGTGGGGTCCGCCGCACTAGGGGCAACCAGGGGTGAGCAATAGGTGCATGTGGTGGATGCACATACGGCTACCTGCTTCACCTGGAAGCGACTAGGCAGCATCACGGCAGCACAGATGTGTACATTGCATGTGGGATGCATGCCAAGGCCTACACAAACCCTGTACGGGGAGCACGATGAGCACAACACCTTCTGCTTCAATCCTCTCCAACTGCCCTCCGTGACATGATTGAAGACATAAAGAGCCATCCGTTATCCACTGCATGCACACGAAGCTCATCAACTATTGGCCCGCACTTCTGCTGAGCTGGAGTACCGGAAGTAGTGCTTACCGGTACCTCCCAGCCAACCAGGACTGCCTACCCCAGGCATCCTTGCAGCCTTTTCCTTGCCAGTCAGGGCACCTCAGCAGGTCGCCTCGCCACAACCAACCCCAGCACCCCCCCCCTCCGCACACATGCATACCCCCTATGGGGACTTCATCTCCTGGCAACCATAGTACGTTCCGACTCGCGGCCAGTTTTCTTGACATACCCCCACCGCTGCCGTGGCACGTCCCGGGTCGCTCACTTCTCCACGGGCAGGCCCTGGGCTAGCCACAGGTCGAAGCCGCCAGTCACGTTGGTGAGGGAGGTGTAGCCCGCCTGCGTGCGTGGGTGCGTGCGGCGGGGGGGGAGCATGGGGTGGCATGCCAGGAGGAGGGAGAGGCAACCTGCGAGGCGGAGAGAGCAATGTCCCTGCTACAGTACTACTGCTCTTACCCCAACTACCGGTAGGTGCCGCCGTCCCTGGGTCCCCGCGAACCCACCCCTACCTAACAGGGCTTGTCAGCAATTTGTGCCATTATCACACCACACATTGGAATTTCTTTTTTTTACCCCTACCTACCGTACCGGTCAAGCGCACCCCCCGCCCACCCTGTCCCCCCACCTGCGACAGCGCGTCAATGGCCATCATCGACCTCCGACCCGACTTGCAGCCCTGGAGTGGTGGAGGGAGGGAGGCGCGGGGGAGGGGGTGCACGGGGACGCGTTACGAAGGGGGGGAACAGGGGTCCGCGGGTTCGGGGCCTAGTTCATGACCGCCTTTTCTGAACTGTAGCCGTGGACCCCTGCAGGACCCTTACACGACCGAGACCGCACCTCCCTTGCTAGCCGTCCACCGTCTTAAACCACACCTCCCCTCTCCCTTCCTCCTCCCTCTCCTCCCTCTCCTCCTTCTTCCTCCCTCTCCTCCTCCTTCCTCCCTCTCCTCCCTCTCCTCCCTCCTCCTCCCTCTCCTCCCCCCACCCCCCTCACCACCAGCAGCGCCGCCTGCTTGTCCGGCAGCTGCGCCGCCACCCCCGCCAGGAAGCCGGGGTTGGGCTGCATGCCGGGGGGGAACACCACGGGCACGTTGAGCGCGGACGGCGCGTGGCCGGCGGAGAACTCTTCAACCGTGCTGCCCGGGAGGGAGGGGGCGACAGAGAGGATCCAAATGAAGTGGTGGGGGGGTGGGGAGGAGGGGGAGGTTAGCGCGCTAACAGAGAGCGTGTGGGGGTAAGGAGGAAGCTAGTAACCACTAGGAGAGGTGAGTGCGAACAGGGACACCTGCAGAGCGGTTAGGGTGTCATTAGCAAGCTCCTGACAGTGTGGCTTACCGTACGTCCAGGTACTTTATGCCCTCCTCCTTCATAAGTTGGTAGGCCTCCGCAGGCGTAGCATCCTTAGGCTGCATCGCAGCACACGATACGTGCAAGCGGCGAACCGCGCGGTAGCGCCTGCATGTTTCACAAATTGCTTCAGTAGATTCCTCAATAAGTTGCGGAATGAAGAAACGCAATTTGCCCACCCCGTCGATAGTAGGGCACGTTGAGCGCGAGGAGCTAGGCTCAGCATTTCGCTATTGTTTATTAAAGAAATACTTTGCTGTGAATGCCTGTGCTGCAGACACTCTTTCAGGGGCGTTGGCGAGGCGAAGTCGCTCCAACTTGCAATGGTTGTGGACGAGCATCTCGTGAACCATACACGCAATACCAAAGTACGCACTCAGTCCTGCACAACCATACAACATATATCACTAGATCAGCCATACTAAAGCTATAACATTGCAATTCTGTGTCCCTGTGCAACACCCTACCTTACACCATAGCATCGTCAGCCTACCACAGCCTTCTCTCTGCAGCACTCCTACCCTTCAAACCGATAGGAATCAAGCCCTTTTCAAGAGCGACTTCACAACTATAGGTAGTGCCTAAGTCGTGCGTGTCCTCTAAGCTTGCCGTCAAGATGGCGCTGCAGCCATGGACGCTACGCCATACATATAGACCCCGCGGTCGCGTTGTAGCTTCCTGCTCTGCAAGCAATCGCTTCAAGCTGCGAGCTGTTGGAGGTTGGTCGCGTTCGTTGGGGTTAAATGCCATTTTCTCGCAGCCGTATCCACCAATGTCACTTTACATGTACTGGAGCGAACATCTCTCAACTTACACCGCACCCTTATCACCTGGCATTGCCTGGTTAACACCGTTGTTCCCATACACACCTATCCCCCTCCCAAATTGCCCTTCCACCCACGCGCCCACCCAAGCAGGTGTTGCTGCCGTACCTGCCGTACCCGCACTGCTGCACACCCATTTCCCCAGCCGCAACCCCAGCCGCGACAGTGCCGGTGGCGGTGTCGCCTCAATCCGCCGGAGGGGCCTGCCTCTATGTCGCGCGGAGCAGCAGCAGCAGCAGGGGCAGGGACAGCAGCAACTGGGAGACAAGGAGGATGTTGGGGAGCAGGAGGAGATGTCGAACAAGGCGCATCCAACTAGCGATGGCAATGGGGTGGGCACCGACACCGCTGCTACAATCACCACCACCGCCACCACCGCCACCATCACCCCCGCTGCCGCCGCCTCCTCCTTCCCTCCCGAGCTGCTGGAGGGAGAGGAGCTGCCGTACAGGGAGCCCGACAGTACGGCAAAGTTCTGGACGAGCTTCAAGCTGGCGTTTGCGCTGCCGTGGCGGCGGTTCAAGAAGAACTCCGTGCTGTCATTCAAGGTATGTGGTAAAGAATAATGTGTACGGCAAGCAAATTCCTCTGATGTGCTTTTTGTGTTGTTTGTGTTTTGCTTTTGCCGTTTTAAAGTGGCGTTGCGTTGGTGGTTGTGGTGGTATTGATGGTCCCCGGAGAGCCCTCTGCCAAGTTGCCTCGAACCTGTCGCGCCCATACGCCGGCTTGCTTGCACACCTAGCGCCACTGGGGTCCACACGTGTACATACATGGGGTCCCGGTCATACGTAAATATCTGGATATGATCCCCCTGCGCCTCCCTTGCTGGTACACCCCTTGCCTGCATGCTACCGGTAGCTCCCCCTCTGTAACCCATCACCCCCGCCCCCCTTGCTTCAGTCCCTGCCCCCAACGCCCTGCCATCCTTACCCTGCACTGCAGCTGGAGGGGGAGGTCAGCGACCAGCAGCGCTCCTTCTTCGACCCGGGGCTGTCCATGCCGGCACTGTGTACGGCAATGCGCAAGGCGGCTCTGGATCCACGGATCCAGGGGCTGGCGATTGAGATTGGGCCGCTGGGGGTTGGGTGGGGCAAGGTGCAGGAGATCAAGAGGTGGGGGCAGGCAGGCAGGCGGGCAGGCAGGCGGATGGGTTGTAGACTGGGTTGGTGCTGGGTGTCGGGAATGCATGTTACATGTACGCTCCCATCCACCCAACTGCCCGCGCACATGTGGCATCCCCTGCCCGCCCCCTCCCCGTCGAAGCCCTTCCCCCTTTCCCATGGTTTCCTGTGGTATGATATGGTCCTTGCCCCCCTCCCACCCACCCCACCCACCCAACACGCAGGCACATCGAGCACTTCCGGTGTTCCGGCAAGTACGTGGTAGCCTGGATGAAGTCGGGTGGCGAGAAGGAGTACTACCTGGCTTGTGCGTGCAGCGAGGTATACGCGCCGCCCTGTGCCGCCGTCAGCCTGAGGGGCTTCGTGACGGGAGGTGGGTGGGGTCAAAGACCATACCATACCATAGGGGGAAAGGGGGGTCAAAGACCATACCAAACCAGAGGATAGGGAGGGTGGTAAAGGGGAAACAACGAACTGACTGAGGGATAAGGCGTCAACATGGGGGGTGGGGGGTGGGGGGTTTCGGGTGCGTGTGGGGGTGAGGGGTGGGGTTACTGTAACGAGGTGTACCCGCAGCGAGGCAAATATGGGTGCCGTGACACCGGGTATGCAGGTAGGGTTACATCGATAGGGACGTAGCCAACATAGGGTCGTATGTTGGGTATGTGGGATACGGAGCGATGATACCCATACCCTCCCTGCCCCCCCTGCCCCCCCTGGCCCCCCTTCCTCCAGGTTCCTTCCTGCGCGGCGTGCTGGACAAGGCGGGTGTTGAGCCGCAGGTGGAGCGCATTGGCCGCTACAAGAGCGCGGGGGACCAGCTGCTGCGGCGGGACATGGCGCCGGAGCAGCGGGAGCAGCTGGGGGCCATACAGGTGCGTGGGGCGGGGGGTGGGTCAATTTTTGGACCAATTAAACCCAAAGAAAAACCAAAAAAGAAAAAAGCAGGCAGGGGGAGGTGGGGGAGGGGTTTGTGGGGAGAGAGGTGCTAGGAGGGTAAAGAGGAAATCACCACCTAACCCCTCCGCTGCCCCCCCCCAACCCCCTCCAGGCTGATGTGGTGGAGGAGTGGCTGCGACACGTGGCGGCAGCCCGGGGCAAGACACGGGAGGTGGGTGGCGGGGTGGGGTGGGACATGGGAGGTGGGTGGGGGGTGGGGCTGCATGCGGCATGATGTGAGGCCAGCGCTAGCGTGCCGCATGCATGCATTGCATGCATGCAGACACCCCCTCCGTGACAACGCGACGATGCAAGCAGCCGGCTTGCAACCAACCAACAAACCCTTTGCACGCCCCCCGCAGGAGGTCGTTGCGTTCGTCGAGGAGGGCGTGTACGACATGGCTCGGTTCAAGGAGGGCGGTTGGGTAACCGATTTGTGGTACGAGGACCAACTGATTGAGGAGCTCAAGATGCGGACCACGGGTGGGCGGTTAGAGGTGGTTGGAGGTGGTTGGATACGGTTAACGAAACCGGGCTCATAGCAACACCCCCTCTGCTTCATCATCACGTATTACCACTCTCCATTACCGCTCCCCGCTCCTCCAGGATTCCTGCCTGTACGGAATATATAAAATACATACCCACCTCCTGCTACCCCCCGCCCCTCCGTTGTTATCTTAAACCCCCCCGCCTTGTCGTACAGCTCGTCAGTTGCTTCGTCGATGTCTCATTATATATACTTTTACCCCGCCCTGCTGCTGTGTATGCCCCCAGGCCTGCGCCCCCGGGATGGTGAGAGCGAGGGCGAGGTGGCGGCGCGCGAGAAGGAGCTGTCCAAACCGCTGCGGCGGGTGGGACTGCGGAAGTACGGCAGCGTGGATCCGGGGGCGTTCGGGCTGGGCGGGGGCGGCGGGGGCTGGGGGCGGGGAGGTGGCAAGAAGATTGCCGTACTGCGGACCTCAGGAGCCATCCTGGGTGAGTGGGGGAGGGGGGAGGGGTTGGAGGGGAGGTGAAGGGGGGCGAGAAGGGGGTGTAAGAGGGGGTGCGAGAGGGGCCCTGGCACCCTACCTACCTTCGGTAACGCACGCACCTGTCACCCACCCCACCAGTCGGGACATTGGTTGCTTCATTCTTAACCCCCATCCACCGCACCCCACCCCCCCTTCTCCCCCTTCCTCCCTCCCCCCAGGCAAGTCCTCGGGTGCGGGCGGCTCCAACATCACCCCCGACTCCGTCATTCCCAAGCTGCGAGCGCTGGCCAGGTGGGCGGCTGGCGAGCAGTGGGGGGGTGGTGGGGACACGTCTCCACCCCTCCCCCTGCCCCCTGCTCCTCCCCTGCCTTCCGCATCTATCTTTCTGCCCATAAATCCTGACCTTCTCAATCCTAAACCCTGCAGCCCGCAACCCCTCCCGCCGGTGTTCTATGGTCACGTCCCTCCCCTTACCTCCTTACCTCCTTACCTCCTTACCTCTCCCCCCCCTCCCTCAGAGGGATGAGTCGGGATATGGGATTGGGATTTGTTGTTTCACTTTTATATAATTTTTTCTCCCCCAGGGACAAATCGGTTGCCGCTGTTGTCCTGCGTATCGACTCCCCGGGCGGCGACGCGCTCGCCTCCGACCTGATGTGGCGCGAGGTGGTGGCGCTGCGGGGCAGGAAGCCGGTAGTGGCCAGCATGGCGGATGTGGCGGCCAGCGGGGGGTACTACCTTGCAATGGGGGCGAGGTAGGTGCGGGTAGCGGTTGGCTTTTGCCGCTCTCGGCGGACTAGGGATGAGTAGGGTAGTAAGCTGCCGCTGCTCCCCCTCCCGCCCCCGCACCCTTTCAACCCCCCAACCCCAACCCCAACCCCCCCATACACAGTGCCATCGTGGCCGAGCCGCTCACCATCACGGGCTCCATCGGGGTGGTCACCGGCAAGTTCAACCTGGCGCAACTGTACGACAAGATCGGGTGAGGGAGGGGGGAAGGGGTATGCCGTACACACAGGGTGTGGCACGCAGGGTGTGAACACGTAGGGCGTGTAGCTGCCGGCTTCCTTGGGAACGATTTGGTTCCTCTCCGACCCCACCATGCCTCTCCTCCACCTCCCACCCCCCCTTCCCCTCCCAGCTACTCCAAGGAGCTCATCAGCTGGGGCCGGTTCGCGCAGCTGCTGGCTGACAACCGGCCCTTCACGCAGGAGGTGGGGAAGGGGAGGTGGGAGGTGGGGAAGGGGAGATGGGAGGTGGGGAGGGGGAGGTGGGAGGTGGGGAAGGGGAGGTGGGAGGTGGGGAGGGGGAGGTGGGAGGTGGGAAGGGGAGGTGGGAGGTGGTAACATGTGCACCAAGTTAACCTGCTGCCCACGTCCCCCCCCAGGAGGCGGCCCTCTTCTCCGCCGCCGCCCAGCATGCCTACACCTCCTTCCGCGACAAAGCCGCAGCCAGCAGGGGCATGCGGCAGGAGGAGATGCAGGCGGTGGCGCAGGGGCGGGTGTGGTCGGGGACGGCGGCAAAGGAGGTGAGGGGTGGGGCGGGGGTGTGAGACGGGGGTTGAAAGGGACTTACCGGTACTTGCCCCCTTCATTCCTTACTTCTTCTCTTCCTTACTTCTTCTCTTCCTTACTTGTCCCCTTCCTTACTTGTCTTCTTGCCCTCTTCCCCTCTTCCCCCCCCCCCCCAGGTGGGTCTGGTGGATGCACTGGGCGGGCTGCAGCGGGCGGTGCGGCTGGCGGCACACGCGGCGGGGCTGCCCCCAGGGGAGCAGCCGGCGCTGGTGGAGGTGGGGCGGCCGGCGGCACCCTCGCCCGCAGCACTGCTAGGTGGGGGTGGGGGGGGGGAGGTGGAGGGGGTGGGGCGGAGTGGGGCCAAAGATACGTACCAAACCATAGGAGTCCACACACATTTGGAAGCATAGGAAGCATAGCAAAGCAGTGGGCGCAGGGGCAGGGTCGGGGTTCCGGGCAGCAGGGCAACAGGAACTTGGGTTTCTCCTTCCTTCTTATCCCCGCTTCCCTCCTGCCCCCCTCCCAACAACATGCACAACAGGCGCCGGCGCCATGACACTCCTGGGGATGATGCTACCGCGCGCCGCCTCCTCCTCCCCTGCCGCTGCCGCTGCTGCTGCCGCTGCCATCTCTGCCCTGAGCGGCAGCGGAGCCCCTAGCAGCAGCAGCAGCAGCGGCAGCCTTAGCAGCAGCAGCAGCACTGCGCAGCAGCTTGCCGCCCTGGCCTCCGCCGTACTGCTTCAAGAGCCCGGGCGCTGCGCCTACCTCATGACTGACGTGGATGCTACATCCGTAGCTTGCAGCAGCAGCTGTAGCAGCAGCAGCGGTATGAGTGGTACGGCAGCAGCGGTTGGGTCGCTTATGGGTGGTGGTTTGGGTGTTGGTGGCGGTGGTGGTGCGTACGACAACGATTATGGGTTTTTGTCGGAAGGAGAGCAGCAGCAGCAGTGGGGGGAGGTTGGAGGGTTTCTGGGCGGGATTCTAGGGAATAGGTGGTGGTGGTGGTGATGTAGACAGAGGGGATAAAGAGGTTGTAACTATGGAGTGAACTAAATGAGCGACTAATGGTGATTGTCGCGGTCGTTACGGCGGTTGGCCTGGCGAGTTGCCGTACGATCTTTACTGTGAGTAAACACAGGAATGTAATGTTGTAATGGCGATACAGGCGATTTGAGGAGCGGCTGCCCCGCTTTCTTGTGGTGACTTCATACTTTTTATGACGGGGGGAGGGTTAAGGACGTAGACAAGTGGCGGTGGATGAAACTGCATGTTGGAGTACGATAGTTCCTTCTTTTGGGGTTATGACCCATGGGTCACTCAGCGTGGTTAAGAGCACATGTGTTTGTTCACAAGCGTGCCAGCAGCAGGTTGTGGGGTTGTGGTTGCCGTAATTGCAAGGATTCTCTGTGTGTCGGTACGCATCCGTACACCCATCCGTACACGCATCAGTACACAACCCGTACCTTGATGGGTGTACGGATGATCTATGGGTTTACGGATGTCGTCTCGTGTGTTTGTACACTTCCTGCGTACGTACACAATTTTAGAGAAAGAAATTTGCGGAGAACAGCATTCTCGCTCAGACCTTGACAAACCCCGCTGATGTAATCCTCCTCGCTCTTACATGGACGGGGCGGCACTCAGGCGGACGCCGCAAAGGTTAGAAAGGTGCGTGGCGCGGTAGCCTCGGTTAACCATCGTTAGAAATCACTGTACGTTTGGCTACATGTTTTGCACACGTTCTACGGCAGAACAGTACGATACATCGAGACCGCGGCAGCCCGCGAAATGCCGGCTGCGTGCCAACTTTGCAGACGGAGCTCATTATCCTGGTTGCATCTGCCCGTCGGAAGTACTCCCAACGGCAAGGAACTGCTTGCAAGACGTAATGAAGGCATGTTCCTAAACCTCCCTGTCCTTTATTTGCTGACGCCGCCCGCAGCAATTGAACATGAGGCTGTTCCATGTCTGTAGTTCACGAGTAACTCCACGGCCAAAGAGAAAATTGAGGACCTTGCTTTGTCTAAAAACTAGGTCAGCATTGCTAATCCTAACCTAGATTTCAGACAAAGCAAAGTGTGAAACCCCGTTATAAGGCGCTTCGAATGGACTTCCCTGCTCGCCAGCAATATTGCATTCCAATTTGCATGCATTTGCCAAGGACTAAGCTCTCCGGCAAGCAGAGTTAATTCGCGAACAGCAAACCAATACGAATTATATGTACGATATAGTGTATTGTAAAGAGTCGCCCCGAGAAAAACACATTAGTGGGTCACTTTGACAGCTAACCGCAAAAATGTAAAAATGAGCGAGCGTCAACGCGCTTAATTCCATCTTGTAAGCATAATTGATAAACGTCATTATTTGAAATCAGGCGAATACAGTGTTCCGTATGGGTGTAGAGCCGTAGGGCCCACCGTTGCTACTGCACAGGTTCCCCTTCTCTCTTAGCCAAATAGTCCCAAATATTGATGGATTACACATTTTAGCTTTATGCCAGGGGTCCCTTAGAGTTTGTGTTACGCTGTCGCGCCTTGGCACATTTACTTATCAGTGACACCCAAATCCGATTTACAGGTTGGACTCCCTAAACATTTGAAAGTATGCAAATGGAGGAATAACCACTAGTCCGCTAACGATACACGGGGCTTCTTTAAAAGGTTGTCGGTTGGAGCGACGACGGGATGGACGGCGCGAGCCCCCGACTCAGCCATGCACTATTAAGCTTGCATCATGCACAAAGTATGTCGCCTATGGCGTCGCCAAGGATAGGCATGTCACCGCGAACCCAGGCAAAGACGATGGAGAAGCCGCTGGATTTGGGTGCGTGCTTGTTCGCTTATTATAATCCAGTTGTACACTTAATTGGTTAAATGGTGTGCATCGCGCCATCGTGCAAATGTTCTTAATAAGCTGTTACTTACCGACTGCTTCCCGCCTGCTGCTGCGCTGCACAGTCCAACAGCACATGCAACGCTTTGAGGAGTGCCTTCAAGAGCCTGACCTTCCCAGTGTTCATGCTACAAGGCAAAAGAATGCAAGGAACGCGGGCGAAGCCTACAGTCCTATGTCGAAGGGCTCAACGGACGCCCATGCCAATCAGGCAAGTCGTGCGCTTTTGGACAGAATAAAGACCTGACACAGCGCTTCAATAGATATAATCGAATTTACGGTAGAACGTATATTTGCGGGGCCTTTGCTGCTACGTGCGACGTTTCGACTACTGTGCATGTCCCACATCCACAGCGGACAGCGCGGAGCTTCACTGCAACCAGGTCCTTCGTGGATTCCAATGCTCCGATCACCCCCACTTCAGGCCCAAATCTGAACATCTTACCGCCTGCTGACACGTCCCCTTCCCACCGCTGCAACCGCAGGCCTTCACGCCCGGCTCAACCGAGCGGCGATCAGGCGCGGTGGAGGGCGCCTCCCCCCACGGCGCCCTGCCGCCCCCCGTGCGCCCCGAGCTGCTGGAGGCTCGGGCCTGCAAGTCGCTGACACTTGGGGAATACATGGCGGTGAGCAGGGAGGGGGGGCAATGACCATACCAAACCATAGGAAACCACAAGTTAGGGCAGGGGGGGGGGGGTAGAAGGTGTATAATAGAAGTGAGGCACTCTAGTGGTGACCCCCCTTTTTCGGAGGGTAGGGTGCTGCTCTATGGAGCTACTCGCAACCAACCGCCTGGCAAGAGGGAGGTGAAAGAGGCAGGCCAGGTCGCGACCGGGAACACCGGTGTTCCCGGCTGACTGCCCACATTACCGGTACGGCACCAACTCCCGCCCCCCAACCACCCCCCAACCACCTCCCAACCATCTCCCAACCGTCACCGCAGAAGCTGGATCGTGCCTTCCGCCGCGCCAAAGCCGCCAGCAGCACCCCACACAACAACCGCAACAACTCCTCCGACCCCCTCAGCGTGGACAGTGGCGCCGGCGGCGGCGGCGAGCGCAAGCTGAACCGCCCCAACGCGCCCGCCTTCACCAGTGACATTGCGGAGCTGCGGGGCAGCAGACGGCTGCGGCAGTACATTCGGCGCCGGAAGCGGAAGGGCGTGACACCGCTGGACCGTGAGTTGGACCGTGGCGGGGGGTCGTGGAGAAAAAAAAGATATAGGGATGGGGGGATGGAAAGCATGGTGGAATACTGGCGAATAAAGGAGGAATGTGGGTTTCTGTACACGCTGGCCTACTGCTGTCGTCGTCCTGCAACCTTTTCTTGCCGCGATCATGCCCCCAATCCTTCTGATGGGTGTATCGTAACCCCATGCCGATTGTCTGCCTGGGGCTCGACAGGGTTTCCTCTTGCTTCGGACATACCGGTACTCCTTCTTCCTCCCTCACCCTCCCTCCCTCTCCCTTCCTCCCTCGCCCCTTCTCTCCTCCCGCCGCCCTCCTTCCTACTCCCTGGGTAGTCCTCACCGACATTGCGGAGGGCCAGGAGCTGCTGCGGCGCTACCAAGAGCACCAGCAGCACAGCCGCCTGGCAGCAGCGGGCAGCGTTGAGGCCGATGAAGAGCTGCTAGACCACTCAGTGGACAGCAGCATCATCCTGGCAGCAGCAGCCTCAGCAGCCGCTGCGGCGGCGGCGGCAGCCGTCAACGCCGTGGTCGACTCCGCAGCCGTTGCCGCCGCCGCTCCCGGCGGCTCGTCAGCGGCTTCCGCGACCGCTAATAATCCCTTGCAGGGCACTACTGCGAGCCTGTTGTCGGGCTTTGGGTTTCCGGAGAATCTGCTGACTACGGGGTTTGAGCCCGCATTGCCCACGCCGAGTGGCAGCGCCTCTGCCTCCGAGGCGGGGGATGGAGGGCAGCAGCAGCCGCGCTATCGAGCGCTTCCGTACACGCCACGGCTGGGGCCCCTGTCAGCGCTGCGCACAGCTGACATGAAAGCTGCGGAGTTCAGGAAGACTGAGAGGTTGATAAAGGCGCGCCGGAAAGCCAAGGAGCAACAGCAACAACAGCAGCAGCAGCAGCTGATGATGATGGATGACGGCAGCATCGTCAGCAGGCCATGCACGCCTATTTCGGAGCAGCAGCAGCAGCAGCAGCCAAACCTCAAGACAGATGCAAATAGCAGTAATGGCCATAACACCAATCCAGCGGCAGCAGGAGCAGCAACAGCAACAGCAGCAGGTGCTAAGCGGGTTTTGCAGTGGCCAGTGGGGCCCGGTGGCAGCAGCAGCAGCGTCGGCAGCACCCGCAGCCTCCGCGGGGCCACTGCAAGCGGCGCCACCGCCACCGCCGCCGCCAGCCTCGCCAACGGCGCCGGCGCCGGCAGCAGCAGCCGCAACCTCGCATCACAGGCCGCAGGCGGCTGGCGGCGAGACGCCTCCGCCGCCTCTAGCAGCCCCACACGGCCCTCCTGGACTCGGTCACGGTCTTGGACCACCACCGCCGCCGCTGACCCCTCTGTCACCTCCGTCACCTCCGCCGCCGCCGCCGCCGCCGCTGCTGGCGGAGGCGACAGCGCCAACTCCACCCCTCGTACGGAGATAACCCACTCCCACCCGCTCTACACCACCAGCAGCAGATCCCTGGCGGCGATTCCAGAGCGCATGTCGCCACAGCGCTTCCGAACAACCGCCGCCGCCGCCGCTGCTGCCGCTGCGTCGGCGTCAGCGTCGGTGAAGTTCCCCGCGGAGGAGGTGCTGACTGCTCAGGGCAGTCTGGGCAGCGGCCGCTCGCCCCGGACGGCCTCCCCCGCGCAGCAACCGGGGCTTCGGCGGCGGGCGACGATTGCGGATGCGGTTGTGGGTTTGCCCGCCGTTCGTCGGCAGCAACAGCAAATGGGATGCGCTGCCGTCGGCGGCGGCAACCGCGGTGAGGGCGATTACGCGGCGTCAGTGGCGGCGTCTGACGTGTCATCCATTCGGTCGAGCAGGTCGGGACGGTCGCTCGTGGCGGACTGGGCGGCGGCGGCGGTGGCGGCGGCGAACGCCGCCGCCGCGGCGGAGGACCCTGACTTTGTGGATCGCTCGCCGTTGGTCGACGTGTCCGCCAGCGGGGATGCAGCGGACGTCGCCCTGATGAGGAGCAGGTACAGCCCGAGCCCTGCGCCGTCGTCATCGTCCGCCGTCTTCCACCTTGCGTCAAGCAGGAGCTCCCCGAGGGTTGCCGTACAAACGGCGGCGGCGGCACATGCCGCCGGAGGCGATGACTCAGCCTCCGCTCCGCTGGTGCCCACGACACCGGTGCTGGGACATGGTGCCAACAACACCACCTCAGCCGCGTTGCTACCGCCGCCGCCGCCTGGCTCAATGCCCCGCAGCAGCAGCACTACGGCGTCTCCGCTGATGCTCCTTACAGAGGCCGAGCTGGCGGCAGCACGTGCCCGGGCGCCCGTGTTACCGCCGAACGCAACAGCTGTTTCGTCCTCGCCGGCGTTGTTCCCAGCAGCAGCAGCAGCAGCAGCAGTGGCCTTCCGGGAGAAGAAGTCAGGACAGGACAATTTTGGTATCGAGGCAGACCCCGCCTCTGTTCCCTTCTCTCCTCCACTGGACGGCTCGTCTTTCCCATCGCCGTCCCCGTCTCCTAGAGCAACCGCCAGCCTGCCGCCCCGGCCCCCGGCGTCACCGCGGGCCGCGGGCGACGGCGGTCCGCAGGCAGGACAAAATGCAGGCCTGGGTCGGCCGCCTCGCCGTAACATGTACGGCAGCGGCTACGGCAGCAGCAATTCGTACAGCGGTGGTAGCATCAGCAGTAGCGCTAGCAGTAGCTCCCTTGTCAGCATCCAAGCCAGCGGCAATAGCAGCAGCAGCGGCTGTAGCGTCGTCACGAGCAATAGCAGCTGCGGAAGCATTAGTGCTTGCAACAGCATTAGCGGAGGCAGCAGCAGTAGCAGCTTGTACAGCAGCGGCTGTAGCAGCGGCCGTAGTGCTGTTAGCAGCAGCAACAGCCTCGTCAGCAGCAACAGCACTTACAGCGGCATCGGTCGTCGGATTAAGGTTTCAGAGCCGCCTTCCGAAGCCCCTGCCGCTAAACCCGGCGCAGGCCTAGCTGACCTGGCTGCTGCTACCGCCGCTGCGATGACGGCGACACCGCCACCCATTGGCCATCCGAGTCCCCTTCGCCGTGCGATCAGTGAGAGGCTAAGAATGGCTGCAAACGCGGCTGCTGTGAAGAACGCAAAGCAGCAGCAACAGCAGCAGCTCCAACAGCAGGGACAAGGAGGATTGCAGCCGCAAGAAACGCTGCTACAACGGCAGCACCGGCACATCCTCTCATTGCAGCCTGCCCTGTCATCACTGTCACTGGCTTCCCCGGACGCCTCCACTGCAGCAGCATCCGGGCCGTACGGCGGTGGAGATGCTCGTGTGGATGTCGTAATTGTACGGGGACGTAGCGGAGGCGGTTCGTACAGCGGCAGCTGCAACAACAGCGGTACGGGCACGGTTGGGGCAGCTGAGAAGGCTCGCCTGATTAGGAGGCGGACAGCTGGGGATGTGCTGGTTGGGGCGCGAAAGGCATCGGCAGCGGTGGTGGGGGATGCGGATTTGATTGGCTTTGACGGAAGCGAGGGGCCTTTTGTGCTTGGGCGGACAGCGGGAAGAGCAGCGGTGGGGTTGGTGCCTGCTGAGAACCGCGTGACTAGCGTATGGGAATACTGAGGAGGAAGAAGAACGAGTGGTATCAATCGCGAAGTCCGGCATGTTGAGTAGTAGGTGGGTGTGCGCCGGGTTTGAGTGCTGGGGCAACGTGTGTGTGTGGGCGCATGTGTTGGCTGTGTACTGGTATGCATGGGGAACTTGAGGGTTTGTGTTGCTGGACATACCGCCGTACACTTGCACGTACTTTAGCATGCGTACCCTGGGCGTACGCCATATATAAAACGACGGTGTATATACGAACACGAGGACATGCAAGTGCACCCATTAGTACTAATATGTACTATATAGCCCTTGGCGCTGAGGTGTGGGAGTAAGGTATAATGGTGGCTTCTCCTTATAACATGATGTGACACGTTCCAGTCACTGCGCAAGTGTTGACGATTGCTGCCTACACGCTGGGTAATGTCGGGCTGACGTGAACGGGCGCTAGTGCTAACATCAAGGTCAGCCAGATGGCTGTGTTTTGTAGCATATCCAGATTATCCACATGTGCTTGCAAGATCATGTAATGATAGCAGATCAGTGCAGTGCAAAGGCTGTTATTACTGTGCCAGCTGGCAGCAGCTGCGCATAAACCCGCCTACCAGGCCTTGCCCGAAAGCGCCATGGAACCATAATTCTGACAAGCGCATACCGTCACCCGCCGACCAGACGTTCGGTGTTACAACGTCTGAAGCACCTGATCCCTTGCAGAGGGAGAGGAGAAAGGCCAATGTTAATGGTGATTTGGGTCTTGGGCCAATGCCGGTGTGACATTAGTCCATACCGCCAATTCGCCATCGCAGGGAAGAAAGTCATATCCACGCGACGCGTCAACCAGGGACTAAAGTCAAAAGTTACTTACAAGAGAGTAAACGCAAGCGTATACCGCGCTGCCTACCTCCGTAAGTCCGCATCGCGCCAATCGACGGTCGGCGCCAACTGCTGTACGGATTGTTTTGGAGGGAAGAGCAAGCTGTATGCAATCCCTTGTTTTGGCCCGTCTCTTGAGTATGTTGAAACAGCTATAATATCCCTTCCTATTTCAAGCAGGTCCTTCCCTAGCTGGCATACGGCGTTCTCCACCGCGGCTTGCAGGCAGCCGGTTAATGGACCGATCGCAGCTGGTTATTTTCTAATTAGGTAGCTCAGCAAGAGCAGCAACGCGCTGCTACCATCGGATCCCCAAGGGTACCAATGGTGTTACCTTACTATGGATAGTAACTCCTCTTGCTCTTAACCTACATGATTACAAGAAACAACAATTACCTATTAAATCCAAAGTGCGATGGAGGCCGGCGGCGGAGTCCACAAGAGCGACCCCATCGTCGACGGCGCCGCGCACGTGAGGCGCGTCCACTTCGCAGATACGGTTAAGGATAATTCCCCAGAACCATCCGCGGCGCGAAGGCCGCTTGGCGGGTCGTCGTACCCAGCCTCATGGGGTCCGACGATCGCCCCTGCACCGGCCCCAGCTGTGACATTAGCGTCTGGGGGCAGTGGAGCCACAGCCGGAGGTAGTGGCGGTGGTGGCGTCGGCCGCTTGGGCTCCCTGCTCGCAAGCGCTGCTGCTGCTGCAGCTTCCAGTAAGAGGCATCATGAAGAGGCTGCCGCCGCCGCGGCCGCTGCTGCTGCCAAAGCAGCAGCGGAGGCCAAAGCTGTTGAGGGGCCGACAGCGGCGGCAGAAGAAGAAAAGGAGAGCAGCACCGACGGCAGCCGCAGCAGCAGCAGCAGTTCTGAAGGCAGCGAAAGCAGCACCACTAATGAAAATGGCAGCAGCAGCGCCAGCAGCGAGGAGGACAGCAGCAGCAGTGAGTACCAAGCTGGCAGCGATTCCGAGAAGGATGAGGAAGACGAGAAGGAGACGGCTGGACAGCCCACAGCGGCAGATGCCCCCCGCGGCGGAACACCATCAGCACCAAAGCGTGGGACTGCGGGTGCTGCTGCTGCTGCTGCTGCTGCTGCTAAGGAAAAAAAGCGCAAACGCAAACGCCTCGATGGACTTCAGGGCAGGGTAGCTGACGACGACCACCCAGATGAGGATGAGGACGAGGACGAGGACGCAGACGATGAAGCCGACAAGGACATGGACTCAGAAGACGAGCAGGGGGGTGGCAGCAGCGGCGGAGACGACGCGGACTTTTCGGATCTTATCGTCGGGCCCGACGACGAGGGAGGCGACGAAGATACTGCAGCCAGCGATGCCCCCAGCGCCCCCAGCGCTGGCCCATCCCGGCCGGGTCGCAAGCCGCAGTTCGCCTCGCGCTGGCACAAAAAGCTTGCCCAGGCATGCCGATATATACGCCTCCCAGGTCCGCCGCTGCACCGGCTGTGCCGCATGTTCCCGCGGCCGGGTGAGTGCGATCAAGATCTGCCGTTCCTGGATGTGAAGGGAAATAGTAAGTGGTCGGCGCGGGAGCTGTGGGAGGCAAGGTGAGCGGGCGGGGTGGGGGGGAGACGGTGCAGGGCGGGAGGGGTGGCGGGTGAGGACGGGGTGGGGTGGGGTATTGAGGAAGGGGAAGCGCGTAGAAAGGCACTAACCCGCCACCACCCGTTGATACCTGTGTAGCATCGCATGGGGGCAGCTCCGTACGCATCTGTGTACCCGCGGCGGCTGCACCGGCGGCTGCTCCAGCTGCGGCATCGCCACTGGACACTGCTGGCTATAGCTTGTGTTGGGTTCCGTGTCGCACACTTTCCTGTCAACACCCCACACCCCAGCCCCCCCGGCCCGCTTCCCACTCCCCACTGCCGTACACAGGACCCTGGCGTTGTCGTACCTGACCACATTGGAGGACGACCAACTACGGTGAGGTGCATGCCGCCGTGTGTTAAGGAAACTGGCCATGTGTGTGTGTGTTAAAATAACTGGCCGCGAGTAGGAACATACTGGGATGTCGGAAGATGAAGTCCCCACAGAACCGCCGCAGGAGCCGAGGAATAGGGTAGCGTATGTACATATAGAAGTCCAATACTGGTGCTGAGAGTAAGTAGGACGTGTGTGTGTGTGTGTGTGTGTGTGTGTGTGTGTGTGTGTGTGTGTGACCATGCGTGGGGTTTACGCGGGTGGGATTGCTGGATTTATTGACGTAATACTCTAATGAATAGGGGTGCGTGTGAAAGCTCTGTCCCACTGTCTACCCACCAGTTCAATCCCTCGCTCCCCCCCCGGCACACACGATCCCTCCTTACTAACCTCTCTTCTTGCCTCCCTCCCTCCCGCTCTCCCCCCGCCTCCCCGGCCCCCAGGGACGACCGGCTGCTCCGGCGGCGGCTGCCCGGCCCCCTGGCCACCTGGACGGAGCTGGATGACGACTTGGACACCGTCCTGCGAACCAGCAAGGCACTCGCGGCGGGGGCGCCACTGCCACTGCCGCCGCCGCCGCTGCAGTCGCCGTGGTCACACCGACTGGGAGCTGTGGCCGGTACGGCAACAGGGACAGCAGCCACAACAGCAGCATCAGGAAAGTGGGTGGCGGCGGCGGCAGGGGCAGGGGCAGGGGCGGGTAATGGAAGCGATGACGCCGCTGCTGCTGCTGCTGGCGGCCGGGTGGGAGCTGTGACTGCCGGTGGCTGGCACTGGCCGTACGGCGGTATGCCCCTGCCGTACCGTAGGGCTCCGTCGTGCGGCCGTCGTGGTCGTTGTGGGGCGGCAAGGAAGGGCGAGGAGAAGCGCCGCAGCGGCCAGCCGGCAGCAGGAGCAGCGGAGGCGGAGGCGAGTATGGGTGAAGATGGCGGTGGTGGCGTGCCGCATGTGACAACATGTGACCCCGTACAGTTTGAATTCCGGATCAAGCGCCGTCCGGCAGTGGAGCCCTCCCTGCAGGCGGTGCGTGTCAGGGCCGCGCGGCGAGCGGGTTGGTCCACCGCTGCTGCTGCCGCTGCTGCTGCTGGCGCACCTCCCCGCGGCCGTGCCGCTGCTGCCGCTGCTCCTGTCGCGCTGCCGGCCGGGTACAAGGACGCCCTAGCCAAGGCGAAGGGGATGGGTCACCGAGCGCTGGTGCCCGTCTTGAGAGGCGCGGTGGAGCAGCTGGCCGCGGAGGAGGGCGGCAGGCGGGGCGCCGGGGCGGCGGTGGCGGGGGCAAGGGGCAGGGCGGCCGGGAACGCAGGTGCCGCGGATGCTGCTGCTGGTGCTGCTGTCACTGGTGCTGGCAGGGGCAGCGGCGGCGGCGGCGGTGCTGCGGATGCGGATGCGAATGCGAATGCTGTACGTAGGAGGGGGGCAGGAGGAAGCGGTCGGGTGGGAAGCAGCGGTGACGAAGGCATGCGCGATGAAGAAGAAGGAGGAGGAGGAGGTGGCGGCCAGCGGCAGCTCAGGGAGCAGCAGCAGCAGCAGCAGCAGGGGAAGCGGCGGCGACAGAGGCGGCGGCGGCGGCGGAGGGGGTTGCGGCTGGTGGATGAGTACGGTGCTGTGCCGCAACCCGCCTGGGATCCGGACGTGGGGTGGGGGGACGAGGTGACGCTGGAGCCCGCAGCAGCAGCCTACTTTGATGAGTACTCGTGAGTGGTGGGGGCAGCCGGCGCTGCTGCTTGTCCCCGCTCTTTTGCGTTTTTGTTCGCATTGCATGACCGCCCGGTGGTGTCTGGGGTTATGGGCGTTTCGGGCGTTGAGAATTCAGTTTTCTTCCTCCTTTGCCTTACTTCTCATTTGCGTTTTCCCCTTCCCCGCCCCTCAGCTGGGTGCTGGATGGCACCCGGGTGGTGCGCTACCCGGATCCCTGCTGGCCCGAGGAGCTGGCGGGCAGCAGCAGCAGCAGTGGCGGTGACAGCGGCGGTGACAGCGGCAGCGGTGACAGCAGTGCTGACGACGTTAGCGGTATGGGGGGCAGTACCACCGGCAGCGGGAGTGGGAGCGAGAATGGGGGCAGCCGCCTTGGGGGCAGCGGCAGTGAGGAGGAGGAGGACGATTGCAGCTGCGACGGAGACCGTATCGTGGTGAGTGAGAGATGGCTGGTTTGGGCTGTTGGGACCGGCCGGCCGGGTATGACATGGGTCGACAGCTGCTGCTGCAAATCATGGCAACATGGAGAGCTGGTTCCCAGGCTCCCCTCCCCCTCCTTACTTCCTTCTTTTCTTCTTTCTTTCTTTCTTTCCTTCCTTCCTAAATATATCCAAACATTCCGCTCGTCGCACGTCGTCCTGCCTTGCCCCCATCAACAATCAGCCCCCGTCACTCCGCTGCACCCGCTCGGCCCCTCCCGGGACGCTGGGCGTGAAGGGTCGGCCGTCATGTATCAACCCATGAGCCTTGTCGTACGGTTGGTTGGTTGTGGTGCTTATCTAGGTGGATCAGTTGCTGAACACCATTGTGGTTCCCCTCCTCCCTCCCTCCACCTCTGCTCCACCTCCGGCCTCAGGACGTCCTCCGCTGCGCTCACCCCGGCTGCCCCGCCGTCAAGCTCCTCTACCGCCCGCCCGCACTGCCCCGCCACCTCACACCGCACCAGCTGGCGGCCAGCGGCCTCAGGGTGTGGGTGGTGCGCCCGCGACCCGTGGGTCACCAGATGCCGCTGCTACAGGACGCACAGCAGCAGCAACATACGACACAGCAACAACAACATCACCAACAGCAGCAGCAGCAGTTTCGGGTGCATCCCCACAACCACGCGCCATCTGGCGGTGGCAGTGTTGTGGTACGGCAGCAGCTGCAGCTGCAGCAGGTGCAGGCAGGCAGGGCAGCGGCACGTGCGGAGGAGCAGGCAGCGGCTAGGGGCGCTAGGGGCGCGCCGGCTGCTAGGGGCGGTGAGGAGGAGGCGGGTGCGGGTGCGGGTGCTGCGCTGGAGGAGGTGGAGGAGGTGGATGCGGGCCGCCCTGCTTCGGAGCTGCACCGGTTGGTGCCCCGGGGGCTTGATGGTGGGTGGGGTTCGGAGCGCCTGGGGGGTGGCAGCTTGAGATCGGGAGTGGGGAATGGCTGGGGAGTGGGGAGGCACTCGAGGCGCAGGTTGGGGACAGTTTTGGTGGTGGGGGCAAGGAGCAGATATCCGTTGCGGGCTGTTGGGGGTAGAGCAAGGGGAGGAGCGATGGCTTGTGGCTGGTGCTTGTGGGTGGTGCATGGGCCAGCAGCTGTGTCGCTTTCACCATGCAATAAAAGCTGTGTTCGCAGGCGTGACCCTCAGCTCACCCGAACATAGCACTCCTTCAAATGCAACACATTACAAAAGTTACGAGACCCTCTGTTTCTCTTCCCTGTTCCTCTTTCACCGCAGCCGACACGCCCCTGGCCGCCTCGCTACCCCTGCCCCTGGCCGCCAGCCTCCGCCGGAGGATCCGACCCCGCATCGATACCCAGCAGCCTGGCCCCCCCTCCTCCTCCTCCGCCCCCGGCGGCATTGGCGCTGGCACCAGCAGCACCCGCCGCCGCGGGGGCTACATCGCAGCTCGTCCCGCACACGCCCTGATGCCGGCCGCTCCCGAGCTGCGAGCAGCAGCAGCGGTGTGGCTTCTGGAGCCGCCCGCACCGCCTGTTTGGACGTGTAGGGCCCTGCTGCCGCACGGCAGGTACGGCACGAGGAGGGCGACAGAGGGGCGGTCGGCTGGGCGGCGGCAGCAGCAAGAGCAGGAGGAGGAGGATGTGGCAGGCGGTGCTGGCAGGCGCAGCGTGCGGGGGGTTCCCTGCGGCAGGGTAAACGTCGTCGCAGGCGGAGGGGATGGTGGTTGTAGCAGTTCCTGCTGCAGTGCGTGTGGGGCTTTGCGACACGACGGACCCACGGGTCAGTTACGGCGGCTGGTGGAGGCTGCGTTGGACCAGCTGGATGCCGCTACGGTGACGCCACGGCAGGTGGGAGGAAGGGGGAGGAGGAGGAGCCAACAGGGCGCAGGGTGCTTCTTGGATGGGAGTGGGGGACGTTGCGGGGGACAACGCATGGTAAACCACATACATGGTAGTCCTGGTGGTGATCATGCCACTGCGCCGCACTGTACTACACCGGTAGCCTTGCTTCTTCCTTAAAACCCAGATGCCCCATGCTTTTTTATCTCGATCCGTCACGGTACCTGCTTGCTTGCTTTTCCGACTCCCGCCGCATCCCCAACTCCCGCCGCAGGTGCACCGCTTCATCACATCCCAAACGACATCATCCACATTCCGCTCCGGAGGCCCTGACAGCACCGGCGCGCCCACCCGCCCTAGGCCCCCCTCCGTCGCCTTCTCCCTGCCCGAGGTCGCCGCCGATACCTTTGTGGTCCTCATGCAACGAGCCGCTCGAGCCCTGCTGCGGCACCACCTGCCACCGCCCAAAAGGGCCGCCCTGCCACCCGCGCGGCCGCCGCCGCCGTACGTTCCGGAGGGCTGCCAGTACACCCACGCCATCCCGCCGCATCCGCCGGATCTCCCAGTATCGGAAGATGAAGACGCGGAGGGAGCACGGCTTGCAGCGTGGAGATCAAAGCACTCGCGGGGTTCCGCGGAAGTGGCTCGGGAAACTGGAAGAAGGGTGCGTGGGCCGGCGTGGGGCTCGGCTTATGGTTCAAGTACAGCGGCGGAGGCGGCGGAGGCGGCCGCTGTTGTTGACGTGGAGGGCGGCGGCAACTGGCACATGCCGCTGGCTTTCCGCCAGCTGCAGCGCGCGGCAAAGACTGCCGCCTTCGTCGCGGAGTTGAAGGCTGCTAGGGCTGATGACAGCCGGCAGCGAAAAGGGGGCGGTGCTAAGCCACGGAAGGCTGCAACCACCCCCACCCCCACCCCCAACCCCAACCCCAACCCCAACCCCGACCCCGACCCCGACCCCGACCCCAACCCCAACCCCGCAACTACTGCGGCACCCCAACAGCAACCTCAGCCCCAACAGCAACCTCAGCCCCAACAGCAACCTCAGCCCCAACAGCAACCTCAGCCCCAACAGCAACCTCAGCCCCAACAGCAACCTCAGCCCCAACAGCAACCTCAGCCCCAACAGCAACCTCAGCCCCAACAGCAACCTCAGCCCCAACAGCAACCTCAGCCCCAACAGCAACCTCAGCCCCAACAGCAACCTCAGCCGGAGCAGCAGGACCCGCAGCAGCAGGACCCGCAGCAGCAGGACCCGCAGCAGGACCCGCCACGGAAAGTTTGGTTGTCTTACTCTGCGTGGCGGAAGCAGCGGTCCCAACTGAAGCAGCTGCCCCGACTGAAGCAGCGGCCCACCTTCGCGGAGCTGGCTGCTGCTGCCGCCGCCGCGGAGGGCGCCAGCCATATGGCGCTGGGGCTCATGAGCGCGCTGGCGGCGGTGGGGGAGCTGGAGGAGGGGCCGCCTGACAGGGTGGGTTTAACGAACTGGATGACAGGGCTTCCCTGATGAGGCTTGGGTTGAGCAGGGGGGTAGGGAAAGGGGGCGACGACTGGGCTAGGGCTGAGCGGGTGAGAGGGGCATGGGATGGGGCGGGAGGTGTCAAGGTAAAAGAGGAGAGCAGTAGCACCTACCAGGTCCCCACCCCCTCGCCATGCGACCAGCCGCACACCCCTCCTCCCACCCTGCATGCACTCCCTGCACACGGTCCTAGACACCTTCCCTACACACCCCTCTTGTTTCCCTCACACCCCTCTGCCCGCTGTCCCTATCACCGTTACTGCCCCCCTGCCCCACAGGAGCAGCAGCAGCAGGCGGAGCGGCAGCCGCCCGCACACGCAGCCGGGCGGGGTGGCCCCGGGCCCCAGGCGGCCGCCACAGCTGCTGCTGCGACCGCTGCTGCTGCTGCTGCTGCTGTTCCAGGAAGGCGGGCGGCGGGGGCGGGGGCGGCTGCTCCGGTAGATGGAATGGCGGCCGTGGCGGCAGCAGCCGCGGAAGCAGCCGCGGCAGCGACCCAAAGGCTGCGGGTCGGGCCAGTGGAAGCGACAGCGGGCGAGGCCTGTCGTCAACGGGACCACCCAATTGAGATGCCGTACATGGTTTCGGAGCTCGCCAAACGGCGGCGTCTGGATCCTGCCGTACTCGCCCCACTGGATTTCCTCCGGCCGCAGCACCCAACAGTGCAGCTGCTAGACGCGCCTACAGCCGTGTGTAGCGCCAATGCTACCAACGGCAGCGCTGACGTCAATGGCAGCGGCGGCAGCGGGGTTGCTGCGGCCGCCCTTCGCACCCTGCAGTCCACCCGCGTGGAGGGGGTCTACAAGCTGGGCAGTCGGGAGTGGCTGCTTTACCACCTGCAGCAGCAGCTGCACCCGGAGACAGAGCGGTTCGGCGGACCCGTGGGTCAGTCGGCCGGCCTGCAGCTGCACGCCACGGGTCGTCTGCACTGGCTGTCGCGCGCAGCGCAATGCCAGCTGGCGGCTGGGGCGGTAGCGGCGGCGGGAGGCCCCTCGGACATTCTGATTCCGGCGCAGGCATCCCTGCATCGGCCCTTCGACCTGCTAGCCCCCGGCCTTGTCAACCGGGCCGCCGCTGCAGTGCCACACCTCACAGACCCCACACCCAACCTCACCCACATTGAGCTCGGTCACGCCGCGGCGCCACTGCCGGCGATACGGCCAATGGCGCACCGCCGGCCGCTGCCGTACAGCACCGTCAGCCAGGTACGGCAGTACTGCAGCAATGCCGCCGCGGCCGCCATCGCCGCCGCCAACGCCGCCGGTGGGAGCGCTGCAGGAGCTGGTAGTGGCGCGGACGCCGGCTGGGGAATGCAATGGTGGGGGCACGTCAGCGATGATGAGGGTGATGATGAGGGTGGGCGGGATGGCAGCAGCGACGAGGACGACAGCGGTGCTGCGGCCGGAGCAGCCGCGGGCAGTATTCCTCCTCACCGCCGTCATCCGGACCCACGCGACCGTCAACAGCACCGCCAGCACCAGCGGGGGCAGGACGAGGCAGCAGCAAACGCGGCCCCCGCAGCGGCAGCATCCGGGGTGCGCATGGTCTCCGCATGGGGCTGCGATGACCCGCGACATGCCTCCCGGGTTGCTGCCGCTGCAGGGGCGCTCAGGAGGCGGCTGGCGGCCATGCAGGCCGGGGCGGCGGGGCCCAGCACCAGCACCGGCGCCGGGTGTGTGTGGTTGCCCTTCTCGAATGGGACGGACGAGCAGCAGCAGCAGCAGCAGCAGCCTCGGCAGACGGCAGCGCTGCGACAGCAGCCGCCGCCAGCAGCAGCAGCAGCAGCAGGGGCAGCTGCGGATGCGGGTGCGGCTGTGGGGTCAGGCGCGGCAGCAGGGGAGGCCGCAGGAGTGGCGGCGGGGGTGGAGGGGAATGCGGGTGTGCTGCCTGCGCGGGTTGCGGTGTTGTTTGAGATGGCCCGGATGCAGGGGCTGCGGGAGGAGGTGGTGGCGCGTGCGTTGAAGCGCTTCCAGGAGATAATGGCGGGACGGGCTGCTGTTGCTGGTGCTGTAGGTGGTGCTGTTACTGGTGCTGCTGCTGGTGGTGCTGGTGGTGCTGCAGGTGGTGCTACTAAGAAGGGGGATGCTGGGGCCGGCCGAGGAAGGAGGGAGGAGGGGGATGAGGAGTCGGATAGTTCTATTGGGGAGGCGATTAGTGACGATGGCGATGATGATGATGAGGGTAATGTCGGTGGTGATGGTGATGCTGGCGAGGGTGATGTTGGAGGTGATGGCGACGAGGGTGATGGCGACGAGGGTGATGGCGACGAGGGTGATGGCGACGAGGGTGATGGTGACGAGGGTGATGGTGACGGTGGTGGTGGTGGTGGTGGTGGTGGTGATGGTGATGGTGATGAAGCCGGCGAGGAGATGGAGTGGTCGGCGGAGGAATACGGCTTTGGAGCGTACGGTTAACAAAGTGCCGTACGCAGCGCGTGTTGTACGTGCACGTGCACGTACGGTAGAACGTGGTATTATTGCGATAGTAAGGCGGTGTTCCGTTGATAGCGAAAGAGAGGTCTCCGCTGCAGTGCATGTAGACACTTTAGGGGACATGAGCTGGTGTCAGGATGTATGATGTGCGGGATGGCGTGCGTGCAGAGTATAGGTGCATTGCTATAGCTTGCAGGTGTAGTAGCCTTCAACTCTTAAGGATAGTAGACGGTAGAAATTAGCAGTGAGCCTTTGCAATGGCTGTACGCATTACTACAGATGAGCGATAGAGTGTGCTGTAGCCTGGATAGGCGATGTAGGCAGGTGTTGGGCAAGCATTGCATGTTGTTAGGATAGGAGGTGCCAGGTTCCTAACTAGGCTTTGCAGGTAGGTGCTCTTGGTACGCCCCTGACCAGTGGCATTGGGGTATTCGGAATGTGGAGGTTTTGTTCCAGGGTTTTTTTTCAGGATGTCGAAGAACTGTTATGGGAGGCGATCCGATTTCCGTAAGAGCGGGTGACTTCCGTCCTCCAAAGGCGCAGCGTGCGTGTGCTGTCGTGACACACAACACCTCTTGGGTCTTAGGTCGTGGGTGAAAGTGTGCGGCGGTGTAATGCTTGTGGCATGCCATGCATATCATGGTACTAGGTAACTAGACACCTACTTACAGCAATGCACAGCGGACTGCTCCTCCCCGAGGCTAGAATCCCAACTGCCCCACCCCCACTGCTTGTTTGCTAGCATCAATCATTGAACACCTTGGGGTTCTTCTTTTCCCCACTGGATATCCGGACAACCCTCCCGCCCCCATCCAGATGCCCCCTGCCCTGTGCTGTCATACGACACTGGGCGGCTGCTCCTAGGGGCAACTGGCACCCATGCAGCACTATATATTCCTTTCACAACATGTAGCAGCGGCGATGGGTCCCTGTTCTCTGTCAGGCCGTGTGGACAGGACAACAGAGAGGATGACGACCGCGGCTTCCTAATACAATTTAGCAAAGGGAAAGCTCCACAGAAGCACAGTTTGTGCCGTACGCCTAGGTCGCACCGCACGTGGGGGCAGCGGCACCCATGCACCGTCCCTGCTCCCTTAATAGGGGGGGGGTATGGGAGCTCAGCGAGACCAAGCGTATGTCAACCTAAGTCGTGCGCTATGAGCTCAATCCAAACCATCCCTCCATCGGAACCTGGGTGCAGTACTGCAGTTGTCATACTTGCAGTTTGCAGCATGTTTTAAGTAAGCATAAACCATTCTACTACATATTCTTGGGAACAAAACATGGTATGGCCCGACCTCTGACCATCGGCCTCCGGCTTGCATCGCTTGCACAGCAAGGACATTCCACTTCATACCTTCCTTGCACGTTTCTTAGAAATCATAAAAAGCAAGCTGGAAAGACTGTAACAGACAAGGACAATGCGATTGAAAGGTTCACTGAAGATATGGGGGAGCTAGTGACAGCGAACATGGGACTGCTGACTAAGCTTATCGCCGAGATAGAACGCAGGCATAAGTGTGAGCACGAATTTTTGAGTGCGAATGGCGAGATGCTCTCAATTATGCAAACGGTTCACGTCCGCGGCGCCGTCGGTAAGTTGCAAAGCTTGGTCTATTCTAAGCACTGGCTGTATCAGCTCGGGCTAAACGAGGATGCCGTTTTGTCCAGCTTGGTGTACTGCGCAGTTACTAATACGCTGCATTCGATGCAACCGTTCTCATCTGCAGAGCTTGCGGCCCCTTGCAGCAAAGGATTCTTTCGACGTCTTAAAACAATGCAGTGCGTGGTGCCTTGCATTTATGCATGTTGCCTCCTCCTCAACTTGGCAAGACACCCTTGTGCACATCAAACCTCGCACCGGTGGCGCTCTGGGAGGCAAAAGCAGCCGCCACCTTGTGAAAGGTCTAGGCACACAAGAGACACTTTAGCACTGAGTAAAGAAGGGATCCCATCCTAGGGGTCTACACCCTGCATATGTCCTTGCTTCAGCACCAGAACCAGCTAGATTAACATCCGGAAAGGCCACTCGAATCCAACAAACAAACAAACGACGAAAAACAATTTATGCGTAAAAGCGTATGCGGCTTGCGTCACCTGAAAAGTATCACCCCTGTGGAGTACAACACTGTAGTACAAAAACCAGGCACCCCTTGACACCTTTTGCACCTGCCATTCGACACGAGAAACAGATGTGCCCACACACGGAAAGAAACTATTTCATGATCTGCAACAACAACCTGTCTTTATGCGTCATCGTACAACGACCACAAATCCCGAAGAAGCAAACACCACCCCTGCGTTAGCCAACCTACCCCCAGTGTCTTCCTCTGTTCCCCCACTTTTTCAACTCGATCTCTCTCCCCTCCCTCTCAAACACTCCAACACACACTCCAAACTGTACAAGTCTCTCTCATTGTTGTCTTCCTTCCTCTCCTTCATATCTTCGACTTCCTAGGTGTGCTATGTCTCCTAGTATGAATATATGATCTCTTCTTCGTCTTCTTCTCCCTGCAAGGTGGAACCGGACAACTAAAGGGTGTAGCCCACCGGCGTGCAGAAAACCCTACCTCAACCCACCCTCACACGCACCACGCACCAGAACAAGCATCAGCATCAGTAGCAATTGTCCTGCCACCCTGGGGCCGCCCGCAACAACAAAAACAACAACCCCCATTGTGTGTTATTCCAAAACGCGCCCTTACAGGCACCCAAGAACCAGAAGGGCTCAGGACACTCAGGCGCGCAACGAACCCTGGGGCGTCCTCCGCCTCCCTTCTTCCGCCACACCTCTCTCCCGCTACACCTCTTTTGTTCCACAGGGGTGGTCCCAGTACCTCACACACCATCAGCTACCATCACTCTTAGCAGAGCAACCGGCCACAAACATCCTCCTCCTCCTCCTTTTCCTGACCTCCTGTCTTCTTATTTCCTTGCCCCGAAACCCCAGCCACCCTCCACATCACCATCGCCACCTCGCACCCCTCCCACCCCTCCCACCACATCACACACCACCACATCGCAGCAACCCCCCTCACTACCCCTCCACCTCCTCACCTCACCCTCACCTCAACTCACCTCACCTCCTCCTCACCTCACCCCTCGCCCCATCACCGCGCAAAGTACGGCCCCAGCCCCTTCACCCCCAGCCCGGGGACGCCGTGCGGCTTGCGGTCAGCGTCCTTGTCCGCCCACTGCGCGGGCGCGTACACGGCGCAAGTGCGGGCGGGCGCGTAGATCAGGAAGGAGTGCGGGCGGCTGTCGTGTGCGCCGGGGGAGGTGGTGAAGAGCACGTCGGAGTCCTTGGTGAGGTTGCGGTAGCCGCCGAACACCTCCTCATCGCTGGAGAGGACCAGCTGAGGGGGGGAGGGAGGGGGGGAGGGGAAGAAATTGAATAAGTGAAACAACGAGTCCCAATCCCATATCCCAGAAGGGTTAGGGAAGGGAGGGGAGGGGAAGAATACCCAATGAGTGGAGTGTTTATGGTAAACCAGCTGACAAGGGGGGGAGGGAAGGGGGAGAGTTGGATACAGGCGGTGAATACGGGAGGGAGGTGGGAAGGAGGGAGGTGCCATGTCTCACATTCCCTTCCCTTTGGAAGCCTCCCTCCTCCCTGTCATCCCCCTACCCCTCCCTCACAGCATTAACCGCGCCTAGTCAGTTTCTTTCATCTCATTCTTACCTTCCCCCCCTTCCCTCCAGTTGTTTCCTCTTTAACCCCTCCCCCTCCCCCCCCTCCCCCCCCGCCTGCTCAGCCTCCCCCTCCCCCCGCCTGCTCACCTTGTAGGGTCCCTGCTCCCTGCACCCCACCCTGTAGTCCTGGTAGGAGGCGGTGGGGTGCCAGTTAAACACGAACACCAGGTCGCCCCGCTCGAACACCACCACCTTGTCGCCCTCGTCCTTGCGGCTGACGTAGGTGTTGGGAGCAGACATGTAGCCGAACGCCTATACAGCGGGGGGTGGAGGGTGGGGGTGTTAAGTAATGTATGTGTGTAGTTGAGTAGGACAAGATGTGTGTGTGTGCTGAGGGGGCTTTGGAGCGGGGAAAAGAGGAGTGGAGGGAGGCAAGGGAATAGGCACAAACCCCCTCCCCAAAGTACACGCAGGCACGCCCCCCGCCCCCCAGCCTCCCCGCCCCCCCCTCCGCCCCTACTCGTCAGCAACTTGTATCACTATCACACCACACTTTGGAATTTCTTTTTTCCCCCTCCGCCCCTACCTTGTCCAGGTGGCACATGGCCCTGTCGAATGCCTGCAGGAACTTGTACTTGAGCAGCGCCGAGTCCGCCAGGTCCCACCGCCGCCGGCACAGGTGCAGCGAGCCGCCGTTGCCTGGCGGGGCGGGAGGGAGGGGAGGGGAGGGGGGTGGGGGGAGGGGAGGGGAGGGGAGGGGGGGTGGCGGGGTTGATTCAACCTCTAAACGCTTACCGGGTGACACACATGTCAGTAGGGTTCTTTTGCAGGGTTTGAGATGCCTCCCCGCCCCCCGCCCCTACCCGGCACGAATGCCCCCGTGGAGGGGTCGTAGCTGTCGACGCGCGGGAAGTCGATCCACTCGGGGTGACCGAACTCGTTGCCTATTGGAGGAGAGGGGGGTGCGGGGGGTGGGTGGGGGGGGAGAGAGGGGTGTGTTAAAATAACTGGCTTTACCGGTTTCAGAGCGGCTGGGGGACGCAAGAGGGGCGTCCAGGCAGCCTAGCGCCGGCTTGCCTCCCGGCACACAATACCTCCTCCCTGCCCCTGCTGCCCCTGGCTCCTCCCTCCCCGCCGCTGACGCCACCGAAACACACAGCGCAGCGGAACCATGCATGCAGCCGCTCCGGTCGCACCCCTACACACTGCCTGAGAACCCACAACCCACAGCATTCACCCCCGGCTGCTAACGCTTCCCCGTATCCCTCCCTCTCTCTCCCTCACCCGGGGGCGCCCCGCCCCCCTCCCTCACCCCGCAGCCGTGTCAAACAGCTTGTTAGTCTCCTCCCCCCACCTCCCTCCTCTCACCCCCAATAACACCAACAACAACACATGGGGTATTCTTCCTTCCCCTCCCCGCCACCGACCCCCCCCCTCCTCCCCTTCCTCCCCCCCTCCCCCCTCCCTCACCCATGAAGTTCAGGTAGCTCTCCCCCCCCAGTGCGATGGTGATGAGCCGGATCATCTTGTGCAGCGCGATACCCCGGTCCACGATGAGGGACTGGGGGCCGCTGCCGGGGACCGCCTGGGAGGGGGGAGGGAGGGGGGGCGGTGAGGGGGGAGGGGGCGAGGGTAATGAGGAAGAAACTCAAGAGAGGGAGGTGGGAGTTTAAGAGGAGACGAATACTGGGATTGCGTACAGGGGGAGGGAGAAGGGCGGTACGCCCTCATGCGCCAACAAATCCTGGCACCGTCGTTCCCCCTCCGCCTCTCAATTCACCATGCATCCCCACCTCCCCCTCCCTCCCGCCCCCTGCCCTACCATGTTGTCGTACATCTCCTTGTCCATCAGCCAGAACGCAATGGTCTTGTCGCCCACCAGCGCCTGGTCGTGCGACTCGGCGTAACCCACACACGCCTCCGCGTACCTTTGGGGGGGAGGAGAGGGGGGGAGGAGGGGGAAGTCAAAATAGTTTAAACCATAGGGAAGAAAGAGGGGGAGGCTAGGGGGAGTGACGGGCTAGCCATGTGAGGGGAGAGGGGGTGAGGCAGGGTTCTCGGCCGAGAGGAAGCTGACATCAACCACATTCCACCCCTCCCTTCCACCCCTCACCTCACGTTCATTACGTCTCATTCGACCCACCTCCCCTCCGCCTCCCTTACCTCCTGTTTGTGAGCGTGTGCACGATGTTACCCATGTTCCACGCGAAGTCGTTGTGCAGCTTCATCACTTCGATCCACTTGTCGGCGATGGCCATCTGCAGCCGGTAGTCGAAACCCACACCGCCCTCCTGCCTGGAAGCGAGGGGGGGGGGGGGAGGGGGGGGAGGGGAGGGGCAAAAGGGGGAAGAAAGTGACGAGAGCTGCAGGACGTGGCGGGTTGCTGCATCAAACTCCCTCCGCCTCCCACATGGAGTAACGCATGGCTCGTTGTCTCCTCCTTCTTGCTCCATATGGTATGTCTTTTTACTTCCCTCCCTCTCGGTTTAGCTAATCCCTCTCCCGGCCCTTTTCCCGTCGCTCTCCCCTACCCCCTCCCTCCACCCCCCCACCCGGGCCTACCATGGCCTGCAGAAGGAGGGCATGCCCGACACGTCCTCCCCGATGGTGATGGCGGTGGGGAAGAGGTCGTGCAGCAGGTTGTTGGCCAGCATGAGGTACACCACCGCGTCCACGTCCGTGTTCATGCCAAAGTACTCGCCGTAGTTACCTGGGAGGGCGGGGGAGAGGGGAAGGGGGGGAGGAGAAGGGGGGGTGGAGGGCCACATACACACGGCCAGTTTTCTTAACACACGTGGTGGTGGTACATCATGCCACGTGTGCCACACAAAAAACACATGCACACATGTTCCTCGGCTCCTGCGGCGGTTCTGTGGGGACCTCATCTTCCGACAATCACAGTATGTTCCTACTCGCGGTCAGTTTTCTTAACACACCCCCTCCCCCCCTCCTCCATCTTCCCCACCCCCCTCACCCGTGAAGGTGTACGACAGGCCGTGGTGGTGGTACATCATGCTGGTCACTCCGTCGAACCGGTAGCCGTCGAACTTGTACTCGTCCATCCACCAGCGCGCGTTTGACAGCAGGAAGCGCAGCGTCTCCCAGTTGCCTGCATGGGAGAGGGGGGAGACAGGGGGTGAAAAATATAGATAAGTGCATCAACGGAGACAGGGGGTGGGGGGGAGGCGGTGGGCGGGTGCGTGTGTACTGCATAGGCGGGAGGGAGGGCGGGATTTGGGATTCTTGGCGTGAGAGCCAAGGTGAGGCATGCACGCGGCCCCCACCTTCCCACCTTCGTCAGTTTTCCCTCCTGTTCCTTTCTTTAGCAGGGGTTGGTTCCTCTTCGACCCCCCCCGTCCTCTTCCCCCTCCTCCCTCCCTCCCTCACCGTAGTTGAAGCACCTGCTGTCCCACATCCAGTGGTTGCCGCGCGGCCCGCCGTGGAAGTACATGCCGTCCGTGCCGTCGAACATGTTGATGCCGTCGTTGGTGTTCTTGGAAGCGTGGCTGTGCACGATGTCCATCAGGACCTGGGGGGGGAGGGAGGGGGAGGGAGGGAGGGGGGAGGGGGGGGGGAATATTGAGAGACACTGACGAGGCAACTAACAAAGGGGGGGGGCGGGGAGGGGGGTAGGAGGAAGGACGGCGGGGGTCAGAGATATACCAAAACCACAGGGGAGGGAGGGATATGACCGTAAGAGTACGTGGCAGGAGTTGGCAGAATGCCAGGGGAAGGGATGTCTTGGGACAGCGTCGTCTCCATGCAGGACACACACACACACACTTCATCTTTCGGCAATCGCAGTACGTTTCGCCTCGCGGCCAGTTATTTTAACACACAGTTTTCTTAACACACCCAGACCGGCTGTGAACACCCCCCGCCCACGCAGTCCCCCCCCCCTTCCCCCCACCCACCACCAGCCCCATGCGGTGCGCCTCGTCCACCAGCGCCTTCAACTCGTCCGGGGTGCCGCAGCGGCTGCTGACCTGCAGCGGTGGGGGGGGGGGGGAGAGGGGAGGTGAGGGGGAACCATGAGCGGTGGGGTTGGTAAGGTAGGACTCGGAAGGCGAGGAGGCAATGCGGTGCCATCATGCCGGGTGACTCAGCGAGGTGAGAGCGGAGCAGCGAGTATGCAGCACGCGCCACGTGCTGCCCTGCCCTGGCTCACCCCTCCACCTCCTTCGCGCACGCCACCTAAAGCCTCCAATCCGCCTTGCAACCCCCCACCCCTCCGCCCCCCTCTGCCCCCCTCCGCCCCCCTCACCGTGAAGAAGGTGGTCACACGGTACCCCACCCCAACCCCACCCCAGCCTTGTCATACAGCCTTGTCATACAGCCTTGTCATGCAGCCCGTTAGTTGCCTCATCAGCTTCCTTCCCTTTTACCCGCCCCCCCTCACCGAAAAGAAGTTGGTCACATGGTAGCCGAAGGAGCCGTAGTAGCTGTGCTCCTGGATGGCCATGATCTGGATGGCGTTGTAGCCCAGCGACCGGATGCGCGGCAGCACGTCGCGCCGGAACTCGGAGTAGGAGTTCACCTTGGGCTCCTGGCTGCTCATGCCCACGTGGCACTCGTAGATGCGCAGCGCGCGGGGCCTGGGCAGGGGGGAGAGGAGGGGTAGAAGAAGAAGAACGCCCCATGTGTTGAATGAGTGAATGTTGTTGTTTGTTGCGACATGCTAATCATTGCCATTGCCCTCTGCGCAGCGCTGCAACAGCCCCAACCCCCAACCCCATAACCGCTGCCCCCCTGGCCCCTCACTCGGCCCCCTCCCCCGCCGCCTGCTTACTTGGGCGGGCGGGGGTACTTGAAGGTGTACGCCTTGTTCTCCGCCACCTCGCCCGGAGCACCCTTCTCAGGGGGTTCGTAGTACACGCCTGACAGAGGGGGAGGGGAGGGGGGGAAGGGGGTAAGAGGGGTTGGGAATCAGCCAGTGCTGGAGCTGTACGACAGCGTGTTCACAGTGTGCGCACATAACGGATGGGTAGCGGCAATCCAATTGCTATCCTCCCTCCTCTCCCCCTCCCCACTATTGAACCTCGCCCTCCATTCCCATTATTGAACCTCCCCCCCCTCCTCTCCCCCCTCCCCACCATTGAACAGGATCTCGTTCCACTCCTGCGTGGCCCACTTGATCCAGGCGGGGATCTTCTCGGCCCACCGCCCGTCAGCCGTCTCCAGCCGGCACTTCACCTTGGACCTGGGGAGGGGTGGGAGTGGGGGATTTTATTTAAAAGGTGGGGGTGGGGTAAGGTCATACCGGACCATCGGATAGCACCCCCAGTTCAATGCTTCACTTCTCCTATTTTGATGTACCCAACCCCAATCCCCCTCTCACCCCAAACCCCCCGGCCCCCCCCACCTGTGTGCGATGGCCGGGCTGCCGTCCGGGTTGTCGGGCAGGAACAGCTCCCAGGTGCCGTACTGGTTCTTGAAGGCCCAGTGCGAGTCGGCGGGGCTCCAGCTGTTGAAGTCGCCCACAAGGGCTAGCGCCTGGGGGGGGAGTGTACGGTAAAATTGGGGCAAAAAGAAGAAACTCGCGAGCTGTGTGACGAGCAGGGAAGTGGTAGCTACAGGGTGGATGTGGTTTGGGCAAGGCAAGAAGGATATGGCGGCATGGGCTCACGACCACTCCCCTCCTGCCGCGCCTCCCGCCTCCCGCCACCCGCCTGAGAGGCTGAGAAGCGGAGCAGGCAGCAGGGTGCCAGCCGCGGGACAGCGGGGACGGAAGGGCGGGAGGCGGGGGAGTCCACCCGACCACCTCCCTCCCCCCTCACCACCACCAGCACCACCACCCCTTCCCCTCACAGGCCACTCGTCGCAAGGCTGGGACGGGTGCCTGCAGGGACACCCTCTCGCATGCAACCTCCTCTTCCTGCAGCGCTCTCCCGTCTCCCCCCCCCCCCGGCTTCCCCGCTACTCTGCCCCCCGACCGGTGAATGCAACGCAGGCGAAACCAGCCTCCCCTCGTCCAAAGGGCGGGAGGTGCCCAACCACTGCGCCCTGCGGTGGGCTCTGGCGCGGTGCGGTGCCGCCAGCCCCCACCCCACCCCACCCGGCCCACCCCTCCTCTCCTGCCGGCCAGCCGCCACACCGCATGGAGCTCGCTACCACCAGACCACTGCCACCTAGCCCCCTCCACGCATGCATGGGTCTTCTGTTTCTGTTACCCCGCGCCTGCCCGCCCCTCCCCCCTCCCCCTCCCAGCCACTACCGGTGGTACTGTTCCCGGCATGCCACTCCCGACGGTTGCGTCTCAAGTACCGGTAGCTGCTGCTGCGGCGGCTGTTGTTGCTGTCTCCCCTATCTGGTATCCCTAACCCCCGCACTCCCAGCAAGGCCCCGGCGCCCCCGGACACAAAACCCCATCAATCCCGCACCTCCCAACTCCGGAGCCTCACGGTCACCATGTAGCCTCCCCTCATCCCCCCCCGCCCCATCTCGGCTGGTTAGCTTCTCCCACGCTCACGTCCTTACCTACCTTATCCTGGTCCATCCCTGCAACCCCCCCCCCGCCCCGCCTACCTTCCAATACGGTTTGTTAACGATTGCTGCTTCTTACTATCTAACAACCACAATTATATGCTTACCCAACTATCCGGCTTCATGCGGCATCTTCATCCCTATCAGCCCCGCCTACCTTGGCCCCGGGCGCCCACTCGCGGTACCAGATGCCCGACTGGCCGTTGCACTCGCCGCGGTTGAAGCCATAGTACTTGTAGCCTGCAGGGGGGGGGGCAGGGGGGCGGGGAGGAGAGGGGGGCAGCGGTGAGAGGGTGGGCGGTGTAAGGAGAATGAAATGAAGATACGAAGATACGGAGAGGGCGGGGGTGGGGGTGGTGGCAAGGGAGGGGGTTTGCAAGCGCGGGTTGCGGGCAGCATGGTGCTAGTCGTTACCTGTCGAAGTTCTTTTCTTTCAATCTGGGTCACTTATACATCCTGCTTGCGTAGCCACCATATATTGCACCCCTGTTTCCTCGTTTGCCGTACTACCACGACCCCTCGTACACGCCCATTAACGCCCATCCGCGCGCTGCCGTACCCTGGCTGAACTTCTCGAAGCCGCCCTCGTTGCGGTCGATGGCCTCCCGGATGTTCTTGAAGACGTTCCAGCGGTACTGGGATGGGAGAGGTGCGGAGCGCAAGGCAGCAGGACCAGCAGCAGGACCAATGTCAAGGGGAAGGACAGGAATGGATGTAGATGTAGGATTATCAAAGCAGGCGTAAAGGCGGAAGCACCAACGGGGGACGTTGCTTATACCGGAGAAGGAACGTGTTGGGCATACACTTCGCGAACAGGAAATGAAGAGGGCGGAGGTACAGGAAGGGGTGTTTTGACCCGCGTGAAAGTGGGTAGATTTCGCACCGCAAGAAACATACTGCGACAGTCATATATTGTATACATAAATAGACACTCACCTTGAAGTGCTCTGCTGCGGACCAAAGCGTGTTGTCCCACTTGAAGCACATGGTGCCATCGTGGTTAGGTATCGGCGAAATGGGCCCGTACTCGTCAACGTATTCCAGGTTATCTGGAACTTCAACACACGGGCTCCAGTAATCCTCCGGGCGCCCTAGCGCGGACGGTGTACCACCCGTCTCATCGACCAGGCTCAGCCCAACTCCCGCATCGCTCGTAAGCACGTTCTGAGGCTCGGCAGCTTCCGATGCAACACCAGGAGGTGATACGGAAGTAGATGGCTTCACAACGCTGTCGATGGGAACGTTGGCGACATCCAGGGTTTGGCGTAGCAGCTCATTTTCGCGACGGAGGAGCTCCAGAGCTGACAATTTCTCTCCAGGAGTAGCGGCTGACCTAATAGTCCTCGGCGTAACACCTGGATCAGGTGATATGACAGTTTACACCATATCGCGGCAAGATCGAAAGCGTTCCTAACGCTCTCACCACGCCAAGTCTTATGGGTGATGCCACCCGCTTGAGCCCTTCCAAGCCGGCCGAGCTGCATTGCTGATTCTGTGCTCGCCGGAGGTTGCACCGCTTGAGGTCGCCTTGTCCGGGCGCCTCGCCACCTACTAACTAGGTATGCAGTGGTTCTTGGTTTCGGTCGATAAAGTATCTCAAAAACGGGAATGCAAACGACACATAGGCTCAGACCCTGCGAAGGTGCCAGCAACTTATCCTAAAAAATCAACGGCAACTTATGGAGTACGACACTTGTCACATATTCCTTGATCACACAGAAATGATGTGCACTCCATCGTACGTGGGCTTATCGAAGGCCTTTGAACGCAGAGGCAATGAACACGCATAGGAGTAGACGTGACGGTAAAGGCGCTGGCAATAGGGCCAGGTTTGCTGACAGCTTTTGGGGTAAGTAGGCAAAGTGTGTAATAAAGGAGTAAAGGTCGTGGCTACCATGAATCTTGCCGCGTGTCTATGCCGATGCCGAGTCTGTCCTCGCAGCTCTTCTATGGCAATGGCACTCAAGTAATCGCTGTGTTAACGAAATGAGCGGGTCCCTAGGGTACTTCTAAGGCGCTATCTTAGAATCTTGCGCGGCATCGGCTGTCATGTGGTGACCCAAGGGTCAGGGGAAGCAAGCCAGGCTTTTTTGGACTACATTCTAATCTAACGGGTATTCCACGCATAAGCTAAGACACCTAAGCTGGTACCGGTATGCAAGGGCCTGGTTGCTGACGTCGGGTCATAAAAGTTCATCTGCTGAGGTCCGTTCCTGGGTAGCTTGTTCGTAGCTAGGTGCTGCAGGCAAGGGCCCCTATTCATGGGCGTAAGACGCAAGCCTTAGAGCCTATGGACAACCCATTCCTGGCCCCATCTCAAGGGCACCAATGTCACCTTTGCTGTCCACTTCCTCCGCGCGCCACATACCGAGCGCTTTCAAAAGAGCCGCCTCACCCACAAAGCGCTACCCATTACCGCATAAGCCCAACTCCTCGTAACGCTCTACTCCATTCTTTCTCCTACCACAATCGCGACCTTCACCCGCTCCCCGCCATCCCGCGTTACCCCTCCCTCTCCCATCGCTCCCTCCTGCAGCTAGCGAGCATGCGGACAACCCCCTAGCGTGATATTGGTGCGTGCAAGCTATGCCAGACCATTAACTTGTAAGGCTGCCTCGGCAGTAGAGGTCATCCTATGCTATGCGTATGTTCATCTCTAAGCGGCAGATCACAGTAGTTGAAAGGCTCAATGGGGGCGATCTAGGATGTGGCGTTTACGAGGACCCGAGCCAACCGTCCTTCCACGCTCACCCCGTCCAATTGCTGCATCCCAGCGGAGCACATGCACCGAATTCACTACCGGGGCTACACGCCTTTGCATCGATCAACGATCAGTGCCAGAATCTGTATGCGACCCCCTCCACCTAGCAGCCCTTGATGAGCGAAGTAATCACACGCCCCTTCGCAGCCGCTGCATCCGTTGCTTCCCCGCAGCGGCAGCTGGCTTGTTGACCCCCGCCGGGATCACCCCCGCCACCCAGGGCACCAGCTCGGGGGAGGTCTTGTGCACGCTGCGGAACTCCGCAGAGAACTTGCCCTCGTGGTTGACCTCCTGGGGGGACAGCGAGGGCGGGGATAGTGATGGTGACGGTGACAGCGGTGAAGGGATGTCAGCGGTGTCGAGCGGGGCGGGGCTGTTGTGACGCACTGCCGACCAGCGAAGTTTTTATCCCCACATGTGGTGCAGGCGCAGAGCTGCCAGAGGCGCACTCACCAAGTTGGACTTGGAGCGGTCGGGGTTGTTGTCCCACTTGGCCTGGTGCTTCAGCCAGCAGTCGCCCGTTGTGTGGTTGTGGATGTCCTGGGCAGTGGGAGGGCGGCGACAGGAACGGCTCAAGAGACGTTTGCCAGCATTGCACCGCGTACGATAAGGGACAAATTTGCTCGCAAAACCATGTGGGCTGACGCGCACTACCCCCACTCCTACACAATACAGACGAAACCGCTACTGGGTTACCGGTATGCCACATTCACCGCTTTACTGATGGGTAGCACCGGTACACCACTGGGCATCCTCCGTTGGACTCCGCCTTACTACGGCCATACTACGGCGGTCACGTTTCCTCCATGTTTCCTCGCGACCCGGTTAGTAGCCCCGTCAGTGAACGTGACATATGCTGGAGTCCTGTCCCCTGCTGCGCACTGGTCCATCACCACTCCCTCAGCCATGACTCACCATGGTCCAGCAGATCCCGCTGGGATCACCTGCAGGCAACCAAGTCAATTCGCACTCAATAGTCGGATCCTATCCTTGCATAAGTAGCAAGCAGGTGAGCGCAAGGCAACTCACCGCACCACACCCAGATGTTGCAGGGCCGGTCGTTGGGGTGTGCCCGCTGGTGCTCCTTGCAGGCGGCGCAGCAGTCCGCTGCGGAGGCCTGCTTGTGGCCCAGACCCCACACCACTGCATCGCCCGCGTAGTCGGCATGCTGCCGTGGCGGTGGGGCGCGGAGAGGAAAGCGTGCGGGAGGACATGGAACGAAACGGGTGTAAGGTGGGGCCAGCACGCTAAGATGGGTGATGCTACGGTAATCGATATGTAATGCACATGCTGGACATGCACAACTGGTGCACCACTGCAACAAGGTATCCCACAGGGCTCCAGCTAGTACGGTATCATACATGTACTCCCAGCAACGTGTTCTCCTAGCAGCCCACATCCTTGTACGACTGCCAACCCATTACTCGAAATGCTCACCTGTTGTGGGTAGCAGTCTTCGGGAATGGGCACGTCCAAGATCTGTCAAGGGCACAAAGGTAACCAAAAGGTCGTTTGGCGGATGGTGGCAGCAGGTCTGGAACCTCCGGAAGTACGTGAGATTAGGATAACCGCACGTTGGCAGCACCCAGATACACGGCAACATGATGCAGATTTGCCCCAAATCCCGCCCATTTGGGTCACTGTGGAAAGCCCTGGCTTCGAGGGTGCCTCCTGTATTACACGAGGCGCACTACCGGTATCATCATCACCACCTCTTGGCTGCCTACCTGCATCTTCTTTCCCTTGCTGTCAATCTCAACAAGGACCTTTGGGGTCGCTGCCTGTTCCTTAGGGACCACTTTCTGCTCAATTTTTGGCAACTGATCAGATGGCTTAGCCTCAACCGCTGCAGGCAGCTTGGCCAGGGTTTCAGTGCCTTTCTGCGTTGCTGGTGCTACTGCGCTGGGCTTGCCTTGTCCAAACTGTATAAGTGGTGCATGCCTTGGTTAGAGCTGGGTTTGTGCACTTTGCAAGCGAGCACGATGGTCGTCGCACCTGAGCAGCGATGAACACGCCAGACGCTGCAGGGGCACATCAAATATGTTCAGGAGGCCATTCTGGTAGGCTGAGAGGGCGAAGGAACTCTACCTTTAATCGCGGCATTCAACTGGTCACGACCAGCATACGAACATATGCCGAGCAAGCAAAGGAAAAGTGCCAGAGGGGCAGCAGCAGCTAACCGTTGCCCCATGATGCCGGTGGATTTCGGCCTAGGGAACATTCCCTACAGTTAAGGTGCGCTGGTCGCTTGCTTGCAGGTATCCGAGTTCTCCCCGTTACAAGATACGCTTAATGTAGCGCAGAAGGGAACGCCTCATCGGCACGTGTATGGTTAAGAAACACACGCCACCAAATATCACGAAGACGAAAGAGTGCCGAAGGGCTAGGCAAAGACACCAACAGCTAAACTGATTGTATCTGAAAGCCAAGTGCAGGACCTAAGCTGTGGCATAGTCAGATACCAATCCCTAGCTTGAGCACAGTGTTTAGAAGCTTCATAGACAAGCTGTGACAGCCAGTGTACAGCAGCATCATGTATACCGTACGCTGGCCTGCTCTCCCTTGACAGTCCTACAGGATGTAATGTTTTTCTAGAGAATTAGCATAAGTTTAACGCTTGTTTGGATTGTGTTCGCTCTGAAAGCATAAACTTGCTGCCCGGACTATCGGAAGGCTTACAATGTCAGGAAATCCCGATGATAAGCCTAGTTCCCTAGCAGAGTCCATTGAAAGCTTCAAGATTGTTGCGGAGCAGGGGCTCGCTGACGCCGCGAACGCTGCTGATGCTCTTCTAAAGCAAACGGCATCTCAGCTTGTGGCAGGCGGCTCTGTCGTGGTTGGAACTGTTCAGGAGGCCGCAGATGTAACACTCCAATACGCGGAGGAGGGCAAGGCGAGCTTGGAAGCGGAGACGATCATTGCGATGCCAACGTAGCCAGTTACCAGTTAGCCTGGGCCCGATTGCAGGTGTACGTGGATCATGGGCTCGCGGAGCTCAAAGCGGTGGAGGACGTCGTCGTTTCGCACCTCAAGCGTAAGGAGGGTTCAGGGGCCGCTTTTCCCTCTGCCACTCGTCGAGATGGGAGCCGTCGCGGCCGAGCTAACACCCGTTGCCCCTCCTTTCACCCCTAATCCTATGCAACAGAGGGAATCTACCTCATCCAGAGCAACCCAGATGTCTCTTACCCCCTGCTGGCGACGGGCAGCATCCTAGCGCTACCGGGTAAGAAAGAGCGGCCCGCCAGGCCCCCTGCGTCCTGCATGAGGTGGCAAACAACACGCGCAGACAACTTGCGCAACTCGAAACCGTCGGGGGTTGTCGCCTAAAGGTTATTGTCACGATGAAGCCCGTAGCCTACTTCCGCATTAGTTTGCTGGAACACCCATGTACTCGATGAAGCGGCTCCTCCCTAGCTGCCCCCTAGCTGCGCCGCTGGGCTGGCTAGCGGCTATCCCCCCCTCTAGCGTGGTTGGTGGCAACGTTGCACGCATACGGGGCAGGGTGCTCCTGGGCAGCTTGCCTCAGTCAAGAGGTCCAGCAGCTTTTGGCAGCTCTTGTCGCGGAGTCCAGCAGGGTTCGAGGTCCTGGTTGCTGCCTGGCCGTTACATGCCGAGCCATGCTAGGTCACATGGCTAGGTTACATGCCGAGCCATGCTAGGTGTATTTTAGCAGCACCAGCCATGCTCTCCGATGTGGGTCTAGTAGTTCCTTCCCGTGGCACCCATGCTCAGCCAGCAAGAGAGCAAGCAGACATATGCCCATATCCCATATGAACGTGAACCCCTACTGCGCCCCCCAGCAGCAGGCATGGCTTTCGGTTTCCAGCAAAACACACGAAACCTTTGTTCGACATCCATGCATCCTCCCGCCCTTCACATCTCATCCCGGGGTGCTGTCCCGCTGCTTCACCGCCGCGCCGCTCCCCACCCCATCGTATTAACCCCCCACACACACACAGTGACGCGACGCCTGCTGTACCGCGCGACCATCGGACGGTTCCGCAACCCCGACAACGTGCTGAGCACCAGCGAGGGTAAGGTGGAGGCACTGCGGGTCAAGATGAGCGACTTTGAGACGGAGGCCAAGAAGCTGCAGGTGGGGCGGGGGTTGTTGGCGGGCGGGGAGGTGCGTGGAGGTGCTGCGGTAGAGAGGGCGGCAGGAGGTGGTGTGGTCAGGGGTGGGATCAGGTAGGGGCCCGCTGGCAGGGAGGAGCAGAGGAGGTGCTCTTGCAGGAGGAGGTGCGGGGATGCCGCAGCACAGCAGGCTGGCGGCAGGGGGGTAGGACAGCCGCATGGTTGGGTGGGGAAACCGGGTGGGACCCAGATGATGGTGGCGCATTATGCGGCCGCGGTGTAGCGCTGGCAGGCCGCTGATCCGTATTCCCCTTATTGCTGTCCCCGCGTCCCCGTGTGTGGGAAGTCTGGCTTCCTTTGGGCCCCCTGCTCCTTGCTCTCGCCTGCCTGACCCGACTGCCACCGCTCGCAGGAGCGTATGGTTGCGGCGGAGGAGGAGTACGTGCGCGGCAAGGCCAAGCTCAAGTGAGTTGCCCCTGGGTTTTACAAAGGGGTGTGTTAAGAAAACCGGCCGTACGGTAGGGACTGGGCTAGCGGCCAGTTTTGTTACCAACAAACGCATCCCGGTGTACCGCTGGCTGCTGGCATCCATCGGCACACCGCTCTTCCCATGCCTGCGTAGTGCCGGGACATCACATGGACTGCATGGCTGCATGCGAGGGCTGCAGGCTGACGCGGGCTAACCGCTGTCCTGCAGCTGCGCCCTGCACTGATCTCACATCGTCGTTCATTCCGCTCTCCTCCCGCTCCTCACAGGGCTACCCGGCAGGAGCTGCAGCGGCTGGCGGCCGTGGTGGGCAAGAGCGAGCGGACCGCAGCGGGTGAGGAACGGAGCCGTACTGACCATAGGAACGGAATACTGCTGACCACAGCTGTCGACTGGATGTGTTTGGGAGGGGGTGCATGGTGCAAAGGGGTGGCGGTAGTGGATCTTTGGGTTCCTCTGCACGGATGCGAGCAGTAGGAATGCCGGCTGCAGCCGAATACGTTTTCCATGCCAAAGCATGCTATTAGGAGGGGAAAAAATTAACTATGTGAAACAACGAGGAGGGGGAGGGGGAGGGCAGTGGCACGTCCTCACACTGTCAAACCCCAGATGCAGCCTGGGAGGGGGGGTTGCACGGGTGCCTGATAACACTTTCGGACCTGTGTCCATGCATGCAATTTTGCCTTGACACGCATCTCTCTCTCTTTGCTACATGCTACATGCATTCACGCCTTGTATGGAGTGTATGCGCTCGACCTCCCGACCACCCGCCCGCCCGGTTAGTTCGTTTCTTCCTCCCTACCCCCACCCTGCCCACCCCACTCGGCCGCTCACAGGTGTTCTGGAGGACCTGCGCACCCTCAAGAAGGTCGACAAGGCGGTGCAGCTGCGGGCGGAGGTGAGGCGGGGCGGGATTGTGGCAGGTGGTGCCTGCATACACAGCCAGCAACCCCTTGCAACCCCCCATCCCCCCGGTGGATCTCCCTTGCATCCTCGTCGGCGCTTGGTTGCGATGAAGGGAGCATGGCTGTGTGCGATGTGCCCTAGGTGTCATAAGGCTCTGTCATAGTAGCACTCATGAAGGGCATGCATCGCCCGCTGTATGGGTGGCGCCTTGGTTTCGCGCATTGCATGGGGTGCAGGGTGTGTAGGTACCCACCGTACTCGTGACAGCACCCACACTTGACAGCGCCCACCGTACTCTTGGCAGCAGGCATCCAACTGCCGTTTCTTGCCCACCCACCCTAACACCTGTACCCTCGCCCAGGCCGCGTCGCAAGTGTCCGCGCTCAAGACGCAGCGAACCGCGCTGCAGCAGTACATCTACCGCATCGCCTCCAAGGACGTCTGAGGCGCAGGCTTGACGCTGGGCGCAGGGTTGGCGCTGCCTGCTGCGATCGGACTCGCATGGCTTGCCCTGGCATGGGTGGTTGCACCAACATGGGCTACCGTCTTGCGGCTACCGTAGTAACGGCACATGGTTATACCGTACGGCGCTTTGGTGTTGTTCTTGGTGGATGGAGTGGAAGGTTCCCCGGGGGGCCGCACTGGCGGCAGCATGGCGTGGTGGTGACATGGGGGGCAGCAGCCGACAGGCGGCAGGCGGGGTGGGGGCCATGTGGGTTGAGTGGCTCTCTGATCGAGTGTCTGCCACCGTACGCTGGCTGGCTGCTAGGTTGGCAGGACGTAGCCGCGTGGAGCCGTGGGGCTTTTTGGTGGCGCCGCTGGTCGGGTACGGGTGTCTAGTTCGATTTTGCTGCAGGGGATTGAAGCGTAGGAAGGTGTGCAAGGGTTGTCATTGTCGCCCGGACTGCACGTGAGTCCGAAGTTGGTTGGCTTGGCAGGATGCTTGGCGGTGTTGTGAGGATAGGAGGTAAAGCGTGCTGAGGTGCAGGATTGAAATTGAGCTGAAGTCGCATGCCGGTTACAATTTCGTACAGCGGCGTTCAGCGGCGCTTAGTTATAGTCCCGGTGTTGCGTATTGCGTCCGTACAAGCAATCTTCATGTTCCTTTCGTAAAGCCGCTTGGTTTGTGCTGACCACTCACGTGCCTTGCATAGTGTGCACATTCAGGATCAGCTCACTTTCTAATGCACATACATCTGAGTATGAGCAACCTCCCTGTAAGCTTGGCTGGTCCAGTGTGCGTAGAGCACGCAAGGTACGCCATATACTCCGGCATCGTGTGCCCATTTTGCCATAAAGCAGGAACACCTTTTGGACTGAAATGCACGAAAGTTTGTGAGCCATGCACCACGGCCGAGGGTAACTACCATGGTAAGAGTGGATTAACCCATTTAGGATGAAACAAGAAACACGGAATATAATTGCTAACGGAACAGGCCATGCAATGAACTCCTGGGCAATCATTGGGACGTTGGGACATGGTCCGCCAAGTCTGAGCTCCTAAGAGAATACTGTGTGGCCGATGATAACAAGTGTAGGGCGTATTAGTCTCTCTTGAATTAACGCTTCCAAAGCCTAAAAAACGGACAGAATCTGATACGCTATCGGCAATGACGTTCGTGGTATCGCGACCCTAGGTAGTTTACCTTAATAACAAGGTGTCAGACCTAACAACCTACATTGCCCAGAAGACCTGGTTTGCCGCAAACAGCCGCTCTTTCCACTGGCGTGAAGGGTTGCAAAGTAGGTGAGCCGACACCTGTTACTGCCGTTTCGCCGCTAATTTTCAAGTCATGGCATGTTACAAGCAATTACCTATTGGGCAAGCTCGGAAGTATGTGATGCCGAATCGAAGGTACCCTCTTTAGGTAATGTGGGTCGTATACTGCCACTCCCATGGGACATGGCGCGTCGGAAGGAAGGGCAAGTACAGTGGAAAGTGTGTTTACCACAGTTTCTTACTATCAACATAATTTATCCCGATGCTGCGTTCATAGTACCGGTAGTATGGTCTTTAAGGTCCTTTGGCTACGTAAGGTTAAGCTCGCGCTGCGCTGTTGAAAGCGTTCTAGGACATATCCTTTGTTACAGTGATAAGCAGCATGTTGACCGGAATAGGAGGCGCGGTCACTGGCGTGTAAGCCGGTCATCGAGGCGCGCCCCTCGCGGCTGCGCCTTGTGTCATGGCGGATAAGGAATCATTATCTAATGGCTTTGGTTCGCCGCGTGGGTGCGCGCCAAACCTCAGCGTGCAAAGGGCCTCAGCGGGAGGCAGGAAGCCAAGGTCAGCGCTCTTGCTCATTGCAGGCGTCTGGCCGCTTATGTGCAAAGCAGTCATCGTCTAGCTTTAATGTGCGCCCGTAACCGTGCACAATGTAGGCATGGCGACGATTCACCACCAGCGGCAAGGGCCTCGACTCTATTTCAGGCTTTGCTGGCTGAGAACCCTGATGTGGACGATGAGGAGTTGCTCCGCGGTCCAGATTATCATGAACTGCAACGAAAATACTTGCAGGACAAGAAGCAGCAGGAAGTCATTGAGCGACTGGAACGAAGAGCAGGTGGATTTGCCAGTGTTTTTGGCACATTACGATTGATGTTGGTTCCTACTATTTGACGCGCTGAAAAACGAGCTCGGTTACTCTTGTTCTTGGCACCACTTGTCCTTGGCAGCAAGCCTGGTTGCGTTCGTTTGCCGACGTTTCTCCTGCAAACATTCCGCCTTACAGACACAGGAGCTTCCACTGTTGCCCTCGGTGGGCGTCGTCGCAGCAGCATAGATGGCGTTGGCCAACCAGAGCACCTCCAAGGCGCTGGTGACCCATTGCGCAGTCACCGAACTCCTGAAATGCTCCAAAGCAACCTGGAGCCTAGGCTTGGTCCCCGCCGCAGAAGCAGCCAGGGATGCTTCCACTCAGCTGACCAATCACCGCGAACCTCCGCGAACCGCTTCCCAGGCGGCGCCTCAGCTGCACCCTCACGCCTCAGTCTCGAGGCCTCCTCCTCCTCGCGCCCTCCTTCAGCCCTGAGGCCCCCACCGGCGCCAGCACGCGGGGCCCACCGACCTGCCTCAGCCCTAGCGTCCAGCAATAGCCGCCAGCGGCGGAGCAACGACCATGCGGTCCTGGACGCCGCTATTACAGCAGCACCAACACACCCTGCCGCTGGCACCACCACCACCAGCACCGCCACCACAGCAGCGGCAACAGCAACAACCACAGCAGCTAGCGTAGCCGCGTTAGCGACAGCCGCGCCTGCTCCTCTTCCGCCGCTTCCTCCTTCCGCTGATAGTAGCTTGCCAGCTACCTTTGCAGCAACACACCCCGCCCAGTCGCAGCGGCAACAGCAGCAGCTCCCACCACCTCCCACGCCATCATCAGGAGCTGCAACACCCGACTCCCCCGCTGCCGTTGCTGGCAACCACCAACCCCAACCGCTGCAACCGCAACTGCCGCAACCGCTACCGCGATTCTCACGTCCTGAGCTCCGGGCAGTTTACAAGAGCAGCACCACCAAACCCCACCTCCTCTCATCTCTCACGGAAGATGACCTGCTTGCAGCAACCAGCGTTCTAGCTGCCGTACAACCGGCGTCGTACTCGCCCCTGCCAGATCCGGAGAGGTTTGGATCCGCTGGGACAGCAGCTGTAGCGGCTGTTGGGGGCGGCGGCGGTGGTAGCAGCGGTGGCGGAGGTGTTAGTAGTGGAGGCGGCAGTGCCGACAGTGCGGATATGATTGTCAGCTTGTCGCAAATGATGCCCTTTCCTGGAAGCGGGCCGGGGTCGGAACCGGCAGGCATGATGGGTGTCGGGACGGGAGTCCCTCCATCGCTAACACCGTCTCCGCACAACATCATTAACAACAATGCTGCTGGTGCCGGGATGGATGCGGGGGGGCCAGAGCGCTGGGGGCCCTGGGGCAAGACGGGCGGTGCCGCCGTTGCAGGAGACGCCAACAGCGGCGGCGGCGGTGGCATCAGGAGTGACGTCACCCCAGGCGGCAGCAAGTGCAACATCGCGGACGTGACCTCCGACATTGTGGGGGCGATGTACCGCCGGAAAGCCGCAGCAGCAGCTGCAACTGCGGCAGTAGCACCCGAGGAGGAGCAACTTGGTGCCGTACATCACAACCATCACCTCCCAACTCAACCGCCTCATGTCCCTCATCCTGCTCGACCCAGCTCCGCCGGCCCCACGGCGGGGTCCACCTGCCCCTTCCCCCCGCTGGGTGCCGTGTCGCCCCCTCCTCCTCCTCCTCCTCCGCAGCAGCAACCACAGCAGCAGCAAGCACAGCCGCAGCGGTCCCCCATCTTCACCTCCTCGCCTCAGCTCATGGCCTCACTGGCGCTGGTGGAAGTGAAGCCATTGGCGGACCACATACCGAGGGAGGGGGAGATCAGGCAATGTGCGGGTCGGCCGTCGGGAGCCGGCGTGCATGCGGGGTGCGCGAATGCGGCTGGCGGCGGCAGCGGCGCCGACTGTACGACATGTACGAACGCCACAGCGGGTGGTCATGGAAGCTCAGCTGCGGGGGGTGCGTTAGGGGCAGCTGGTAATGGCGGGGGCGGAAACGGAATCAGTAGCAACACCAACAATGAGCGTACGACGACAAATGACTCCCTGGGGACGTACGAAGATCTCGGAGATCTCTCACAGTTCGGTCCCGTACGACAATTCGCGATCCGGTTGTGTTCAAATCCGGATTTTGAAATGGGCGTGACAGCCATCATCTTTGCCAACTGCGTTACGCTGTGTCTGTACGACCCGCGCAAGCCGGAGGGCGGGGGGCTCAACGGCAAGATATTCTGGGCGGGTGAGTGGCCGGAGTTGTCTCATGTTGGGGTTTGGGAGTCCTTTCCTGTGTTTGTTTATTGTGGGGGATTGGGGATGTAGCTGGGGTGGGTGTTGGGTTGGTCACCCCATGAATGAGGGAATGGCCTGTGTTCCTGTGCACACCCCCCCTCCCGCTCGCCCCTCCACCCCTCCTCTCCTCCTCCTCCCCTCCTCTCCTCCTCCTCCCCTCATTATATATATTTTTTACCCTCCCCCCGCCCCTGCGTGCAATGCACACCCCTCCCCCCGCCCCTCCACCCCTCCCCTCCTTCGACTCGTTGTTTCAATTAATTTTTCCCCTCCCTCAGAGCTGGCCTTCAACATTTGCTTCTCCGTGGAGATGCTGCTGCGGGTGGTGTCGGTTGGGTCCTTCCGGGCGCACATCCGGCGACCCTGGAACCAGTTCGACTGCGTAAGTAGTACAGAGCAGCAAACACGAGAATACAAAAGCGGCAAACAAAAAACACACATAGCAGACGCGCCGCACAACCCTAAGCCCCTGTGTACCCAGCGCAGCGCCGCTGCTAACCTCTCGCCCGCCATGCATTGCTTCTCCTTCCTTCCTCTCCTTCCTCGCACCTTCCCACCTTCTCCCTGCCCCCCACCCATGCACATCACCTCCCCTCCTCATCCCCACCTCAATTAACACCCCCCACCTACCCGCCACCCTCCTCCCTTCTTCCTGGCAGATGATGGTTGTTGCCGGCTACACCGCCTTCATTCCCGGCAACTCCTCCGCCGTCAACGCCATCCGAGCGCTGCGGGCGTTACGGCCGCTGAGAACCATCACGCGGTTCGAGTCGCTGCGGGGCGTCATCGTGTGCTTCCTGGAGGTGGGGGTGGGGTGGAGGGCGGTGGGGGTGGGGGTGGGGGTGGAGGGCGGTGGGGGTGGGGGTGAGGATGGAGGGCGGTGGGGGTGAGGATGGAGGGCGGTGGGGGTGGGGGTGAGGATGGAGGGCGGTGGGGGTGGGGGTGGGGTGGAGGGCGGTGGGGGGGAAAAATTATAAATAAATGCAACAACGGTGGGGGGGGGTGAGTAAAGAGGAAGCGACGGGGGTTAAAAAATATAATGAGACACTGACGACGCGACGAAGCGACGGGGGTTGGGGGGCGGGTTAGGGGAGGAGGGTTAGGGGGTTCGAGGAGGGCGAGGAAAGGTATGGCGGAGGGTGCTGAAGCAGGCTGAAGAGGGTTTTTTTGGAGGCGTGCTGAGGTGTGTCGTACCCCTCCTCACTTCCCCAGCCCTCTTAACCCTCCCAAACCCGCTCCCGCCCCCCATCTCCTGCCCCCCCCTTCCAGGCCATCCCGCTGCTTGCCTCTGTGGGCGGTCTGCTGCTGTTCTTCATCTTCATCTACGCGGTGGCGGCGGTGCAGCTCTTCCCCAAGACGTACCACTGGGTGAGGGGGGAGGGAGAGCGCCTGGCTGGCTGCCTGCTTGGCTGCTGTAACTGTCCAGACCACCCAATACCCGCCTCTCCCGCTCACCCCCCTCAAACACACACACATCTTCATCTTCCGACAATCACAGTACGTTCCTCCTCGCGGTCAGTTTTCTCAACACACACACACCCTAGCGACACTTTGGCACTCGTGTAGCCCGTTGCGAGTAACCCCCTGCTCCCCCGCCCCCCCCCCCCCCCCGCTCAGACGTGTGTGGATGCCGGCGGGCTGCCGTACACCGCGGGCGAGGACCCCGACATGCGGGGCTGCGGGGGCAGCGGACACTGCCCGGACGGATACACATGCACGGTAGGGGGGTGGCGGTTGGTGGGTGGGGAGGTAAGGAGGTGAGGAGGAGGAGTCTTGACTGCCTCCTGCCTTGCGTCGCACTTATCCCACTTCCTCCCCCTCACCCTGCTCTCCTCCCACCCACTCCTCTCCCCCGCTCGCCCGCTCCCCTCCCCCCCCCCGCGATCAGCTGCTCCCCGACCAGTTCACGCTAGACGTGGCGGGTTTCGACAACACCGCCGCCGCCATGCTCAGCGTGTGGCAGGCGCTCACGCTGACGGGCTGGGTGTTCATGATGTACCGCACCATGGACGCCTACTCCGCGGTGGCGGTCTTATACTACGTAACACTGGTCTTCATTGGCGCCTACTTTGTGGTGAGGCCGGGGCGGGGGTGCGGGGAGCGGGGGAACGGGGACGGGGACCAGACATGTACCCAATTACAGGTTAGGGCGGGGGGACGGGGGCCCTAACCTCCCTGCCTAACCCCCACTCGCCACGCCCCACCCTCCCACATGCCCCCCATCTCATCAGCTCAACCTCTTCCTGGCGGTGCTCAAGATCAAGTTCGCCAAGGCCCAAACCCTGTTTCACAACCAGCTGGCGCTGCAGCGAGGCAAGGCGCGCCGCAACACCATCCTCAACTTCGTCAACAAGGTGCACAGCAGGTGGACGGAGTTCAGCTCCAAACGCAGCCAGGCGTCGCTGCTGAACAGCAAACTCAGCAGCGCCATCAGCTCCAGAATGAGCGGCGCTGGTGTTGGAGGAGGAGGTGGAGGTGGCTCGTTAAGCTCGCTGAGAATGTCTGGACCGGGGTTGCCCGGGGCGGTGGGGGGAGGAGGCAAGGGGGATGGTGGTTTTGCGGCGGCAGCAGCAGCAGCGGCTGCTGCTGCGGCGGCGGAATTTGGGGGGAGGAGCGGTACAGGAAGCAGTAGTGGCGGTGCGAGAAATGGCAATAGCAGCAACAAGAACAGCAACCATCAGTTGGAATGCGGGTATGGTGGGGGTGGGCAGGAGGGCGGTGAGAAAGTACCCGATGCCGATATTGCCCACGCTCAAGACGACCGCAAGAGCAGTACCGGGCTGGCTGGAGTAGGGTCGTCATCGGGGCGCAATTTGCTTCATGCCAGTACCGCTGCTGACGCGGCGAAGGGCGGCAACGGCAGCAGCCCCATACGCAGACGAGGCGGCGGGATGAGCAGCAGCATCAGCAACATCGCCAGCAGCAACCCCTCCTCTTCTCAAATGCTCGTCCAGCCTTCTGCGACCAGCAATACGAACAACGCGGAGGACGATGACGACGACAACGATGACGCCACCCCCTCGCAACCCCCGCCTTCGTCCGCGCCCACTACTGCTGTGTCCTCGACGTCAGCAGCTGCCCGCTTGACTTCTGCTGCTGCCTCCGCCACTACCACCACCAATACCACCACCTCACAACCAACGCTCTCGCCAGCGTCTTCCTTACCCACCCGCTCCCTCTCCCAAAGCGCCACAACAGCCGCATCACCAGCAACCCCAGCACTAGCTCCCAAACGGCCGCCCCGGTCCGCCCTCTCCCGCAGCAAGCTTCACAAAACCACCTCCGCCAATGCCACCGCTGCCGCCTCCACCGCCGCTGCTGCTCCTGCTGCGTCCCGCAGTTCCCGGCCTCAGCGTGTCGTGTCCTTTATCCGCCACCACAGTCATCATCATCATCAGCAGCAGCAGCAGCTGCAGCAACCAGCGCAGGAACAGCCCGAGCACTTCCGCCAGCCCACCAGCAGCGGCGGCGGCTGCAGCAGTGACCGCGGGGCGGTTGCTGTTTTAGATAGGCCAGCCGGGCCGGTTTCGGAAGCTGTAGAGCCGTCCGCGATCCGAGCGACGGTGACGTCACCATATCCGACGCCGGCGGCGACGGCGGCAGTAGCACAAGCTGGTCCTGTTGCGGAGGCGGTTCGCTTCGCACACGGGTCGCAAGAGAGCGACCCTGACCTCCCTTCCGCCGCAGGTCTCGATGGGGCAGCAGATACAGCAGCCGTAGCAGTAGCAGGCAGTAGCGTCACAGCCGGCCAGCGCTCCCCCTCGGCACTGATGATGACGACGCCAGCAGTAGCAGCAGCAGCAATGTCGTCTCCCAGCAGGGTGTATCCCGATGCCGAGGATGGTGTCCTTAACGGTGGGTTACCCCTAACGTGTTGGTGGCAAGGGGATTATAGACCAAACCGAAGCATACGAAACCACAGGTTACGGCAAAACCATGGGGATAGGAAGCTGCAGGGTGCCACAAAACAAGTGTTGGTTGGAGCAGGAGCTAAATAGAGCTGGCTATTGAAGTGGTGTGCTGTTATTGTCTTAAGGGGGGGAACAACATATGGGCTGTACGAGGGGTTGTACATACGTAGAGGTGTGTGTGTAGTTGAGCGGAAACGTAGAGAACAGACACACTCTGCTTTGTTTGTCGCTGTTACGTTCCTAGCTGCAAAGTTGGCTGTTCCTACCAGCATTGCTGCTCCACTGCAGCACTGCTGCTGCTGCTGCTGCTCTTGCTGATCCACTACGGCCATGACAGCCACACCACCATTACCACCACCACCACTTGCTACAACAACAACAATACACCGTGCTACACGACACCGGGATAGCAACCCCACACTCATTACTCAACCCCACACTCATTACACAACGCGTGCACATGTGCTGTAATGCTGTAAACTCGCGTGTGCGTCTCGACCCTACCCCTTACGGAACCCCGTACAACATCCAAACCCATGTCACATGGACGCAGGTCCAAGCGCCTTCGCTGCAAGCCAAGCCACAGCTGCAACAGGAACCGCTTCCCCTGGCAGTTTCACGCAGCTAGGGCACTGCAGCACCCCCCCAGCAGCAGCAGCGCCAACCGCGGGCGCTGCAGCTCCCATCATCGCCACCACCATGGGTCAGGGCTCAGGTCATGGCTTCAGCAGCAGCAGCATCCCCCCTGCCCCCCCCAGCCAGGCTGCTGCTGCTGCTGCTGCCAGCCCTCTGGGTCGGCCCTCCGACAGGAGTCTGATGGTGGGCGAGCGGTCGCTGAGCGCCGCTGCGGCAAGCAACATGGGCGGCACCAATGTGGCGATGATCGTAATGACGGCGGAGGAGTTCGATGAGTGGGTGTGGGGGATGGGTGGGGGGAGGTGGGGTTGAGGGAGGCCGCGGGGGGCTGCCCCCAGTCATGCCCCACGTATGCCTTCTTGCACCACCCAACTCCCAACCCAACCAGCCCGAATTAACTCCAACCAATCCCAACCAACTTCCAGGTTTGTTGCCGACCACGCCTACCTGGAGCGGCAGGTGCTGCGAGCGCAGTACCGCACTCGCATCCTGGTCAACCACAACCTGTTTAACCAGGTGGGGGGGAGAGGGAGTGGGGGAGAGGAGGGGGGTCGGGCCGGGGTGATGTGTGTGTGGGCGTGACTACACGGAAAGGCTGGCAAGTAGAACATCAAGAGTGGGACAGGCGGGGAAGAGGAAGGGAAGGGAAGAGGAAGGCTTGTACATCCACGTACCTGCCCCTAGATGACAATTCCAAAGCACCCCTGCATGACGTTGCAAAGATGCAGTATGCGTAGGCTATACCCCTATCCTATCCTGCATCTCATCCTGAGAGCTGGTTTGGCTCCAACCGCCCCTCCCCATGCCTCATGCACCCCTCGCCGCCCTTCCCTTCCCTGCCCCCTCCCTTCTCTTTTACCCCCCTCCCCTCTTCCCCTCTTTCCCCCCCCCCGCCCAGTTCTTCATGGTCCTCATCTTCGCCAACACGGTGCTGCTGGCGCTCGAATACGACAGCCAGCCGCCCTCGCTGACACACTTCCAGGACATTGGCAACAACTGTCTCACGGCGCTCTTCGCAGCGGAGATGGTGCTCAAGCTGTTCGGACTGGGGTTCTGGGACTACGTACGGGTGAGAGGCGGGGCGTGGTGGTGGGGTGAAGTGGAGTGATTGGGGGGGGAGTAGTTGGGTGGAGTTATTGGGGGAAAAGTGTGGAAATTGTGTTGTATTGTGTTACAGGGAAGGGGGGAGGGAGTTTTACATATGGGATGAGCGGGGCCACTACTGGGGTGAGGGGTAGGGGGAAGGGGAAGGGAGGGGAAGGATGCTGTATCATCCGGGTATGTATACCGCACCTGGCCCCAACCGGCGCTGCAACTCACTGAACACGCCACAAACCGCCACCACCACACTTCTCACCCTAACCAGCTACCCTAACCACCCTAACAGGACGGTTTCAACATCTTCGATGCACTGGTCGTTACCTTCAGTCTGTTGGAGATCGTGTTGTCATCATTCGCCGGATTCAACGCCATTCGTGCGCTGCGAGTCCTCAAAGCCTTTCGCGTGCTGCGCCTATTTAAGCTCTTCCGCTACATGCAGTCGTTGCGGCGCATTGGCGAGGTTCTGCTAAGCGCCTTCTCCTCCTTCGCCGCCATCGCAATGCTGCTGATGCTGTTTTGGGTTGTGTTTGCGATCATGGGCATGCACGTGTTTGGAAAAAAGGACCTGGACGTGTATCCCTGGCCCAACTTCTCAACCTTCCTGTACAGGTACGGTGGTGGTGGGTGGGGAGAACACAGGGAGGGGGCGGATGCGAAGGGGTGTGCGTGTGTAGTTGAGTAGAAACAAGAGCAAGCAGTTGGGAGAGGTTCGCATATGAACCTCGAGTACAGGCAAAACAGAGGTAACCAAACCTGTAACGTGACTCAAAAACGGCTTAGATAGCTGGTGCTGGATGTAAGAAGAGTGACAGGTTGACGACGCATGTCGCGCGATGCTGATGGTGTCGGAAAAACTAATTACTACCGGCAACCTAGCCCGCTGACCAACTCGACACCGGGAGCCCCCGCTCTGGTCACGCAGACGAGACACCAAAATGCTGTGCAAGTGTGCATGCGTGCGTGCAAACGCGCATTGCGTACCTGCGAGCAAAGAGGGGTGTGTGTGTGTGTGTTAAAATAACTGGCCGCGAGGCGAAACGTACTGGGATTGCCGAAAGATGGAGTCCCCACCTCCCTTACTCTTACCCCCATCCTCACCCCTCCCACAGTATGGTTGCCACCTGGAACGTGCTGAACCTTGAGAACTGGCAGAACACCATGCACGCCGTCATCCGAGCCACCGACTACGGCTCCAGCCTGTTCTTCGTGTTATGGATCATCATAGGTGTGTGTAGTTGTGTGTGGGGGAATGAGGGTGCCGTACCGTACTGCCTGCCTGCTGGCGCCCTAGAGCTACGGCACGACACGACACGGCACGGCACGGCACGACATGATGCATGTCGCAACGTGGCTGACCACTGCGAACCGCGCCCACCCCCCGGGGCTTTCTTCTTAGGGTATTCTTCTTACCTCTTTTAACCCCACCACCCCACCACCCTGCTGCCAGGTCGCTACATCTTCCTTACGTTGTTCCTGGCGGTCACCCTGGAGGCCTTCGAGGCCAAGTACGACCCCACAGCTGCTCGCCTCGGCGCCAAGACCGGCCTCTCATCCATGCTGGGCTCCTGGCTGGGTCGCTCGTCCAGCTTGCGATCCATCAGCAGCAGAGCCAGCAGCGTCTTGAGGTAGGGGGCGGGGCGGGGAGGCACGGGGCGGGGCGGGAAAGGGCTTTAACTCCATGTCCATACTGTCCATGTACTGCTCCCGTGCACACCCCACCACCGCCGCCGCCACTTGTCGACCATGGGGCACATGACACGTGTACGTCAACGTAACACGTGCGGGTGTGTGTGCTAAGGAAACTGGCCGCGAGTAGGAACGTACTGGATGTGTGTTACCGTAAGACGACTGGCCGCGAGTCCTGCTGTCCCCCCTCCACTGCTTGCTCTTCCTGGCTCTCCTATATCCCCCCCTCCCTCAGCTCGCGACACAATAGCATTGGCGACAAGCCCCCCATCCTTCCGGGTAGCCCCGAGGAGGGGGCTGCCAAGGTGGGCCCAAGGGGCAGCGGCGGCGGCCGGGCTGTGCAGTCCCGAGACGTCAGCCGTGCGACGTTGGAGCGCCCGGATACGGCAGAGCGGCGGGGGTCCCGGAGTCCTGGCGGGCTGGGACTGGGGCTGGTGGCGGAGAAGTCGGCTGCTTCGGGCGTGTCGCCGAATCGACTGGGCATTGGTGAGCTAGGGGGAGGGAGAAGGGAAGGAGGGAGGGAGAGTGGATTGCTGAAGGACTGCAGACGTTGTGTATGGGTACGGGGGAGGAGGCTGTCGAGCAGAAGTACGGGTAAGAAAGCACAGTTCCCTTTCACTGCTTCCTCTTCCTTTGTGGCCGGTGTTGCTTAAAACCGCTGAAACCCCAGCAGCACCTCCAGGGCTTGTGTTTTATTACTTACCATCGCCGCCACATCACCGCTCGCAAATGCACACCTCGCACAGGTTACCTGCCGGACGCCCAAGCAGCGGCTGTTGCAGCAACTGCGCAGTACGGCGATGGCAACGCTGCCGCTACAGGTGTCGTACCTGCCGTACCCGCCGAGCCACGTGTCAACATCAAAAAGATGTACACCATTAAGCAGTGGATTGACACAGGCAACATGGACGTGTTGAAGGCTGAGTCCAGCGACCTACCTGCCGTACCGCCCGGCCGTTGGCCGTTAGCGCTAACCGCCACGCCGTCGCCAACCGAACCCATGCGTTTTCGATTGAACACGAATGATGGAATCGGCCTCAGCAGCCACCTCAGTCGTACGACGCCGACAACGCCGACTCGTACGTCACTGAGTAGCGACGTCGGAGTGCGGCATGCTGGTGGCGGCGGCGGCAGTCATCGGACAACTCGCGGCTCGTCGTACATTGACGACTCGGCGGCTCAGAGCCGTGCGTCGTCTGAAGATACCGGTCGCGGCTGCGATGACGGCGGCGATGGTAAGTGCGGCGGCGGCGGTGACTGCAACCGACGCTGCAATGGAGGTGGTGGCGGCGGTAAGCGACCCATCGGTGAAGCTCTGGAACAGTACGACAGTGAAGGTGCGACATTCGACGACCCAGCGGCTCTGGAGCAACAGCAGCGGCAACAGCAGGCACGTGTGAGTGGCGCAGGTGGCGGCAGCAGCGGCCCTGTGCTAGCGAGACCGCCGCCACCAGCGCTGACGTCGGCAGGATTGCATTCCCCTGCCGTACTATCGAACGGCTCGCCAGCACTTCAGAGCCTCAGTCGTGCCGTACGGCGAGATCTCGGCGGGCTGGCGGCGCAGGTCGCTGACGTCGAGGAATCCGAACTGGACGATATCATTGTCGGCAGTGGTGGCGGCGCCGCCGTGGCTTCAGCTTCCGTCTGCGGCGACATTGGCGGCACGACTGCGGCAGCGACTAGCTGGGCGAGACCGACGTCGGCAATGATGCGTTCCGACAGCTCCGCGAACCCCCTCAACGGCGGCGGTGGTTTGATCCTGTCGCGCGCCAACGGCCGTGTCGTACATTTGGGATCCAGCTGCGTGTCCCCCAGCCGCACCTCCGTCGAAAAGGCCAGGCAGCCATCATCTCGGTTGTGCTTCGTCATAACAGACCGAGGCGAGGTGTCGGGAGGCGGCCATGGCGCGTCCGTGCCCTCGGGAACGTTATCCACGGTGCCTTCCGTGGTGGCAGGTATGGCAAATGCCGCTGAGGGTGACTTGCCGTACGATTACACGCTGCAGCCGTCGGGGCCAGCTCCGCTACGTGGCGGCGGCTTGGGTCCGGAATTTAGGTGCATGGCGGGCACGTTTGATGGCGACGACCGCGAAGGAGATAGCGGCGCGGCAGCATTTCCGGGAACAACCTCTGTTACGCCGCCCTCGATTGGCCTCTTTGACGTCTGCGGTAGGAATCCTGTGTCGTTTCTCAGCAGCGGGCAGCAATCGGACGACCTCATCCAAGCCTTCTTGGATCCCATGCGTTGCGCCGCAGTCCCCCTCACATCAGCCTCGCAGCCGCCACGTACGGGGCCGGTCGGGACGTCTGCGTGGCTTGCCTCGGACTCTGAAGTCGTCATGGCGACGTTTCAGGACCTGCTACAGCAGCCGCAGCCCGGTTCGGCGTCGGTATCGGCATCGTTGCTGGCAACCGCTCCCGAACTCCTGGGTGGAGTGGTGGGCACCTTTGAGGCTGCAAGCGGCGCAGGCGGCAGCGGCTTGACGTTGCGGGGAGGTCAGCAGATGGAGCAGGCTGAGGCGGGCGGGCTGGTGCTGAAGGCCGCTGCGCTGGCTGCCCCTCCGCAGCAGCAGCGGACACATGCTGATGACACGTTGGTTCTTAGGACGTGTCCGGGGGAGATTTTGCCTAGCTGGTACCTGTCGCCCAGTGCCGTAGATGCCGCCGTCGCGGCAGCGGCAGCAACGACGACGGCGGCGGGAACGACGCAGGGCACGCGGCGGAGTAGCAGCATGACGACACAGCAGCAGCCGTTGCGGCAACATCAGCAGGAGGAGGACGAAGATGGCGGGCAGAGGGCGGCAAGGTCGCCTGACGGATGTGAGGTGACGACGGTTCAGGTTGCCACCTCCGCAGCAGCAGCCGCTGCAGCCGGCAGTCGTGCCGGCGGCGGTGGTGGCGTGTTTGCTGTCACGTCGGAGAAGGAAAACACACATGAGCCAGGCCTTTCACCGCAACCGCAACCTTTGCAGCAGCTGTCTGCGCCTCAGCAGCACCCGCAACAGCAGCCCACCTCCTCCCAGCGGCGATCCCGTGAGTCGTCATGTCACTCCAACCAGCAGCCTCAGCCTTCTTCACAATCGCCCGGTTCGCAATCGCAGCTGCAATCCAACAACCAATCATCGCTGCAGACATCGCTGCCATCCGAAGACAGCGGTCTGATGGTCCTCGCGGAGGAGCTTGCCAAGGCCCTGGCCCTAGAGCGGCACCAGCAGCAACAGCAGCACCCACAGCAGCAACAACAGCAGGAACAGGACCACCGGGTCGTCGCCTTTGCTTCTCAGCAGCAGCTGCCGCAAACACCCCACGAGGATGCCGTCTTGACCGACTGCACGGCTGCTGCCGCTGCTGCCAGTGTTGACAGCGCAGGCTCACCGCGTCCTGAGGATTCCCACGGAGCGTTGATTCGTGGTGCGCCGGTTGGGGTGACCAGCGGCAGCGACGGCAACGGCGCTGCTTTGGGAGGCACCCCGCAGGGTCAGCACAGTGTGTGGGCCTCCCCACGTGCCGTGGCGGAGGTAATGCCGGCGTCCTCGGCGGCTTCATCAGCGTCGTCATCACCAGCGGCGGCGGTGACAGCAGCGGAACTGGCCGCCTCCGCCGGCATCCCGCTCTCGGCGGACGCTCCGCCGCGCAACGGCGCCACCACCACCACCTGCCGCCCTCCTGACGTTCCTGCCTTGCAGCTAGACGCCTGTTCAGGTCTGAGGCCGGGCAGAGCTGCGGGGAGCCCCGACACGATTGCCGCCGCTGCTGCCGCCGCCGGCACTGCTTCTGCCACGGCAACGTCGCCTAATGACGTGGCAGTTGGCGGGGGCGGCGAGCGACCTGGCTCCACCGGAGAGGGATCCTTCCAAGGCCTGCAAGACAGCGCCCACAGCTACGGCAGGACGTCTAGCTCGGACATGAGCCTCGCATTGAGTGCATGCCGCAAAGCTGGCAGCGACGGTGGCGGCGGCGGCAGCGGTGGCGCAGGCCACGGCAAGGCCAACCCTACTAGCAGCGCCATTACGCCGTCGCTAAATGTCGACGGCGGCAATTGTAGTAGCAAAGAACGCGCCGGCGTTCCTTCGAGCCCAGACTGCAGCATCCTCGGGGATCTGCTGGGAGAGAGAATCCGCGTCTCGATGCTGGGCATGGACCCACGGGTCACCGCGGCCGAGACCGTTGATGACCGCAAGGGGCTCAACGGCAGCCTTTCCGGCTCGGAAGACTCGTTCATGGCGAGTCGGCGCCGGCGAGTGGGCAAGGATACGACGGCGAGTGCGATGATGGCGACGGTGAATGGCGAGTGTGAGGGCTGCTGCGGCACCGGAGCCGGGCGGCTTGATGACCGCAGGAGGGAAAGACCTGCGTCTGCGTCGGCATCTCCGTCGGACACCGGCAAGACGGGGTCCGCAGCGACCTCGGACGTGACTGGGTCTGAGGAGGAGGCAGGGAGGGACGGGGCGGCCGGCGGGCTCGGCGACAAGGGGTATCCCACGTTGCGGGTGGGTATTAGTGGAGCAGGGCGCAATTGCATGGCGCATAGACTGGTATGTAGGAAGCTAGAGTGTTGTGGTACCGGTATTACATCCCATGCCAAATGCGACTTTTGTGGTACCTTTTACCGGTGCCGGAATGCCTCCCAACTCATACCCTATTGCTAATCATCTTCTCCCGTCTTCCCTCTCCTCTCTCCTCCCTTTCCCCCACAGCGTATTTCCGAGGCAGCATCCGCCGCCGCCTCTGACGTGGAGTCGCGCGCCGACTCATTCGACAGCCGCGTCAGTGCGGCGGACGCGGCGACCGACGGCGGCGACGGTGACGAAGCCGCCGACAGCAGCGAGCGACGCCGTCGCTACCAGCGCCGCCGCCGCGTCAGCATCCTCATTGAGGGCACCGGCAAGAGCTTTTGGATCTGGGATGAGGACCACCCCACGCGGGAGAAGGCCTATTGGCTGGTGACCCACAATCGCTTCGAGTATTTCATGTTTGCGCTGATCTTGCTAAACTGCGTGTCATTGGCGCTGGAGAACCCCTACGTGCGATCTGGGTCGGCGCTAGACCGAATGCTGTCTTGGTCCAACGTGGGTTTCACGGTGGTGTTCGGCATTGAGGCGGCGATCAAGATGTTTGCGTACACCTTTGCGGCCTACATCAAACGCATTACCAACCAGGTGAGAGACCTGGAAGAGAGAGGTTTTGGCGGATGTACGGTAGCTGGACGTTTAGGGTTTGCATGCGCAAATTGCATACAGGTAGCCGCCATCGCACCACGCACCACGCACACCATTCCTCTTGAGCCCATCTGAATCCCCGTTTGCTTCCTCCTCCTCCTCCGCCTGCTCCACACAGGTGGACTTTCTAATCGTGGTCACATCCCTGCTGGAAATCACGCTTAAAATGGTCACCTCCAGTATAGGAGCCGTATCCGCGCTGCGCGTGCTGCGAGCCATCAAGCCGCTGCGCCTGCTGACGCGCAGTGCGGGCATGCGGCTCGTGTTCCGCAGCGTCACCATGAGCCTCATGTCCATGGCGAATGTTAGCGTGGTGTGCATCCTGTTCTTCCTCATCTTTGCGATCCTGGGGGTGCAGCTCTTTTCGGGGAAGTTTTACAGGTGAGGGCAGCGGGTGGGAATGGGTGGGTGGGTTGGGGAGAAAAGAAGAGGATGGAGGGGGAGGCGTTAAAAGAGTGAAACTACTACTATGTAGTGTTACGTAACCATGCAGTGGCATGTAGGCTCTACCATGGGCGTTTTTGCGGCACTAGGCTACAACAGCGGAGATGGGTGTATGTCTTCACACCACTCTTTCAATGTTACTTGCCAAAGCCGCCTGCCCCCGCCTACCCGCCGCGCGCCCGCACCTGCACCCTCTCTCGTGTCAATCAGGTGCAACGACGACTCCGTAGCTGGCAAGACGGAGTGCGTGGGGAACTACACCGACCCCACCACCCTCCTCACCACACCGCGGGAGTGGACGAACGACTGGCCCAACTTTGACAACACAGGTGACAGATCAACGCACGTGTCGTGCGATGATGTGGGGCGGGCACCACCCGGTCGCACGCTAGGCGCCCGCATCTGCAGCCCTCATGTCTACTGCACGAGGGCTCTTCCAGTCTTAGCGGACTTACCCTCGATACCGCTGCTGTTTCCTGTCAGCAGCAGCAGCAGCAACCTGGGCCCTCACCCCGTGTCCCACCTTTCTGCGCCCCTCCTGCACCCCCCATTCCCTCTCCACCTGCTCTTCCCCCCGCTCCCCCCTCCCACCACCCTCCTGCCTGTTCAGGCAACGCGCTGCTGTGCTGCTTCATCACCGCCACCCTCAACGGCTATACGGAAATCATGGTGAACGCCATGTCGGCGCCGCAGGAGGTGGGGCTGCAGCCGCGGCAGTTCCAGAATCCGGGGGCGTTCTTCTGGTGCGTGCGTGGGTGCAGCTTGGAGGGGTGGGGTGGAGGGGCGGGCTGCAGTGCGGCGGCGAGATGATTGTCCATTGCTGTTGCAGAAACAGACGAGGGCAACTCACAATCTGCTGCCCACGTTTAGCTTATCTGAATATCCTGCTGCCACGGCTGTCACCTGCATGCCACACGGTTATCTAGGTTCTCCCTCCTTACCCCCACTCCGCACCCCACTCCCCCCCCCTGCCCCGCCTCCCCGCACCCCCACCCCTCAGGTTCTTCGGCTTCATCGTGGTGTGCGCCTTCACGCTGCTCAATCTGTACGTGGGGGTCATCTTCAGCCAGTTCTCCAAGATCCGCATGCTGAGCGAGACGGGCAGCGCCTTCCTGACATCCGACCAGAACGAGTGGGCAGAGCTCACGAAGATGGTGTTCAGGTGGGGTGTGTGTATGGGTGGGGGCGGTGGGGTCTCGAGTGACAAGACCATGCAAAACCGCAAGTTAGGGCAAAGCATGTGGATTTGCGGATGGGGTTTGGGTGTGGGGAACCGACTGCTTATGATGGCTGTCGCCAACCGCCCCCTCTCTAACCGCCACCCCCACCTCCACCCCGCCCCCGCTTTCCACCCTGGCGCTTCCTAATCCCATTGTTTTGCCCCAACCTGTAATTCCTATGATTTGCCAAGGTCGTTGGCCCCTTTCCCCCTGTTACCCAGGCTGAAACCCCCCGACAAGGCGCAACTGCCCTCCGGCCGCATGCGCTTGCTGGCCTACCAGACGGTGCACTCCAGGGGCTTCGAAGCCACCATCCTCGCCATCATCGTCATCAATGTGGGGTTCTTGTCGGCCACATGGTACGGAGAGCCGGAGTCATACTCACGGCAGAAGGACGTGGTGAGTGTGGGACGTGCTGATGGTGGCGGGAGAGGCGTGATGATGACCCGGGGTTCAGTGGCGCCCGCGGTTTTGCTGGTATCGTAGAAGTAACCGGTCTGTGTTTTCTTTCTTGTTGTAAGAATTTATGAAAGGTCGGAAATGTTTGTTGTTATCACCGCAACTGCCTATAGCCTGCTGCCTCTAGCTGGCACTTCTGTCCGTCCGTCCGTCCGTCCGCCTGCCTATCTGACTGCCTGTCTGACTCAAATCGTGGGGCAGGCGAACATTGTGTTCATGTCAGTATTTACGGCGGAAGCAGCTGCCAAGATATATGCGCTGGGCTGGGTGCCGTACTTCAAGGTGCGTGTGTGCGTGCGTATCCAAACCTGTGTGCCCCCCCTCAGCACTGCTCCCGTCCTCTCCTCCGTTTAGCCCCGCTATGTGCACCGTGCTTTGTGACAGTCGTGTTGCCATGCGATACTAGATATTGTGGCTTGATCAACATGTGTTGCTTTGATGCCGTACACATGCGCTGCCGTTATCATGCGCTGCCGTACGCCGTCTCCGCAGGTTGCCTGGAACAAGCTTGATTTCTTGCTGCTGCTGTTGGGGCTGCTGGACCTGATCGTGTCCATGATGCAGAGCAGCTTCCTGCGCATCCTTCGGGTGTTCCGCATCCAGAAGTTCATAGCGCTGGTACGAGGGAGGGGAAGAGGGAGGGAAGGAGAGGGAGGAAGAGAGAGGAAGAGGGGGAGGGAATGTACGACTCAACCCACACCCTCACCTTCCGACTCAACCCAGTGTACGTCCCTACTCGCGGCCAGTCTTCTCAACACCCCACACCCCTCCCACCCCCCCACCCCAGGTCCGCATGGCTCGATTCGCGCAGCTGGTCAAGTCCGTGAGGGGCATCCAGTCGCTGTTCACGACGCTGGTGTACTCGCTGCCCGCCTTTGGAAACGTGGGCGCGTTGATTGGGCTGTTCTTCTTCATGTACGCCTACGTGGGGACGTTCCTGTTTGGGAGGGTGCGGTACGGCGAGTCCCTAAACCGCCGAGCCAACTTCCACGACTTCCTCCAGGTGGGTGGGTGGGGGGCGTGTGTATTCAGAAAACACGTGGGGGTGTGCGTGTGTGGGGGGGAGCTGCGGTCGGTAGTCTGTATCCTGCCTGAGTGCGCACGAGTATGGCTTGACCCGGACCCGGATTATCAACGTATCCAACTTCCCTAGCCCGGCCCTCGTCCCTCTTTCTCTCCTCTCACCCCTTTATTATCCCCTCTTAGTCCCTGCTGGTGCTGCTGCGGGTGGCCACCGGCGACAACTGGACGGGCATCATGTTCGACTGCCTGGTGCAGCCGCCGCACTGCGACAGCGGCGCGGGCGAGTGCGGCAGCTACCTGGCCATCCCCTACTTCCTCTCCTTCGTGCTGCTCATCTCGGTCATCTTGCTCAACCTCTTCACGGCGGTCATCATCGAGACGTTTGAGAAGACGCACGAGCAGGAGGAGTGGAAGCTCAGTCCACAGGTGGGGAGGGGGGGGGAGGGGGGGAGGGGGAGTGAGGGGGGGAGCGGAGTGTGGGAGGTGGTGATGGTGGTGGTTACACGCTGTCACGTGTTTCGTCCTTGGCCAGCCTTTTCCAAACCGTCAAAGTGCAACAGTGCGGGTCATGTGCCTCTTTCCCACACCCTCCTGGCCCACTCCTTCTCTCTCCCACGCAAATGGACTGTGCTCTCCTCTCATTTGTTTCTGTTCTAACTTCCCAGCTGCGGTTCTTTCAGTCTCTTCATCTCTAACCCTCTCCCTCCTCCACCCTCCACCCCACCCGACCCACATCCCCCACAGGCTCTGGAGGACTTCGTGACGCTGTGGAGCGAGTACGACGACGGCAGCGGCTCCATCCTGCCTCGCCACCTGGAGGAGCTGCTGCTGCGGCTGGACCCGCCGCTGGGACTGGGGCCCTACGCGGACAACAAGGACGTGCTGAGGTGGGGGAGGGGAAGCAGGGGGTGAGGGGCGGTGCTGAGGTGGGGAGGGCAGGGGGCGGTGGGGTGCCGCTGCTGCTGCCACGCTATACTCCTCTGCGTTATTTTGTGCGCGTTGCGTGGTTTTGCACCAACCTACCAACCTGCCGCCGTTCCTACCTACCGCCCTCTCTTTGTGCAAGGTGACCGCTGGCGACGGCCCAACGTATTTTTCTCCCCCGCTTCTACCCCTCCCCCACCTCCTATTGTCCCCGCCTCAGTTTACCTGATCCCCCTCCCCACTCTCCGCCTCTCCGCTCTCCCCTCCCCTCCCCCCCCCCCCCTCCCTTAGGTTTGTGTACGACCTGGATATCCCGCTGGTGAACGCGCGAGTGCCCTTCCACAAGACCGCATTCGAGCTGGTCAAGCGCTGCAGCCAGGCGACCATGCCGGAAGGTAGCATGCCAGGGCAGCCTACGTGTAACCTCACCGAGTGCATCACCGTGTGTACGGTATCCACGCAGTCGTATTCCGCCCACAACCGCCTCACCCTCCCTCCATACCTCGCTCCTCCCCTTTTCCTCCTCCGCCCCCACAAGCATGCATCTACTATAGCTCCCTGACCCCACCTCCCTCCTCCTCCCTATCCTCTCCTCCCTCCTCCTCCCTTACTCCCCCACCCCACCCCACCCCACCCCCAGGTGCCATCAAGGAGCAGATCGACCGGCTGGTGGACAAGTTCTTCCACGAGCTGGCGGCGCAGGACGAGATGCTCAACTTCTCGGTGGCCATCACCGTCATGAAGGTGGGGAAACGGGGGGAAATGGTGGGTCGAGGGGGGGAAGACATGAGACACTGCCATTCCGTACACTGTGTAGTGTGGGCATGCGAGTTGGGTTGGTCGCAAGGGGAGGGGGCGATGGAGTGGGCGAAGGGGACTCCACCTCCTCCACCCATGCTGCCCTGCCTCCTCCCCTCCCTCCTCATCCCTCCCCCTGCTCTCTTTGGAATTTCTTTTTCCCCCTGCTCCCCCGCAGGTTCAGCGCAAGTGGCGCACTCGCATGCGGGCTGCCAAGCTCCTCCGCAAGAAGCGCTGGCGGCAGGACCGTCGCGATGCGCCCGCCTACCCGGACATCGGCGCCAACAAGGCGCTCATTGTGGAAAAGTGGGTGGTGCTGATGACGTGGTGGGCGATGATGACGTGCGCAAAAGGCCGGAACTGCAAAGACACTGCAATCGGTACCGGTAGCCGTGATGTGCACTTCCTAGGCGCTGCTGTTGCTGCTGCCCATTGCTTGTTGGTTGCATTGGTTCGCGTCAGCATGTGAGTTAGCTCCAACCTCTCAACGTTGCGCCCCCCCTGCCGCCTCCATCGTACCTGACTGACGTCCCCCGCGTGGCCCATAGCCCCCCTCTTTACCCCTCCCCCTCCCTCCCTCCCGGATAAAGTCTCCGAATGCGCTCACTGCATGAGTCGGGACATGGGATTGGGACTCGTTGCTGCACAACAATTTCCCTCTCTCCCGCCCACTCTCCCGCCAACACCCCCACTCATCCATCCTCCCCACCCACCCAACCACCCACCCACCCCCACCCCCAACAGGTTCGAGGCCTTCCGTGACTCCCAGCGTGAGGCCGCCAAGTCCTGGGAGGCCCGCATGCAGGCCCTCAACCGCAAAGCCGACAAAGCCGAGCTCTCTCGCCTCACCGAGCCGCGCTGGCGCTTCAACCCCAAGTACGCGCCGCCCTCGCTGGTGCAGGCAACAACCGAGAAGGGGCTGGGGTTGCTGGGTCTGAGTCGCAAAGCCATGAACGTGAATCGGCTTGTGGGACTGTTCCGAGGCGGTAGCAATGCGGTGGCGAGGGGGTTGCTGGGGGGTGCGGGATTGGTAGGCGGCGGAGGAGGAGGAACAGGAGGAGGAGCAGCTGCAGGTGGGGGTGTGAATGATGCACGCGCGGCGAGCTCGGGGCTGCTGCTGCTTAGGTCACCCAAGGGCACCGCTAACGCGGAAGGCCTCAGCTTGAGCGGCGGAGGTGGCGGAGGGGGTTCCCCGGAAGAGGCCGCCGCCGCTGCCGCTTCGCCGTCAGGTACCTCCCTGCCGCGTCTGTTGCGAGCCATCACGCACACCACCGGACAGCTCGTGTTCCACACAGCCTACCACGGGGGCGGCGTGTTCGGCCCATCCACGCTGGAAGCAGCGGCCAGCGGCCGCCGTCCGCTGAGCTCTAGCGGCCCAAACGGAGGCGGCGGAGGTACGGTTGCCGCTGACGCCAGCAGCAACGACAGCAGCCGCCTTCGCATGCCGCAGCGCTCCATGACGCTCGCGGCGACACACAGCAGCGCACAGCGGCAGACATCCTCCTCAGATTGGCTGGCGGCGCCGGCACCGGCGAGGGCGCGAGCGACATCAACGTCGTCTTCACCGCTGGTGGCGCCGCCAGCGGCGGCGTCGGCGCAAGTCGCGTCGCCGACGTCCACGGCTGCTGGCGGCGGCGGCACCGCCGCAGGTAATGCTACCGTACGTTATGGCGGTTGGTCGGGACTGCTCCGTGCTGTCGCTGCCGGCGGCGGTAGCGGTAGCGGCGGCACTGGAGAGGTGCTGGGCAGTAGCAGCGGCGGCAGTCAGAAGGGGAGTCTGGCCCAACAGCTTAATACCGGTAATAGTATGGTAGCGACGTCTCCTGGGGGCACAGTTCGAAGCGGGCTGGGATCACCTAGGGTGGTGCCGTCGTCGCTGTCACAGCCTGGTTCGCCGTACTCACCTTATACAAATACTGGGGCCGGCGGCGGAGGCGGAGGCATAGAGTCGGATTTGGCGCGTTTAGCGTGCACTGCTGCTGCGACAGCGGCTGCAGCAGCGCAGAAGCAGCAGCAGCAGCAAATGGTGCAGCAACAGCAGCAGTTTGCCAGCAGCGGACGGGTTGACAGTGATAGAGGCGTGGATTTCATAATCTAATAGGGAACGTGAGACAGGGCTTCACTGCAGGGACCAAGGTATATATAGAGCATGGTAAATATGACCATGTTTACAAGGTAGACGCTGTAGCAGGAGGTGCGTGTATGGCTGGCTTAATGGTGCGAGCCTTTACGAACAGGATCCTCTATGTGAGAGGGGATCCTGTGAGCAAGTCTGCATACCATTTTACTTTGCGCGAGCAGGGCTTTTCATGGCGCATCATGCATCTGGATCGTGTTTGTGCTCATACCGGATGTGGACCGGCTCCAGGGCACGCCCTAGCACCTTTTTGTCGTAGTTGTTGTCGTTGAAAGATAAGTGGAGTGCAGTGGAGATGGATTGAAAAGGGACGAGAGGTTGTGCATACTTTAGCGGTCTTCCTAAAGAGTCGTTGCGTCGTTGTTGTGAGGAAGGATGACGGCTGCGAGAGCAGGTTAGGCGATCTGTCACATCGCCTCTCGCCTCGTTCAGCCGCATCCATCTGTTCATTCATATGGTGTGGTATGCTGATATACTTTTACAGGCCTATGCTCTCGAGTCTCGACAAAGTCCAGGAACAGCCGTGCAATGTCAAAGCCGGTACTTCCATGATGACTAATGTTGTACCACAGGATGCTTCATTCGTACACCAAGCTGCTGCGGTTGGGATTTCCTTCCGTTTAATCTCATAACCGGGAGGGCACTGCATGCGTTTTGGGGGCTTCTGATTGGTGGAGTGAGCGCCAGAAGAGAAAGTCGTTTGCGTAACGTGTTGCCCACTAATTTGCGCTTCCGAGGCGGCGTGTGATTATGGATGACCCCACATGGGGAGGGGTGAACAGGGCGGCAATGCGAAGCGCCCCGGACTTGCATGCGTGTTGGTCTCTCAGGTGCGCTTGTGAGGTTGGCGCTGTTGAGCGTACCGAGCTTAAACCATGCCGGAGGGTAGGACGGGGTGCATATTTTGTGTTGGGAGGTGGGCGGCTGACAACGAGCCGGTTACATATGGGGACCTTTCTTTTGGGGGGATTTGGGTACCACTGCAGATAGGCTTTGCTGCATTTGCTGAAGGTGTGTTTTGCTGTAACGTGTCCCAACATAATCGGAGTGGCAGGAGGCGCACTATGCGCGGGTTGGAGCTAATGTGTGCCGCGACCTCCCCCTACTGGTTTTGGAATTCCTACGGTTTCATCATGAGTGCCGAGTTGCAGTACAACGTAGTTAGTTCGATGTCGTATTGACTTTCGGAATCAATCCACATGTCGCCCAGCCTATGTCAATGCGGGTGCATGTCGACCTTTTGTGGTTTGGGGTTTCATTGCACGGATGAGATGTTCTGCTGGCCAGTGATGATGGTCGGGAGGTATGGAGTGGACGGGAGGTTGAACGGGTATTTGTGGCTTGTGCATGTGAACGGTCCCAAACGGTTGCTGAGGGTGAGGGCATGTCGTGTATTAATCCATTAAATGCTTCGATGGGCGTGGATTAATTGTAATTGTACGGCACTTTCTTGCGAATAAGGCTAGTGGCGATGCATGGGTTTCTTTGGGAAGGGGCAGGGAAGGGTAGTGAACGAAGGTAATGCCGTCCATTATAAGACGGCATTTCTGATATGAAATTCTCTTTTTGCGGAGCCCAAGAGGTTGCCTGGACAACCGCACGGCGGTTGGCTGACTACACAGTTATACATCATAATCATGGCCGCTGCAGGGCCGGCTCTTGCTGCTGCTCACTTGCGTGGCACTGCCGACCCTGTAAATACCGATGTGTTGTAGCCCTTGACGACCGAATTTCGGCGAGCCGCCATATGAGTCCTCGCTTCCTGCAAGCCGGAACCCATGCCGGAACGCGATGTACCAAATGGCGTTCTGTACGGCAGATTCATCTGTCTCATAAATTAGGAATTGCACGATCACAGCTAAAACTTCATCTCTTACTTGAAGAGGGACGATTGATCCGAATGATTTAAGCTTATGGCATGGTCTAGAAGGCGCATAGGGTTGTGCGTCGCACTTGATTCGTTCGGACTCCCCTGTAATACTCGCATTCGCATTCACAGCTAACCGTGATGCGCCGCGCTATGGCTCGCGGTGCAGCACGGAGATGCGGAAGAGCGCAGCTATGCGTTCGTGGGTTGAGCCGAATAGAATAAGCGGTTAGTTTCCCATAACAAAACCAGGCACTTTCCGCCGTCTAACGCAGATGGTGCTAGAACTGTCCTCGTCATCATCCGTTTTCGCACACAAGGAAAGCAGTGGCATGCGCTGGTTATCAGATCGGCTCACCAAAGGCCGGCCATCGTTAGTAGGCAATGGTGGCTGCCCTTTCTGACCGACACCACGATCACTGCATATGATGTGGATCTGTGTTGCATATATGTGCAAGGTTGCATGTGCCTTGGGTTCTTGTTTTACTGCTTTGCCAGGGATTTCCGGAACAGCGCAACGGCCACGATTTTAGTACGGATTATACGCGATTCGCGACAAAGGCAGGGCTTTGCTACTACCTATGTTTGACTCATAGTGAGATATATGCATAAATTAGGTCGGCTAGGACTATAAGGACTTGGACGCCTTGGCGGGCGAAGTGTGCCAGAACGATATTCGGTGGGCCGGGAACCACGGATGTGCCAATGCTAACATTTAGAAAGTCGCACTCTTACTCACCCATACCAACCCCTTTGCAAAAGGCTGCCTTGCTGTTGCTAGTAGCATTGCGTGGGGTTGTCCCAGAAGTTGCACCGCCCAAGGCAGATGGGTAATGAATATCTACACAACCAGCCGACATTGGAACCTCACACATAGGGCTTCGGGTCGACCGACGGCCGACGACATTGAGCAGGATACAGGACACATGTGAGAATAGTTGGTAGTATACTAAGGCCCTTCTTTCTTGGCTACACGATAGAGCTTCAAATGTTCTTGCAGAAATCTAAATTGCGGTAGGAGCAAGCGGAGAGAGCATATCGACGACGGTTATGGGCACGCGATGACCTACTCTCTAAAAGCACCGGTTAAGAAGGCAGCTTCAGGATGGACGTCGGTGGCCTCGAGGTGTGCTTTTGCTCCTTCCTGAACTTGATTCCAGCTGAAGTTTAAGCCTTTCATGTTTTGATCATCTTGGCGCAGGCTCTGGGCCCTAGCATGGCCCTTGTCAGGCATGGAGGTGATGACGTTTGCAAAAGAGCTGATCATTACCGCCTTTGTGGGGCATTTGGGCCCCGTGGAACTGTCGTCTCTAGTATTGTCACAGACGCTCTACAACGTCAGCGGCAACGCACCTATGCTGGGGGTCGTGACTGCCATGGAAACCTTCTGCGGGCAAGCTTACGGCGCTAAAAAGTATGCGACCGTGGGTGTTGTGACGCAGCGGGCCCTCGTCATCACCACCCTCTTCAACCTGATGTGCATAGCCTTGTGGGGCAAAGCGGAGTCGCTGATGCTAGCCATGGGCCAGGACCCCCAGATCGCCAAGGCCGCAGGGCGCTTCACCATCCTGCTGAGCCCCTGCCTCTTGTTGGACGGCATCGAGCAGTGCTTGCGCCGCTACCTCGCAGCGCAATCTGTCGTACAACCGCTCATGTACGTCACCTTCCTAGCCACCATGCTGACGCCGCTGTACCTATGGTACTTCATATTTAGGTGGGTAGGTTGTGGAACGTCGTTGGTCGTTATGGGGCGTTGGGCCATGCAGACGGGTGGGTTGCAGACGGGGCTGACTTGCGCGGAACGGGTGAGAGGGCAGGAGAGTGGGCGAGGGTGGTGTGTCACGGGGCTGCGTAGCGCTCCCCTGCACCCCTCACCCGCACCCCTACCCACTCACCCTCACCCGCACCCTACCCCCCCGCACCCCCCCCGCACCCGCACGCAGATGCGCCTGGGGCTTTGACGGCGCCGCGGTGGCGTGGGCGTGCGTGCAGGCCAGCTCCTGCCTGGGCCTGCTGCTGTTCACGCTGTACCACTCGCACACCCAGGAGCCCTCCCGGCGCACCTGGGCTGGGTGGAGCCGCGAGTGCCTGGCGGACTGGCCGCTCTACATCCGGGTGGCCATTCCCTCGGCCATCATGATTTGCCTGGACTGGTGGACGTTTGAGGTGGGAGGGGGTGGGGGGGCGCACCGGGAGGGGGAGATGGGAGAAAGGGAGGAAGCAACTAGTCGGACAGGGGCTCCGCATAGTGGGGGTGTTGTGGGGTTCAGGAGGGGTTGGGGACAGGGCAGGGGATGCGGAGGCGGATGGGGGGATGGTGGGTCGCGGTGGAGCTAAGCAGGAGGAGCGAGCTGCGCCGTGGGGCTGCCCGCTGGGATGCCTCGCTGCGCCGTGGGGCTGCTGCTCTGGTGTTACCTCTGCTGCAGTGCTCCGTGTGTCCACGGTGTGTGCTCCTGCACCCTCCTATGCTTCGTCCTCCACTTGCTGCTCCTGTCCTGCCCCCCCATGCTGCCCGCCACCCCCCCATGCTGCCCGCCAACCCCGCCCCCCCCATGCTGCCCGCAGATTATCGTGATGCTGTCGGGTCTGCTGCCGCGGCCCGAGATGACGATGTCCATGATGGGCATCACCTTCAACATCCACGCGCTGTGCTTCTTCGCGGCGCACGGACTCAGCGGGGCAGCCAGCACGAGAGTGGGCAACGAACTAGGTGGGCAGAAGGGCAGGCAGGGCAAGGGAAGAAGACACGTGGCGGTTGGTTGGCTGACTGCGGCCCCCGTGGTGTGCTTCTCTGTCTGTCTTGGTCATCTACTCTGGCCGCCTGCCTGCACTCCCACCTGCCTGCACTCCCGCCTGCCTGCACACCCGCCTGCCTGCACTCCCGCCTGCCTGCACTCCCGCCTGCCTGCACTCCCGCCTGCCTGCACACCCGCCTGCCTGCACACCCGCCTGCCTGCACACCCGCCTGCCTGCACACCCGCCTGCCTGCACACCCGCCTGCCTGCACTCCCGCCTGCCTGCACTCCCGCCTGCCTGCACTCCCACCTGCCTGCACTCCCGCCTGCCTGCACTCCCACCTGCCTGCACACCCGCCTGCCTGCACTCCCGCCTGCCTGCACACCCGCCTGCCTGCACACTCGCCTGCCTGCACTCCCGCCTGCCTGCACTCCCGCCTGCCTGCACACTCGCCTGCCTGCACTCCCGCCTGTCTGCACACCCGCCTGCCTGCACACCCGCCTGCCTGCACACCCGCCTGCCTGCACTCCCGCCTGCCTGCACACTCGCCTGCCTGCACACCCGCCTGCCTGCACTCCCGCCTGTCTGCACACCCGCCTGCCTGCACACCCGCCTGCCTGCACACCCGCCTGCCTGCACTCCCGCCTGTCTGCACACCCGCCTGCCTGCACACCCGCCTGCCTGCACTCCCGCCTGCCTGCACACCCGCCTGCCTGCACACCCGCCTGCCTGCACACCCGCCTGCCTGCACTCCCGCCTGTCTGCACACCCGCCTGCCTGCACACCCGCCTGCCTGCACTCCCGCCTGCCTGCACACCCGCCTGCCTGCACACCCGCCTGCCTGCACACCCGCCTGCCTGCACTCCCGCCTGCCTGCACACCCGCCTGCCTGCACTCCCGCCTGCCTGCACACTCGCCTGCCTGCACTCCCGCCTGCCTGCACACCCGCCTGCCTGCACACCCGCCTGCCTGCACTCCCGCCTGCCTGCACACCCGCCTGCCTGCACACCCGCCTGCCTGCACACCCGCCTGCCTGCACACTCGCCTGCCTGCACACTCGCCTGCCTGCACACCCGCCTGCCTGCACTCCCGCCTGCCTGCACACTCGCCTGCCTGCACACCCGCCTGCCTGCACTCCCGCCTGTCTGCACACCCGCCTGCCTGCACACTCGCCTGCCTGCACACCCGCCTGCCTGCACACCCGCCTGCCTGCACTCCCGCCTGCCTGCACACTCGCCTGCCTGCACACCCGCCTGCCTGCACACCCGCCTGCCTGCACACCCGCCTGCCTGCACACCCGCCTGCCTGCACACCCGCCTGCCTGCACACCCGCCTGCCTGCACACCCGCCTGCCTGCACTCCCGCCTGCCTGCACACACGCCTGCCTGCACACTCGCCTGCCTGCACACCCGCCTGCCTGCACACTCGCCTGTCTGCACACCCGCCTGCCTGCACTCCCGCCTGCCTGCACACCCGCCTGCCTGCACACCCGCCTGCCTGCACACCCGCCTGCCTGCACTCCCGCCTGCCTGCACTCCCGCCTGCCTGCACACCCGCCTGCCTGCACACCCGCCTGCCTGCACTCCCGCCTGCCTGCACACCCGCCTGCCTGCACACCCGCCTGCCTGCACACCCGCCTGCCTGCACTCCCGCCTGCCTGCACACCCGCCTGCCTGCACACCCGCCTGCCTGCACACCCGCCTGCCTGCACACCCGCCTGCCTGCACACCCGCCTGCCTGCACTCCCGCCTGTCTGCACACCCGCCTGCCTGCACTCCCGCCTGCCTGCACACTCGCCTGCCTGCACTCCCGCCTGTCTGCACACCCGCCTGCCTGCACACCCGCCTGCCTGCACTCCCGCCTGCCTGCACACCCGCCTGCCTGCACTCCCGCCTGCCTGCACACCCGCCTGCCTGCACACCCGCCTGCCTGCACTCCCGCCTGCCTGCACACTCGCCTGCCTGCACACCCGCCTGCCTGCACTCCCGCCTGCCTGCACACTCGCCTGCCTGCACACCCGCCTGCCTGCACACCCGCCTGCCTGCACTCCCGCCTGCCTGCACTCCCGCCTGCCTGCACACCCGCCTGCCTGCACTCCCGCCTGCCTGCACACTCGCCTGCCTGCACACCCGCCTGCCTGCACTCCCGCCTGCCTGCACACCCGCCTGCCTGCACACCCGCCTGCCTGCACACCCGCCTGCCTGCACTCCCGCCTGCCTGCACACCCGCCTGCCTGCACACCCGCCTGCCTGCACACCCGCCTGCCTGCACTCCCGCCTGCCTGCACACTCGCCTGCCTGCACACCCGCCTGCCTGCACTCCCGCCTGCCTGCACACCCGCCTGCCTGCACTCCCGCCTGCCTGCACTCCCGCCTGCCTGCACACCCGCCTGCCTGCACTCCCGCCTGCCTGCACACTCGCCTGCCTGCACACCCGCCTGCCTGCACACCCGCCTGCCTGCACACCCGCCTGCCTGCACTCCCGCCTGCCTGCACACCCGCCTGCCTGCACACCCGCCTGCCTGCACTCCCGCCTGCCTGCACACCCGCCTGCCTGCACACCCGCCTGCCTGCACTCCCGCCTGCCTGCACACCCGCCTGCCTGCACTCCCGCCTGCCTGCACACCCGCCTGCCTGCACTCCCGCCTGCCTGCACACTCGCCTGCCTGCACACCCGCCTGCCTGCACTCCCGCCTGTCTGCACACCCGCCTGCCTGCACACCCGCCTGCCTGCACACCCGCCTGCCTGCACTCCCGCCTGTCTGCACACCCGCCTGCCTGCACACCCGCCTGCCTGCACTCCCGCCTGCCTGCACACTCGCCTGCCTGCACACCCGCCTGCCTGCACTCCCACCTGTCTGCACACCCGCCTGCCTGCACTCCCGCCTGCCTGCACACTCGCCTGCCTGCACTCCCGCCTGTCTGCACACCCGCCTGCCTGCACACCCGCCTGCCTGCACTCCCGCCTGCCTGCACACCCGCCTGCCTGCACTCCCGCCTGCCTGCACACCCGCCTGCCTGCACACCCGCCTGCCTGCACTCCCGCCTGCCTGCACACTCGCCTGCCTGCACACCCGCCTGCCTGCACTCCCGCCTGCCTGCACACCCGCCTGCCTGCACTCCCGCCTGCCTGCACACCCGCCTGCCTGCACTCCCGCCTGCCTGCACACTCGCCTGCCTGCACACCCGCCTGCCTGCACTCCCGCCTGCCTGCACACCCGCCTGCCTGCACTCCCGCCTGCCTGCACACTCGCCTGCCTGCACTCCCGCCTGTCTGCACACCCGCCTGCCTGCACACCCGCCTGCCTGCACTCCCGCCTGCCTGCACTCCCGCCTGTCTGCACACTCGCCTGCCTGCACACCCGCCTGCCTGCACTCCCGCCTGCCTGCACACTCGCCTGCCTGCACACCCGCCTGCCTGCACTCCCGCCTGTCTGCACACCCGCCTGCCTGCACTCCCGCCTGCCTGCACACTCGCCTGCCTGCACACTCGCCTGCCTGCACACCCGCCTGCCTGCACACCCGCCTGCCTGCACTCCCGCCTGCCTGCACACCCGCCTGCCTGCACACCCGCCTGCCTGCACTCCCGCCTGTCTGCACACCCGCCTGCCTGCACACTCGCCTGCCTGCACACCCGCCTGCCTGCACACCCGCCTGCCTGCACTCCCGCCTGCCTGCACTCCCGCCTGCCTGCACACCCGCCTGCCTGCACTCCCGCCTGCCTGCACACTCGCCTGCCTGCACTCCCGCCTGCGTGCACTCCCGCCTGTCTGCACACCCGCCTGCCTGCACTCCCGCCTGCCTGCACACTCGCCTGCCTGCACACCTGCCTGCCTGCACTCCCGCCTGTCTGCACACCCGCCTGCCTGCACACTCGCCTGCCTGCACACCCGCCTGCCTGCACACCCGCCTGCCTGCACACCCGCCTGCCTGCACTCCCGCCTGCCTGCACTCCCGCCTGTCTGCACACCCGCCTGCCTGCACACTCGCCTGCCTGCACACCCGCCTGCCTGCACTCCCGCCTGCCTGCACACCCGCCTGCCTGCACTCCCGCCTGCCTGCACTCCCGCCTGCCTGCACACTCGCCTGCCTGCACACCCGCCTGCCTGCACTCCCGCCTGCCTGCACACCCGCGCCGACCCACCGCCCCCTTCCTCTCTTTCGCCCCGCCCTCAACCCACCTCCTCCCCTGCAGGCGCCAGTCGCCCCCGTCAGGCCTGGCTGAACACGCAGGTGTCGGTGCTGATGGGCACCGTCATCATGATGCTGTCGGCGGGGGCGCTGCTGCACTGGCGCGAGCAGCTGGGCGGGCTGTTCACGGACGACCGGGAGGTGGGGCTGCTCACCAGCCAGGCGGTGCCGTCGCTGGCAATATCGCTCATAGGTGGGGACAGGGGGCCGGGAGGGGAAGGAGAAGGGAGGGGAGGTGATGAAAGAGGCGAAGACGTGAAGCGGCCGTGAGGGGGGTACAGGGGATTGGTAGCTCGTGGATCCTCCGCACAGGCACAGGCTTGATGGGAAGGGATGGGCAGGGGGTAAAGAGGAACCCAGCTATGATCACAATCCGCCGCCGCCACCGCCATCGCCTCTGTTGCTGCAGGCGAGGGCGCCAACACGGTACTCGCGGGCGTGCTGCGAGGCTGCGGGCGGCAGAAGATCGGCGCGCAGATCAACCTCTTCATGTACTGGGGCATTGGGCTGCCCTTCGCCTGCCTGCTGGCCTTCCGCATGGGCCTGGGCGCCATGGGGCTGTGGACCGGCCTGGCGTGTACAGCATCCGTACAGTCGCTAATCCTGACGTGGATCGTGTTCAAGTTTGACTGGAATGCGGAGGCTCAGCGTGCCAAGGCGCTGATCGCGGCCGGGGAGTTGGAGATTGAGTTGGAGGAGGAGGTGGAGGCGGTGATGATTGCTAGCAGCAGCGGGAGGCTGGTGGGGGGCGAGGTGGTGCTGGAGGGAGGTCTCCCTCCCGGGCCGGCAGGCAGGCCACGTTAATGGAGGAGCTGTGATGATGGCGTGCGGCCCCTCTCTGCAGCACCACAATAGGGTGGGGTGGAGGGGGGCCTGTAGCGTGCTGAGCAGCGCGTCGTGAGGAGTGCGTGTGGGTGAAAGGAGGTGGTTGTTTTAGAGATCAAGGGTGAGCGCTGCTCCTGTTTGCTGAGTGGCCCGCTGACGGCTCTGCAGCTGGAATGGGGTGCGAGGGAGTGGGGCCTAGGGGATTAGCAGGATGCAGGGACGTGTGAGCTAAGAGCCAGGTGGCCTGGTGTGCCGCTCGGAAGGTAAGGACTACGGTGGCGGCCTAGAGGAGGTGGCGGAGGTGGCGGAGAGGACACAACACTTTGTAAGTCTAGTAAAAATAGCTGCAGGGTGATGGCTTGGGGGCATCGTTTGAGTGCTGCGAGAGCAGTCGGTGGTTGGTAGTTGCTGTAGTTACTGGATAGCGGCGGTGATGTCCGGCAAGGAAGAGCAAGGCTTTAGCATGTGTGCATAGCCGATAACGCTGATAGCGAGGGGGGGTGGGGGGATGCTGGCTCCTGATGATGGTGGCGGTAGAGGGGGCCGGGACCCGGCATCACGCAATGCAAAACTCGAAATTGCTTTCTGGACTCTCTGCGAACGAGCACAGCGCTGCGATGGAGGCTTTCGATGAGTGTGCGTGCAGCAACTGCCGTAACTGATATCATGTGGCTGGGTAATTGGTACCACAAAAACTTTTAGTGATTTGGGATCTTTTGAGTGTTCTACTTCCCCTTCCTATGTCCTATGCGTCCCCGCGCTACCGGGGTGTACCTCAACACATATCGTAAGAACGAATGTGGAACGTCACTTCAGTCCCTGAGGCTCTTCTCCGTGACCCAACTAGGGGACGCCTCTGCGGTAGGGAATCCGTCCATGTGTCACAGTGACAGTCCCCCCGCGTGTCGTGGTGTGTCGCTGCGAGTTAGGGAGCCCGGCCGGCGGGCTGCGGAAGCGCACTGCTGGCAGTTGTGCACTGCTGGCGCGCATCCCGGGTGACTGCCTGCCTACTCGGGGGGGCGTGGTGCTCCTTGTGTGCCCCCACCCCCCCGGTCTGTGTAATACTTGTAAAGCAGAGGCATTGTCGTATACTGAACGATGCACGGCAGAGTTGACGCCTGGCGACCGACGGTTGGCCGCAGTTACGCTTACGACCTCGAAGAGCAGCTGAGATTGCTTCACGCCGCCCCAAATCCGCAAGGTATCAATATAAGGCCGGAGGGCTACGGTAGGCGCGTGCAGGTTGTATTGGCGTGCAGGATGTTTGCGCATGCCGGATGTGCCGATGGGTCTGGGCGATTACCGACTTGGAGTCGCCTAAGTAACGGGCAACGACACAAAACGTATCGCTGTAATTGTAGCTGTTTGATTGAAGTTCCTCGCTTGAAGCCCCGTGCACATGCCTGCGACCCATCCTTGCATTGACCCAAGTCCGACGTCCGCCGCCGTCTATCTCTATCCAATCCATAGTGTGGATCTATCTCCACATCTATCTCCACACATTGGGACGAGACGAGGCGCGGTCGTGCCTTTGGCCTCAGGAGGCAGGCCAGTCGGTCAGTACGGCAATCGGACCGGCCTCGTCTGTCCGCACGGCCTGGCCTGGAGCTGTCACACTTAAATTACAGTAATACCAGCTGGATACGTTTAATGCACACAGTCACAGTATTGCCTTTGCATATGCCGGTAAAGTGATTTCCTTGCTGATTAACAGCTAGCCTGTTCCGCATACAATGGCGGTCGCTGTTGGATGGCCCGGCATCGTTACATGCGCCTTTACGGCGCTAGCATTTATTGTTATGGCGGCTGATTGGGTAAGCTTGATAATTGCGTCGCGAAAGCGATTGGCGGTTGGCCGGTATCGTAGTACTCATTTTGCGGCAACACTCTTTACCACACAGCCGGCGGTATGCTATACGGTACCTAGCGTACATATAATTGACTTGCAAGCAATGTCGTGGGTCTTGGCTTGCATATGCGCTTTTTGGCCTCAAGGCCTTGCAGTTGTGAAAGGTTGGATAGGTCCAATAACCTTTACCCTAAACAGGGTCTTCATCCTACTTGCAGGTTGGACCTGACATCACTTTCACTTGCTTGTTAGCCTTCCTGACGGCCTTTAACGGAAAAATCATAACTGTTTCCGGTGCTGCTGCGGGCTATGGCAATTCCGGACTTCTTACGGTCATCTTCTTGTATCTCGTTGCTGAGGGTGTTACGCAAACAGGAGGTAAGTTCGCGTCTGAGTTGACCCCGCGTCGGCTGCTTCGCGAATTCACCCATCCCATTTTCACATTGAACGGTGTGCGTGCATTGACCCTTAACGGTAGCCCATTCAAACTCAGTATTTACCTTATATATCTATCAGCTCTACTGAGCCCTGTCGACTTGCGTCCGTGCTTGACGTGTCCACTTCCTTCATCGCCTAACAAAAAGTATGTTTGCACCCGCGTCCTCCCCCGTATTATGTCATTTACATAGGACTGGAGCTGATCATGAATTACCTGTTGGGTCGCTCTCGCTCCGTACATTGGGCCCTCGTACGCTCCATGATCCCCGTGATGTGCCTCTCCGCCTTCCTGAACAACACGCCCTGCGTCACCTTTATGATCCCCAGTAAGTAGGGCCTATCCGCGCCTAGATAGGCGCCCTCTGCTCCTTACCTCCTGCTGCTCTCGTGCACGTGACGCTGGTAGATTCATGTGGTGCATGGCCTTCGTAATGCCGGTGTAACACCCCTGCTCCCCTGGTGACTTCTAAAATAGTACAATCATAAGTCATTAGCATAATACCCTGCCCTCCATTCCTCCCACTTGCCCGCCTACTGCAGTCCTCATCTCGTGGGCCCGGCGCTGCGGCGTGCCGCCCAAGAAGCTGCTGATCCCGCTGTCGTACGCGGCCGTGTTGGGCGGCACCTGCACCTCCATCGGCACCTCCACCAACCTTGTCATCGTGGGAATGCAGGTGGGAGGGGGAAATCAGCCACAGGGAGGGAGGGAGGGAGGGAGGGAGGGACCGATTGGCTGCAAGGGTATGAGAGGTAGTCTATACATTTCTGTGTTCCTGCTTTCCTAGACACGCGATGCGCCTGTCAAGGGCCCTCCCCAACCCGCTCTGCGCAGGACACCCGATATTCCAAGCTGAAGAAGTACACAGAGGCCAAGTTCCAGATCTTCGATATCGCTCCCTACGGAGTGCCGTACGCGCTGTGGGGCTTCATTTTTGTGGTGGCGGTGCAGGTGCGTGTGTGTGCCGGCGCATGGAACCTGGCCGACAGGGGGAAGCGTATTTCTGTACTGGAATTAACGGAGCCGCATGGGCCACAGGATCCAAACACTGCTGCTGACAGGATTAGCGCTGGCAGGGGTAATTCAAACCCTTGCGCTTTGACCTCATCCCACCCCTGTGTATGCTGAACTTGCTGGTATATGCATATCGCTGCCCTCCACGCTGCTGCACGCTTCCTCTGCACCCCTCCCGCAGCGCTTCCTGCTCCCGGGCAACAGTTCGCGCTACGCCAAGGACCTGCTGCTGGCGGTTCGCGTGCTGCCCAGCTCGGCAGTCGTACGCAAGAAGCTGAAAGACTCTGGGCTGCTGCAGCAGACGGGCTTCTCCGTATCGGGCATCTGGCGTGCTGACCAAATGCTCAGGTAGCGGACTGCGGGCGCTGCTACTGCGGTGTGTGTTTTTGTGTCTCTTGGGTTATAACTGGTGGTTCAAGAGTCGCATCCTCGCCCCCGTCTGCGCCTCTCAGCAGCTCCACTGGGGCGAAACAACATGCCTTCCTGCTCAGCACTCCTACCTTCTGGCCCACCACCGCACACATGTCTCGTGCGGATTCTAAACTCACACACTCACACACTCACACACAACCTGCAACACCTCCACCCTGCCACCAGGCCTGACCCCAGCTTCATCATCGAGGGCGGTGACGTGCTGTATGTGGCGGGCGAGCTAGACGTGGTGGAGTACGTGGGAGAGGAGTACGGACTGGGACTAGTCACACTGGTAGGTTGCGGAGCTGGGCTGGGGGGCGGCAGGTCGGGCGCGGGCGGGCGGGAAGGGGTTTCCATTGCTTCATACACTTGCATGTGCATTTTTACACCTGCACCCATACTGCTGCTGTTATTGCTGCCAGACACTCAGTGCGTCACCGTCGCTGAACCTGCTTAACCATGCTGCACATTCGGTATTTTACCGGCATGGAGCTCACTGTGTGTTACGCTTGCCATCCAAGTCCTCTTATACTCTTTGCCTTCGTCTGATTCGGTTCTATTCCCCCTGGCGTCTGCCCCCACAGGAGCAAGAACTGACTTCCATTCAGCACTTTGATGACGCGGCCTTCTCCGGAACCGGCGGATCTCCGTACAAGAAGCTCGTACAGGTGTGTGCCGTAGTTGCCTGCCGTGTGTACCGTCTGGACACCGTGTGCCCCCTGCTGTGCTTACCTTAACGCTACCATACACACATATCATACTCCCTCTGCTGCGTACGTACCCCTATGTACGCCCCCAGCTCACGTACTTCTCCCAATCAACCCCCACCCCCCCAGGTCACCATTCCCAAGACCTCCGATCTGATCGGTCGGGTGGTTCGTGAGGTGCAGTGGACGGGGCGCTTCGGGCTGGTTCCCGTCGCCATCCAGCGCGGCAATGGGCGGGAGGACGGGCGGCTGTCGGACGTGGTTCTGGCGGCAGGGGATGTACTCATACTGGATACAAGTAGGTGGTGTGCGTCATGAAGGGAGCCTAAGGGGGTTGCGCAATACCGTATATCGTATACACACGCCGTATAGCCGCGCCGTGCCCAATCGCCGCATGCGTGCCCGCCCTACATGTACCTGTCGGAGGTGGGCTGCCACGCCGCGCGCCACACGCAACCTGCATAGCCCGTTGTTATACCGTTGTTAACCGCGCCTCCTCGCTCTCCTCACCAAAACAGCGCCCACGTTCGATGAGGGCGGCGAGGAGTTCAAATCCAACTTTGAGAGGCTACGCGCCATCAAGGATGGGGCCGCAAAGGAGTTCATCATCGGAGTCAAGGTAAGGGGCGGTTGTCTGTGTTAGCTAAGACATGAGCTAAGGCGTTCCTTGTTAGCAGCACTGTGTACTGCCGCTATCGTACGACACATTTACGGCACTGCCGTACGGCGCTGCTGAGGCCTTTTGGGTTGCGCCACGACCCGCGCGTGGTACGGCTCGCATTCCTGTGATTGCTCCTCATCTCGCCACAAATCCCGTCTCCCCTGCTGCCTGCCTGTCCTGTCTTGTCTATTCCCCCATCATGCCACCAGGTTCGCAAGCGAGCTGACATTGTGGGCAAGACGGTGTCAGCTGCAGGTTTGCGCGGCATCCCGGGGCTCTACGTGCTCTCCGTGGACCGAGCTGACGGCTCCAGCGTGGATGCCGCTGACTACCTGTACAAGATACAGCCGGTGAGGCGGGTGGGGGCGTGTGCCTTGCTTTGACAGCAGCGGATCCTTGGAGCGAAGGTGCTAGCCAAACCCCAAACTCCCAAAGGCTCCCTGGTCCCCGAACCTCCAACCCCGATCTCGTCAGTTATCAAATCCTACCACACCCACTCTTTCCTCAACCCCCTCCCCCCACCCCTCTCACCCCCCTCAGGACGACGCCATCTGGATCGCCGCCGACGTTGCGGCCGTGGGCTTCCTCTCCAAGTTCCCTGGACTGGAGCTGGTTCAGCAGGAGCAAGTTGACAAGACGCGCACCTCGCTGCTGCACAGGCACCTGGTGCAGGCGGCGGTGGCGCACAAGGGGCCGCTGGCGGGGCACACGGTGCGGGAGCTGAGGTTCCGGAGCAACTACAATGCCGCGGTGGTGGCGGTCCACAGGTGGGAGGGCTGGGCAGGCGTTCACGATGCCATCTGACGCGCTCAAGCTCCGTTTTTGGTTATACACACGCTGTATGTATGTCTGCTAAAGTCTTCACAAGTCTGCAAAGATCCTGCTGCCGCTGCCACTGCAGTACCAACAGTTACCTGTTACCTGTTACCTGTTACCTGTGCGCAACCATGTTACCAACTGCGCCTCCCCGCCCCCTGCTGCCCGCCCACAGGGAGGGTGTGCGTGTGCCGCTCAAGGTGCAGGACATCGTGCTGCAGGGCGGCGACGTGCTGCTGCTGAGCTGCCACACGCGCTGGCCGGAGGAGCACCGGTACGACAAGGCGTTCGTGCTGCTGCAGGCGAGTGGCGGCAGGGGAGGGGGGCTGGGGGCGGGTGGGGGGCAGGGGTTCGGCGGTTGGGGACCGGCAGGGCGCATGTACTGATATCCGGCCCGTATGTGCTAGTGCGGGGCTTGGCATTAGGTGGACATCCGTCCCCTCGGTACATCCACTGGGCGTCCACCCATCCCCATACCACCTCCCCCGCACCCGCACTCGCTGCTGCAGGCCGTTCCCGACAGCTCTCCGCCCAAGCGCAGCCGCATGATCATCGGCGTGCTGCTGGTGACCGGCATGGTGCTGACCCAGATCGTGGGCGGGCTTAAGAACAAGGAGTACATCCACCTCTGGCCGGCCGCCGTGCTGACCGCCGCGCTGATGCTCCTTACCGGCTGCATGAACGCCGACCAGGCGCGCAAGTCCATCTACTGGTGAGCCGGCGCGCGGGGTCTGTATTAAGGGGCGGGAAGAGGGGATGGCCGGATGGTCCTGCTCTGGCTAAAGCGGAAGCAGATGGGGCCGCCTCGCCAAGACGAACAAGAACCAGGACTAGCTGCCGACCCACGGGTCCATCTGACCGCACCTGCCCCTGCCCCGGCCCGGCCCCGTCTGCTGCCTGCAGGGATGTCTACCTCACCATTTCCGCCGCCTTTGGCGTCTCCGCGGCGCTGGACAACACGGGGGTGGCCGCCAAGTTCGCAAACGCGATCATCAACATCGGCAAGAGCGCGGGCGGCACCGGACCCGCCCTCATCGCCATCTACATCGCCACGGCGCTGCTCAGTGAGTTGCTCACCAACAACGCGGCGGGCGCCATCATGTACCCCATTGCGGCGATTGCGGGTGACGCGCTGAAGATCTCGCCGCGGGATACGTCCATTGCCATCATGCTTGGCGCATCAGCCGGCTTCATCAACCCGTTCAGGTATGTGGGGTAAAAGCGTGTGTGTGTGTATATGGCGCATGTAGGGTAAGCCCAGGGGAGGTAGCGTTTGACCGCACCCTCCCTCCCTGCTGGGCCGCCCCCTGCCTCGTCGCTCTCACTCCTCACCCCCGCCTCTCCTGACACTAGCCTTTAGTAACACAGCAACACCCCTTCTTACGCTGCCGCCCACAGCTACCAGTGCAACCTGATGGTGTACGCCGCGGGCAACTACAACGTCCGCGAGTTCGCCATCATTGGGGCGCCCTTCCAGGTACGCTGAACATACCGGTTCAGCAGCACTGCTTCTTCTACATGTGCGGCGCCAGATCCTATCTAGCACTGCGTGTATCCCCCTCCTTTGCAAATGCAACCTGCCTCCTGCCTTTCCTGCCACATCCTGCCATGATTACGGCCATCATCCCACCCTGCCGTCCCTCTCCGCCCCCACATTCACGCGCACAGGTATATCTAATGATCGTCGCCAGCTTCATCCTGGTGTATCGCGAGCAGTGGCAAAAGATCTGGATCGTCTCCTTCATCTGCACAGCTGCCTTCGTCATCCTGCCCGCGCTCTACCTCACGTTGCCCACCCGCGTCATCATCAACATTGAGCGCTTCTTCGGACAGCATGCCGACCCCCGGGCCATCTTCAAACGCCGCAAATCCTCCCAGCAGCAGCAGTTGCAGCTCCCAACCGCGAGCGGTCGGTCCAGCCGGTCTAGCAGCAGCAGCCTCGGCGCTAGCATCAGCCCCAAGAATGCGAGCGTCATGCCGATTCCCAACGTCTCTTCGTAAATGGGAGCACAATCTGCTGCTAAGTGGCAAAACCGCGGCTGCGGCACCGTGCTTATGGCGGGCCCCGGCAACTTCCGCGGGCGGCTATGAAGTCAAAGTCGAAAACGATTGCCGACATGTTCAGGGTTATTCAGGTTACCGCGCATAACTGCCAAGGCAGTTAAGAAAGACGTTGACCGTTTCCGTTTGGTTTGACCGGTTTGAACGCGCCTGTTGCAAGCTCACGTTTTAGCTTTTGCGACAAGGACAAGCTATGACGGGACTTATACTCCAGCAAGCCGTGATGAGTCGGTAGTAGCCTACTGTGTGCAGGCATCTGGCAGGCCGCCATGTTTGGCTTCTTTAGTGCTAACCGAGCCGCATAGGAATACCAACCATAACTGTTGACTGCTGAGAAGTGATGCAGTGGCGGCTGCTACTGGTATTCGTTGGGCGCGTGTGCCGTGTGCCAAGCAGGTGCCAAGCATGCACGGGGGGTGATTATCGTGGTTTGCACCTTGTGTGTGATGTGGTGGGAAATCGAAATGTTATCTTTGTTATTGCTCGTCTTGTCGGTCATTAAACATGTCGAGCCGCATGTTGGCAGTTGGAGGTTATCACCTTGTGTTGCAAAACAACAAACACGTGCACGAATGAGGCAAGTAAGGATGATGAGGGAGTTTGGTCGCCCGCCAGGCCGCCACCGGTACCTACCCCGCATTGACCCCGCATGTCAACACTTGCGTGGTTTGACCGGTCGGTGATGTATGTCTATCTCTCTGTATAATTGCTCAAGCTGTCGTGGGTTAACGGCTACCTGTAGCAGCTGATGTTCAGAACTCAACCCCGAGTGTGTCCATGCTACACCATGCGCCCTATTGCCTTTTGCTGTAAGGAAGGTGCATGGTCTGGGGCCCGGTATCGCGGTGTGCACGGCGTGGCGTGTTGGCTCTCACCGCTGTGTAGCGGCCTGCTGTGAACCGCTGTATTGCGCCAGGGCTGTAAATCCAGCAGGCTCAGCTTTTTGGGCGTACTGCACATCAACCTAGATAGGGGACCACCTCGACATGGAACATGCCGCAGTGCACACAACCCCAGCAACTAACCCTTGACACAGCTGCAACAGACACATGCGTAGCACAGCGTCCTTACTTGTCGTACGAAGTTGGAGGGCATCCCGCGATCAAGACAAATTTTGAATAAATAACTACTCAACATTAAGTATCGGTACCTCCCAACGAATGGACGACCTGTGAGCCGCGTTTCCCAAATCGCAAGTGTCAGTTCTGTGCCCAACCCTGCCTGCTGCCCCTGATGTGGTAATAAAGTAAACAGCACTGCGCATTTACTACCATTGCTGCAATGATATATTGTTTCACGTCTAATGGCATTCCCTTCCTCCCTGGCAGGCCGGTATCATCACTCGGTCGTTGCAGACCTTTTTGTCGCACTTACCGCCTCGCTCCCTCTTTTCCTCTCTATCTCCCTCTCCCTCGTCTCTCCCCTCTAGATACATACTCTTCTCTCCTTTTCCTCTCATTATGTTGCTTCCTCTTTCTAACTGTCCGAAGCTGCAATGCCTCATAATCAGTATCATCAGTTAGTATCACACCGTCAGGTCCATCCATCACCACCGTCAAAAGCGAGCCCAGCAGCGGTTGCACTCGCCCACGCAGTCCCCGCCGCAATCCACCGAGTAGCCCAGCACACGGGGCTGCCGTACAACTGCCTTAGTCAGCGTGGGACCCTGCAGTACAACCAAGCAAGTCAGTAGCAGGAATGTACCGGTACGACAAGCATCCTTTTGAGGTGAGAAGCCGGGTCAGGTAACGGGACTAACTCTCTCTCCCTATATATATAGCAGGGAACGCGTTTAATAGTGCGCTGCCAGTATTTCAAAAGTCTGCCAACTCACAGTCTTTCTTGACGCCCTCTCCCCCCCCTCCTCCTTCGCATATTTCACACATTCATTTCGCATTTCTTGCTTTCCTCACAACTCTCAGTTTTTCTATACACCCATCCTAACCATTCGTGTTGCCTGTCCCTATCCCCTCCCGTGGCCCTTCCGTCGCGACATTGCTGGCGGCTTCTGTGGCGCTCGCTTCCGTATATAGGTAAATCCGCCTCGTGATCCGTTTGTTGTTGTTGTTGTTGTTGTTTGCTTACCACGTCACACACGTTTCACCCTACTTGTTTTGCCATGTCCGAGCGACATCCCATGGGGCCTTGGTGACGACGCTCAACACTCAGCGACGAATAGACTACTTTTTTTGGCTATTTACAGCACACCGGTTGCAGCAAAATCGCTTCCTCTGGAGCATCGGTATCGGTAAGGACTGCTAACCCTCCCATGTTTTGTGGCTCCCTGCCAACAATACCCATTGTTTTGCCCTACCTTTGTGGTTTGGTTTATTCTACCCTCCTCACCTGCAGCCTCCACTGGGTTCGGAGCACCCCCAGATTCTCCCGCAGCCGTCCCTCCACTTCACACGCCAGCAGCTCCGGACAGCCCCGCACCACCACCCCCACCTCCTCACCCGTCACCCCGGGCAGCTCGCAGCGCAGGAAGGACAGAACTGCAGCCACCTGGTGCGGCTGCGGGAGCTCCTGGACCTGGTATTGGGATGACCCGTGGGTCGGTGGGGTGGGCCGGTGGGGTGGGGAGATGGGACCCAGGGCATGCGCGGTGGTGGTGGAACACGAGAAGCTTGGGTTGCCCGTTTTTTTCACTGCCTCCCTCCCTTGCACTCCCTCCCTCCCTTGCACTGCCTCCCTCCCTCACGCAGCGCCCCCCGCACACACCTTGTCCTGCCGCCAGTAGGCCTGGGAGGACCAGCCGAAGCCCCGAGCCAGCAGCCTCGCCGCCTCCTCGCTGCTGGCCCCCAGGGCCTCAGCCAGGGTGTTGCAGCTGGACTGGCGGGGGGAGGAGGTGAAGTGGTGCAATGGTGCGAGGCGCGGTGTGACGTGACGTGAAGTGGGAAGGCAGGCAGGGCAGGGTAGGGCAGGGAAGGGCGAGGCGGATGTGGCACATGGGGGAGAGATACCGCATGCGGGTATTCAGGTTTAAGGGAAATAAGGGTAAAGGCACCGTAGCAGGAGAGGGGACAATGAGGGGAACGAGTCGGTTCTTGACCCCAAGCGCATCCCAACAGCTAGGCTTCAGCAGCATACTTCTAAAAGACATGTGCCCCCACAGCTTCCTCACCTGCCAGAGGGTTGCTTCCTCGGCAGACAGCTCCCGGCCTAGCAACGCAGTTGTCCCGCTCGCCACGACGGATTGCGCGACGATAGCAGCGAACCTGGCCCGCGACGCATCAAATCTTGAGGCGCATGAAACTTTGCTGTAGATGAAACATAAAAGCTGCCTCCGCTGCTGTTGCCCATTGGACGAGACCATGATTGGGCGAGCCATGCGACCCTCGGGCCGCGAAAGAGTGCTATTCCTCCCTAGATCCACCTGTAGTGCGCATTTTGAGCACTTCAATAGCTTGTAAGGCATGCGTAAGGTGAGACGCAGCGACGAACTAAGCTTGCTTGCTATATTGTAGGTTACGGCCCAACAGAGCGCTACACATATGAACCACGCTGCTTACATGTTTGGAAGCACCACACTGTGCAGACATTGCTGGCTGCCAGGTAGCGCGTAAGGTTGACGGGTCGCGCAAATGTGACTCTGAGCGTCTTCGCCAATTCGCCTATGTAGTAGCACACGTGCTGGGAACAGTTAGGTCTGTCCAGCAGATATGCCCTGCTATTTGCCGTAAGTGGTGTTCTCAGCACTTCTGGGCAAGCTGTACGACCTGCTATGGCCGTGCTGACCATGCGGTCTCCCAGCACGACAGCCTTAGCTCAACACTGGGTCCTCAGTCACCATCAAGGACATGGCTTTAACTGATAGGCACAAACGAAAGACAAACAGGGCGTGTCAGGTTGGCCCGGGGACGACGCTTTGATTTCAACGAACGAACCCATATGCAACGAACCTCTTGATTACCCAATAGGTTTGCGACCTACGTCCAACAGTTTAGAATGGACTAGGGATAGCCACGCATACACTATATCTAGAAAACAGTATTTACCAAGGAAAAGACCTTGACGTTCAGGAACTTTGGGGACGCGGCATCTAGCCTTAGGCTGAAAGTACTGCTATTTGGACCCTTTTGTTATTACTTCTTACTGTGATCCTAAGCCATGGCGGACGAAATCTCCACGGAGTTGACGGCAACACAGTATGTTATCCTTGCCGAGTAAGTCTAAGAAGAATATACGAATATGCTATTGACATTAAGGGCTGCCCATTTCTTAACTGGTACTCCTTGAAAACGGCCGTCAGAGCTTGCATGTCCCGGACCGTTTCCGCTTAGAAGTCCAGGAGTGAACAGAAGTCCTGAATTGCCGCTTTCATGGAAAATCGAACAGGAACCAACGCAAGAAGAAGGCGCTTGCGGAGACCAAGAGCCAGTTTAGCAGGGTCGCAGATGAAAACCGAGTGTTGCTTAAGCAGCTGGAGGACACCCAGCGGGAAAACTATCAGGTAACAACTAGCTGTGTCTGTGGAATCCAGTATTGTTGCCTCACATGCCGTGCAACAAAGTAGGTATTGTGTGGGTATTGGTATTGGCACTGGTGTAGTTGAGGGTGGATTCGCGAGGAAGCTGGTCTGTGGCATCGAACCTTGCGGGGCTGTACAACATAAGAGCGTGTGGGGAAAGGCATACCCCAACGGACGGGCACCAGGCTTCGCCTCCCGACAAGGAGCTGCGCTTGTGTTGCACGGCCAGCTACGCCGGACCCCTCCCGCATCCCACCTTCCGCCCCTCCATGCTTCAAGCCCTCCCTCCCTCCCCTCCCCTCCCTCCCTCCCTGCCCACCCATCTCCGCCCACCCATCCACCAACCCCACCCCAGGTCACGGAGCACCTGCGGCGGGAGCTGCTGGCCAAGACGGAGAAGATCGCAGCTCTTGAGGGGGACCTGGTCAAGGTAGGGAAGAAAAGGGAGGAAGAGGGAGAAAGTAACTTGCCATGACCCCATGAGGCAAGGCTCCGTAGTGGGGAGGGGGGAAGGGAGAGCTCATCAACGTTACCGGGTGCCTAGACGGAAGGAAAGTCGGACTTCTCAAGCTGGTCAGGGGCTGGTCAGGGGCTGGTCAGGGTGCCAGACGGTACCTGCGCCCCAGCACCCACGGCCCCTGCCCCGCCACCGACTTAACCAAGGCCTTGGCACCGGGCTGGTGAGCCGCCCCTGCCAGTGCTCCCCTTCTACTGTGGCTCCCTCACCCTCCCCTCCCTGCCATCATATATCACTATCAAGTAACGCATGGTTCCTCTCCCTCCCCCGGCCACCCTTCCCCTCTCCCCCCCCCCAAAACACAGCTCGCGCACGACAAGGACGGCGAGCTGGCCGCCTACCGCGAGGCGGCGGACAAGGAGAAGGGGCGCATCCGGGCGGAGGGGGAGGCGCGGGCGCGGGAGCTGCAGGGCACCATCGACTCGCTGCAGGTGGGGGGAGGGAGGGGGAGAAGGGGGGAGGCAGGGGGAGAAGGGGGGAGGCAGGCAGAAAGCAAAGTGTGGAGAAAGGGGAGGAAATAAATATAACCAGGTTGTAATCAATAGGAAGTGGTGTGGGGAACGCGCAGGGGGGGCCAAGGGGCTGCGGTGGTCTGGTGCGGGCGTGGTGCTAGAAGCTTGCAGCGCCAGACAGAGGGCGGCGTGGAGGCAAGGTGGCCAAACGACTGGGCCGCGCGGAAACACTCAACATGCCACCATGTCTATTGTGCGGACTTTGATCCCCCTGGCCCCCCTGCTCCTCCCTTACCCCTCCCTCTCCCCCTGCTCTCCCTCTCCTCCTGCTCCCCCTCCCGCCCTTCAGGCGGAGCTGTCCAACGTGTTGGAGTTCAAGGAGCGGCAGGCGGAGGTGGAGGAGGCGCTGATGCGGCTGAAGGAGGAGAATCAGGTGCTCTCGGAGAAGCTGGAGCAGCAGCGCGTGGAGCTGGACAGGTGGGGGGGGAGAGGAGGGGTTGAAGGCCACGCATACAACAAAATAGGAAACCAAAGGGTAGGACTAAGGAACAGAGATGGGCGGGGAGAACGGTTAGTCTGTTTCTTCTTCTTGCCCCTCTGGCAGTTGTCATTCGGTTAGTAGCTTCTTCCCTGACCGCACCCCCCCCACCCCTAGTAAGGTTGCTCCATAATTGGTAAGTTCGGTAAGTTTAGCTCGCATTGCTTTAACCACCATTTCGGCTCGACTCACGGTTGATTCCACCAGGGATTGTCAGCAACTTGTATCATTATCATACCACACTTTGGAATTTCTTTTTTCCCACCCCTTCTGCCGCCCCCCGAAGGTACTACTTTGAGCTCAACACACGCATGCGCAAGGAGTACGAGCAGCGGCTCGAGGAGCTGAAGAAGAGCGCGGAGGAGGAGGTGGACGAGCGGCTGGACGCAAGCGTGAAGCGCATCCTGGCGCAGAACAGGCGCATGGCGGAGGAGCTCAAGATACACGTGCAGGTGGAGGGAGGGTAAAGAGGGAACAACTAACTGACTGGAGGTGGAGGGAGGCGAGGGGCTAACGAATGTTCGTGGGGTTAGCTGGGACAGGCTGTAACGGTTGGGCCGGGGGAGGGAAGGTGGGATGGAGGGGTAGCCGGGGTGCTAGGACGACACAGGTGGGGGCTGGTTGGTTTGTTGGTGGCCATTCCCCCCTTCATCCTCCTGCCACAACCCCTCCCTCCCTCTCCCTCCCCCTCCCCTTCGGCAGCCATGTTGCAACGCGCCCCTGGTAGAGCCGACGTGTCGTACATGGCTGGCTAGTTTCTTCCTCTCCTTTACCCCTCTACCCCTCTGCCTCCACACTCTCCCCCCCTACGATGCCCCCCCCCACCCCAACCCAGGAGACGGAGGCCCTCCAAGCTGAGGTGCGGCTGCTGGAGGAGGCTCGCTCGCGTCTCACGCGGGAGGTGGGACTGAAGAGCGACCTGGAGGCGGGCTACGCGGCGCGCGGGGCGCGGCAGGCGGCGGCGCTGAAGGAGGCGGCGGGGCGGATAGCGGCGCTGGAGGGCAGCCTGCAGCAGGTGGGGGAGAAGGGAGGCGCGGGGGAGGGGGAGGGGGATGTGTTTTGTGAGGTGGATTTGGCGGCGTGGATGGCTGCGGATGGTCGCCTTGCCGCCTTGCCGCTCAGTTGGGTGTATATACCGTAGTGGTAAACGTGAGCTGCTGGGCTATCGGGTGAGGAGGTGTGAGGAGATGTGAGGTGCCCCTTGGAGACCCCAGTGCCCCCTCAACCGCTCTCTCTCGCGCGCCACACCACCACCACCACCTAAACGCCCCCCCGCCCGTCTCCCCCTCTCCCCTCTTCCTCCCCCAGGTGGTCCAGGACTTTGACCGCGAGCGGCAGGCCAGCGCCAAGGCCTCCGCTGCCGCCCTGGCCGACGTGCATGCCGAGGCGGAGGCGCTGAGGCGGCTGGTGAAGCTCAAGACGCGGGAGCTCAAGAACGTGAGGAGGCTGGCGCAGGTGCGGTCACCGTACTGCAAAACAGGGCCCCCCCGTACAACACCTTCGTACAACACCCTGCATGCATGCATGCATGCACCCAGAGCCCTGTGCTACCACCCCCCTATCCTCCTCTACCCCAAACCTAAACATCCTTAATCCCTTTTCCCTCCCCCCACCCCCTCGGTCCCCCCACCCCACCCCCTACCCCCTCCGCCCCCCCCCCCCCCATGCAGGAGGTGTTGCTGCAGCGCAGTGACGTGGAGGCCTTCCTGCTGTCCAGCCTGCATGCGGTGCGGAGGGAGATCGAGCGGGAGAGCCTCTGGCCCGCGTCAGGCAACACCACCACCACCAACAACAACAACAGCACCAGCCACCACCATCACACAACCGCAACCGCCACTGCTGCCAGCACGACCGGCCGCCCCTCTGCCTCCACTACTGCTACTGCTGCAGGAGCAGGAGCAGGAGCGGGGGCCGCAGGTGGTGTTGGCGGGGGTGCTGACATCCGGGAGTTGAGTTGGGCGGACCGGGAGCGGGTGCTGCGGCTGCTGTTCGCCAAGATCAACAACCAGGCGCAGCAGGTGCACTTCAGCTGCCTGCCTGCGCACCCGCTGGCAGGGGGGGTGGAGGCGCTGGCGGCGGCGGCGGCTGGCATGGGGGCGGGGGGGATGGGTATGGGGGGTATGGGGATGGGTGCGGTGACGGAGGCGGGTCCGGCGGAGATTGTGTGAGAGGAGGGGGGAGCGGTGAGCGGTGAGGGAGGGGTGTGGGTGTGGGTCTTGGGAGTGGATTGAAGGCGGGGGAGGTGGGGGAGCAGGATAGGTGCAGGATAGAAGTGGAAGTGCCTGGAATGAATGAGCGAGTGAATGAATGGATGTAAGTTGGACTTGTGAAGGAATGAGTGGGGGGCTCTGCGGGCGGTGGTGGTGCTACTGCTGCTGCTTTGACTTTGCGGTAACGGTGTTTGCTGGTGCTGCTAGTGGCAGTATGGGGTGAAGAGACTCACCCTTGAGGGGTCGAGACCCTTGAGTGATTGTATGTTGGGTGCCGTACATAACATTCCCTGCAGTCCGATTATCCGCATGCCGTACTGCCGTACAACTTACCGCACATGTACGGCAATCGGCCAGTTCGCACGTGATCGGCGATGCCTTTCAGCTTATTAACATGTCTGACGCCGCGTGCCTGGGGCGCCAGGCATTTCTCCGCATGGCAATCCGTAATCAGCTCAAGCTTGCATACCTCCCGTCCATCTATTCACTACCATTTCCGCTTGGCATCCTTTGCGTCTGCTATCCGCGCCCCCCACCCCATTCATATGTTTTTCCTCCTACCCTTCCTTGCTCCACAGCCCTCCCCCCGGGATGGCACAATGGGAGCCAAATCGCCCAATTTGGCCTGAGGCCGCGTCCATTCATTCTTCCTGAACATATGATATCTGAGCGGTCCTGAGCTTGACACGGTGGACTTCTCCGAGACCTCTCCGCATGCAGACCTCCCCACAAGTCTCAACGCCGGTAGCGGAAGCGCGGGTTGTTGATGTCCGAGGCTGTGGTGACCTTCTGCTTGCGGGCCCAGGACACAAACCTGGCTAGCGGCTCACTCTGTGGCTCCGTGCGAGTTGGCAGGTGGGACAGGAGGGGAGGGGAGGGGAAGGGAAGGGAGTAGGTTGGAGGGGGCGAGGAAAGGGAAGCCCGCCGGGAGAAGGCACCACACGGGCAGCACGATGTCAACTGCTTATTGCCGGGCCCACGCTGGCAATCATGAAAGCCTTTCCCCGCCCAATGTCACCACAGTTACATCAACGATTGCTTGCATCATCATCAATGTCATACTAGCTTGGACTGCCTGGCACCAACCACTGTTACGTTATCCTGGAAGCCAAACCACAAGGCCCACAACCCCGAACTAACCTCCGCACCTCTACTCCCCACCCCACCCCGCCGTACACCCACCTGCCGTAACGCCTCCAAACTGCCGTACTCGGCCGCCAGGGTCTTATTGTCGTACGTGCGGTGGATTGCGGAGTGGCAGGGCCGGCAGATGTCGATACCCGAGCACAGCTGCTGCTGCGTCCAGCCCCTCTTCTTGTACTTGTCGTGTACGTCCCTGCGTGCAAATGGGCCCCCAGCATGATGAGTGAGACGACTCCTGCATCTATAAACCCTTGCACCCATGCACCCATGCATGCAGGCATCCATGCACCCATGCATGTGTTGCACGGTGGCCTTCGTTAACAACAGCTACAACAGCAGAACCCTTTACAACCCATTTCAGCACCTCCCAACACCGTTCATCAGCCTCCTTCAAATCACGGAGGTTGAGTATCGATACCGGTAACTTAACAACCCTTGCCGGTAATCCCCCCCACCGCCCTGGAGAGTGTTGAGACCCCAGCCCCCACCCACCCACCGCGGAATGAGGTGGTGGAACGTGAGCGGCATCTCCCGACCGCACAACGAGCAACCGCCCATCACGCCCTCCTCCTCGGCCCCCTCCTCGCTACTGCCGCTGCCACTGCCGTACAGGCGCGCTGCCTCGGCCTCAGCCTCCGCCGCTGCCCGCTGCAGCAGCCGGTGCAGCGCCGAGGTGAAGTCGCGCACCTCTTCCGGCTCTACCTGCAGTGACGTGGAATACGGTAAATACTGTATCTGGTCAACAAGTTTTACCTGGTTCTAACTAAAAATAAAAACATCACGAATTCATGATGTCTACCGACCGTAGTGATCCAGTACTGATCCAGTAGAGCCCACAATGCCACACCTAACTGCCGTACCTGATGCAGGTTGTCGTACAGCAGTTGAGAGAACCTGCCGTGCGCATCCTCCTCGCTGCCCGGCAGGCCCCCCTCCTGTAGCTCAGCCAGCGCGCTCTCAATCAGCAAGTCAAGGACCTGGGGCAGGTGTGTGTGTGTGTAGTTGAGCGGAAACAAGAGCAAGCAGTTGGGATAGGTTCGCATGTGAACCGCAAGTACAAGCAAAACAGAGGTAACCAAACCTGAAACATAACGCAATGGGGCAGGTGTGTGTGTGTGGAGAGGGGGAGGGCGGGGAGAGGGGTGCGGGTGTGAGCAGTACGGTGCAGGGGTCGGGGGGATGAGGGACACAGAAAGGGAACAGGGGGCTTGCGTCACGGGTTCTGAATTGAATAGGGGATACCGGTGTGCCGTAGCCGTCTACTATGGAGAATGGCGGGGAAAACGTGTGCCAGTGAGGTCACTGACCCATGGGTCAGGCAAGGATGCAAGGAGGTCCCACAGACGCACAGGCGCGCTTTCCCAAACAACGAAGCCCCACACACCCCGTGAGGGCCGTGACCACCCCGAATACGCACCCACGCACGCCAAGCCACCCACCCACCCAATCCTCCTTGACATACAGCCCCGCCTCCCTCGCAGCCGCCAGCAGTGCCTCTCGCAGCGCCCCCTCCTCCGGCAGCAGGGGGCGACCCGGGGGCAGGAGCGGCTGGGAGGGCTGGGGAGGCGGCGGGGACCCGGGGGAGGCGGAGCCGGGGGCGGTTGGGGCGGCCATGCGGGTGTTGGTGATGCGGATCGTCCGGGAGGTGATGTGGGCGGCGGGTTGAGGACGAGGTGCGAGGAGGAGGTGCGGCGGACCAGTCAGCAGTTGATGACGAGCTGAGCAGGCAGGCGAGCTGGCAGCATCAGCACTGCAGCACTGCGGAAGCGGGAGCCCTGCAAGAGGCAGGGGACCCAGGTAAAACAACAACAGCGGACAATATAAATAGCATAGCATAAAACGGTTATGGTCTGGTAGGTATGCTTGTTAGAAACGGTAGATCTTCTCCGGAGCTGTGAGGCTGGTGTGATGTGACGTCGGAGGGCGCTTGACGCGGCTCGACGACGGTACAGTACCGGCACTCGACGCACGACCTACTTGAGGCGTCAGAAGTGCAGACTCTTGTGAAGAATCGCTTTTGGAGCTGATGTGGCTTTTGTAACTGGGCTTTGCGGCTCGGCAACAAAGGTTGGTGTCGTTGTTGCTGCAACAGCTCTGGAACAAACCGCCGTAAGACGCGGCAACATAACAAGCCTGCGCAGTGTACTTTAACTACGGAACCTGGCAACTTACTGCACTATAATTACAGCTAATGGAACCTACGAGTTCCTGGAAGGTAACCGCTAACCGCCCGCCGCACGGCAGCTTTCCGCTTCCTGTTTTTAAAGCGCAACATACAGCGGGAGGCGCATCCGTGGGACCATGCAACACATGTCTTCCACGGCCAAGGGGGAAAACAGCCGTGGATATGGGTGTCAGTCACGGAACAGGCCTAACCGCTGCCGGTAATGCTTTACAGTCCTGTCCACAGTCTCTGGTTTTAAGGGACAGTATGAAGACAGCGTGCCCGCCCCGGTAACCCGAGAAGCGTGCCGGGAACAGTCCCTGCACTTGTCAGTACGACCCCAACACACGAAACAGCGGCTAGCCGAGGTTCGTCGAGAGAGAGCACCGAGCATTAACGAAGGAGCAGGTCCGAACACAAAAACAGACACGAAAGGATGAAACACACCAAGACGCATACGTGCGCACACCAGCGGGTGCCAGTACTATCATAGTTACTCATTATTAGGCATCATACCCGAACTCGGAATTTGACGCGTATACCCCGAAGCGTACGACGGCAGCAGCATCAATAACTGACTTGATACATAAAATCGCATCATTCCCGATGCGTCCTTCCACAAGCTTTAGTATCATTAGTAGGCTTCATCCACTTTCCATACTTTCCTAAAGGGGAACATACCATACTTTCCAGTGCCACACTTTTCCATACGAGCACACCGCCGCCGGCAACGGAACGATGAATAGGTCCCCACCACCCCTAGCACGTGGCGACCACGCCGCACAGCACATGCCCCCGACTTAACTGCAGCTTGCGTACGAGACAGGATGCCAGGCCACCTCCCCACTTCCGAAAGCCGCAACCCAGGAAGCTGCACACCGCGCCACCCACAAGACCGTACCGTACGGCGGCAGAGTCGGCGAATCGCACGGCGCACACCGCAGCACATGAGCACGTGCGCACGGAGTACATGACAACGAGCATCCCTAGTACCGGTTGTTGCCTCAACACCCTCAAACATTAGCACTCACATCTCACACCCCAAATGTACTTGGACACCGCTGATCACTGCCCAACCACCTCTACACGTCTCACCGACTCTCCGAGCCCTCAACCCAACCCACATCACCTCGCTGCTAGCGTCGCCCCAGCTGCGCCCCCATCAGGAAGGCTGACGACGGCTTGTAGGACCGTCCCTCCCGCGTGGCCCCTGCTCCATCCCAACCTCCGCCTCCGCTCGAACAGTAGGAACAGCAGCAGCAGCGGCTCTGCGTGTATCGCCCCTTCAGGCTCCTGAAGCGCCCCAGCCCGCGCCCCCACTCCCACCCTCAACACCAGCAGCAGCAGCAGCAGCATTCGAACGTCTTGCATGTCACAACCCTAGCACAGCCGACCAGTCTCGCAGTCTCCGCCACCAGCGACTGCTGATGCCGCTGATCGCCACTCCCTGCAAATTCCTTTCGTGACTGCCAGCGCCCGCCACCTCAAGAACCACCTGTCCCTCCTCCCCAGTGAACCTCTGCTGCTGTTGTTGCTGTTGTTGCTGTTGTTGCTGCTGCTGCTGCCCATGATGATGATGAGTTAAGCCGTCAGCTCCCGCTAGCGACCCATTGGCGACACTAACAACCGCCTGCGGTTGCCCCTGCTGCTGCAGCCGCCGCCCCCCGTCAACAAGGCTGCTGCTACCGCTGCTGTTATTGCTGCTTGCACCCCCGACAACACCATCAACTTCAGCTGCTCCCTTTGCTGCGACCAAGGTGTTCTTCGCAATGGCGCCGCCGGCGCCGCCGTCGTGTGTGGTGCTGGTCTTGTTGCTGATTGTTGCGTTGTTTTCAGTTGCAGCAATGTTCGCAGCAACAGGGCCCAGCGGAGCAGCAGCACCAGCAGCAGCGGTGCTGCCGGTGCTGCTGCTGCTGCTGGCGGTCCTGGTGGTGCCGTCAAAGTGGGTGATCAGTACCACGCCCGCCACCATCAGCAACAACCCGCCCAGTCGCGCCCAGTGGAAGGGCCGCTTGCTGCGTGAGGGCCAGGCGGGTCAGGCGGCGTGGCGGCGGGATGGTAATCAGTGAATGGCGCAAGCATTGGGAAAGAGCACGGGAGGGAGGGGGCCCCAGGCGATGGCCGCAGTGCTCTGACGCACGTGCGGCGGAATGGCTACCGGTACCACTCCCTCCTCGCTCGCCCTTCACTCCCACCTGCTCGCCCCCATGCAGCCGGTGACTGCCGTCCTCCTCCCTCCCTCCCTCCTCCCCATCAAGCTCCCAGCTACCCCACCAGGCCTCCAACCACCACCCAGCCCCGCCTCCCCACCTGAAGCCCATCCAACCCATGGAGTCCAGAAGCACTGCCGTACTCAGCTGAGCCGTCACGAAGACCGCCATCAGTGTCGCGGCCCCCAACGTGGGCGCGAAAATGATGACCACTGCCACGTACCAGGCGCCCAGCGCACCGCCGATCCAGCCCCACCAGGGGACGCCTGCGGAGGAGGAAGAGGAGGAGCAGGAAGAGGAAAGGGTGGGAGCGAGGACGATGTAGGAGGCATGGTCGGCAGAGGAACCGAGAGATGACAAGGCGGCTTGCGTTGGCAATTGTGGTAATGGTGGTGATAGTGGCAAGGGATTCCGGCAAATTATGATGAAACATGCGATGACAAGGGAGGAGGAGGTAGTGAAGTGAAGTAGCTAATGTCGCCGTACGCAAGCTGTGCACGGTAAAGTGTCGATGACGTGGATGAGGATGGGGATGACCATCTGTCGGCGTAGACCAAACATATCAAAGGCTTAGGCAATGAATGCCATGGACACTTACTCGCGACGGTTTCATGCGTTGGTCCTTTATGGCCCAACCCGTAGAAATCGACTAGGAAGAACACCACTAAGGTTCCGAGTCCCACAGCAAAGCTGACAACTGAAGCGAAGCTCCGACCCGCTATTGAACCTAATGTCGCATTTGTTCCACTTTGTAATGCAATAAACGCGCCGGCAAAAGCCGAGCATACGCAGCCCCCAACATAAAGAGACGATGGCATTCGTATCGGTTAGGGGAAGTCAACATTGCGAGTTGATAAAGCACTAAGGGACCGTCAAGTAGGAGCAAATCTCTGCGCGTATGACGTTCACACGTGGTTGTTGACGTTATGACGAACGAATTTAGTGTGCCGTACATCAGAAATTACTGTGCCACCTGGACTTGGCATGGCCATTTCCTGGATGCTTTATCGGTACATGCAACACTGTCAAGTTAACAGTCCTGGCACGAGCGCCTACGCCCCGGGGGTGATTTTGCTCCGCGGTGTTCGCCGAGCCAAGCACGGAACGTGTCTCTGCTCGGCGTAACCAAACATTTCTCCGACACCTTCCCCTCAGATGCGATGTCTTGCCGTTACTATTTCTTCGAAGTAACGGCGTCTGTGCACGGTAAAGCCCCAACGGAGACGCGAGGAGGACAAGCATCCCGGCATGTGTGCACCCAGATGTACGGAGCTCATTATCAGTTCATCGCACACAGGCGCTCAATTCCTGCTTTTGAACTTCCTTCCAAGACCAAGTTGGGGCCTTACACCATACGTTCATACCGGTGCTTGCTTATTAAGCACTGCATAGAACCAGAACATTAAAGAACCTGATACCCCGATTCCAGTCAAATCACAAAGCACCACTCCGGGATTCACGTGTTGCAGCGAAACGGTACGAGCAACACGTCGGACGACGGCAACACGACACGCACACGGATAGCGGTGTAGCACGAGGTGACACACGCCAACAAAGTACCCCTCCGTCCCCGTGTCAGCCAGCAGCGGGAGACTGGAAGAACCAAAAATCGTCGTGAGGGGTAAGGCTGAACTGCAAGCAAATACCATTGGTTAATCCTGTTATGGTATCAGTGATAATAACAGAGTCGAACAGTTATAGCGTCTCTATAGCGAAAGTTAGTAACCGGCCACAAGACAAGTCACGGAAGAAAGGGAAGAGTATGCGCACATACATTTGTTCGCATGGGCCGCCTCTCCCTCCTACCTTCCCGCCTGCAAATAAGGCACGAATATGCAGGCATATGCACCCCACCTTCGTCGCCTCGGCCCCACACAACAACAATTGCATCTTGCCTACCCAAAAGCCCACGGGTTGTCGAAGGCCAACACACACTGCGTTGCACAAGGAAACGCCCCCTCCTAGAACAACCTCTGCAGCTTCTCCTTTAGGCTATTACAGTGAGCAGCAGTGGCATGCTCCCCTTGCTGTCCATCGCCCCAACAGCTTCTACCAACAACCACCCCCTCCATCCCTGGCTTCCTCCCAAACAGCACCAGGTGATGCGGGTAACGCGTGTATTATGTTTTCTGCTTCGGGTACGGCCCCTCCCCCCCCCGCACATCAAACCAGCTGTGCTTTCATTCAGCTGATTCGGGGGAGCATTAGTCAGCGCCTTAAACTAACGCCTTTGCGATTGTTTAAGACTCTGGAGCAAAACTCGAACAGCACAGACGAATGCCCCCATACGGGGACGTAGACACGGGGAAAACGTAACGAACAAACAACCGAACAAACCAACAACAAGAGCACACGCGCACACAGTAACCAAACGGCTCTGTCATGCACCGGCCTAGCACGTGCATACCCGTGCCCAGCGCTGCACATGGGGCCAAATAGCTCTGTGTATTGCAGCAGTGCGATATTGAGGGCAATCCATGTGACCTCTACTTTGCTCGAGAGCCTCTCTGAACCCCGATCCGTCTAACAATAGCTATTTGGGCAAAGAAATGAGCGCAGCCCCCTTCTCCTCGTGCACTACGCTGTTTCCGCAACTGCAACTAAACACAGAGCCTACGCTGTCCAAGGATGGCAGTCCTCAACATGCTTTAAAAAGAGCTATCCATGCAGCATGACTGTCGCAGTGTGCTCAAGAAAGCAACGCATCTCGCCTTTGGCGCTATGTATGCATACACACCAGAAATCTGTTGCTGTTACCAACCGCTTTTCCACGCACCGCACCGCCAGCGCGCCCACACGTCTGCATGTGCTTCTCCAACCCTGGCCTCTGGCCTGCGCTGAAGCCTACCTGCGCATGCCTCTACCTAGCTCCATGCACACCTCAGAAGCAACGCGCCCCAAAACACCGCCTAGCAACGCACTCATGCGGTAACCAGGGACCTAACGAGCGAGCCCAACCCGCCCGCCAGCTACCAGCCTCTAGCCTGCCATCATACCCACCACCATCAGATCCATCACTGCCTGGCCAGCAGCTGTATAGCCGCACGCATGGTGAAGTTGGGCACCACCTCCCGGCTCGCCAGGTGCTCCCCAGTCACGGGAGACGTGACGCTGCCACGCAACCACGCCTCGATTGCCGCACGCTCGTACGTGCAGCCGTCCGCCGCCACCACCGGGTCGGTCATCACCTGCCGCGTCAGAGGGCAGTGGAACTGGCTGTAGCTGGACGCCAGCTGCGGCTGCAGAGCGCCGCTGGCGGTGGTGGAGGATGCGACAGGGGGACCCGGGCTGGCGACGGAGACGGGAGATAGCCCCGGTGTGGAGGTTGAGTTGGCGTCAACGGAGCCACGGGCAGCACCGCCGCCGGCTGCTGCAAAAGCGGACTTTGGCGTCGCGGTGGAGGCCGCGGCAACGTCGCGGCCAGCAGACGTTGGGCCGCCGGAGCGGCCCGAATGCCGTACGCCGCCGCCGCCACCGCCGGCGGAGCTGCCGCTGAACTGCGCCAGCGGCGAGAATGCGGAGGCGGCCAGTCCGCTGGCGCTGATGCCGCTGCTAGCGGCGTCCGAGGGCTTGAAGGACCAGATGCTGTTGCCGCCGGCCAGGAGGCTGCTGGCGGCTGGGTCAGCAGTGGTGAGGCTGCTGCTCACGTGGGGCGGGTGGTGGGGGTGGCTGCGCAGCCCGCCGTGCTGTTCCAGCTCCTGTTGCTGCGGCTGCGGAGGGAACAGCAGCGAGGAGGAGGAGGAGGAGGTGCAACGCGGCGGGCTGCCGCAGCTCCCGGCAGTGGTGCCCACCACTGCAGTCGTGGCAGCACCGGTTGTCGACGAGACATGCAGGGAAGCCATGCTGCTGGTGCGGAAGAAAACACTGTCGCCGCCGCCGCCAATGCCGCCAGTCGCATGCGTGCCGCCGGACGCGAAGGCAGGTATGAAGGCCGAGCTGGGGCCTGCTTGGTTATCGCTGGGGCCCCACAGACGTCCCCAGGTCCATGTGCTATCCAGGACGGATCCGCCGCCACCGCCGTTACCGCCAGCCGTTACCGCTGCTGCTCCGCCCGACAGCTGTGGCGGAGGCAGCGGCCCGATCCGCTGGTGAGTCGGCGCGGAGGACGACAAGCCCACGCCGAAAGGACTATGGAAGGTCTCCTCACTGGGAAGCAGCTCACTACCACCGCCGCCGCCGCCTCCGCCGCCGGTCCCCAGGGGGCGCAGTACGTTCCAAGGGGCTGCTGCGGCGGCGCCGCCTCCACCACCGCCCAGGCCCAACAGACCTCCAGACGGCATCACAGGCCCCGAACCCGACCTCAGACCGAGGCCCCCAGAGTGTGCCGGGTACGGCCCTGCTGCGGCGGCGGAGGCGGTGGAGGAGAATCCAGGCAGCGGCGTCGCGGGTGAAGAGCTGAAGAGTGGCGTAGGCGACGCCGAGGCTGCTGACGCCAGTGACGGAGGTGGCGGCGGTGGATGATGGTGGTGGTGGTGGTGGTAGTGGTGCTGCCGCCTGAGCGCCTCCGCACCAGGGGTTGCGCCGCCGGCGCCGTTACTGCCGCCGGCGCCGCCATTGCCGGGCCCCAAAGTCGCAAAGGACCAGTCCACGGGCGGCTGAGAGGGAAGGCTGCCCGGAGGGAGCGGCGGCATGCCACCGCCACCGGGCCCCGCGGCGCTGGCGGAACCGTGCGCAACACCCACACCCGCACCGCCCGGCCGGTAGGTGCGGATGGGAGAAACCGGCTGGCTGGATGTCGCACGAGAAGGAAAGCCTCCTGCTGCTGCGGCGGCTGCTCCGGCACTAGAAGCGGCGGCGTTAGCTGAGCCGGGCTGCTCGGGCGCACCGTCCATGCTTCCAAAGGGACTTGCCGCGCCCTGGTGATTAACGGCAGTTGCTCGTGCCGGGCTGTAGTGCTGCTGCTGCTGCTGATGGTGGTGGTGATGGTGATGGTGGTGAGGCGGGGGTTGCATGGGGCCCATGCCAGGGCGGTGCGCTCCCATGCCGCCAGGCCCCGGGAAGCCGGGCAGGGCAGCCGCCGAGGTCGGCGGGCCGCCTGGAGGGAGCGGGATGGGGCTAGGCACGGGGCTGGGACCGGGTCGCCGCAGGGAGTCGGCAATGGGGGAGGCGCTGCTGCCAGCAGGGCTGGGAGCGGAGGCATGGGGGTGCGAATGGGCTGAGGCAAGGGGCCGAGGGCCGGGATGAGGGGCGCCGCCGGCATGGGATGAAGACGGCGGGGCGTGGAGCTGCGGCTGGGGTGGAGGGGTGGCGTGGGCTGGCCCCTGGGGAGGCGGAGGCTGCGAGTGCGGCTGGTGAGGGAAGCGGAGCTGGTGGGGTTGGGGTTGCTGGGGCTGCGGGGGCGGGGGCGGCGGCTGTTGCGTTACCGGCACCGGCCGTTGTTGTGTAGCCGCGGCGGCCGTCACAGCAGCAGCAGCAGCAGCAGCTGATGCGGGGGTGGGGGTGAGCGCCGAGCCTGGCGCCGATGCGCCTGGTGCGCCATCCACATTGCGGCTAGCAGCATCCCGGTTCCTGGGAGCTCCTGACACTGCTCCGCCTGCAGCTGGCGTTGTGTTCGTAGAGGCTGTAGAGGCGGATGCGGCACCGCTGCCTTCCGTTGCCGCTGGAGGCCGCGCCGCCGCGCCACCCCAGGCAGGACCGCTGCCGCCACCGCCGCCCTGCTTGCCACCAGCTGCCGCCCGTGCGACCACCTGAGCTAGCGTGACGGGCTTTCCGGCGGCGACGCTAGCGTTGCTGGTGTCGGAACTGCTCCTCGCTGCCCATGCCCGCGACGCCAGCTGCGGCGCCGCCGGCGCCGGCGGCACACTCCCCTCCGGAGCTCCGAGCGCCGAAGAGGCAGCGGGGGTCACCGCCGAGGACGACGACGACGGTCCGTTGCTGCTGGCGGCGGCGGATGCCCCAGCCGCAGCAGCGGCATTGAACTTGCTCATCTTGCCCGGCGGCGACGCAATGACGTTGGCGGCTGCCGCGCCGCCGCCAGCCCTGCCGCTGCCGCTGCCAGGCGCAGCAGCTCCGGTTCGCAGCGCTGCAGCGGTGGCCCCACCGCTCTTGCTGTTGGCGCTCGGCGCATTTCCTGCGGGCCCATCAGCTGCCGGCTCTCCTGCCGCCGCTGCCGCTGCCGCAGCTGCTGCCGACCCCGTTACAGCAGCCCCCGGTGTTTCCTTGCCACCAGCAGTGCGCTGCGCTTGCTGCTTGGCAGTGGTAGCAGCACCGCCGGGTGCAGCAGCCACCGTGCTGCTGCTGCCGCCAGTAGGGGCAGACAGTGCCGCCGCCTGCACAGCAGAAGCAGACCGCGGTCCGGGCACTGCGGCAGCTGCGCCTGCAGTCGCCTTCTTGCCTTGCAGCTTGCCAGCAGGCGCGCTTCCGCTTCCGGCGCCTGTGCCGGCCATACCGGCGGCGCCACCTGAAGTCGCGGCTCCAGAACCAGCGCTGCCGCTGCTGCTGGGGCCCGCACCCGCAGAACTGTTTGTTGCGCGTGCCGTTGTCGTCGTGTTGTTGCTGCTGTTGCCGCTGCCGCTGTTCGCGCTGTTGCCTTGCGCGGCCTTTCCAGCGGCGGCGGTGGCGGCGGGAGGCGCAGCTACGCTGCCCGGAGCTGCCGCAGCCGTGGTCGACGCAGGTGACGGTGATGAAGAAGACGACGTGCTCGACCCTCCGCCCTTGGCACCCTTGCTGCCCGAAGCAGCAGCAGCAGTAGCTGCAGCAACGGAAGCTGCCCGTCCCGCGGATGGCGGGCGGGTTGTGACAACAGCAGCGGGAGATGCTCCTCCTCCTCCTCCGGCAGCGGCAGCCGCGGCAGCAGCACTTGCGGAGCTGCTAGCTGCGGCCTTTTTAGAAGCACGGGAGCTTCCTGCAGTCCCTGGGGGGACGGCGGCTACAGGAGCAGCAGCCGCAGCAGCCGGCTGTTGTTGCCGTTCGCTGGTTGTGTTGCCAGACCTTGAGGACGTCGGGACTGCAGGTGGGACGGACCCCACAGCGGCGGCGGCACGAGAGCGGCTGCTGCTGCCGGTACGGCCGCGGGTGGTGGCGTCACTGCCACCACCTCCCCCACCGCTAGCTCCTCCACCGGCAGGTCCAGAGGGTTTGGCACGGGACGGCTCCGAGGTAGCGCCATTATCGGAGGAGCTGCTGCCGTTGGCGCTATCGGAGCTAGCCCCGTTACCGCTGCTTGCGTCAATGGTGGGCGGCTGCTGCTGCTGCTGTGGAGGCGGCGGTGGCGCCGTAGCAGTCACCACCGCTGCTGCCGCTGCCTTGGCGGATGCCTTGGCCGCCTTCTTCTGCTGCTGCTTGGCCTTGCGCTCCGCTGCCGCGGCCGCGGCGGCCGCCTCCTCCTGCAGCAGCGCCGCCATGTTGGCGTCCGCAGCAGCGGCCAGGTCCTGGTGGGGGGGAAGAGGAGGAGGGAAGAGGAGGGGGAAGAGGAGGAGGGAAGAGGAGGGGGAAGAGGAGGGGGAAGAGGAGGAGGGAGTGAAGGATAGGTGGGTAGCATGCACATGCTATTGAAGGAAGGAGAAGGTTTAATGGGAAGAATGGCAGACAAGACACAACAGGAGTAAGGCGAAAGGCCGTTGTAGCGAAACGTCTAAAGGACGCAAGACGCAGAATCGTTCCCTTTCCTGCGTGATTCAACACCTCATCTTCACGAATCCCTGTCCCTTCTGTTCATGCCCCACACATACCTCGTAGCTCGCCACAGAAGCTACCCGGGCGCCCCCACTCGCCGCAGCAACCCCCTGTCCGCTGCTGCCTCCACCACCCCCGGCCTTGCCGACCAACACACCACCAGAAACAGCATTCCCACTACCGCTGCTGCTGCCACAACCGCCAACGGTGCCGCCGCTGCTGCTGCCATCGCCTGCCCCTGTGCATGACCCCGCGTGGGTCTGTTGCTGCTGTTGCTGCTGGCTGCCGTTGTTTCCGTTGCCATTGTTTCCGTTTCCGTTGTTGTTGTTGCGATGTCGCTCGCGTTCCGCCAGGCGCAGGCGGCCTTCCACGTAGGAGGCGCGCAGGGTGGTCTTGCGTGTCACCAGCCGCACCACGTCGGCGTCGCCCTGACGCCGCCAGTTGGCGCCCGCCTGCAAGTGCGGGGGGGGGAGGGGTGCGGGTGGGTTACACATGAGGGCGATGTATGTACGAGCCGCATCACTCGACACGGCTTCCCGGCAATGTCAGTTTTGCGTGGCCCGTTTTCTTAACACACGGTCCAACTCGCGGCCAGTTTTCTCAACACGCGGCCATCCATCCATCCATCCACCCACCCACCCAGCCACCCACCTGCACCAGCTTGAGCACCACATCAAAGTAGCCGTTGCTGGCGGCGCTGTGTACGGCACACCAGCCCTTGGCGTTGCGAATGTGCACGTCGGCGCCCGCGGACAGTAACCGGGACACCAGATCCAGGTAGCCTGGGGGGTGGGTGCGTGTGGGGGAGGCGAGGATAACGACGGCGGTGAGCAAGGGAAGAAAAGAAAAGAACGATACCAAAAGGCGGCAAAACGATGCCGGTAGTTGCAATCCGAAGCGACGGAGGCAGAGGGACAGCAGCTGGCGAGGTACCGCATGATACCTGGCGGGTAGTAGGACGCAGCAAGGAAACACGAAAGGGGAGGAAACGCGAGGGGCAGCAAGACACCCCGGCGCCGCCCTCCTCCCTCCCTTCCTTGCTTGCTTGCTTGCTCGTCCCCCACACCATGCACGCAAACCCCCGTTGCGTGCGGGCATGCAACGCAACGCATGCCTTACCCTTGGAGCTGCCGATGTGCAGCGCCGTGTTGCCGTTGCTGTTCTGCACATCCAGGTCGGCACTCGCCGCCACCAGCGCCTCCGCCGCCGCCACGTGCCCCCCGCCCGCCGCGTTGTGCAGCGGCGTGTGCCCGTTGGCCGACTGCACGTCCGGGTCGGCGCCTTCCGCCAGCAGCGCCGAGATCACCTTGACATGGCCGTTGGTGGCGGCCCCATGCAGTGCCGTACAGCCCGAGCTGGTTACCGCGTCCACCTCCGCCCCGCTGCGCAGCAGCACCTCCACCGCCTCGTCCCAGCCCGCGGCGGCGGCACAGTAGAGCGGCGCGGCGCCGGAGGCGAGCCTGGCAGGATGGAGGAGACAAGACCGGTCTTGTGATACGGTAATGGGTGTGCTTGACAATCAATACCTTCCCCAAGTTACGGTAGTGTGCTAACAGGCACCAGCGATTGCACACGTGTTGGGGCTCCTGTCTCGTCTATTAAACGGCACGCAACAAAGCCCGCCGCCTGCCTTCCTTGCATGAGCAAAGCAGCCAGGAGCCAGGACGCAGCAGCCACGCAGCCTCCTGAGCTCCCGCAGCCCTACCACCCCCTCTCTCCACTTCCCCTGTCGTACCTTCCCATTACGGGGCACCCCGCCTCCAACAGCACCTCACACACCGCCGCATGACCATTGCTGGCCGCCTGGTGCAGCGGAGTGGCGCCGCCGCCGCTCTTGTACGGCACCAGGCTCCCCGCGTCCAACAACAGCTCCACCACCTCCAGGTGCCCGCCCGCAGCAGCCGCATGCAGCGGCAGCAGCCCCTCGGAAGAGGCGATGTTGGGATCTGCGCCGGCGGCCAGCAGTCGAGCGGTGATGCCAGATGACCCACGGGTCGCGGCGGCGTGCAGCGGAGTCAAACCCTCGGCGTCCCGCGCGTTGACGTCGCAGCCAGGAACGCCACAGAGCTGCGAGACGACCTGCTCCAGTCCGTTCATCGCCGCGAGGTGCAGCGCAGACATGCCCGCCACCTCCCCTGCGTTCCTGCCAGCCTCCAACAGCCTCGCGACCACCTCGACATGACCGCCCGCGGCAGCCAGCTGAGCAGCGCTGCAGCCCCGGCCGTCAACTGCATGCAGGATATCCGCCGCTGCCGCTGCCGCCGCCGGGGCGGCGGCGCCTGCGGTGCCCGTCCCCGTCCCCGCCGCCGCTGCCGCGGCTGCTGCCAGCATTGCCTTTGTAAGCAGCACCACACAGCCTTGTGAGCCGCGCTCCGCTGCCCAGTGCAGGGGGGTGCGGCCGCCGGCATCCAGTGCAGTCAGGTGGTCGGAGGCGCCCCCGCTGGCGGCCAGCAGCGCAGTCACCACCTCGGCGCTACCGCCGGCGGCGGCCCAGTGCAGCGGTGTAAGGCCCTGGCGGGTTGTGCAGGAGGTTGTAGCATGGGGTTGAAGAGGGGGCTACGAAGGGGGCTAAGCATGCTAGGCGCGAACAATTGTGCTCACTGGAACGTTTTACCCTAAGGCATGTCGCATGCCCATCCCCACACGCAAAGTCGCACTCAACCTGACATCCACCAACGCACCCGTCCATCCGACCGCAGCGGATCGCAGCCCGCCGCCAACAGCCGCACCACAAGCGCCGGGTTCCCGCTGCCAGCTGCGTACGACAGGGGAGAGCACCCAAAGGCATCAATGACCCGTGGGTCGGCCCCCGCCGCCAATAGCGCCTCCACAACCCGCATTTGCCTAGCGTGGCAAGCAACGACGGTAGCGGTAGCCCCGCTGCCCCCCTGCTGCTGAGGCTGCGCTTGGGACGGAGCGCATTGAACCTGCGGCTGCTGTGGGGCAGATTGTTGGGTGGGACGCTGTGGGGACTGCGCGGAAGGCGTCTTCACGGACGACAGCGCTGGCAGGGATGGCGGCGGCGCAGGAGAAGTGGAGCGATTCGGCGAGGAACGCGACCGCAGGGCGGTGGTGGCGGCAGGAGTGCCGGCGCCTGCCGCAGTTGACGAAGAAGGCGGTGGAGGCGGCGGGGAAGGCGACGCGCGTCGCTCCCGCCTGGGTGGCGATGCCGGTGCCGTCGCCGCCGCCGTGGCGGCGTCCCTCGACGGAGATGCCGGCGGCAGCGGTGGCGACGGCGAGCGCGTCGTCCCAGCACCCGCACCAGCAGCACCATCCTCCGCAGCCCCCTCCGCTGCAGTCCCTTGACTGACATCACCACCACCACCACCGCCACCACCAGCGGCCATGTCGCCGATGGGCAGCGCCCCTGGGCCCATGGCTGCGAAGTGCAGCGGCGCCATGCGGCCCGAGGGCGTGCGGGCCAGGGAGCCGTACCCCGCCGCCAGCAGCAGCTCCACCACCTCCGGCTGGCACAGCCGGCAAGCCAGGTGCAGCGCACTGACGGGGGCGGCGCCGGGGCGAGGGCGGCTGGAAGCAGCAGCGGAGGTGACGCAGAGTTGCTGCTCGTCAGCAGCGGCAGCAGCGGCTGCGTTGGCAGCTGGCTGTGACGGCAGCGGCACTTGCGGCGGCGGCGCGGATAGGACGCTGGATGGCAGGCTGACGCTTAGGAGACGGTCAACAGCAACCCCGGTCTCGGAGCCTCCTCCTGCGCCGCCATGGTTGTCGTTGCTGACCTCGACGCCGGGGTCCCCTGCTGCCCGCCCCGCGTCGCCAGCCACCTCCGCCAAGCCCGCCGCAAGCAGCTGCTTGATGATCGCCAGGTTGCCGCCCTCCACTGCGTAATGCAGCAGGGTGTAGCCGCGGGCATCCGGCAGCAGCAGCGATTGGGGAACAACAGCCCCCGCCGACCCCGCCGTGTCGACACCATCCGGCGCCGACGACTCCTCCGCCCCCGCTGCAGCCCTAATCAGCACCTTGAACAGCCCTTCATCGCCTCGCAGTGCCGCAAAGTGCGGCGGCGTGCAACCGTCGGCGTCCCTGACCCGTGGGTCGGCTCCCGCCGCTTGCAGCGCGAGAAGTATGTCTGCATGGTGTTGTCGAGCCGCCAAATGGGCGGGCGTCCAGCCGGCAGCGGTGGCAGAGTGTGGGGAGGCACCCGCGCGCAGCAGCAGGTGCAGCATGGGGGTGCTGCCCTGTTGAGCGGCGTGGTGCAGGGCGCTCCAGCCGGCGGCATCCTGGCGGGTGAGGAGGCAGGAGGGGTTGCGTGAAGACACGCATTGGTAACGTGACAGGAAACGTACACATTCAATCACGCTGAAGAGGGTGGGCAGACATGGCGGCAATGTGCAACAGCTTCCATGCAAGCAACAACGGGTATCGTGTGGGGTGCTCCACGCCCACCACACCCCTCGCCCTCATCTACAATCACTTGCTCTCACCCGGCGATCCACGTCCTCCCTGTCAAGCCGCTCCAGCAGCAGCGCCACCACCCCCACCAGACCCGCCTCCGCGGCGCAGTGCAGCGGAGTGCGACCGCCGCAGCACACCGCCGCCGGATCCGCTCCCGTCGCCAGCAGCAGGGGTACGGCACCCGCGGCGCCGGCGGCGGCAGCGCGATGAAGTGCCGTACAACCGGCTCCATCGCGCGCGTCCACGGGGACAGGTTTGCCGCCGGCGGGGGCGGTCAGGAAGGCGCGCAGGGCGGCTTCCTGACCTGCGGCGGCGGCCAGGTGCCAGGGAGTGGCGCCACGGGCATCCTGCATGGGCCGAGGATCGGTGAGGTTAGGGCTGGTTAGGTTAAGATGCAGGTGGGGCTTATGGCGGGGCGAGGTGGGCGTCTTAGGCGTTCTAGGCCGGGATTGGGGGCCGACAGAAGGGCAACACTTAGTGACATGCTAGGCCGGGATTGGGGGCCGACAGAGGGGCAACACTTAGTGACATGCTTCCGCCTGCTCTTATGCAACCGGCTCTTGCAATGGGTTGCAACCGCACTAAGCGCACAGCCTCCCCACCTGTCGCAGCGGATCCCCTCCCGCCTCCGGCCCCAACTGCATCAGCCGCGTCACCACCTCCGCCCGCCCCGCCGCCGCCGCCCAGTGCAGCGGCAGCTGACCATCCTGCGAGGCGCAACCCGCATCCAGCACCGCCGCACCACCAGCAACGCCGCCGCAGCTCGCACTGCTGCCCACTCCGCTGCCGCCACTCAACTGAGCCGGAACAACAGCACTCGCCGGCTGCTGCTGCTGAGGCGGCGAGGGGAGGGCTGCGCTAGCCGCAGCAGCAGCAGCGTCGGGTGAGCCCTGCTCCGGTGGAGGCGCCACAGCGTCAGAGCCCTGCTCCTGCTCCGCCGGCTGCCCCAGAAGCCGCTGCTGCCCTGATGCCGCTGCCGCCGCGCCCGCAGCCTGCAACCGGAGCTCCAACAGGCGCTGCACGATGGCTAGGTTGCCCCCGCGAGCAGCGCAATGGAGGCTGGTGGCGCCAGAGGTGTCCGTGACCCATGGGTCGGAACCATGCTGTGGGTCGGAATCGGGTTTGTCAACAGGGGTTAGGCAATCGCCGAGCAAAGATAGCTCAATAAGATAAGAAGCCAGCCAAGAACCCAGGCCTTCACATACTCCAGCCCGTTTCCATTCCGCCTACGGTAACACCCACCGTTCCCCCATGCCGCCCACAACCCATCCACCCTCTCTTCCCGCCCATCCATCCACCCAGCTCGCCCACCATGAGCAGCAGCTCAAAGGCGCCCCGGTGGCCGCCCTCCGCCGCCCGCTGCAGTGCCGTACAGCCCCGCCAGTCCCGCCGACCCACGCAGGCGCCGTTCCGCAGCAGCACCGCCAGCGCCGCGCAGTGGCCCCGGGAGGCTGCCAGATGCAGCGCGGTATGGCCGCCAGCAGTGCTGCTAGGGGTGCTGCTGCTGCTGCTGCCAGCGCTGCCGCCAACGCTGTTGCCTTGGGTGGCAGTAGCAGCAGCAGCAGCAGCGGGTGGGCTGCGAGAGGTGGGAGCGGCTGTAGCAGCTGCCGGCGCCGCTACCTTGTGCTGGCTAGCGGCGGCAGATGGCTGCTGCTGTGGGGGTTCAGGCTGTGACCGACCGGTCTGCTGTTGCTGCAGCTGCTGCCGTTGCGGTTGAGGGTCGGCGTCTGCTGGTGGCAGCACGATGGAAGGAGCCTTGGGGGGCTCCGCCACAGCAGCCGCGCAGCTAGTCCTGCTGTTAGAATTGGTGGTGGTGGTGGTGGTGGTGTTGACGGCTCCGGGACTGCAGCGGCACTCTGGCGCCCCCGCGGGTTCCACGGGTTTCACGCCAGCAGGCGGCAGCGGCGGCGGCGGCCCCGCGGGACCGCCCATCATGTCCACCTCGTAACCCGCCAGAAGGAGCTTCTCCAGCACCTGAGGAGCGGCGACATGGCAGGCAACCCAAACAGGGTGTAAGGCGTATAACACGAGCGCGCATACCCATACATACGAAAGCCTTTCTTCCCTCACTACCAGGTAGTACCGGTGCCCTCAGCACACTGCTCCTCGCGATCGACCCCCGAAAGCAAGCCCACCATAACAAGCAAAAGGCATGCATCCACAACACTTCCTGGTCCCGTTCCACCCATTCACCCTAGGGCGCCAGTAAAAACCAAGCCTGCCCCTCTGCAGCTCCCCCAACACTGCCCATTTCCCCACACCTCACCTCCGCATGCCCCCTCAGCGCCGCATGGTGCGCCGGCGTGAAGCCCTCCCGGTCCGTTCGCTGCACCGCCGCACCGCCTATGATCAGTCGCCCCACCGTCTCCACGTGACCCGACATGGATGCGTAGTGCAGCGGGGAAGCGCCGCAGGTGTCGGCAGGGTCGATCCGGGCGCCCCTGTGGTCATCGCATCAGGGTCATCAACCTCATCATTGTCAGCAGCCGCGGCAGCAGCATGGCAAGCGGCATGTTTACGGACCTTGAGGTCCCATGAGGAGGCATGCAGCTGCCCACGCAGGCGGTGCAGTGTCATAAGCTGGCTGGCAGGCATATGACCGTACTTGCACATGAGTACCACAGCGTACCAAGGGCAGGCCTTTCTTACACACGAAGAGAGGCAGCCAAGGCGGCAAGTGCACACACATGTCACGGGTTTTCCAACACACACGCGACACCCCCACCCCCACCCCCAAGCAACCCACCGCGGCCACAGCTGCTCCACCACCCGCCAGTGCCCCAGTGCAGCTGCATGGTGCAACGCCGTGTGGCCGTTACAGTCAACCGCATCCACCAACTGCTCTCCTGCCTCGCCAGTGCCCCGGCCCCCTGCACCTGCACCTGCAGCACCTGCTGCTGCGGTGGATGCGGTGCATGCGACGGCGCGGGCTGCAGGGCGGCTGGCGGCGGCTCGCAGCAGCAGCGCCACCACTCCGTCGTGGCCGTTGCGGGCTGCCAGGTGCAGCGCGGTGCGACCCTGGTTGGGAGGTGGCAGGCGAGGTGGGGAGGAGGGCGCGAAGGGGAGGTGGGTGCAGGGGGCGGCGAGGAAGGGATCGGGCGCAGAGAGAGAGCATGGACGCTGCCCTCTTTGCAGAGTGATTCTGAGCGCCCGCATGGGCACGGAGAGTTGAGAATGCGGACTTAGCTGTTAAGCGCGAATGCGTGGGAAACAGCTGTAGGCACACCCCCAGTAACCGACGGCTATCCAATGCACTACAACATGTGAAGCCTAGTAGCAGCATTTGCAACGCCTTGACGTCCACTGCTCTTACCTGTTCCGTGCGAGCCATCAAGTCACATCCCAGCGACTTCAACAGCACCTCACACACCGCCGAATGCCCGTGAGCCGCCGCCAGGTGCAGCGGAGTGGCGCCGCGGTAGCTCACTCGCGCTGCAAACGCCGGCGGCACACGAGCGCGACGAGAGCGCGCGCCGCCGCCAGCCAAATCAAAGTCCAGCGGGAGATCCAGATCCAAACCGTACGGCAGCGGCAGAGATCCCAGGCCATCCAACAACGCGGCGCCTAGCCCATGTAGATCGTCAACGTCAACGTCGGCATCATCTCCTTCTGCGTCAATGTCGGCGTCTCCCTCTCCATCTGTGTCGTAATCGTAGTCGTACTCATCGTCATCGTCGTACACGTCACCTTCACTGCCGCCGCCACCACCTTCGTCCGCGTCTCCTCCAGTGTAGGTGTAACCCTCACCACCACCGGCACCGCCAGAAGTCGACGCTGTGACCGCCGCGCCGCCGCCGCATTCGCCGCTATCCTCGCCAGCGGCGGCAGCGCCGCCACAGCCGTCGCCGTCGACTGAACCCACGTCCGCTGCGTCGCCATCCGCCGGCCGCTTCTGCCCACTGCCACCGCCGACGGCGCCGCCGCTGCTGTGCCTGTAGCACCTGCTGCTGCCACGGGGGTAGCTGCCACCACAGCCCGCATGGGCTTCCGCTGCCGCACGTGCACCGGCACCACTCGGCGCTAGGCGACGCAGCCGCCTCCGCCGGCCACCAATGCCCACCGCGCCGGCAACATCCCCCGCCACGCCGCTGCGGGCTTGCTTGGCAGCACCAGACGCTGCCGTATACTCTCCCACAACCCCGACCCGACCCGTCAACGGCTCCCCATTGTCGCCGGCATTGCCGTCAGGCACCGGAACAACTCCAGCTGCAGGAGCATAGGAGCCCCTGAGCTGCATGGCGGAGCTGTCCGCCTCGTCCCCATCCTCGTCATCATCATCAGCGCTCGTCTCTTCAACGTCGCTGCCGCCACCACCACCTGTACGGCATTCGTCGCCGAGACCTCGCCCTGACGAGTCGCCATGTCGCTTCCGCCGCTCGCCTGTCGTACGACGGGTCCCCGCTGCTACCTCTTGATCGCTGTGTTTGGCGTTAATCCCGCCGAATCCGGATTCCGTTTCCGGTGCCGCCTCTGCTTCCACGCCACGTTCATCCTGCCCTGATGCCGCATTAGTCGCAGCCGCAGCCGGCGCCGACGGCGACCCCTCTGATGGCGATCCAGGCGCCGAAACCACGTCACCGCTTCCGCTAATGTGCCGCTGCTGCACCGACGAACGCCGCCTGTTGCGCCGGCCATCCGCGTACGTCGTCCGTCCACGCATGATACCACCGCCTGGCAACCCCGCAGGGACTGTCCCTGTGGCCGGCGACAGCCCTGCAGCGACTGCGGGAGCGAAGGCTGCAACGCCAGCTGCTTGCGAGGGCTGCTGCTGCTGCGAGGCCTCACCCTCGCCCGCTGGCGCCGGGTCATATGTGCTGGAGCTGATGCTGGTTCGTGCGTGCCTGGGAGCAGGAGCAACAGCCTTCCAAAGATGCTGCTCCGCGAATTTGCCTGGGGAGAGCAGTCGGAAGACCAGACACAGGTGGCAAGGGGACAGCACATGACCGCACATGACAAATGGTTTTAATTAAAAGGTAAGCGAAGCCTACCTACCGGTTCCTAGGTCACCGTTTTCCCCCCTGTCATCTACTAAAACAATCCCGCCTGCAGCCTCTAGCCCAGCCCTGTGAACTTTGACGGAACCCAAAGCAACCCAAACGCCGGGGCGGCTGCCGGGTCCCACGCACCTGCCAAGAAGTGCAGCTGGTCGGGCGTAAGACGGTCACCACACGTATCCAGCGCTATCTGCAGACCCAGCCGCGCAGCTTGTGCCACGCTCATGCAAGCCGGCGACCCATCATCCGCGCCAAACGCCATCTCATCACTATCCGTGAGGCTGCCGCCACCACTGGCCGCCTCCTCCTCCTCCTCCTCGTCATCATCCATGCAGGCGCTGCTGCCTCGAGTGTGCAACTCCTCCAGGGCCCTCCTCGCAGCCTGTCGCAGCCGCATGTCGGCACCGTAGCGCCGCCGCGACTGCTGCTGTTGCTGTGAAGCTGCTGCTCCGGGACCGGCAGCAGCAGCAGCCGCGTCAACATCATCTCCCAGAGTGCCGTACTCCACGGCAATGTCGTACGCGGAGGAGGTGGAGCTCTCAGCGTCGTCCTCAGCAGATCTGGAAAGGCGGGAAAGCGAGGAGTTGAGAAGATACCGGTAAGCTCACAGCGGATGTGTTCAGGTTATCAATCGAACAGTACGACAACAATCTGCCTTAATGGGCCAGGAGCACAGTCTTGGGCGCAGCGCTTGGTTGTTTTTGCTGTGATGTGTTGATTTTTAGGTGTGAAGCCTAAAACGGCCTAAAAGCAACCCATGGGTACCCCCCGTGCCCGCCGGCCCCCTACCTGATTTTTAAAACGTCCCCGCCGCTGCATCCACCATCCGCTCCCTCGCCCTCGCTATGGATGAAATCCCGGTCCATCCGCTTCCCTGCGTCACAGCCCAGCGCCAGTAACCTCTCCACCACCTCCAAACGCCCAGTGGAGGCGGCTGCATGCAACGGCATGCGGCCGAATGAGTCGCTGCGGTTCAGCATCTCAGCTATCACGCCGCGGCCGCCGCAGATGGCGCCCGTCAGAGCACTGAGGTCGAGAGCGGAAAGGGCGCTGCCTACGGGGGTAGGCGGTGCTGTACCGTTGCCGAAATTGATTTGCAGTGGGACGAGCTGTACGGGCAGTGTCGTACCGTCCGGCAGCTGCATGCTGTACGTCAGGGGGCCGGCTGCCGTAGTTGATGATGGTGGTGATGGTGGTGGTGCAGTAGCAGCCGGGGTGGGGGCTGCTGCAGTGGGAGGTGAGTCCGCCGGAGGAAGCATGTGTAAAGGGCGGCTGGAGGAGCCGTCTGAGGGTGCCAAGGCTGCATGGGTGGGCAGTGGGCTAGGCGGCACCGCGCCCGTAGGCGCTGCTGCTGGGGTTGTAGCAGCAGCAGCAGCAGCGGCAGCAGTGGAGGCGTGTGGCTGACCAGCAGCGTCGCTAACCGCGTGGAGGAGGGACCGCAGGGAGGTGCCATCTGGGAGGGAGGGCAGGCAGGACGTAGGGGATAGCAGGATGGCGCGTGAGAAGAAGGACTCGAGGAAGGGCTGTCAAGCAGTGAGATGTTGGCCTGTGGTCGCTCCCAGCGCTGATTCAAACTAGGCAGCAACTGCCGCTCGTCCCAACGCTGCCCATGCCCGCCTTCGCGATATCCATGCCGCTGACAGCCTCCTACCCCATACCCGGTACCGTCCACCTTGACCTCTTGCATCCAAACGTCTGCAACACTACGCCCCTCGCCCCTCCTAGTTCCCCAACTCACTTAGCATTCCTGCGAACGCAGGATCCAAATTCAGCACGTAGGCGGATCCGCCTGCAACCGAACCATCACGCGTCTTGGGCAGCGCGTCTTTTCCAGCGTCGCCACCTGCCGTTGCGTCCCTTCTTGCGCCGGCAGTGCCATCCTGTGCCACCTTGCCGCCCTCAACCCCTCCATCTCCCAGACTCTGGGATGGGCGTGAGAGGTCAAGAACGGGCAGAGTACGACCGGACGCGGTATTGCCTCCGCCGGTACCGCCAGCAGCACCGTCGTGCGTATTGCGTCCAGCCAGTACCACCCCGCCCGCAGCAGCGGCAGCAGCAGCCGACCCAACCCCTGCTCCACTGCCATCCAGCTTCCGGCTGCTCACAGCCAGCCTCGCTTCCAAGCCCTGCTGCAGCAGCTGAAAGAGGTCCTCCTCATCCGCCGAGTCCCACTCGGCGCCTTCGCCATGCGCCGCAGCCGAGCGCCGCGTCTCCGAGGCTGCTGCAGTTGCGGGCCCTGCGGTCGTCGCTGCTGCTGCTGCCGCCGCCATTTCCGCAGGCGCTGCCGGTGCGGCTGCCCCACCACCACGAGCCAGGCCTGCCCGCCCCTCGGGGCTAACGCCAGCGCCGCTGACAAGCGTACTCGAGCCCGTGACGTCAGGGCCAACCACGCCATTCCCTCGCTGCAGAGCTCTGCCCCGAGGCAGCACACCGTCCCGTGGGTCGCTTCCCGCCGACTTCAGGCTTACCTCCACGCTGCCGTCGCCGCCGTCCTTCGCCGCACCTCCCCCACGATCCAATCGGTGCCGCTGAGGCAATCCGGCGCTTGAGACAAACTTGCCAGCTCCCAACGTAACCGCCGGCTGCACAAATGCAGCGAGCAAGGCAACCTGGGAGGGAACGTCGTTGCAGCTGCTGCCAATGCTGTGCGCGCCTCCTGCCGACTCCTGCGCTGGTGAGCCAGCGCTGGCGGGGGCGGTGAGCACCACAACCTGCCGCTGGGGCTGCTGGGGACACAGGGCGTGGTTAGCAGCCCCGGCCACGCCGCTCGAAGGTGATCCGGCAGGTCCCGAAGTCCTTGCACCCTCGCTGCTGCTGCCGCCGGCGCTAGCATTCCCGCCCGGCAGCAAAGACTGGTCCGTCACAGGGAACAGCAGCGCGTGCATGGGTAACGGCAATTCCCCATCCCCACCACACCCCTGCTGCGGCGGCAGCGCCACCGCCAACGTCGGCTGCGGCGACGAGGCCTGAGGCTGCTGGTTGAGCTGCTTCATGGCTTTCAGCGCAAACTGCTGGCGTCGCTCCTTTATGGTTGTCACCATGGCTGACACAGCCGCTGCTGCAGTGGCCCTGTCCGCCGGCTGCTCCGGGAGTCCCGCGGGCGGTGCCTCAGCGCGGCTGGCTATGGCCCACCAGATGATGACGGCCACCTCCCCGGGGCAGTGCAGCCGCCAGTCGGGACCAAAGGTGCGCTCCAGGGTGGGGATCCAGTTGTCCCGGACGTAGGCCTCCCATGGGTCCTGCGAGGAAGGGAACAGAGCAAGGCAGCGAATGGGGGGGTTAAAGGCAAGAAAGGGCTGCGCACGGCATGTTGGGAAATGGGTTCACCGACCGTCCCCAGCGCAGAAGGGAAAACATGCTGCCAGGCGGGATACGATCCGAAGGAAAGCTGGGATGGCTCCGCCACATAGAACAATAAAACAGTCATACCAAATACAGGTATGTATGTCCTTATAGCACAGCGGCGCCCGCATGTCCAAAGGAGCTCCTGACCAGTATATAAAAACAGATTATGCCACAGGACCAAACCGGGTACGATGTTTCTCTCAAAAACCCATTCAGCAGCATATGTGCCTCATCCGCATAGGATTGCTTGCAAACGGCGGTTTGCCCTTTGCAGTACCCTGAGCCACACATTGTACGACGTTGGCACGATGCAATGCCACAGACTGGACCTAAAGCTAGCGCTTTGCTGGGCGTTGCGCACAGGTAGCTGAATGGCAATTGATGCCGAAGCGATGTCCGTGAACGTGCAGATGTGACAGCACTGGACCAAAATGCAACTGGCGTTGAAATTAGCGTAACGGCAGCACCCATTTGCTGGAAAGGGGGCATGAACTATCCGCTCACAAGTCATAACATGCTAAACACAGGAAGTCCCATAAAGCAGCTCAAGCGTTCGACAAACTGACGGATTTGGGCAAACCGTCAGCAGCGGTTGCCTGTCAGTTTCCACGTGGGCGATTCACTGGACACTGCTGCAATGGCACTACCTTTTGGCAATGACCAGCAACACTTGATTGAAGCCATCGCGATGTATTAGCGATCGTGTCAATGCAAGGCGTGTGTTGCGTGGATCTCTAGGTGCAAAGCGAACAGCACTGCAACCGCCATACATATCACCAACGCTAACACCTGATAGCACACCCCCAGGATACACTCGCCCAGGTGTGCAATGATCAGGACTATCAGCAACACGGTACATTTGGGTCATACGATGCAAGCATATACCACTCACCACTTTCCGAACCCGACTCCTGCGCGCCCGTCCGCTGCTGCTCCTCCGGGGCTCCATTTGACTGCTTGGCAGCGCTGCAGCAGCAGCATCGGCGTCGGGAATGCTGGCAGTAGCAGCAGCTTCCGCAGCAGGAGGCGCCGGGCCGCTCTCTGCCCCCGAACCGACTTGGGGCCCCTGGGTCTCCCCCCCTGCGGGGTCCGCGATGGGGGACCTGGATGTAGCCGCATCCCCAGCATCAGGGGTGACATCCAAGCTTGCACTGTTAAGGCTTCTCTTCATTACAATTCCTGTGAGGCAAAATCCGGGCATAGGGCGGCGGCTTAGCGGGTGAGCGCTGACCAGCAAGCAGGGGCTCCAACGCAAGGCGAGATGCGAGCCCACGAGCGTTGAACATCATGAGCGAATTGTAATGCTCCTGTCGCCGCATCGTCGTTGTAATTTTCCTTCCAAAAGCGTGGCCATGGTAGGCACAACACAGCCTAGGACCCAAAGCCGCGGCGGCGCAAGGTACTAAGCATGATTGACCAATAATTCTTGCTATGCAGGTAAATTCGAGGACTTTAACCAAGAGAAAGTCGGCAGGGCATAGGGGAGGTCCAGCGGCTCGGCCGAGGACACAACGCGTTGCTCTTACCGAACACTATGGTGATGCCTTAGCGTTGAAAAAGCATGCTGATCTTAGCTGCCCTTGATACTGGTATTGTTTGCTCTGACTGGAGAGGCTTAAGCACCTGCCTACCCCAAGCGCGTCCACCCCGCTCTAAATGCCTACAGCAACAAGCAAATGAAGAGGTGCAGCTAGAGTATTATACTTGGCGTTGTGTTGGCAAAATCCTAATCAAAGCTGAGGAGACCATGAAGAGCACGACAACTCGAACATGGTATACTAGTGCAAATCCGTTCCAGTCCTCCATAAGGATTCCATACAATTGAGAATAAAACACATTCTTAGAGAGCTTTCATATATATTTGCGACTCTCGGCTCGAATCATTGGTGTGGAAGGCTTGTTGGTTGCTTTTCGGCTGTAGGCTTACAACCTTTCCTTATGCTTTTTGTCATGGGAATGAGACAATTCCGTTAGGAAGCCTTTCTAACTTAGGGAACAAAACACGATGGCGGAGGTGAAGAAGAAGGTGAACGACTGGGCTCCCAGGCTTGGTATGGTCCTTGACATGCAGCTTACACATCCTTCTTCAACCCTGAGTAGATCAAGCCAGGGCAGATAGAGGTTCACCCGGAGGAGCTTGCCATAGTCGTCCACTACGAGGTAGGTTGGATGTGCTAGTCGGCTGCTAGCAGTGCAGTTACAGACTGCATGGTTAAGGCTGTGATCGATTGATATGGGGCTTGCATCCATACTGGGCTGCTGACATGCCCTTCGCATCCAGTGTAAATACCCGCGGCTTTCCTTACTTCAACTCGCTTCTTACAGGTTCAAGAAGTTAGCACCTTGCCAGATGGCACCCAAAAAGTTATTAGCAAGGAGCCCGGCGAGAAGAAGTGGGTTTGTCCTTTGCGGCGTCCGCATGTTCGCGCCCGCGTAGCACCTCACGACGCTTCCGCTGCCTCTTCGCGGGTTGCAGGATTTCCGTCAAGTCTTTGTCAGACAAGACAAACGTGCCCTTGTTAGCAACCGAGATCATTGCAAAATGCAAGCTCATTCATCCCTCGAAGGTAGGTGTGCAGTCGCGCAGCACCAAACGGCCACGGCATGAACAGCTTGGAGCGTCACCAGCATTTGATCACTTTTGTTTTTCCTTACAAAGCTGCACGCCGTCTAGTCCTACACTACCTTCCCCATACGTTCGCAAACAGACCGGTCAAGTGGAGGAGCTATTATATCAGCTGCAACACCGCGGTGCCGGCGATGATGGCAAGGCTACAGCTAAGCCAGCGTCAGCATCGGCGGGGGGAGCGCCCGCCGCTAAGTCCTCGCCACCAAAAGCCACACCCGCTCCGGCGCCTGCTCCGGCGGCCGCAGCACCCCCGCCCTCCCCAGCCAAGCCTGGTCCCCCGCCGGGAACCCCCTCGAAGAAGCCGCCCGCTGCCAGCCCGGCTCCAGCTGCTATGCTCAATGGGAAGGCGCCGGTCAAGGCTCAAAGCAGGCTTGATGCAGGTGGCAGGGCCAGCGTGGTTGGGTGCGGACCCTAAGGCCCTTGAATAGGGAAGGGCCCGGGTTACCGGCGGGATCTTAACGTTTTGGTGCAGCTGGGCGGCAGCCCCATGCATGAGCCCTTGGGCGCCCGACCCACATGGCGGCATGTAACGGAAAGCACAGGAAGGAGCATGAGGTTCATGACTAATACCCAAAGGAGTCAACCGAAGCGTTCGCATACACCGGGGACGCATGTAAATGGGAGGCCCGGGAGGCAGGCGTACCGTCTTTTGCCCCTTGCCACACTGCTTGTGGCGTCACGGCCTCCAGGGGCCTGGTCACTGCAATGCACTGCCATGTGACCGCTTGTCTTCCCCCTCTTCCTCTTCCCTCCTCACGTCCTCCCCTGCTGGTCAACACAGAGGCCGAGGAGCGCGCTGAGCTGCAGCAGCGGCGACAGACGCAGGCGATGCAGATCTTCAAGATGCAGCAGAAGCAGTACGAGCAGGCCTACATGACCAAGCTTGACGAGTACATTGTGAGTACGGCGGGGAGCAGAACCCCCATTCCTATCTTCCCCGGGGTGCTTGGCATCCTTCCTGCATCCGTTAACTTTTAATGACATGAGGACATGACTTGTCGGTTGACGTGCTACCAGCGGGCTGGGGTGGATGGTAGGGCTGGCAGGTTGCCACAGCTCAGCCTGCTTGTTCAACGTGCATCCTCCTAAGCATGCCAGGGAACGTGGCCTAGGTTGTAAGCCTATTGTTCAAATAAGCCAAGATGGCACCGATCTTTGGAGCCGACCCACATCGGCACCCGTGCTTACACCCCTCCTCCGCACCCTCCTCTGTGCTGCAGGAGGGGCTGTACGAGGAGGAAATGCCCAAGAAGGTCCGCGCCACCGGCATGATTGCACAGCTCTTCAGGAACACGGAGAATTTTGAGGTGGGGGGGCTGTGCGGGCGGGAAATGGATCGGTAGGGTGTGGGACGGTGTAGGAAGGACATCGCGGGCTAGGGAAGTTTGGGGTCAACCGGTTATGCTTATTGGTTAAGGTCCGCGCATGTGGGTCAAGGACTGTCACCATGGACTTATATCCACTACATGCTCTGGTCGGCTCTTCCACGCCATTAACTCTTGGGTGTCTCTTCGTCTTCCCCGCCCGCGTTTTGAAGCCATAAAAGCTCCCGCGCAGCTCTTCACCTCCCTCACCCTTCTCTCTCGTCATCCTTCCTCCCCTTCCTCTGCCCCTGCCCCTGCCCCTGCCCCCGCCTGGCGTCCCTCCAGACGCTGCTGAGCCACGAGACGCTGCTTCAGACGCTGGCCCGCGTGCTACGAGAGGACGGCAAGCGCTCCATTGACCTGTGCACCAACATCGTGTCCGTGTTCTTCTCCGTCTCCAACTTCACGCAGTTCCACGGCCTCATCATGCAGAACCAGGTGGGCTGCGGACGAGGCGAACGGCAGCAGCGTGCGCTGCTGCTGGTAATAGTAATACCCAAAGTTACGCTGCTGGCAAACGGCTATTGGTGGCTAAACGGCTGGCTTGGGCACATGCATGTTCTACCGATTCCTCCGGTTTTGTGGAGATGCTCCATTACGCTTAATCCACCATGCGACCGACTGAATCCCTGCCCGGGACCCTATGCAGTGTGCCGTACGCACGCAGCCCTCCTGCGCTCCTATCAGTTGCCCAACACCCTTTTGTGGATGGTTGGGAACCACTCTCTTAAATGTCTGTGTGTCTATCTAATATCTATTCCCGCAGGTGGGCGCTCTGACCATGGACCTCATCGACCTGGAGATCAAGCGCACGGAGCACAGGTGCGTGCGTGTCAGGAGGGGGGCCGCACAGGGGGCGAGGGCACATTGTTCAACACACCATGCGACATGCCATACCCACACCAAGAGCAGATCCGCTCCCCATCACCTGATACCATGACCCCGCCTGACATGTCCCGTGTCCTTGGATTTTTCCCTCAGGGCGGCTGAGGAGGGCATCTCGCCTGCCATGGTGGCGCAGAAGGCGCTGGAGGCCAGCCAGGGACAGGTGAGGGGTGGTGGGGAGGGCAGGGTTGGCATGCCTGCATGGGTGCCGCGAGGACTGGCACAGGACGGGGGCCTACCTTGGGAAAGCAAAGCGTGGCAGCATTACCAGTGAAGGAAAGGCCTTATTTAACGTTCGCTGCCATCGGTTGCTGAATGCTAGACGTTTACCGACAACCCATGTACTTCGAGTACGCCTGCACTCCGTGCTGCTGTCCGTCATCTGCCATGCGCTGTCGTTCATCCCTCACGCCTCACGAAACCTGGGCCTCCATCACCGGACCCCCCCCTTCCTCCCCCGTCGCGTGCCTCGCGCCGCGCAGGTGACTCTGAGCGAGCGCGAGAAGAAGCTGCTTGCGCTGATTCAGAAGCAGGACCGGCTGCTGTACATCGCCTTCTACATGCTGCTGAACCTGTCGGAGGATATCGAGGTGGAGCGCAAGATGAAGAAGAAGGTAGGGAAGAAAAGAAAGAAAGAAAGGAAAGAACAAAAGGAGGAGGAGGCCTACTCTACTCGGAGACCTACACGTGCATGCAGCCGCTTGCATGCTGTTATCTTCTTTTTACTGCCACTTTTAGCTGTTGCTTGCCCAAACGCCCGGCGATGCGGATGCGTGACGCACCGCTGCGCCCTGTCCTACTGCACTGCACCTACTGAAACCCCTTCCTCTCTCATTCCTTTCCCAAAACATGCACCCAACCTAACTCGCCACCCCTACCCACCTCTCCTACCCACCTCTCCTACCCCTCCCCCCTCCCCCCCCTGCCGTACAGAACATCGTGGTGTACCTGGTCAAGATGCTGGAGCGATCCAACGTGGAGCTGCTCATACTGGCCACCACCTTCCTCAAGAAGCTCTCCATATACAAGGTGGGGGTTGTGGTAGGAGGAGGAGATGGATACCGGTATTCCGAAAGCAGGGCTGGAATACCTAGGCTGGGAAGCATCATCAAAGGCAAAACACCCGGGACCCAAGTGTGCCGGGGCGGGGAGGCTCCGCCCTCGCCACATTCCTCCTCTCCGGTCTCCAGTCAGTTAGTTGTTTCCTCTTTATCCCCCCCCAAACGTTGGATGGTCGGCATGGACCTTTCACGCGCCATGCTAACTCCTTTCCACCCCCACCGCCACCCTGCGCTCGCTGTTCTCAGGAGAACAAGGAGACCATGGCGAGCTGCAAGATCGTGGAGAAGCTGATGAAGTTCGTGCCGGTGCTGAACGACGTGCTGCTCATGTCGGTGCTGCGGCTGCTGCACAACCTCTCCTTTGACCACACCCTGCGGGATGACATGGTCAAGCACGGCCTCATACCCAAGGTTGGGCTGGGAGGGAGAGGGAGGGGGTATGCGGGGGCCAAGTACGGACGAGAGGGGCTGGGTTGGGTTGGGGCTACAGTGGGTTATCGCATTTCCGGTACCTTGCGTGTACAGCGGTTGGTAGCTGTAGGTACCTCCTAACCTCCTCGTGTCTCCACCTCCCTGACCTTCTCTTCTCCCACCTGCCCCTCTCCTCGCTCCTCGAGCCAGGCTGTGGACCTGATGACCGTCCCCCGCTTCCAGCCGGTGGTGCTGGGCCTGCTGTACCACATCTCCATGGAGGACAAGTACAAGAGCCTCTTCACCTTCACGGACTGCCTAAACAAGATGTACGACATGCTCATGCGCGTGCAGGTGGGAGGCGGGTGGGGAGTGGGGGGTGGGGGTTTGGTGGGGGGTACTGGATAGGGTGTTGGGCTGGACGGGGATCGCACGCGTCATGCGTCAGGCTTGCGTACGGTGGCTTTTTGCCGGAGAGAAGGACCCTCGGACAGAGAAGGACCTTTCTCGTCCTACCAACCACTCGGGGTGTTGTGTTAAGTTTTCCGTTACATGGGTTCACCTCTGCCCCTACGCCCTACCCATTTCTTCTGCTCCCCCCCCAGGTCGTCAGTTTCCTCGTTTTTACCTCCCTTACCCCCCTTCCACCTTCCCAGCCACCCCCTCACCCCCTTCCTGCCTCCCTGCCCCCTGCACAGGACCTGCGCAACACGCCCGAGCTCATCGCGCTGGCGGTCAACCTCACACAGAACCCGCGCAACGCAGAGGTGGGGGGCGCAATGCAAGGAGTGGCGTAATGGCCTCGAGGGGTGGGAGCATGATGGATGGGGCTGTGGACTGGGGAACCAGGAGTGCTATAGGGGATACAGAGTCCTCCCTGCTCACCCTACATCCATCTCCATCTCCTCTTAATTCCCTCCTCCCCCCGCCCGTCCCCCCGCCCGTGCCGATGCCCATGCAGACCCTGTGCGAGGGCGACCGGTTCGACAAGATGATGCGCCGCGCCTTCCAGACGTGCGACGAGCTGATGTTCAAGGTGCTGCGCAACCTGTCGCAGCAGGACGGGCTGTCCATCAAGCGCCGCTTTGGGCCCTACGTGGAGCAGCTGGTCACATTGCTGAGGGTAAGGAAGGGGTGCAGGGGGGGCTGCATGGGGGGGGGGAGAAAGCGGGGTGGTGGTGGCGGCAGGGGAAAGGAGGATGTGTCCAAGTTGGTAGCGAATGGGTGCAAGAACGCGCGATGGAGGGGCTGCAGGGAGGCGCGGGAGGCGGGTTAGGGTGCAGATCTTACATTTGATATGGTCATGCAAGATGCAAGAAGCTATAGCCAATGAATCCCCTCCTCCTCCTCCTCCTTAACCCCTGTTCTCCCCCCCTCCCAGGCTCCCGACATCACCGCCGAGCTGTTCGTGGAGGTGCTGGGCTGCCTGGCCAACCTGTACATCCCCGAGTTCGACTTCCTGGGGCTGGTACGCAAGCACGACCTGCTCACCTTCCTGGCCACCTACGCGCAGCCGGGTGCGGTGGACGACGACATACTGCTGGAGGTGGTCATGTTCGTGGGGGTGCTGTGCAATGAGGGAACCGCGCCGCTCATCTGCCAGAGCGGGCTGGTGAGTTGGGGGGAGAGAGGGGGATTAGATAAACTGAGCCGCGGACAGAGGAAATGAAGGGGGGGCACCCTCTCATCAGTTTTCCTTAATTTTACCCTCTCGCCCTCCACCTGTCTTCACCTCCACCTCCCCGCCACCCCCGCCCCCTCCTCGCCCTGCCCTGCAGGTCTCCACGCTGTTCACCCTGATGGGCGACAAGAAGGAGGACGACGAGTTCGTGCTGCAGATCGCCTTCACCTTCCACAAGTTCCTGCTGCACGACGAGACGCGCACCATGCTGCTGACCAACACGCAGCAGGTGGTCTTCTACCTTGTGGACCTGCTGCAGGACAAGAACAAGGAGGTGAGACACACTGCTGCTTCCGTGGCGCAGCTCCATCATCGTAGCAGCTCCCGCCCCCTCTCTCGCTGTTCTCGTAGCGCTTCCGTGCAGCGCTTCCTGGTAGCAGCATCTCTCTCACCCGCTCCCTCTCCTCTCTCCGCCTGCCTCTTCCTGCCCCCCCCCCCGCCTCTCCCTCCCTCCTCCTGCCCCCCCCACCCACTGCACTCACTGCATGAGTCGGGTTATGGGTCTGGGACTCTAGTTGTTTGCATTTCTTATATAATTTCCCCACCCCACCACCCAGGTTCGCCGCGTGGCGGACCAGTGTCTGGACATCATCATGGACACGGACGAGGAGTGGGCGGTGCGCATCCGCAACCTCAAGTTCGAGTCCTTCAACCAGGAGTGGCTGGACGTGGTGGCGCAGCCGCCCGACCAGATGGCAGCGGTAAGGGGGTGGGGCAGGGGGGTGGGGCTGGGTGGGTGGGTGGCTCGCTACGGGCAGTGGCTAAAAAGGGCGGGGACGGAGAGGAGAGTGAGCGTACCAGGTACGACGGGCTGATGCTTTCGCCGTACTGTACGGCATACAACAAGGGGGCCTGCTTGCCCCCTATAGCGATGGTGTGTGTTTGCTTTCTGAACGGCTTTCACGTGTTTTTGTATGTACACCTGGCTGAATTACTAGCCGGCCGTGGCTGCTGTCACATGCGGTGCTCATCTTGTCCTGGTGCTGTCTAATCCTGGTTGACTGATTGTCACCGCCGTCCCCTCCACCCCCCCTCCCTCCCTCCTCTCCACGCCACAGCAACACGCCCGGCCCCGTCACGGCTACGACGACGCCGAGGTGGACTACAGCGGAGACGGTGAGGGTGTGTTTGTGTGTTTCATGTGTGGAAGGAGGATGGAATGATGTTGAGGGCAAGTGGGCAACATGACTCACGGTTTACTACTTAATGTTCTTGGCAGGAGGCGACACGCCTCATCAATTGGAAAGCCCATGACCCCCATCCTCACGCAAGGTTTCTAAACCCCCCCAACCTTTCCTCTCCCTCCCTCACTGCAGTCACTGCAGTCACTGCATGAGTCGGGATATGGGATTGGGTCTCTAGTTGTTGCACATAATAAATAATCCCCCCTCCCTTCCCCCTCACATCCCTCCCTCGCCCCGCAGGCTACGGCTACCAGATCAGCGACCAGCGGTTGGTTGCGGACTTCGACGACCTGGGCGGCGCCAACGGGGGCGCCACGTGGGGCCCGGGCGACGAGGGCATCATGCACGCCAACTACGACGGCTACGAGGGCACGTACGACGAGGAGGAGCTGCGCCGGGGGTACGCCATGTGAGGTGTGGAGCGGCAGGAGGAGGAGTTGGAGATGGGGGAGGGGTGCTGTGAGGAGTGCGGTGTGGTGGGGAAGTGGGAGGAGGAGGGCAGGGGCCTGGTGCATGTCGGTGTTGGGGTGGTGGCGGGGGTGCAGATGTAGTGGAGGGTGGGTTGGGCCAGAAGGGGGATGCGGAGGGAATATGCCAGGAAGAAGGGCGGAGGAGCTTGGGAAGGGAAAATCCCTGCATGCGAGGGTGGGCGGCGGAAGTGAGGGTAGGAGGAGGGGAGGCGCCGCGGAGGGGGCGGTGGTGTGGAGGGTGCACGGAGGCTGGCAGGACAGCGGGCGGTAGCTGGGGTGATGTAGCTTGGACATGACTGGGAGGTAGGTGTGTGGGCACATGGCAAGGCAGCGTAGCGTTGTATGGTATGAATACGGTAGTGCGCCTGGTTGGGGTCCGAGCGGTGTGCGGGCAGATTTGCGCGTGCAGGGCTGGACGTGCGGTGCTGGGTACAGCGGCATTTCCGCATCTTGTCGGGGAGGTTGTCGAGAAATTCTGGTTTTGCCAGATGCCTTAAAACACCATCGACGGGTAAATTATACTGTGTACTTACATTAACATAAAAGCGTGCGTGCAGTCGTGGATGGCTGCCGACGTGCGACGGTGCGAAGCAACGCGGTGCCGTCCTTGTTTGCAGGGCGTGCGCAATCCCAACCGTTTTAGTACCTATTGGGCAATGAGAGTTCTGGGCACAGGCTGCCGGGGTTTCGAGCGGGGGGATTCTCCCCCGCTTGCCACGAATTGCCCGTACATAAGCCCCTATTTGCGGCATCTCTCTCGCGTGACTCTCTCTCTCTCTTTGTACTGTAACACGTACATGGTAGTTCGCAGACCCGCTAGCGGACTGGAACCGTGACTAATAAACCGTGATGCCTTTCGGCGGATATATCGTACACTGTGTTGACAAAGCTGAATGGCAAGATACTCCACGCATGGCCCCGCATAAGATGCACAACATGGCAGATGGAGAACGCGCATTCGTCCGCGATTCGCCTGTGCCAACGCGCCGTACACGCACGCATGCATGCCTTTAAATGCACCTCATGCAAAGAGGAAAACCTAAGGTAACTAGATCAGCTGCAGCATCATATCCACACGATCACACCTGCATCCGCGCCTTGCCCCTCTTCTCACTGCATGCATGTAGCCGTCCCTGCCAATACCGGTAGCAACGGCAACAGCAGTACAGCACCCCAAGGACAGTCAGTAGCCGTCTAGCTATATCCCAATGGTCCTTCGCACAGCTGCTGGTTGTGCGCGGTCTTCCAGCAGCCATTGCAACCTCTCTGCGGGCTCACGTTTTCGGACGCAATAGCCGTCGCCCAATGCGCACAGCCTCATATCGCTCATGTCCTCCCCATCCCATTTTGCCCACGCAAAAAGGCAAGAACTAGCATTGGACCCCCCCCTCTCTGCTTGTCACAGCACCTCACCGGCTTGCAAGCATCCTCCTTCTCTCTGCAGCAGCAACCCCATGCGCATCACGCATGTTAGCCCACATACGTGACGGTAGCACGGACACATGCACTGCAGCCCACATACACGCATGTCACAGCCCGTGTAAGGCCCCCGATCGCTAAGGCTGTTGCCCCAAGCAGCGGTCGCCGCACCTTCCCTGCGTCGCTAACCCCTGGTTGCGCTAAACACAACTTACGTTGTTAACACCATCACGTCGCTCGCAAGTCCCCGACAAGTCCCGCAACATTCTCAACACCACGTGCACCACCAGCAGCGAGATGCAAGCAAGGCAGGATGCATCACATGACCGATGGTTGGATTCCCGTGTGAAGCAGCACAGCACGCAATCAGCACATCAATCAGTAAAGCAGACAACTCCGAGAACACCAAGCATTTTAGCCAGGAATCACCATGTGGGTTGTCCAGCTAGCCCATGCTGAACAACGTGACAGGAAAGCGCCCCAGCCATGCTCCTGCGTTACAGTATATCGTATCCCCATTACCAGTCTTAGGTGTCCTTTCCGCCCATCATCCCGCACCCTCTAATCCTCCATCCCACTACTGTGCCAACTCCATACTCCTAGCCTGCATGCCCCATTTTACCATTCAACCAAATCCCTCCCGCCGCCCACCCTCCGCACCTGCTGCTCCCCATCCATACCCCTGCTGCTGCCTCCCCCTCCCGTTCGCCAGCTTCCTCACTTTTCCCACCTCACCGCCTCCCGTCGCCACCGCCACCGTCGCCGCTCCCCAGCCCTCACCCAATGGGCGCCTTGCACAGCTGCAGCTTCTTGAAGTGCGCTGCCACCTGGCTCTTCGCGTAGGGGCGGGTGGCCAGGCAGGTGGGGAAGTTCTCCGGCTGCTCGATCCACATCTTGTGACCCACACCCGCCTGCGTGAGCTGCTCCGACAGCCGCCGCAGCTGCGACTCGTCCTTCACCTCAAGCACCACCTGCAGGGGCGCAGCAGCAGCGGCAGCAACGGTAGTGCAGCCGGGAGCATGAGGGGGAGGATGGGGAGGAGAACAGGTGGGCAGGAGGATGGTTGTGCAAAGGAATACAGACGGCACGGTGGGTGTGGATGCGCATGCGTGTGGCGGAAATGGGTGCATGCATGCATGCACGCACCAAGAATGCATGCACCAAGACAGCTCAGGAGTGCAACGCAACCCCCGGCGTCCCGGCAGGAGGGACAGGATTGGGGTCAACCGACCATCTGACCTTTCGCATGTGGTCAATGTTGTCGGGTGCCAGGTACTTTTGGGTCGCCTCCTCGTCTCGGTGCTGCCACATCGCAGCAGACGAGGCGTGACATGCCTGGGCTACGACGCTGCCCAGAGGCCAGCCCAACGAGCCCCACAGGTCCTTGCGCACAACAACGTACTGGACTAGGAAGTCTTGCTGAAGTGCGGAGTTTCCGCTTGCGCTGGAAAGATCCTGTACTGCCTTCGCGGCATCGCCTGGTCCCGCCGATTCAGACATTAGCTTGCGCTGGGGAGCTAGCGAGAGACTAGTGCCTCTTAGGTTGCTATTGAAGGTAGTTGAGGATTGTAGAAGGCGTCTGTACGCAAGCAAAGGCGCGCCTGATATCCGGCGGGCTGTTGAGGTGTGCATGCAACGAGCACTCGTTCCGAGAGACAATGCTGTCATGGAAAATGCCCACCATCCACGACTGTTACGAAGCTAAAGCTTTTCTCCAATTGGCCGCGTGTCCCTTGATTACAGCAAGCAAGCGTACGGCGATGACAAAGAATTGCCAAAGCCAACTTACAGCAGGCTTACAACAGGCTTAATACGAAGCCAGTTGTGACAAGGCTACAGCTTGCCTTGCCTTGCCTTGCCTTGCCCGCAAGGGCTGCCCGCATTCGGTACTACTGATTCCCTCGGTAGCGTCCACCCTGTACACTCATGCTAACCATCATCAAACTAGGTCGTGACCGGTGTAAGTTCCAAATGCCCGTGTTCATACCATGGTGCAAACGCAGTGCTGGGGTCAAGGCCAGGGCCGGCATGTGACGGTTACAGTGCCTTGGTGGACATGTCCTTCGGTGAGTTAGCGCGTGCCGCTGCCAGCATCAGCGAAAGAACGCGGTGTACCTTCTGCCTGCATGCAAGAGAGCAAAGTCCGCGGCTACTCTGGCCCTGCGACAGGAGCTCATACCCCTATACCTGAAACAGGCGGCAACGGGCAGCGACGGATATGGGGTTGCCATGCTTGCACGGCGCGAGTATCGGTAACGGACTCGCGGCCACGTCGTATCTCGCGAACGCAGAAGCCGTTTTGTACTGGACAGATTATCGTACAATGCCCTTAGACGCGCACGAGCTGCACGTGCCTGGAGGGTTCCCTCACCTGTGCTGATACTGCGGTAATTTGTCAACGGTGCCAGTTCTGGTTGACTTTGCATGTTTGGCTTGTGCATGATGCAAGGCAACCGAATCTTTGCATGCCGAACGGCCCTTGGGACGTCCAACCTCCGACCGCGGTAATGAATTAAAGGAAGACTGTGACGTATACGGTACACAGGTACACAGGTTATTATTTACAGAGTAGGTAGCTCTACAGGTACGCAATTTCGACTGCTGCAAGTCGCGAAGTAGTAACACGCCTACTTGTAAGCGTCGAGCATATGCAAGCATATATATAATCTTAAATATCCTATGCCTAGGTAGATAAGAGCAAGCCTTAAGCTTTGCGAGCGGAGCGCATAGCGAGGGCCCATTATTCACCGCAACATCTTTACTGGACCTGAGTTGAAGGGCAGTTCAAATAATTCGTCGTCGACTTGCTGCGGCATGCGCCAACTTGCAGCTCCCAGCTCGGCGGCTTGCGTTTGCGGGACAGTGCTGCAACATCGCGTGCGACTAGCCTGGTCCCGCGCCCACGCCATCTACGCTTTGACACCCTTGGTGGCAGCCCAATCCTGTTGCTCGACCCGCGGCGCTTCTCCTCCTCCTTCTGCGTCTGCTGCATCTGCTAGCACAAGCGGCCGCAGCGCCGACCTCCACAACGGTCCCCTCAGCCACCGCAGGTCCATCCTACACAGGCTCTACTCCAGCAGCGGCTCAGGGCGCATGCGGGGAGGGGGAGCTGCACGCGCCGGGGGGGCTGCGGGACAACAGGATGAGTCGTCGGGGTAAGAACGACGTTGAAAACTGGAGGGTGCAGGCCAGATGTTTAGCGCGCGTACAGTTCAGAGTAAGGACGCGAGGAAGAAGACGCGGGGAACTGGGTAGGGGTTTGCGGAGTGGCCGACTTTGGCCAGTGTGCCATGTCCCTCAATGCCTGCGAATGTGCGGGTTGCCTTGGTAAAGTCTGGTCAAAGCCGTGGTCCAGCCGCAGCGGCTTGTCACGGTGTTATGATCTCTGTAGTTGTTGAAGCCTGTGCTGCCTTCAGGTATTAAGAGGTGCTTGCCTTCGTTTTCATGTGTTGACAATCACATCCATTCCTCCAAACTCGTTAGCTTCAATGAAAGCCCGTCGCTCGCATCTCCCGCCTGTTGCGCAGCTACAAGACGCTTTCTAAGTACGTCCTGTATGAGAACGAGGTCAAGAAATCAAAGTGAGTCAGGTTGGCAAAAAGGATGCGCAATTGGCACAATGCGGGGATACCGGTATAGGAGACAAGCGACCAAAGGATATCACAGGAGGGCTTAATAGTCAGTAAATACGCTACATGCGCCCCATATTCAGATGGCAATGAGAAAGGTTACCGGTCAGCCAGCCGTTATGCAAATGTGACCCACCATCGGTCTCATGACCATGGCGTTCCAAGGCCCTTAGGTAAGGACCGCCGAGGCCGCCATGTCTAAGCATACTTACCTGGCCCGTTTCTCGAGGTGGTCAAGTTGGCCTCGGTTACACGGTTGGACTTCGCCTTGCACTTTGCGAGGGCCTTCCGTGGTCGGCCCTTCGGGTGTCCGGCAGGGCTTAATTTTTGTAAGGCTGAGGATCTGCGCACTGCGCGACCTCGGCACCCAATATCCAGATATTAAAATACAAACAAGTCAAACTTTCACAGGTCGTGAAGATGTCAACTTCGCTGCAACGTTGCAAATGCACTCCGCTAGAGTAAACTTATACATTCAACGCTAAACCTATACATCCTTCTACTTCTCCCATCTAGGCAACATTTCCCATCTATGGAACATTTTCTGTTCGTAACCCTTACACCTTGACTCCATTCACCCAACACCAGGTTCATCGTGCACGCCTGGCCGGTGTCGAGTGCCTCCGAAGCCCTCTCGCTCATCCGCGGCGCCTCCGACCCCTCTGCCACGCACAACTGCTTCGCCTACCGGGTGGGGCAGGAGCACCGTTGCAGCGATGACGGGGAGCCGGGCGGCACCGCGGGCCGACCCATCCTGAGCGCCATTGAGGCGGAGGGACTAGACCGGGTGGCGGTGCTGGTCACACGGTAGGGACAGGGCTGGAGTCATAACGGGCTGGAATTGTTGCAGCTGTAAACGATTACAAACGCTAGAACCGGGTATTGCAATTCAACGTTTCCTGGGATCCACGCTTTGCACCCTAAGCACCTACTTTTTGTGCACTCGCAGCCACTTTGGCGGCATCAAGTTGGGCGCTGGCGGTCTGGTGCGGGCATATGGCGGGGCTGCGAGGGAGTGCCTGCAACTGGCGCCCACCGTAATTGCGAAGGTGCAAGTCGAGGTCCTGGTGAATGTGACGTACGACGAACTTGGCATTGTGTACGGCTGCCTAGATAAGCATGGCTGCGAGCGCATGGGTGAGGAGTATGGCAGCTCGGGAACTGTAACTCTGCGCGCGCGGGTGGATGCAGACCAGCTAGAGGAGTTGAAAGCGGATGTGGCAGACGGGACAGCTGGACGACGGAGGGTTCAGATTGCAAAGCCTGAGGCAACTAGCGACGGTTGAGAAATTGTGGGATTTGGCTGGGCCAGGTACTTTCGAAAGTACTTGAAACTGTTGAAAGTGACCTAGATCCTAGTGAACATGACTGCACTTATTGGTGGTGGTTTAATTGGAAGAGACGGCTTGCTTGGGTGTGGGCTTGCATGCTCCATGAAAGGAGAGGGTTAGGATGCCGGCTGCGTAGCCAATACGCATACATGGCGATAGGAATTGCTTGTTGTGTCCAAATATTCCCTGCGTACTGGGTATCTCTGCAATTTGGCAGATCCGCCAGGTTTCGTTTTTTCGACAGCCCTTGTACTGTCAACGGTCACGTTTGCACAGCTATCAAAGGGTATCTACAGTAAATCCCTTAACTTTTATCTTTAAGTCTTACATGCTTCTAACAGTTCCATTGCCTGTGGAAGGCCAAGAGTAGCGTTCGACCAACTAAGCAGCGTTCTTCGGATGTGTTTACAAGCCCACAAAAAAGCCACATAGCGCTTGCCGTTTGATCGAAAATGGGTGATAGGGATGGCAACTTAAATCGACCGGGCACGACAAGCGGCAAAGCATTTAGAGGACGCAGCGATGCCCTGGTCAGCGTGGCCAACCGACTGCGGAGTCCTATGTACGTGAGCGATAGAGCGTTACTGCCTGAGGATGTCACGGTTAATACGATCGAGGTACGCGCTGCCGCGGGGCACGGGGATCGCATGGGCGTGCGCATAGTTCTTCAGCTTTGCCCTGAGCAAAGTTGCCCTGCGCGAATACGGTATCCAAGCGCTCAATACCACATGCTCCAGCATATTCAACTACTACATCCTGCCTTGCTCTGTCTCCAACTCCATCTCCGCTGCCTCCCCTCCAGGCGCTGCTGCGCATCCCCTCGCTTGCCTCGGGCCGCACAGAGGAGCAGCTGGTTGCCTCCTTCCTCGGGGAGGACGGACTGGTCACCGACCCGGACTTCCTGCCGGGCATCAGCAGCCTGTGAGGGGCGGGGGCGGGGCGGGGGGGAGGAAGGGTAGCCTTGCGTTGGCGAGGGCGGGCGGGGGGATGAGGAGTAGATGAAAAATGCCGCACGGGGGTGGGGGAAGAAACTGGGGAAGGCGGGGAGGCAGGGGAGGAGGGCACAGGTGGTCACTGGAGGGTGCCGAGTAGGGGGTTGGGATGACGGGGGGACTAGGGAGGCGTGGGTGGGTGGGAGGTTCACTTGGGTCGGGTGGAAGAAGAAGAGGAGGGTTGGGCCCCAGCGCACCGGGAAGAGGGAGATGGCACCACCTCCAGCACCCCCTCCTTGACCACCTGACCTCCTCCCCGCCCGCATTTCCGTCCTCATTCCTCCTTTCCCTCACTCCCGGCCCCTTCCTTTCCCCTTTTTCTCGCCTTGCCACCTCCATCTCACGTTCTCACCCCTCCTCTCCTCCCCCGTCCCCCTCCGCCACCCGCCCTCTCCTCCTCCTCAGCTTCCCCGACCCCAACCAGCCGCCCGCCGCCGCGCCCCCCGATGTGACCTGGCGCCGCGTGTCGGGCACCCTCTACTTCCCCACCGGCAAGACGCCGCGACTGCTGCAGGTACCGGTGGGGTGGGGGGGGGGAGGGTAACAATAAAGTAACTGACCAACTGTATGACCACGCGGCTTTGCCACCATGGGCTGCTGCTTGAACCCAACCCATTTCTTTTCCTGCCTCCCTGCCTCCCTACCCCTCCCTGCCCCGCACTGCCCCTCCCTCCCCCCTCCCCAGGGCCTGCTAGACTCGGGTTCCTTCCTGGGCGCCCTGGCTGCCGTTGCCGCCTGCCGCGGCGGGGAGCTGCTGCTGGACCTGATCGTGAGCGACGAGGCGGCGGCGCACGGCGCATACACCTTCCAGTTCTTCAAGCACGGCTGCTGGCAGCAGGTGGTGGTGGACAACTACCTGCCCTGCGTGTCGGGACAGGTGGGGGGGGGGGTTCGAAGACCATACACCGAAGCATAGGCAACCATAGGTTGGGGCAAAGCAATGGGTAGGAAGGATGGGAGGAGAGGGGAAAAAGAAATTCCAAAGTGTGGTGTGATAATGATACAAGTTGCTGACAATCCCTGGTGGGGGGAGGGAGGGAGGAAGAGGAAGAGGCGGCTGCACCCTGTGATCCTCCCGAGGCCACCGGACGTTATGTAAGCACTACCCCTGCCTGTCTCCCTCACCTCCCTCCCTCCCTCCCTCCCTTCCTCCCTCCCTTCCTTCCTCCCTTCCTCCCTTGCTCCCCAGGAGCGGCTGGCATTCGCATGCAGTGCGGTGGTGGGGGAGCTGTGGCCCAGCCTGCTGGAGAAGGCGTACGCAAAGGTGGGCGGGGAGATGGTGGCGGGGCGGGGTAAGGAGTAGTAGGAGTAGGAAGGTAAAGGTGGAGGGAGAGGGAGGGGAAGGAAGGGGTCCTGGGGTTACAGCCAGGGGAGCTGCGTGAGCCAGGCGCAACGCCCTGCTCTCCTCCTGCCCCCTATCACCCCACCCTGTCCTCCGGCCCCCCATCTTCCCCCTTTCCCCCCTCCCTCCCTTCCTTGTCATACAGCTCGTCAGTTGCTTCGTCAGTGTCTCATTATATTTTTATCTCCCCCTTCCACCCCTTCCCCACCCCCCTTCCACCCCTCCCCCTCAGATCCACGGCAGCTACTACGCGCTGTCGGGCGGCTCCGTGACGGAGGCGCTGGTGGACCTGACGGGCGGGGTGGGGCTCAAGGTGAGGACGGACGCACCGCCCTACTGGCACCACCCGGCGGCGGCAGCAGCAGCAGCATCCGGGGGGCAGCATCAGGGAGGAGGGGGAGGAGGAGGAGCAGCAGCGGCGGCGAGGGAGGCCCAGGTGTGGTCGGACCTGCAGTCCTGGCTGGCCGCTCGCTCCATCGTGGCGTGTGTGGCGAAGCGGAAGCGACCCGCACGCAACCGCTTCAGACCAGGTGAGGTGGCTGGGCTGGGTGGGTGCAGGATGGGTGGGGATGTGGTTTGGGAGGGTGTGGGTGCGGGCCCTTCCTACGGTACACCCTCCTCCCCCACCTGCAACCCCGCTGCGAATGTGTGCTAGTACGGTACCTCCGCCTACCCACAGGTACCTAGCCGCCCTGCCCTCCCCTGCCCTCCCCTGCCCTCCCCTGCCCTCCCCTGCCCTCCCCTGCCCTCCCCTGCCCTCCCCCACGGGTTGTCGCCAGCATGGTCTTCAACCTTTCCTCCCACTCCTCCCCCCTCCCTCCTCCCACTCCCCCCCCTCCCTCCTCCCACTCCTCCCCACCAGACGCGGTGTCCCCCGACCCCGACGGCCCCTCCCCCGTCCCGACCCCCGCACCGCCCGACTACCCGGTCGATCCCGCCAGCCCCGCTGCTGCAGCCGGGGAGGAGATCTCCGGCGAGGAGGGGCCGCACGGGTTATTGTACGGGCAGGTGTACAGCGTGTTGGAGTGCCGTGCGGTGACGGACGCGTTGCGGCTGGTGCGGCTGCACTGCCCTTGGAGCCAGGGGCTGTGGATGGGGCCGTGGGCGCAGGTGGGGGTGGGGGTGGGGGGGCTGGGTAGGGCGCAGGGGGTTGGGGTGTAGGAAAGACCAACTGGGTGACTAGGATAACCAACCCGCACGGGTGGGGTGGGGGGCGGTGCGGGGGTGCGGGGTGAGGTGGGGGGCCATCTAGTGGTGGGTGAAGAGGAAACAACTAACTGACTGAGGGATAAGGCGTCAACATGGGTTGCAACATGTGAGCTAGTGGTGGGGGTGCGGGTGCGGGGTAGGGTTTCCGGCGGGTGTACTGCGGCGTGAGGAGTGGGGCCCGTGTATGGGGCCCATGGGGGCCAGCGAATTCAATTGCTCATTGCAGCTCTATGTCGTACTACAGTCACTCAGCACGTTGCGATTACCCCTCCCCTCCCCTCCCCCCGCCCCCCCCCCAGGGCTCCCCCGAGTGGCAGCACCCCAGCGTGGCGCCCTGCCTGGACTCCTTCCGCGCCAGCTGGGAGGACGAGGCGACCTTCTGGATGCCGCTGAGGGACTTCGCGGCCTTCTTCAACAGGCTGCACGTGTGCAGGTGGGGGCAGGGGAGGGGGGGGAGGACAAAGGGAAAGAGAAAGGGAAGGCAGAGGGGTTCAGGGACTCCTTTGCCGCGCCCTAACCTGTGGTTCCGTATGGTCTCCCCCTCCCTCCCCCACCGCCCCCTCCCCCACCGCCCCCTCCCCCCAGGATGTTCCCCCCCACCTGGCACCAGCTCACCCTGCACTGCGGCTGGCAGGGCCCCTCAGCAGGCGGCCCATACCACACCCTTCCGCCGGAAACCCAGGCACACTACGGCGCAGCGGCGGCGGTCGCACTCCCCCCCGGCGCCGGCCCCACGGACGCTGCTGCTGCTGCTCCTGCTGCTGCTGCCGCCGGTGGCCGACCCGGCTCCCCCTCTCGCATGGGGGGGCCTGGTGTGGGTGCTGGCAGCGGAGGCAGCTACGGTTTCGGAACCATTGGCGCCCTGGGGCCCAGCTTTGGAAGCAGCACCGCCAGCCTCAGCCCGCAGGCTGGCACTGGGGCGGCGGCCTCTGCTAGCAGCATGAGCGCAGGTGGTGGGGGTGGGGGCGGCGGCAGCATGAGCAGCACCTGGTGTTGCAACCCTCAGTTCCGTCTGACGGTGCGCAAGGGGTGCGAGGTGCTGGTGTGCCTGGCGCAGCAGGACCCCACGGTGGCGGCGCGCGCGCATGTGGCCAAGCGGCTGAGGAAGAAGGCGGTGGGGATGCAGGTGTGAGGAGGGAGCGGGTGTCGCAGGGGGATGCGGCGGAGGCGGAGGGGTCGTAGCTCGGAAGGTGGGGAAAAGTGAAACAACGAGTCCCAATTCCATATCCCGACTCATGCAGTGAGCGCATTCGGGTAGGGCGAGGTTAAGAGGAAGAACCAACCGTGACACCCCCCCCCCCACCCCCTCTTCCCAGATCCTGCGTGTTCCACTGGACAGCCTGGGTCGGCGCTGGGAGGTGCGCCCCGGCGAGCTGGTGGCCTCGCTGCCGGCCTGCGCGGGCCGGGAGGTGGTGGCGGCGTTCCGGGCGGCACCCGACTTTGCGTACGTGGTGGTGCCGCATGCGGGGTGAGGAGGGGCGGCGGTGCTGTTGGTGTGGGGTGGCGGTGGCGGTGCTGGGGCGCTGCTGGGGATGGTAGCTTGGTAGGGGAGAAACCTCAACTAGCGGCTGACAGGGCAGGGCAGGGGGTATGGGTTTTGAACACCGCCCCCCCCCCTGCTGCTCCCCCCCACCTTCAGTCGCGCCGGCGAGGAGGGCGCCTTCATCCTGCGCTCCCTCAGCTCCAGTCCGCTGGAGGTGGAGCAGCTGCCCGCGCCGCTGTGCCTGGTGGTGGGCGGGCAGTGGAGCGGCTACCTGGCGGGTGGGTGAGGGGGGGGAGTTAATAGGGGTACCCATTCCGCGTTAGGCATTAGGTATTGGTGGGGGGGTGGAGGGGGGAGGGCAAGGAGGAGAGCGGCTTGGGGGGCAGCATGGGGGGCAGGCCTGTAAGGCTGTAGATAGACGCGCGGAGGACTCCTCCTTGTCCTTCCCTCCATCTCTCCTAATAAGCCCCCAAGCAGCCAACCTCCTAGCTCCCCTGAGGCCCCCTCCGCGTCTCACCTCACTCCCTCCACCCACCCACGCCACACCCCACACCCCCCAGGCGGCGGCCGTCACTGCCCCTCCTGGGGCTCCAACCCGCAGTACATGATCAGCTGCGGACACCGGGCGCAGGTGGGGGAAGGGCGGGTGGAGGGGGAAGCTGAGCGATGGGTTTACACACGAGAGGGCCCATCCCGCGGCCTGTTTCACAGCCGTCGCACCCCATAGCCCCCATCGCGACACAAAAACACACAATACTGTCAATACACAATACACGGATCACCGCATGTCCGGTACCCCTTACCCCCTTCTTTGCCATTCGCATTCAATATACAGGGTGTCCTTCTGTTACCCCCCTGACCGGCTTGATCTGCCACCTTTGACCCTTCCCCCCCCCGGTTGCAGGTTGTGGCCTCCCTCACCCGCCTCGACCTCAAATATGCCATCATGAAGGCGCCCCGCGACCCCGCACTGGATCTGGATCTGGTCCTGGCGCACCCAGATCAGGGACCGGATGGACCCGGCCGCCGTACGGCAGTACGGGATGGAGACATCGTGGCGGCAGCTAGCAGCGTGTACGGCAGTGGTGGTAATGGTGTGTACGGCAGTGGTGGTGGTGGTGGTGTGTACGGCAATAGCAGCAGCAGCCAGCAGCAGCTGGGTCCTGGGGGCATGCTGCTGCAGCAGCAGCTAGGGCAGCTGCAGCTGGGGGGGCAGGGGGGTATGCAGTCTCAGGGGGGTGTTGGCCTGGGTATGGGTGGTGCGGGGGGTGGCGGTGGCGGCGGCGGTGGCGGGGGTTGCGGCAGCAACGAGGAGGCTGTTCTGGCTGTGACATTGGAGCCGGAGACGCCGTACCTGCTGGTGCCGTCCATAGCTGCGCCAGGTGGGGTGGGGGCAAGGACCGTACCGAACAATAGGGGACCACAGGTTGGGGCAACAAGCAACGGAAGTGGCAGGGTGCCACAAAACGAGTGTTGGTTAGCGTTTCCAGGAACGAAGGATGGAGGGGAAAGTAAAGGACAGGGGGTTAAACGCAGTAGCTGTTCTTCTCCAGTAACGCCCAGCCCTTAACACCGCCACTCGCTCCCCCCCCCTCTCGCCTGGCAGGCATCGATGCCCCCTACGAGCTGCGCCTCATGAGCGGAGTGCCGCTGGAGCTGGTGCCGCTGCCGGAGATGCAGTGCATGCAGCTGCCCGGCGAGTGGAGCGCGGAGACGGCGGGCGGCTGCAACGTCAACCCGCTGTGGCGCCGAAACCCCAAGTACCACATCGTGCTGTCCAGCTACGGAAGAGTCAGGTGTGCACTGGGTGCGGGGGAGGGGGGGGGAGCGGGGTGGGGCAGGGAGGCAACGTGGGGGAGGAGAGGCGATGCGTCAACTACACTCGTCTCGCCTAACCCATCACCTCGTCACCCGCCTGCAACTCTACAACTGCAGCTGTTGCGGCTAACAACACTACCCCATCCCTCTCCTCCCCTCCCCCGCCGCCGCCCCCGGCGACCCCCACATGCAGGATCACGCTGAGCCGCGCCCCCAGCCGCAAGCCGCGGCACCCCGTGGAGGACATGCTGGGGCTCTACATCCTGCGGGCGGCGGGGCCGGACGGGGAGATAAAGGTGGGCCGGGGAAATACCAGAACCACAGGTTGGGGTAAAGCAATGGGAATGGAGGGGAGCAGGGGGGGGCGGAGGAGAGGAAACCAGCCATGATGCTTGCCGGACTGACTGGCTGCGGGTTTGCCTTCTAGGCAGCTGCAATGCTTGCCCTTGCCTCGCCTTCATCGCACCCCACATCGCCGTCCGTCTTGGTGGCTACCTGGTTACCGGTACGAACTCCAGACAAGGGCTGAACAATCCCCTAACGACCCCCCGGCTGCTGCCTCCACCACCTCTCCGTCATCTCCAGGGCGACGCCAAACGGGCGGTTGTTGCGGAATCCACATTCGTACCGCAGCCCGAGACAACCGCCGAGTACGAACTGAACGGCGGTTGCCATTACGTAATCATGCCAGCCACGTACGGCCCCGGTCGTACAGGCCGGTTTACGTTGGCGGTTGCCTCCTCAACCGCCTTCCAGTTCCGCGCCCTGGGTGGCGGCGGTGTGGGTGGGGTGTCCCAGGGGCCTGGTGGCGCGGTGCATGGAGGGTATTAGGGTGGGGCAACTGGGCGGGGCGGTTGAAGGTGAAGGAAGATGGACGCATGGGGCTCTGGGGGCGTGCCTCGCCTGCCAAGCAACTCCTGCTCCGTAGCGCGGCGTTTCCTTGGGTGGTGGGGGGGAGGAGGTGCAGGAGGGGGAGGGCATGCGGCCTGGCTGCGGCGGCCCGGTGGATATGCGTGCTGTTGGAGGCGGGCTTGCATGCGTGCGCATTAAATCAGATACATCTGGTGCATGCGTGCGTGCGTGCTTGCGTATGAGCGTGCGGTGGTGAGGGGGTTGGGGTGGCAAGATCGAGAAGAAGGGATGCAAAGGAAGTACTTGGCAAGGGGTGTTGCTGCTGCCCTGCTGGCCCGTAGCTCCCGATAGACGTAACTCGACTTCAGCTGTTGCACTGGGGGGCTGGGGCTGCCATCAGTTGGTGATCAGGATCTCGGGAGATCACTGCGCGCCCGTGGTGAGCCCTACCATAGCTTTACTGGGGGGGCGTCACCACTCACCAGCTGCCGGAATACCGTACTTGCTGCTCTCTTATCGAGAGGCAGGATCCATGTCGTCAGCAAGCAACCCACCCAGCTCGACGGCTGTGTCGCACGCACGGTAAGGGAATGGCGCACATCTACATCCCTTGCCGATGTTATCATCCATTCCTGCCGCACGTTCCGTCAAGTTCTAAAGTATCGTGTATACGTTACATGGACGATGCCCGCATCCGAGACAATTTGATCATCGTCCTCTCTCCAACAACAACAACGATTAACAACTACTACAGCTACTCTTAAGCCGGCACGACAAGGCCCTTCACATCAGAGCCCGACCCGGCTTCCAATCCAGCTAACGGTAGGCGGATCTAGGTGGGACCACGCCTATGCGTTACCCTACATGCGCTGCCCCGAGGTGGGGCCGACAGGGGCGGGGAGCGGGGCAGACTGACTATGCCCCAAAAAGGTCAGTCTGCTTGCGGCGGGACAGGAGCCACACAATATGCGGGAGCGCGTGTGCGTGTGGCCCTGAAAGGGGCTGCATGCGAATTGCGGCGTCAAAAGCGCGTACGGCAGATTAATGATCCCTATATTCATGAAACAACAGCACCGGCAACGCTTTCAGCACTGCGTATATCTGTGCCAAACGTATTGTTAACACGTATTGTTGACACCATAGATCTCCACCTGACATGGTGGGTGCTTCAGTGTCGTACAACCGCAACAACAACCGCATGATACATGTACATGTACCGGCGCAAGGCAACGACATGGAACTGCAGACTGGGGGCACCTCTCCACAGTCCGGTTACGGACTTTAAACGGTGGGTATCCCCAATTGTGAAACAAACGCCTCCCCCACCCAAAGAGAGACCTCTCAGTGTCGCGAAGCCTCCATGCTATCAATCAAACCCTGCTGCGGTTTGTACGGCAACGGCAATAAAGCGCACACGCATTTCGCAGGAGTGTCGCATAACACACATCAACCCAGGCGCGCAATGGCGAAGGTCACATTGCGATTGGTACGGGCGCTGCGGGCACTGTTTAACAAAGAAAGAGAGACATCCCGCCGAATCCAGCCAAACACGTGTACTGCATCTGTACCAATCGAGCAGGGGCATATCAACCAACAACTATAACGCGCGCGCTGATTCCCAAAGACGTCTTGGCGCCAACGGTTGGGGGTCGCTGCCAAGCACTACCACCAGCATCACTCTTGCACTCCCTCCACATGCATGTATCATTTACCCAACTCTGCATTAAACAGTTTAACACATGGACCCCGCGCAAGTGGACGCCCCTCGTCAAGGGGCATCCACGAACAAGCGCGTGAAAGAGCGATGACGCACAAGAATGCATAACTGATGAATGAACCTTTACACCTTGCCCTGCCTTGCACACCCATGGAGGCAAAGGAGGACGACCCAGATCACCACAGAATTGCGCTCGAACGCTCTAGTAAGCTCGCCTTCCCACACTCTCACGGCCAGTTGATGCGCACCCGCATCCAACGGAAGGCTGGCGGCGGGCGGTTCTTGGGCGGGGGCGGCTTAGGCTTGGGTGGGGGTGATTTGGGGTGGGGTGGAGGCGACTTTGGATGGGGCGGGGGTGATTTGGGGTGGGGCGGCGGCGATTTGGGATGGGGTGGGGGCGATTTGGGATGGGGCGGCGGCGATTTGGGGTGGGGCGGGGGTGACTTGGGTTTAGGAGGGGGCTTGGGAACCAATGGGGAAGATGGACCGGAGGGCTGGGGCGGCGGGGGTAATGGCACCTTGGGCGGTGGCGGTGAGGGTGGGGGCTGCGAGGGCGGGGGCAGGGGTAGCGAAGGTGGAGGTGGGTACAGCGGCGGTGGCGGTGAGGGCGGAGGCAGGGGTACCGAGGGTGAAGGCGGGTACGGCGGCGGTGGAGGCGGTGGCGGTGGTGGGGGCGGCGGGGGTACTGGCGGAGGTGGTAGTGGTGGTGGTGGCGGCGGGGGTGGGGGCGGGGGTGAGGATGGTGGCGGGGGCAGCGGTGGTGGGGGCGGCGGTGGGGGCGGTGGAGGCGGTATAGAGGGTGGGGATGGCGGCGGTGGGGACGGTGGTGGCGGTGGCGGTGAGGCGGGTGGGGATCGAGATGGCGGCGGAGGTGATGGTAGCAGTGGCGGCGGCGGGGATGGTGGCGGTGGTGGTGGCGGTGGCGGCGGTGGGGGTAAAGATGGTGGCGAGGGCGACGGTGGTGATGGCGGCGGCGGCGGAGGTAGAGAGGGCGATGATGGTGGTAGCAGTGGCGGAGGCATAGAGTGTGGGGGTGGTGATGGCATTAACGGCGGCGGCGGTGACGGCGGGGGTGGTAATGGAGGTGGTGGTGACGGCGGGGGTGGTGGAGGTGGCGACGGCGGTGGTGGTGACGGCGGCGGAGGTGGCGGAGGCGGTTGTGATGGAGGCGGTGGTGGTGACGGCGATGGAAGTGACGGTGGCGGACGCGACAGAGGGGGCGGTGGAGGCGGCGGACTCAAGGGCAGCGTCGGCGGCGGCGACACGGACAGCTGCATGGGCGGCCTGAGCGGCTCGGATGGGATGCCGGGGGGGTTCTTAGGGCTCCGAGGCGGGGTGCGTGGGGGCGGCGGCGGAGGAGGAATCCTGGGTGGCGGCGGCTCCTTGGGGGCTTTTGGCGGCGGCGGCCGCGGCCGCGGCGGCGGATTCGGGCGCGGACTGGGAGGTAAGGGACGCGGGTTCGGCGGCGGCCGAGGAGACGGCGGCGGCGGCCGAGGAGGAGGATTTGGCGGCGGCGGCTCTGGAGGTGGTGGTGGCGGCGGGGGTGGCGGCGGCGGCGAGGGAGGCTCGGTGATGGGTTCAGGTGGAGAAGGGTTGGGCGGCGGTGGCGGAGGCGGCGGTGGCGGCGGCAGGGAGGGTGAGATATAGGGTGGCGGCGGCGGCGGTCTGGGTACCACAGGTGCCGCGCTGGATGAGGGCATGCAGTACACGTCGATTCGCACGACTGCTGAGCGGGTGGTGTTGGTGGAGAGGGGCTTGCCGATGACCACCTGAGGGGGGTTAGCAAGAGGAAGGAAATGGGGATTAAGAGGAAGAGGCCAGGGCGGTCTGCCAGGACGTGGAATCCATGCAAACCCGTGGTTCCAGTCAATGCAGTCCAAGAATGGCGATCATGTCAAGCTTCCAGAGCTTTTTTGTAACTTGATCATGCCGTTGGCATCCCGGGCCTCGCGTCCTAAAGCCGCTAGCACGCCTTGGCCCGCAATATAGGGCCCATGGCGCCACCGTGCACGGCTAGGAGCGTGGAATAAATGGCTTTCCCCAGGTTGGACTACTTTCCAGGGAGTACTGTGTCGCACCGAGACGCCCACACTTACGTTCAGTCCAGCAATGATTTGTGCGGTTGGGCATGACACCACACGCAGCTCCGCTCCGGTCACTGTGTTGTTGCCGATGGGCAGTTTGGACGGCCCTCCCAGCCACACGCGGGTCGAGTTGCGGAAACCCAGGCGCGTGGGGTCGGGGTTGAGGCTGTCGGCGCGGACGCCAACAAAGCCGGCGCTGTCGTACAAGGAGAAGGTCCGCAGGCCGAAGGGATCGCCTGAAGGGAGAAAACAGGAAATGTTAACTCAAGGTTGACTCAAGGGATGCTCTTTGGCTTTGGTGTCTAGGAGGAATGGGGGTGATGCGTTTGAATTGGTGCAAGGTGATGCGAGGTGCTTGAACGACGCGAGGACATTCCCCTTGGCTTTTGAGGCCGCTGCATGACGCGACCTCCCGACTCACCGGCGTCGAAAAAGTTGCCATCTGAGCAACTGACGCTGAGGCTGTTGACCACGTCCCCGTATGTCCCCAAAAATTGCACGACGTAAGCGCCGTTATTACGGATATTGCACATTAAGGGCGTTACAGTTCCATTTAGGTTGCCGAAGTATCCGGCAAGGGTTGGAGCTCCTGCTCGTTGGGAGAACGAACGCGGCCAATGGTATAAGCTCCGTCACATTCGTATACGAAGGCGGGCGACCCAAAATCAAACATACTGCGAAGTTGCATTATTGTCCTTTATTACCCACCTAATATGGACGGCATGTAAGCCAGGGCAAGGAGTACCAGCGGCGTGAAGGCGCTCCGCAGCTGCCGCGTTTGAAGACTCTTTTCCCTGGGACGGGTCCTGTGCTCTGAGGCCGCCATCGCACCCATATTAGGAGAATCCCCCTGTTGAAGAGTACCGGTACCCGGCTAGTGTCCCATATTTGCGTATGTTGCGTTAATAGAGTGTATGTGCCCAGCTGGCCAAGGGATTTCTGCCGGGGCACCGTGCGTAGCTGTCTTGCATATGCTACGACTCTACCAGCTTGACCGGAAGCGGTCGTCATCTTAAACAGCATCACTGCCGTACACCCCCCGCTCCCCGCTTGTCGGATGTGTCTTCGCTTTGGAACTTCTTTGAATCTTATGCATCTTAGAGCATCGTTGATTTCGCATGACACAACGGACTGCCCCTTTAGAGGTTGACGCCCCGAAATCTATCTTATACCTATGCTGATGAGTTGGCATGTTGCACTTAGTAACCGGTAGCAACGGGCAGCGTTCATCAGATGCGCTCAACCAGCTTGCTTCGTTCTGGACGAAGTAGGCAAGTCGTTACAGCGAACGCCTGTAATCCGTCTTCATGTTCTAAGCTTGGTCCTGTAGTAGGGCCGCTACGTAAGAATATACGTTCTCTGCGGCGAACGGCGTTACGTGCGGGTGGTTGGTGGAACGGCGTCATGGCCAGCTCAGGAGGCTTACCGGAGGCAGGCGACACAGCAGCTCGTGTAACGACCAGCAGCAATAGAAGAAAAGTAAAGCGTACACCAGTGATCTTGAACAATCCATGCAAGCCATCGGGAGAGCACTTCAAGGTTCTGCAATGGAACGTGCTCGCGGACGGATTAGCGCAGAATGGGGACTTCTGCCGGGTAAGGAGCCGCTTTCGTTGCATGCGATGACCCGGCTCTGGGCTGAATCCTGCGCGCGCATTCATTGCAAGAACTTAGCCTGAACGCATGGCATGCAGGTCCCACCAGGGTGCCTGGAATGGGAGTACCGGAAGCCTCTACTGCTGCAAGAAATCCTAGAAGCTGACGCGGACATCATATGCTTGCAGGAGCTGAACCACTTCGGTAAGCTCCACTGCTCAGGAACCACCCCCATCGAACCGCCCTTCCTACCCTCTTTCGTTGATACCCCCGTAACAAAACATTGCGTGCCAGTTCCACCACGCCATCTGTCTCCTTCCACCTTGCTCGAACAATTTTACAGCACCCGCCGGCAGGCCGGCCCTCCAGCCGCCCGCCCCCATGTAAATCGTTGCCTACCGGTATTGTTGTTTTGCTCAATCCATGACTCGGGCCAGGGGCTGGTTGGATTCCCAGTCCTTCACTTCTTCATCTTCTTCTTTGCCCCATTCTTCTTTGGGCCGCCCGGCCCCATGCAGACGAGCTGCGCCAGGCTCTCAGCGAACTGGGCTACGACGGCGCCTTCCGCGCCAAACATGCCTCCCCCGCGCTCAAATACGAGTACCCGCCGGACGGCATGGCGGTGTTCTACCGCCGTACCCGCTTCGCTGCATGCGGAGATGAGGGTGGGCTGCAGGGGGGGCAGCGGGGGCCGGGAGGGGTACGGTCGCACGGTGACCCTTGCTTGCTGTTGCTACCCCACACTGCACAGTCGTCCGCTCCCCTCCTCACATGGGCATTCCCATTTCGGCCAGGGCACATGGCATTCCAGACTCACCCCTCTCCCCTCAACCCCGCCCCACTGCCGCTGCAGGCCGCTCCTTCCAGGACCGCTCCACGGGCCGCGAGCAGTCGCAGGGCTTCCTGCAGCTGCTGCTGCGCGATCTGCGGGTGGGGCGGCCGCTGCTGGTGGTCACCACGCACCTGAAGGCCAAGGAGGGGGACGCGTGCGAGGATGTGAGGCTGCAGCAGGTGGGGCAGGAGGGCAGGGGCGTTGGAGGTGGGAGGCGGGCGGTGGTGAGATGACATGGAGGGCGTGAAGGAGTGGGCGGTGGTGAGATGACAAGCAGGGCGTGAAGGAGTGGATGTTGTTCTCTTTCCCTGACGGTTGCTGTCCATTGCGCACGGTTCAGATCTTGTCCGAAGTGTCATGCTGAAGTGTCTATGCTGAAGTCTGTCATTCCATGCGAGGACCGCCGGGCAAACCTATACCCGTAATGTTGTTGGTCCCCAAGGCAAAGACCCCACCCCACACACACCTCGCGGCCAGTTATTATAACACACACACCTGCCTCTCCTCTCCCTCCCCCCCTTCTCCTCCAGTTTGTCAGCTTTCCTTTATCTTTACCCCTCTCTTCCCCTGCTCCCCCCACAGGCCCGGCAGTTGCTGGGGCACATCTCGGACACCCTGGAGCGATTGCAGCAGCAGGCGGGGCAGCAGCAGCAGGCGGGGCAGCAGCAGCAGGCGGGGCAGGCAGGGGAGCTAGGGCAGCTGGGAGGGCAGGCGAGTCAGGGGCAGCCCGGTCAGGTAGGGCTGGGGCTCGGGCAGCCGGCATGTCCGGTGGAGCAGCTGGCGTGCCGGCAGGGACAGCCGCTATGTCCGCTGGGGCAGCAGAAGCAGGGGCTGGGGCAGCAGCAGGGGCTGGGGCAGCAGAAGCAGGGGCAGGGGCAGCAGCAGGGGCTGGGGCAGCAGAAGCAGGGGCAGGGGCTGGGGCAGGGGCAGGCGGGGAACGGTAATTCGTTTGACGGAGCCGCCGACAGCAGCGACTGCAACGGCTCTCCTGGTCTTGCCGGCCTGGGGGCAAGTACTGCAGGAGCGGCAGAGGGGGAGGCAGCGGCCGCTGACGGCGTGCGAGGGTGTCCCGTAGTCTCACCTTGCAGCGACGCTAACAACAACAGCAGCAGCTGTGGCGGTGGCGGTGGCAGCAGCCACAACACCAATGGCGTGAGCAGCAGCTACGGCAATGGTGGTAGCAGCAGTGGCTGCAAGGCGGTTGTGGATGGCGGCTTGCTGGCACCGCCGCCCCACCCGCATGCCGCCTCCTCCGCACCCCCTCCCGGTGACGCGGCTGCTGCCGGGTGGCCCATGGGTCGCGGCTTCTGTGTGCCGGTGCTGGTGACCGGCGACTTCAACACCATGCCGGACTCCAAGACGTGTGCGGTGGGTGGGGGGCTGTGGTTACAGAGCGGGTCACGAGTGACACGGTGTTGGACACGGCACCGGTAGCAGGGGCAGACAGACAGAAGAGGCAGCGGGTTGCGGCGTGGTGGTGGTGGTGGTGGTGGTGGGTGGGGGACTAGGGATGAGCAGACGGCTGTAGCCTGGTAGCTGGCCGCCAACACCCTGGAGCGCAACCCCGCATGATGCACGCGCGGCAACAACCCTTCCTACCCTCTTTCTTCATCCCTTTAAAAGAGGGATCCCCCGCCGCTCCACTCAGTCAGGCATCCCACGCTATTTCCCCCCCCCCCACACACACAGGCCTTCCGCAGGCACCCGCTGGGGCTGATGTCGCTGTGGGAGCAGCCCCCCCTGGAGCCCTCCCTCGCCGCCAGCTGCAGCGGCAGCGACATGGACCTGCCCCCGCTGCCCTCGCGACCGCCCCAGCAGCCACACCAGGAGCACCCGCAGCAGCAGCAGCAAGCACAACCACAACAGCAGCAGCAAGCGCAGCAGCAGCAGCCGCAGCAGCAGCAGTTGTCGTCACAGCCACAGCAACCGCAGTCGTCAGCACCGCTTTCACATGGGGAGGCAGACACACCGCCCCTCCAAGCACCACCCGCAGCACAGCACCCGCAGCACCCGCAGTCCGCCTCCTTGGCATCCCCTTCCCCCACCAGCCCGCCCCCACCCGCCGCTGCTGCTGCCCCCCCCTCCTGTCGCGGCGAGTTCAGCACCTGGAAGTTCCGACCCAAGGGCGAGTCCAAGCGCATATCCGACTACATCTGGTTCTCGGGCTGCGGGCTGCTGCGGCCGCTGCAGCGCTGGCGCATGCTGACGGAGGAGGAGATCGGGCCGGGCGCGCTGCCCTCCTCCTCCTACGCCTCCGACCACGTGTCCCTGTGTTGCGAGTTCGAGTGGGACGGGGAGGCGGACCCGCTGGAAGGGGCGCCGGCGTGTGCTGCGGGCGGCTGGGGGGAGCAGGTGGAGGAGGACTGGGGGTAGCAAGGAGTGGGGAGGGGCGGGTGAGGCTGGGAGGAGGAGGAGGAGGAGGCGTGGCACCGGGGGAAGGAGGCGCGGGTGTGATGGCGTGAGGGGACTGGGTGGAGGAGAGGGTGGTGGGTGTGCAGAGGGAGCGTGCGTGACGGGAGTGTGAGGCGGGGGGAGAGAGCTTTGAGGAGCGAGCTGGGAGTCGTTGGAAGTCGGGGGGGTTGCGATGCTTGCCTTGCTAGCTTGCTCGCTCGCTCGGGAGGGAGGGGGAAGGAGGGAAAAAAGAAATTCCAAAGTGTGGTATGATAATGATACAAGTTGTCTGACAAGGGAGGGAGGAAACTGCGTACCGGTAGCGGTCGCGTTGTCGCTTCTTGTGCATGCGATGGCGGTGGCGGTGGCTTGCAAGTGAGGAGGGGCGTGGGCTGGAAGGCGTTGAGTACGCATGAGGGCAGGATGGTTCGGACCTTGGAGCTGAAGGTGGAGGTTATCCGCGCTGGCGGCTTTCATCTTGGGTTTCTATATATCGGTAGAATGGCTTGTTGTCGCCGCATTGTTGGTTGGTTCCGTTAACAACGGTAGTAATCAGCTGCACGGTACGGTGGTACGGTAATCAGCTGCCGTACCGTGGTCGTGATCCCGGACATTTCATGCAGGGGCCATCACATGACAGGGCTTTCATGCGGGGCATCATGCCGTACTTCGTGCACCCCACTCATACATGTGGGTTGCCGGTAGGACTGCTTGGGGGTGGTAACACAGCGTGTGCACGGGATCCTGACGTCCTGGCGCCTTCCGGGGTTGCTGGCTGGCTGGCTGGCGGCTAGACCCTTGGTGTACGGCACCGTATGCTCGGTGGGCTATGACTTGCCAGTGCCGTATACATAGCTTGTTGGGCGCACTGAGGTGGCTCGTACAAGCAGCGATGATGAGAACAAGGAGGCCTGGCAGGGACCTGGCAGGGCCGTATACGGTAGCCAGGAACGATGTAAGGGAATAAGGAGTACGCATTCAGGACCTGGATGGTTGGAAGCGGAACTGTATGGGTACGACACAAATTTGGAACCAAACTAATGACCAGGAAAGGCAGGAGGCTGCCTGTTGCTGCTGTTTGCTCCTTTCGTGTCTTGGGAGGTGTTGCGAGTCACGGATTGGTGGTGCTGCGGGTGCACAAGCAGGGTGGAGGTACGGTAAGACACATGTGTAGTACGGCAGTGGCAGTTTGGGTATTTATATTTCATGGGCTGTTGTGGGCGTTGAGGTTTGATTTATTGTGTGGTTGTCGGTAGGCGTACGTGCAACAATACAGCCAGGGGAAGGCACTGTGGCATGACGCGCATGACGCAGAGGAGGACCGGAAATTGGCAAAACGTACGGTGCACCTGGCAGCAAGAGGTACGGTACGACCGAGGACGCGGAAAGAGGTGAAGTTTGCAAACGAAACCGATGGGCTTGTGGTGAGGAATAAGGAAAGCCATAAAGGCCAAAGACCTGCAATAGATGTGAAAAGAAGCTGAAGTGATGTAGGATCCCCCTGTGCCTCCCTGGTGTTACATACCGAGTCTATCTCACAGGGGGGATCCTAGTGGTGAGTCCAAGCCTGCCTGTGATGGCCTTGATGCCTGGGATGTTTGACTGTAACAGACCCTAAGCCCCGTATGGCAAAATGTGGTGGATAATGCAACAAATTTTGTTTGCGGGGAAGCGACTTCTGTCGTGCATGTAACTACCGGTATGCATAATGCATTCCTCCGCGCGCGACAAGCTAGCAGATGATAAGCGATACAGCTGTGGCTATAAGGTTAAAGCTAGCCAGCAGCCCGGCCCTGAGCTTACGTTGTCAACGCGCACACGGGTCAGCGGCACTGCGACGATAACGGCCTCGATGATCAACATGCTTGCCGAGTCTGCTTTTGCTTGCGCTGCGTCGGTGCAAAGTTGTGTCACAAAATAAAGTAGGAGTGCAGGAAAACCTGATCAACCGTCTATATGGGAAAGGGATTTCACCGCGAGCAGGAGGCAGGCGCTTAAGGGAAGATCAAGGGTCAGCAGTGACGGGTACTAGGATACTGCCAAAAATTATCAAGCAGGAAGTGGAGATCTAGTTAACGTTGTATATACTAGCCATTGCTTTGTCAGCTTTGAGCACGACGAGTTGTCATTACTGCTAGCGTCGTACAGTATCACTCATGTCGTCGGTCACACAATGTAAGAGAAGGGAGTCGGAATATTGAAGCAGCACGGCTATTACGGCGGACATGTAACCTTACTTTGCAGTAGCTATGTGCAAGGCTGTGCTGAAGCAGCTGAACCGCGACTCTTCGTCTTTCTAGGACGCCGTTCTTTAGGCGAAATGTCAAAGCTATCCGGCATCCTGTATATACTGGTGCTGTCTTGCGCGTTTGCGATTTGGCCAATCAGTGAGTATTTGCCCAACCAACTTCCAACGCCCGGTCCTTCAAGGGTCCATAGCTAACGGTGTGCACTGGATTCACGCCATTTGTTCTTCTGTAATACATGTAGATGGCACAGAAGTCTGCAACGTATGCGTGGAGCTGTATGACATACAAGGGGACCTCGGAGTCGGAGGGAAGCAGTGTTCAGCGCTGGCAGCGAGGCTAACAGGGTTTTACACGGATGATGCTGATATGCCCTTTGGTCTTTTGACCAAATTTGAATGCGTGGATCAGGTGCGCGGAGCGAATGTGTGATACATTGGATTGGACATTTTCAACCCCGCTCAATCGGATACGTGGTGCTTTCCGGAAAAATATTTGCTTCACTGCATGCTGCATAGCTTCACATCATGAAAGGTGTCAATTATGCAAACAATTACGCAACTGCTGCAACACGCATGCATGTGTCCTACCCTTAGTCGGACCTCCGTACGACCGACATTCAGCAATATTTGCCCTACGCCCCTTACGTTTGCGAAACCAACCCCTTCTACCAGTCTCCTGTGCGCTTGCTGGCATGCGCGACAGCAGGGGAGGCCGACGTCTCATTGTTGGCGGATTATTTCTGGCAAACGGGAACGATATTCGACTTCTACATTGGAGACCGATTTGACTTTAAACCTATTGCCTGCAAGGTATGTTCGTCAGCAGCATAACGATGTATGTGCAGCAAACACTCGTATGTCGCCTTGACAACCCTCTCACGAAAGTTTCCCTCCATGTCCTTTTCCACTGTACTGATTCGGTAAGTAATTTGAGATGCGTGTTCTTAGTGCCTCCGAATGCGCTCACTGCATGAGTCGGGATATGGGATTGGGATTCGTTGTTTCAATTATTTAATTTTTCCACTGTACGGCATTATCCGCCCATGTCATAAACAAGCTGTACGGCACTGAAGGCAAAGCTTTTGCCCCCAACACGCACCCAACAGGACGTGGGCCGTGTGCCGGACAAGAACATAACCATCAGGTCGCCGTGCGTGCCGTACGAACCCTGGCATACACGGGTGGGTGGGCGCCTGACGCCTGGGGATACTGCGCAGGATGAACCGCAATGGTGTTGATGTGGGGGGGGGTGGGGAGGGGCTTGTTGCGATGGCAGGGTGTAGCAGCCGCTGCCGCTTGAAATACACGCGGGCCCTGTCACGCGAGGAATGGGATACCGGTACCTCCCTGCTGGGAATGGGACGTCTAGGGCGCATAACAACAGAGGTCTACTTCCCCTACGTCTCATGCTCACCACGCAGCCCACCGGAGCTCCACCACCACCACCACCAACACCAACACCAACACCAACACCGAGCTCCACACAACATCCCTCCCTTGTTGTATTAGCACTCACTCCACATGCGCCTCCCTCCCCTTCCCACCCGCTTCCGCAGTACCCCCTCCAACCCGACTGCTTCCAGGGGGAGTCCCCACCGGAGCAGCAGGTCGCAGTCGCCAGCCCTCCGCCCACCTCCCCGCCTCCAACCTCCCCACCTCCAGCTCCACCACCACCCCGTCCACGGCCTCCCCCGCCTTCGCCGCCTCCCCCACGACCGCCTCCCCCGTCGCCCCCGCCTCCTCCACCATCCCCACCACCTCCACCTTCGCTTCCGCCGCCGCCGCCACCCCCACCACCTCCCCGTCCCAGCCCGCCACCGCCGCCCCCCTCGCCACCCCAAACACTAGCTCCAGCCCGTTTCCGACCTCCCTCACCGCCCAAACCCCCGCCCAAGCCCCCACCTAAGCCCCCACAACCCCCGCCCCCGCCCCCGCCGCAGCCGCCCTTGCGACCCCCGCCGCCCAGGCCGCCGCCTCCGCCCCGGCCCCAACCTCAACCCAAGCCCCAGCCCCGGCCTCAACCCAAACCTAGGCCCCCGTCCCAGCTCCAACCGCAATCCAAGCCGCCACCCCAGCCTCAACCCCAGGCCAAGCCGCCTCCATCTCCTCCGCAGCTGAAATCGCCCCCACCGCCCCAGCCCCGGCCGACACCCCGACCGCAGCCCAAGCCATCACCCGCACCCCAGCGCAAGCCACCGCCCCAGCCCAAACCTTCTCTGCTACAACCTCCATCCAAACCTCCCCCGGGAACCCAACCCCGCCCATCTCCTCAAACCCAAGTCAGGCAGCCACCGCAGCCACAGCCCAAGCCGCCGCCCCAGCCTCAGCCCCAGTTAAGGCCACCACTACAGCCCCAAGCCAAGTCCTAGCTGTAACTCCGTTGTAGCAGTGCTCGCCGCCAGGACGGCCGCAGCTTAGAAATCGGAACTGGTGAACAGCCGAGGTAGCTGTGGGTTTCAGCGTTGGAGGTAAGGGGTTAGGGGTTACGAACGTATCCCAGCAGATCGTAAGGGCTTCTAAGAAGACGAGGTTAGGGAAGGGGAGGCGAGGGGGAAGACGATGAACCATGGGTCGGTGAAGGGGTGGAGAATAGGAGCTTGGTGTTCGGTGAGTCGGTGGAGGGGCGCGAGTAAGGAGAGTAGTGAACCATGGGTCTGTGGGGCTTCCACATGGACAGAAGCGAGTAGAGGCGAGTGGCTGCGCTTGGTATGAGGTTGTACACAACACTGTTAGGTACTAGCCCGGCAATACCGGTAGCTGCATATTTGCACTAGCTGCTTCGTAGGAGGTGCATGATTGGGATGACTTGATGGGGTTCCATACGACTGCACAGACATGCCTGAGCAGGCAAGAGAACTGAGAACATCAGCGAAGCACGTGCTCCCCAGACGTTTTCTGTTAGGATAACATTGGGCCTGGCGTGATACAGCTCAGAGCTGACAAGGAGGAGGCGCAGGAGCCGTACAATGGTATATCATGATATGAGCATATGGGTTACTTGCATGCGTGTTGCTGCGAGAGTGCAACTACCGGTACTTGCTAGTCGATGGGGCTGGTTATCTTCCACTGTTGATACCGTACCTTGATTAGCGATTCACACTGGTTAATGTTGATGCCGTCGTGTCTAACGCCGCAAGGCCCACTTGGTGACACTCCTCCCGCTGGGAAGTGGGAGCTGCACGCCGTCCGCCGCTGGGTTCGTAGACATGCCCAGATGGGGGGTTTCAAGACACGTGGGTGCATGTATGCCGGTTGTAGTGCAAACCCTTGCATCCGTTTGTACCGATATTTGCTGGAGGATGCACGAATGAATGAACGTTACAGTGATTAGGATTGAAAGTAGCGCTGGTCAACCATGGGCCCTTGCGTCCCGCTGTTTAGTTGTCCAGCCAGCCCATCCGCCGAAGTAGAGGCATACCAGGCTGTGACCGCTGGACGATGTCTGTACATACAGGACAAGAGGGCTCGTCTCGTGTGCGGTACAGGCGTCCAGTCCACTGTTTTTGTGCTCGGGCGCGGGTGGCTTGCTGTGAGAGAGGACAGGCCCTGTCTCAACGGAGGCCTTTTACAGTATTTTGCCTTGCAGGCCTACTGCCTGTCTTATTGGCGCATTGTAAGCAAGAAACAAACGACTCCACATGTGGTATACGCAACCTGCACGCATGTACGACGCATGCAGCAGACCGGGATGCGGACTAACCCGTAACCTTGTTCACTCTTGCTGTGAGAGAGACAGGTGTAAGTAGGACCACCACACGTAATCACGCCACGTTAGCGCGACGCATTCAGACGCGACCCGAGTAACACACGCCCCGCACCCTAACAAGAACATGAACCCCGCCAGGTTCAGTGATGCCGCTGTTGGTGCATTCTGGCACATCCTCCACGTATTCTCCGGAAGAATAAACAACCGTACGACAGCGTACGAGACAAATAAGTTTTCATTCGTCAGAAGACAAGCACATTATACGACAGACAACATCTCACTCATACGGCACCTCCATCAGTTGTTTGCAATCGAGGGACTGCGCGGTTCCCAGCTCGGGGAGACGCGTGCCCGCAATCACACCAGGTTTTGACCCAGGGCAAGGCACGCAAGGGCAGGCCGGCCAACGAAACAAAGTTCATCAAAGAAGGGGTGAGGGCAAGGACATGGCATCAACGTGTGGGCATCTCAGCTAGAGGCAGTTCGGGCACAGACGCGGGGTAAGGATCACAGTTTTCATCAACATGCGGCAAACGAGAAGGCATCACAGGTGGCCACCAATGAATGGCGTCGCGGGTGGTAGAAACCAACAGGATTGGGGAGGGATTCCGCCCACACCGCCCATACTGAAATTGGTGGCACGCCAAACCTGGGATGTCGCATACGCAATGGAAGCATGCACGCACGCAACGGAGACGCCTACATGCAATCGATCGTTTACCGGTACTTGAATCCTCTCTAAACTCACACCACTAGTACTTAACCCCTAACACTAAATGCATACTTTCAAAACGAAACCTTCCAAAACACCACACAATTGTCAAAATGTCTTCTCTCTGTTGCAAAACAGCTTCGGCAAAGGGTGCTCTTTCGACTTGCAGGGCATGAAAGGTGATCACCAGACACACGGTATGCGTGTGAAACAGCGAATGCCAGCACGACAACATGCACCTTGAAAGGATGTGATGCCGCAGGCTAAGCGCGAGCGCAGGGGCTGCGCTGGGATGTGTCACCCATGCCCCATTCCTATGCCAATGATGTTCCCACCCAGCCATGGACCCTAGACTTAACTTTCCCCAAACCCAGATCATTACGGCTAGTTCGATTTCACAATCACGCACAAAAATGAACGTCACGGTACGGCAAGCCCGCCATCACCTCCGCAATAACCCCTTACACCGTCGGACGCATCATAAACCATGGTGTGTCGCACGCAACATAAATGCTCAAATGCTTTTAAGAGTCACGAAGTAATACCGCACGAAGCGCGCTGCCCACACATCCGCCCTAGATGAGATACCGGCAACACACGTTGTAAGCTGATCCATGGCCCCTTCCCCACCCAAATGTATCACATATTTCCTTCAACAAGGCCCCCCTGCGTGCCCTCTTGGCGTAGCAAGGCTGTAGCCGGAAGCCACCTACAGCCCTGCTCAGCACTACTGCCCATCACTCCATGCTGCCGGCGCCCACTGCCGGGCGCTCACCGGCGCCGTCCGCAGCGGTGTGACCGTTACCGTTTCCGTTAGTGCCGTTGCCGTTGTACGTGGCGTATGAGGCGGCGGCCGAGTGACCGTTACCGTTACCGTTGCTGCTGTGGTCGTTACCGTTGCTGGCAGCCCGCTTCTCGGCAGTAATGGCGATGGCGCGGTTCAGGGCGGACTCCACGTTGCGACACACGTTCTCACGGCCCGCCTGCGGTTTGACAGCAACCACAGACCTGGGGATCAGCTTGAGAACCCCTCCCCGGCGCAGCGGTAACACCCCTTCCGAGGTTCATTTCCTGGCAGGTGCCGGTACCCTTGTACAAGCGTGATACCGTAGCCGCGGCTCAGTTCACCAAGACCACCAAACCACAGTAGAAAGCAACAGAATGGCCCACATAGCCCAGCTTCCAACCAGCCCACTCATGCCAATCTGGGCAGCTAGTTTCACTGCCCCCGCCCCACCCCAGCTCCCCGCCCCACCCCCGCCACCCACCACGTCCAGGAAGCCCGCGCGCGCCATCATGCGCAGCGGCTGGCGCGTGAGGCCGCACAGCACCAGCGTCTTGCCCGCCTTGTGCAGGCTGCGGTGCGCCTCCTCCAGCAGCTCAAGACCGCTCACGTCAACCACACTCACGTGGCTCATGTTGAGGACAAGCACCTGCGTCGTACGCGTACGTACGACAAAGCAGCAGCCGCAACCGCGTGAGTACAGTGGTTGAGGACGCGTGGTGAAGCGGCACGGCAGGGGAGAGCATGCATGGGCACAGCAGACGGAGCTCCGCTTAGTGTCACGCACAGCTTTCAATCTGCATGCCGTCCATGGTGCACAAAACATGCGTCCCGTTTTCAGGATCAGGCCTCTCGCCCGCATTCCACCTGCGTCCCGTCTGCATTCTGTTTTCTGTTCCCTCACCTGCACCGCCTCCTGCACGGTTGCGCCCTCCACTGCGCGCTCCAGCATCTCGCCCGCACCGAACAGCAGCGAGCCCGTCACCTGATGGGGGTGGGGGTGAGTGAGAGGCGCGGCGCGGTCCTCAATTGATGTGTCTGCGCAGGGTTACTGTAAAACACAAAGCATACTTGCCAATACGCGCCATGCGGCAGGCAACCGGAACACCGGTATACCCACCAGGACAACAATGTCAAGTGGCCCCTGCGCAAACAGGCTCCAACAACGCACGGCCCCGCCCCCCAAGCCAGTTGCTTCGTCAGTGTCTCATTATATTTTTTTGCCCCCCAAGCCCCCGGCCCACCTCCACGTAGGTCGTCTCCGGCGGCACCACACAGCGCAGCGAGCTGCCCCCCAGCAGCCCCACCCCGGCGCCGGCACTGGAGGACACGGCCGACACCGCCGCCGCCGCCGCAACGCCCACTGCTGCCGACGGGCCCTCCACCTGCTCCTGCTCCTCGTCAGCCTCAGATGCTGCGGTGGCGGCCGGGCTGGCGGCGGCGAGGGCGGCGGCAGCCAGCGCGCGAGGGTCCCTCAGACGGTAGGGCTCCGGAGCCGCGCCATCAGCGCCGTCCAGCAGTCCGGCGCTGGGGTCGTAGTCGGGGGGTGTGATGACGGAGCGGGGCGGCAGCGCGCGGACGTACATGGTGGAGGAGACGTCCTGGGGGGAGGGCAGAAAGGGTCATGTGCCAGGAGGATTGAGAACGCGGTTAGGACAACGGATACGGGGTGTCAGTACGTGCTGCTGAATAGGGTTTGACCGGTACACAGCTGTGCAAGGAGTGTTGCTGTAAGCACGCGGCAATGTGCAGCCCTCTGTGCTACAGCTGCATTGGATGACATTAGCCCCCCACTCCATTGCTTTGCCCCAACTAGTTAGATTTGGCACGGTCTTTTTACTTTCTCATGTATTACCCGCAGCGCACCTGCACGAACACGGCGAGCGCAATGACCATACCGAACGCCACCGCCACGGCGACATCCTGGAGGTGACAAGGGGGGGAGGTTGGGTAGAGAGCAGTGCGGGTGATGAGATTAGGTGATGGCTATGGGCTTAGGGCTTAACGAGGATGATGGACAGGAATGGAACAAGGTGAAGGTACAGGCAGTACGCTGCGAGAGCTTTGCGGTCAGAGCAGGACCTAGCGGCGCCTGCATGACACACAGCCCCCGCCGCAGCAACAGCAGCAGCAAGGGTAGCGGGGTGGAGGTCACTGTGCGGTGGCAGCACCCCCACGCACCTGCAGCACGGTGAGGCTGAAGGCGATCAGGAAGAGGTGCGCGTCGTTCTGAGGCCCTGCGACCAGCAAAACACACAAGGCAACACGTCAGCTCGCAACAATAAACCCGCCACCGCAACAACAGCATCAACTACCCACACTACCCACGCCCCCACCACCACCACCCCACAGCCCCTACTCACACTTGGGCAGCTGCTCGAAGTTGTGCCACTCGCCCATGTTGAGCGCCACCACCACCAGCACCGCACTCAGCGCCGGCAGCGGGATGTACTCGGCCAGCGGCGCGGCAGTCAGGATGACCAGCGCCACCGTGACCGCGTGCACCAGCCCCGACACCGGGGTGCGCCCGCCGGCGCGGACGTTGGCGGCGGTGCGGGCCAGGGCGCCGGTGGCGGGCAGGCAGCCGAAGGCGGCGCAGGCGATGTTGGCGACACCCTGTTGGAGTGGGGGTGGGGGGGACGGGAGGAGGAGTGGAGTGGATGGGAGAGGTTGTAGGAGGAGGGCCCCATGAGGGGTGCGGTATCTATACCGGAAGCAGGCAATGATTTAGAGATGCAGCGGCTGGCTATGGAAGGTGTGGGCGACACGCACTCAACCCCAGCCAAAGCCCTTTCCTCCTCCTTCTCCCTCTCCCTCCGCGCCCCCCCTCTGCGCCCCTCCGCCACCCTCCCTACCTGCGAGATGAGCTCGGTGTTGGAGTCGTGCTTGTCCTCAATCATGGTGTCCGCCACACGCGCGCACAGCAGCGACTCGATGGCTGCCAGCATGGCGATGGTGGCGGCGGGGTACAGCAGACCCGGGATGTCAGAGGCGCTGAGAGCGGGGGGGACGGGAGGAGGGGGAGGGAGAGGGAGGGAGGGGAAGGGAGATTAACTAACCGTAGAAGGAGAGGAGGGCCAAGGAAAAGGCAGGGAGGAGTTAGCAAGCAGTATTACTCATATGTCATATCCGCCTTCTTTCCCAGTGTTGTGACACCAAGCGAGGCCATAGGATCGTTGCATGGAAGTGGGATCTGACCAGGTCAGTTGATATGAAAACGCCGCAGCGGAAGTGTTGGTAGTAGAAGACGCGCACCGAAATAGGAGGTGGTGGGCGATTGGGTTAAGAAGTTTTCGGAACCTAATCGCCCACCACCTCCTATTTCGGTGCGCGTCTTCTACAACCAACACTTCCGCTGCGGCGTTTTCATATCAACTGACCTGGTCAGATCCCACTTCATGCAACGATCCTAGGGTCTCGCTTGGTGTCACAACACCCAGCGGTTCGCTGCAGCTTGGGCATAACCATCATGCCTCGGCCTCAACAGCCCCCAGGAGGAGACCCACCTGAGGCCCTCGGGCCACTGCAGGGAGGGCAGCGAGCGGGGAATAGCCCCGGCGCCAAAGTGCGTGCCAATGGTCTCGATGCCCAGGTCCACTCCCGGCTGCAGGGCATGCAGCGCCTGCAGACCCATGGTGCCCGCCGCGATGGCCACGATGGGCGTGGGCAGGACCTGGGAAGAGGGAGGGAGGAAGGAAAAAGGGAAGAGGTGGCGAACGAGCGTTATGAACAGCGTGGGTAGGATGAAGCTGCCTGACGTCCAATTCATGATCCATGTTCAAACCATAGTGGGCCATACCCCAACACCCAAGCCATTCCCTGCCGTCGTTGCGTGCACACCTTTGCCCACTCCTTGGGCCACGCCTTGATGAGGCCCAGACAGCCCAGCGCCATGGCGAAGGAGGGCACGTGCGTGGCGTCCAGGTGGCTGCCTGCGGGGACACGAGGAAATGGGGGGGGGACACGAAAGGAATGTGGGGAAATGTGGTTCCGACGTTACCCAATTTTCGCACACGCGACATGCGGATGCCGCATGGGCCCTTCAACGGATAGATTAAGGAGTTGTGGCACGCACCCCAACTCCAACAGCACCGCTACATGCTGCTTACACAAGCGGCTTTGGCTGTACCCAAGCAGGTAAACGGAGGAGGACATGCGCCCGCCCGCCCCCCCCCCGCCCGCCTGCCCGCACCTAGGTAGACCACCTTCTCCAGGAACTCGGTGGGGATGGGGACGCCCTCGGGCAGCCGACCCGGGGCACCCAGACCCAGGAAATCCTTGATCTGCGAACACAACGCCGTACAATGTGAGACGATGAGCCACGTCAGCCAGGGTAGCCACAAGCGGGGCGAAAAAGGCGGCGTTGGCTTGTGAGCAAGTGGGGCATGAAACACGCCCGATGGGATTTACGATCTAGGTTTGCCGCATACCTGAGTGCCAAAGATGTAGGTGGCAATGCCGGCAGTGAAGCCCGTCACGACGGGCTTGGGCACATAGCTGCGAGGTGGGTGGGGAGAGAGCGGGGCGGCGAGCTGGTCAGACGGCTAGTTCTCATTCCGATATACCAGCTTGGAAACAATGGCCGCGAGCAATCCTCCCACGTTACTGCGCGCTTCACGCTACTAACGCAATTCGTACGACACAACAACCTCCCGCTACCTTCCCCCAAGCCCCTACATGTCTCCAGTGCCCGCTCATCCCACCACCACCCACCCGTTTCCTCCCCCTCCCCCTTCCCCTCCCTCCTCGCCCCTCCCCCTCACCGGATGACGCCGCCCAGCCCAGTCGCCCCCATGGCGATCAGCATCAGCCCCGCAATCCCCGTGCACGCCACCAGCCCCGCGGCCCCGTGCGCGTGCGCCACCCCCGCCACAATGGGGATGAAGGCGGCGGTGGGGCCCACAATGGTGACCCGCGAGCCGGACAGCGCGGAGGCCAGGAAGCCGCCCACCACCACCGTATACACACTGAGCGGGGGCGGGGGAAAGAGGAGGAGGAGAGAGGGATTGGTAAGGCGGAGAGAAGGATTGGTAAGGCGGAGGAGGAGAGAAGGATTCGTAAGGCGGAGGAGGAGAGAAGGATTGGTAAGGCGGAGGAGGAGAGAAGGATTGGTAAGGAGGAGGAGGAGAGAAGGATTGGTAAGGCGGAGCCGGGAGTTACAGTGATGAAGTCTCTCCTTTTTCATGGGACGTGAGAGGGTGGCATGTCTGGAAGTCACAGGGCATGGGGCCCAATAGAGGAGATGCCGTGGGGTGAGAATAAAGCTATGCTTTCTACCTCAGGCGTCCTTTAACCTTACCCCCTCTTACTCCTCGTGACCTCCGCCTCCACCCCGGCTCCCTCCCTTCCTCGCCCCCGCACCCTCACCCAATAGCCGGCGTGCTGTCCGAGGCGATGCCGAGTGCCATACCCAGCGCCAGTGCGATGACTCCCACCACCACCCCCGCCAGCACATCACGACGCAGCTCCTCAGAGGAGTAGCCTGGGGAGGTGAGAGGGAGGTGAGAGCAGGGATGAGGAAGAGGAAAGCAGGGTGCGTCTGGGAGCGGGTGCGCTGGCAGATGCTGCTGACAGGTGACCTTCAACCCGTCCCTCCTGCTCCAGCACAACACCCCTGCCCGCCGCCCCCCGCCCATCACCCCGCCCACACATGCGCTGCCTCAGCCACTCACCCTTGAACACCTCTGCAATCTTGGGCTTGAAGGGCACCCGCATGAGCGCCCCCAGCAGCCCCCGCGCGCTGCCGTCCTGCCCCTCCAGCAGCACCTCCTCCACGCCGCGCTTCGCCACCGCCTGCACCGTGGCGCTGTCAGTCAGGCCGCCGTAGTAGTAGTCCTCGTCGGAGCCGTCCAGCTCGTCCTCGCTGTCCGAGAGGCTCATGAGCGCAGCAGACTCGGTCTCCATGCCGGAGGCCTGCGGGAGAGGGGGTAAAAGATATAGATAAATGATGGTGATGGTCCAGACAGAGGGGGAGAGGGTCAGGGATAAGGGCACAAAGCAGGCGGGGGTAAATAAGGGCGAACGAGGCGGCTGGTGGGAGGTATTGCACTGGCGCCCTCCCGGTGCCGGACGCAAGACCGCCCGCCTGGCCCCCAGGGAGAGCAGCCCCCCCCATGTGTCACCTGCCACTTCCTGAAGCCGCCCTCCACGGTGTAGATGTCGTGCTGGTCGCCCATGGTGGCCATGGCCTTGGCGGCGCGACGGCAGGTGTCGCTACCACGCCTGTGTGTGGGGGGGAGGGGGCAAGAGCAGGACATGTTGGTACACGCACAGTCACAGTATGTTTCGACTCGCCACTCACGGCCAATTTTCTTAACACAAAGAGTTGAAGGTCGGGAAGGACGTGCGCACGACGGGATGAAAGGTGCCCAGCAGCGAACTAACTGGCCCGCCGATTCCAACACCCGAGTAGTAGTAGGTTGTGATGCAAAGCTCCTGACAGCGTGGTACTTCCCGAGACCAGCATCACACAACTGGATACCGGTACATAACCATCGCAGTGCTTTAACGGACCCGGCAGGCTCCTAACAGGAAACGTGCCGGGCCTGAACGAGCTCCTAACAAAACTAACAACACGTTCCTCCACCACCACCTGAAGGCATCACGGCACCCTGCATGCGTTCACCATGCCGCGGCCCCACTCACGAGCTGAGCACGATGAAGGTGGTGCTGGGATTCACCCCCGGGGCGAAGAGGATGTCGTCAAGGAAGGAGGCGTTGGGCACCAGCTTGCCGTTGCGGAGCTGCCGAGGGAAGGGAAGGGTGCAAAGGAGAAGGGATGAGGGATGCGGGGTGCATGCGGTGGCATGAGCGGCTGCGTTGACAAGCAGTTGCGAAGGGGGTCCGCAAGGGTCTGTTGACACTTGCATGGCATAGTCCCGCGGTGGTCATGGTGGCCTGAAGCGGTATCGGTACCAGGAATCCGTACACACGCATGCAAGCCTAGCATTCCCAGGCTCTTTGTACCAAATAGCCAGACGTTAGGCAACCCAGACGCCGAAGACGAGGAAAAGCGGAAGTAGTGTGACGGCTGCCCAAGGTGAGAGCTGCTGCTCCATGCATAAGCCAAGCATGCGCAAGCCAGGGCGGCAACCGCGCAGCCTACCTCATTGAAGGGCGCGTGGATGACGCGGGCCTTGCGTGCCGCCTGCTTGAGCGGCAGACCCTCGATCTTCACCTCCAGCTGCGGGTCAACGGGCAGGACCGGAGGGGGTTCATGTAAGCAAACAGAAAAGCCAACATCATGCCGGCATGCAGCTGCAAGCCCTGCCGCTAGTACCGGCGCCTGGCGGTTGTTAAGGTGTAGTGCAGAATAAAACGTTGTGGCGATGGTGAAGCAGATCAAGTTACAGCCGCCAATAGGGAAGTCGACATGATTGCCAGCACTATGGTAAAGTAGGCGCGGTGTAGGGTATATGCTTTAAGCGGTGGTAATACGGCATGCGACAACCGTAATGAAAAGCCCTAGCGGCAACAACCCCCCACCCTGACCCGGGTTGCCTGTTGTGGCGACGGCCCACCTCACCTTGGAGCGCACATCCACCAGCTTCACATTGCTGTCGGTCTTGAGCAGGATCAGCGCGTCCGAGGGGCTGACGTTCTGCACCCTGCGACCAGGTTTGGGAGTGCACGGTGCCAGCAAAGGGTTGCCGGTTTCGGTTTAATAATCCGCAGCCATACTGCGTAGAAGAAACCTGTACGAGCGCAATGGCGCACTGCCATGCTGCAGTGACACAGGACTTGGGATACTGGCTGCGCAGGTTGTTTTCTTTGGGCAAGCAGGAATGTGGGTCAACCCCGAAACAGCAGCGTGCAACCTGCAGCTGCTGTGAACGGTTGGCTTTGGCTTGCCTAAAACAGCCGCCTGCATCCTGTGTACCTTATGACGGGCTTGCGGCGGCTTTGCTCACCTGCCCTGCCGTACGGCACCCAACGCAACGGGTACGGAAAGCGCCAGGGCGGCGGACCCCGCCATGATCCAGGTGTCTGCGGACATACCCAAGCAGTGTTCACAAGGGGCACATGCAACTCGGCTTAGGTAGGAAGCGTTCCACACCCAACGCTATGTATAATGCTCATGAAGCTGTTCAGGTTGGGAGAAAATGTTTGTTGGTGGCCAAGGGTATGGAAATACATTGCGGACGTGCAGCCGAAACACAGTTAGACACGTCGCGAGATCCAGTAACAAGTGCACATCATTGGTCGCCATACTGTCTCCTTGCCTGACACGTGGATGAGACCGCCCACAGCTTGCGCGGCCTGAACCGCGCTGGCATGGATGGCAAGCGGCTTGCGACTGCGATCGGACACAGCATAAAGGAGCACAGCAGCAAGTAAGGAGCCTATCCAAGATCACAGGACTATGACATTGTCTTAAGGGACCATTTCCATAACCCGATGTAAACAAGAGACGGTCAACTCAATGGTTGACTTCTTAACTTGGACTCGTCCCCTAAGGCCAGACAATAATGCCAAACGGAGACACGAATCCTCAAAATAAAGGTGCTCAACTAGTCTTTACTCCCGTTGATACATGGAAGCCTGAACGGGACTGTGACCCAAAAAAGCTTACCGCAGTCCAGCTGCGCAAGAGTTGTATCCCGGTGAAACACATGACTGACGACGGAGCGGCAGAAGGCCCGAGCGGCCGGGGACTATTTCCCTCACGCTGCGCGACAGGCGGCAATCGCCTACGGAAACCTTGAAACTCTGCATCTTCAAACTATCCGCCGTTCACAAACAACGTGATTGATGTGAAATGGACTTAATGCTTATCGAACAAGGTAACGTGTAGCGGGTCTGACGGGCTGCCCAACAACACAGGATACTGACGCGGAGAGATTGTGTTCCAACAGTAGTTGCCTCTGAGTCGTAGGTCTTACAACAGCCTATGGCTCTCTCTTATGTCAGGTGGTTTCGATAATCTTTCCAAGCCCGACGTCGTACTTCCCGGAACCCCATGCGTCTTGCTTTTTAATTGCTGCTAAAGGTTAGATGTGGACAACCTGACTTACGCCTTACCCTAACAAGCTGTTCATCGTCCTACCCATGCATCTAGCTGCAAGTACTATCTGCACGGTCGGCTGTCTCGTCCGTTCGTTGTTAACAAACTGAGTTTATAAAAAGTGTTCTTGACTATCACTTCTAATGCCTAGCAGCTGTTTCCAGTTACTTCGCGTCTCGGCGCGTCCCTCGGGTCGCACGGTCCTACTCTTTTCTGTCTTGTTTGCTTTCCCCTCCGGCTTTCCTGCGAACGACGTTAACGGTCATATCCAGTTTTGTTTGGCTTGATGCGTTGGATGTCAAAAGAAAGAAAACCAAGAGTGTAATTGGTCCCCTTGCCTTGTACGGACACATTGTCCTCGTGTACATGCCGTAACTTTAACTGTTACTGTAACCGGGAATTGGAGGGGAGGTGGGAGCTGGGGCTAGTGATGGGGTACCCACGCAGGCCTGCTAACTGCGAAGGGCTTTGGGGTCAATGTTCATCCAGAGTCGCAAACGCGCCCACCCTTGTGACGGCAGGCATGCTTACAGAGCTGATGCGAACCTCGAGCCAAGCCTGCAAACCGTTTTAGCAAGCTCTTCCTACATACCGCATACCACACCGAAGGCATCCCGTCATCCTCTGTAATCAGTCAACCTAGGGACTCTGGAAACCTATGCTGCATGTCTAAATAGGACTCAGTGGATGGAACCGTCTTACAGTCGCAGCTCCTACGACATTAGGCAAGCAGCGCCCCAAGCGTTGCAGGTGACGGAAACAAGGAAACGAGAAAAGCGGACGAGATGTACGATAGAATTCAATCTCATGCTACAATCCTGCGAAGCTGCCCACGATAGCGTGCGCAGCTACCCACTGTGCACTAGAGAATAAGGAGGATCCGCACAATTACGTAAAGTTGTCAAAAGGGTATTTGTGTTGTACAAAAAGCCGACAGCCTCGCAGCCAACAGTGTGAAGCGCGCAGTGCTTGCAACCGGCAAGCGCGTGTACGGCACTCACGCTCATGGGTCCTCGCTCGTACCAGCGGCATCCAGCAGCCCCTCTAGTCTTGGTCCTAACCCACCGTACAGGTTAAAAACTCTCTTTCAGCTAGCCTACCGTCCGAATGTTGGATTCTTCCGCAGTTCATCCAGTCTAGCTACAAGGCTCACTGTGATATCAAGGCAAGTTCAGTGCATGGAAAACAACACTTCAGTTCGCTGCACGCATTTCACTTTGCATCCAAATCACTTGTCACGGCAACACCATAACCTCCGCAGCCACCTCAAAAACTAAACGTCGGCCCCACACCCGCCCCCAATGCAGGTCAAAGGGATGTGCCGCCACGCATGCAACCCAAATACCGTGCGACATGATGAAGTACGACATACAAACTGCAATTTCCGCTTTGCCAACAAAAGCAACATAGGTAATCACCTACATGCAAGCCATTTGGTTTCACTTTCCGCTGGCGTAATCATTTTCCGCTGGCGCTTACACGAACGCGAGACGGTCCTAGCCCTCCCTTCCAGCCACTAAACATTCTCCGACCCGCTATTCCTGGGGCTCGGCCTCACGATCACCTTCTCAGTCCCCTGTGTCATCTCTACCGCGGACTGAACCGGCGTCACCTCCTGCATATCCGGCATATAGTACCCGAAAAAGAGCGCGGAAAACACCAGAATGCAGCCAAAAATCATCGCAAAGTCGAAGGCGTAAAAGAATTCCTCGTGTGATGCGAGGTAGCCGTCATAGCCCATAATGAACTCCACGCAACGAAAGATGTTACGCACGTACATCATCGCAATGGTGACGTACAGGCAGGTAAAGATCTGACTCGGCACCACCACTCGCTCCTGCAGCGCAAACGACTTGCTCCGCTGAATGTAGACCGTGAGGAATGTGAAGAAGGTGAAGAACCCTAGCTGGCCAAACAGGCCGATCAAGATAACTTTCTGACCCAGTTGCTGGGACTTTGGGTTATCACTGGAAATCAAGCCGCCGCCCCCGCCTTGCAGGAAGAGACAGAAGAAGTCGCTGGTCAAGAAGAAACGGGCCACCCAATGGGGCTTCATGAATAGCTTGCTTCCGTCCCCGAACCGCATCAGCCGGCCCACCACGATGTAATCGACGAGCGGCAATATGACGGGCGTGATGATCAGAAAGCACTGCATCACTGCGAGGCAGGAAGGAAAGGACAGAGGGAAAAGCAAAGGGGGAGGGAGTTACACAGGTTGGGGCGCTGACGCTGAGGGAATGCAGCAGAGCGGGTGTGGTGGGCATGTTGTGGCGGACAGGCGGGCATGCAGTGCAGACACATAACACATGCCAAGAAAGCTGACTTGCACACTCGCACTCTACTGTCCTCTCCTGCCGCGCAAATTTCCCACAGTTCCCAGGTAGCTTACAACCATATGACGAACGGGGTGCATCCGTCAACGGTCACCGTCCGGTCAACTACTACTTGGCAACGACCCACATGCGATGCCCCCTGGTGAATACCGTACTCACTTATAAAGACGAGTCTGTCAGGCGATGCGATCATGGCCACTCGGAACCCAAATCCAATGACTTCAAGCCAGGCTGTGGCGCTGACCACAGTCATGAACCAGGCCTTGGTCTTCCATGATTGGAAGAAGACAATTAGGCCCCCAATGAAGTACAGGACTAGGGCCGCGTAGGCAGGCGCTGATTTGGGTATTTCGTGGAAGTACTGTATGAGGATTTGCTCGTCGGTTTGAGGCATTCTTACTGTCCGCTGCTACACAGCGGCTACAGTACTGCGGTCCGTACGGTCTCCTCTAGAAAAGCAAGCCGTTGGCTGTGTGTCGGTGGCCGAGCTGCGAGATTAGGGACGCCTTGTTAGGTGCTGTCCGCTTGCCTGCTGAGATTGGGAACATGTGCGGCCGGGGAAAGCCGGGAGGGGAACGGAAACGCAGCGGCGGTTGGCAAGCGCTACGAAACACCAAACACGGTAATCGTGTTGTGCGGAGACATGGCAACAAGCATAGCCACGAAACTGGCACATCAGCACAGGCGCAGTGGGAAAAGCGGTCATAGGATGCCCCCGAGATGTTTGCCAAGTACGCATATATGCCCTGCTCGGTGGCTTTCGTAGCGGTCTGGAATGTCGCATACATTCAGTCGGCGATGTTTGCAGGCGACTCCTAAAAAACCTTAAGCACGTCGCGGTCCTAAGAGCCCATCCTGACTTACCAACGCGAAGATGCAGATTAGCAAGCTGCTATGTTATATTATCTTACGAATTAAAAAGGGAAAGGGGTCACGACCAATTTTTTGAGTGGCGTCCAAACAATAAAAACGTAAAAGGCGAAGGGTCGCAGGTGGAATTAAGTTAGTTTTTCTTAACCCTTCGCTATTGCTGAAGGGCTGTTGGCGCCACAACTTGGTTTGCATTAATGGAGCCATGAAAAGGACAATGCAGGAAAGTCCCATAATTATTGTCATCTCGTACGGCCCCCGTACGTTTTAGTAGTGATAATTGGAATGTTGCGTGAAATGGGCTATGTGAATTGGGCAAAGCAAAGCTGCACCCGCTGAGCCCTTTCCAAGACCTAGGCATGTGTTAGGAGGCCTACAACTGAAAGCAATGACCCTTACGTTGATTGCGCCGTCGGTGGTGCATTAACTCCGTAATCCCTTACGCTCAATTGCTTTTTTGGACGAAGAACGAGGCAGTTACGGGCCGGCCCCTATGGCCAACGTTTCTGGTTTTCCCGCAGGCCATGTTTGTGTTTTGCGCCGTCGCGAGTCATGTAGCGCTAGGCATCTGATGCCTGTGGATTGCCATACGAAGGGCTACCAGCAAAGAAGCAAGGTTCTCATTGTAGCGTGAGGCTTGTTACCCTATCGGTCAGCAAATACCCACACGTCCAACCCTCGCCCTAGATGGGTCATGCCGTGTGCAGCTGATGCCGTTGCAACATTTTTGCGTATCTGCAGCTGAGCCCCTTAAACCTCGCTTGTCACCAGGTTACTCGTTGTTGCACGAGACTGGGTACCCATTGCTGATCCCTTAGCTGGCATGCTGTGGCTCACCATAAACCTCACCCCTGGGTATTCTCTGGCTTACCAAAAACCTCACACCTCTAGCGTAATTACTTACCCACTTGCACCAGCTATGGCTGTATGGGCTACAGTGGACTTCCATGGACAATTCGGTGCCGTATATGTCTATAAGGCATGCCAAATAGGTACGTGTAGTACGTGTACCTTACACATGGTCCACATGAAAGCCGACAGACACGTACATACGCATGCACGCCCTTACCGTCGCACTATGAGCGACGATACATGCCCACTGTTGCCGCACTGCCGTCGTGCTGCCACCGAACTATGCCACAGTGCAAAGTCTATGTACCGGCTTGCTGTTCTACTTCTCGGGTCCCCAACGTTGAGATAGCCCCAAGGGCCCAACAGTAAAACCATTTGACACGCCGTATTGTTAGCACACCGTGACAGTAGGCAGCATACGTCGTGCACAGCAAGCCCTGAGCGAGTCGAATGACGACCCATCCCCTTCGCTTACCCAAAGTCAGGGCTTCACAGCCTGGGGCAACCTCCCCCAAACTCCACGAAATCAATGCCCTATGCCTTATTGACCCCACACCCAAGCACGCGCGCTTATTAAGCGGCCCATGCGGCGCCCTGAGAACCTGTCAAGACATGTGCGGTCCTCTTTGCAAGGTACGATTTTAGCAAAGGAACACAAAGCCTTACCCTACCTCAGCAGCCTTACGCCTTCCTCCGTGTACCCTACTCCCTACGCCTACTAAGCAATGCACAACTCACTCGCTCCATCCCCGCCGCCACGCCCAGCCCTTCTCTACTTGCTCACGAACTTGTCGACCTCCGACAGCCAGGTCTGGTACTCGCGCTGCTCCTTGTCGTATATGAGGAAGCGCAGGTACTCGCCCAGCTCAGCAGTAATACCGCGCTCCTCCAGGTAAGAGGCGAAGTTGCGCTGCAGGTTGTCGTCGAGCTCCTCAAACACCGGCCCCGAGTACATGGACTCGGAGGTCAGGCCATCCTTGGGCTCCAGCGAAACATGGTTGATGTTAACCGAGTTGCCGTCGCTCTCGCACTCAAACAGGAGCATCTTGCCGTCCTTGGCAACGGAGACGTTGAAGGCGACAACAGTGAGGCCATCCTCGTCGCCTTCGCCTTCGAAAGTCGCACCAGGCTGGTTGTTGACGTGCAGATCAATGCTAACCTCTTCGTTCTTGTAGCTGCGGGTCAGCGTCAGCAGCGTATCGCCCGGCGCCTCGGTTAGCTTGAAAGGCGCTGGCGGGCCACCCGAAACCTGCTCTGGCCGCTGGTAGTTCTTCTTCTCGTAGTCAATCTCCTCGCGCAGCAGGCTGCTAATGCTGTTCTGTTGCTGGCCGCTTGTAGAAATGCAGCGCGAAAAGGCCGCGGCAGCACGCAGCAACACCGCCTGATGGGTGACCGCCGGCTGCTGCGCCGCCGACACCAAAGCGCAAGCCGCTTGCTGCACCTTGGTGGCTCCTGACTGCTGCTGCTGAAGCAGGCCGCAGATACCGCGGACCAGGCGTTGGCGAGAGGCCATTTGCAGATTGATAGTAGAGATCGGCTGTGGTGACTTCTAGAGAAGCAACGTCTGTTTGGGGTGAAGGTGGTTAGTACCTTATGCTTGTCACAGTGATCGTTTCGTTTCATGGGCTTCAGCTTCGCAAGTTCCGGTGTACGGTAATGAGTGCTAGAACATTCACAGCTTCTCACGCCCAAAGCAACCATGGTGAAACACAACATAGGCTGCAAATCGTTTCATTAGCGGATTGAGCTCTTGCTTTCTATTATATCAATTCCCCCCAATAGGAAAACCTTTTTGCACTATTTCCTGTACTTGGTCACTTCATGACTCTGTATTTCTTTAACCTAATGAATACGGTGATCGGTTAGTGCTAGTATTCAATTTTCCGCACCAGCCGGTGACGTTGTACCTTCGAGCTCAATAGCAACATGCATCCCGCCTTACTTCGCGAAGACTCAACACAACAGCGATCCACTCAGAAGCAATTTCACACAGATTCTAGTGTTAAGATAGACCATCTAGTAGGCACGCAATGTACTGTGCGGCCGGACTACCATGAGCCTCCCCCGAAGCGGACCACTCCCACGTCAACATTGGAGGCAGCTCGAAGCCTGGAAACGCACTTCATTAAGGCCCGAAAGGTGTGCACTTTGGGTCATTTTTCCAGCGCACATCCAGCGCACGCCTGAAGGGGAGGGGGTATGGTAGAAGCTCTAGCTCTTTCCGCCTGAGTGGTGCCCGTTGGTTTGATTGCCCGCTAGTGGAGCATGCCACTCTAGGGGCACACCATCTGTTAGGCCCGCACTGCCGAGCACCCGGCCACGCGCCAATACGGCCGGGCCTCACCCAGGATAACCCGTAACCCCTTTCCCACAACCCCATAACCCCCCTTCCCTTGAACCGTAAGCCCACATGCGTTTGCGCCCTCCCATGCCGCCCTGCCCTTACCGCTCTCCCGCACTTCCCCGCCCTACAACCTAAACGCTCACATGATAACCCCGCCACCCATCTGCCCGCTGCTGCCAACCCCTGTTGCTACCTTCCCTGCCCCACCACCATCCTGTGCTGAATTTCTCGGACTATATGTCTCCCTTGATGCCAGACCTCCGAGACCTTCAAGGCGCGGCAGAACGGCAGCCAACTCTACACGCCCGGCAAGGGCTGGGGAGCCTGATGACCTGACGACGTGATGAGCCGGCAACCAGCGCACGAGGGGGGAAGCTCCTGGCGCGCACCTCCCCTCCCCCTCGCGCGCATGCAGCTAATTATGGCACTGTCTTTATCATCTCGTTGAGGCCGCGGACACGCTCTGGGGCTGCAGCGTGGGGCTGCGTGCCCGCCTGCTGCTGCTACGGCAAAGGACAAAGGAGGGCGGGTCCGCGTGTCACTGTCCGCATCTGGACCTGGGGGGAGGGGTGACCCGCGGTTGTATGCGACCCATGGCATAGCAGCGGCAGCGCTGGAAGTGCAGGTGTGCGCATGGGAGGAGCACGCCTGCAGGGAGGAGCGGAGTGCCATGCATGCACCCACCGACCTGCTTCCCCACATGCTTTGGGGGTCCTTCTGCTCGCTGCTGCTGCAGCCTCCTAGTGTATAGCTGGGTTGCGGAGGTGGGTTGCCAGGAGGTGGGTTGCCAGGAGGAGGCGGCCACTAGCAGCTGGAGCAGGGGCAGGGCGCCACGGGGCCACCCCTCCCACCACCCGACTCACCCCCGGGGGACCGCACAGGCTCCAGGTGGATACAGAGAGCACGTACGGACGTAACGCGCTTTTGGAACTGTCATGCCGTACCATGTGGGGCCGTACCGTCAGAGGGAGAAACCAAGGTGTCCCTTGTGAGGATGAGCTGTGAGGGTGAACGGTGGGGGGGGCAGAGGCGGCGACCCAACACCGCATGTGCGGATGGAAGGTGCGGAGGTGGGTGCTGGAGTGCTGCTGAGGGTGCCTGCTGCTTCCCTTCCGGTCGTCGCCATCGCTGCTGCAACTGTTGTTGTTTCATTACTGGAATGGGAGAGAAGTTGTCCAGGGAAGGAAGTGGAGAAATGTCCTCAGTGCATGTCAGGAAATGCCCTCAGTGCATGTTTTTGACTTACTTCTCATGTCCTTTCCTTACATACTAATTGATATACGGGTGAATGGTGTGAGCCATGGTATATGTTATGCGGGGCTAATAGACGGCGACTGGCGCTCTCTGGACCACTTATGTTGTCATGGGACAGGCGGTGATGGTGTACGGACGTGGTGATGATGTACGGACCCGCTGGGTGCTGCACACTTTAGCGCATCTCTGCTTCAAGCAGGCGGTGCTTTCACCAGCGTTGTCATGGACGCACGTATGCACGTGTCGGCAAAGCGGCGCGTCGAGGGTTACATTACTTAACATGGCGCCAGGGTTGAACAATGTCCAGGGTTGAAATCAATCGAGTTATGGAGGACTTACTTGGTGCATGCACACTCACGAGCACAGGTTCTTACGCTTGGGTTATAGTCCTTGTACAGAGTTATGCTACACTGAAGCTGAATACCCCCCGGTCGCCAGGTAGTTGTGCAGGCGGTGAGAGGTGGCCGGTTCCGAGGTTGGCTTCCAGACTTTGGACGGATGGCAGGGGGATTGCAGCCGTGGCGCCGCCATGCCGCTGTGTGCAGCTTATTCCGGTTGGCCCCCAACCAGCCGGTCCCAGAGCCCACTCGCATCGGGCAGGCTCCCTCTACTCCGCTCGCTGCTGCGGTTGGTTGGTTTCATGAGCATGCACCGCTGCGAGAATTGTGCGTCCCAGTCCAATGCTAATTCAGATTCTCCAGTCTTAGGAAGGGGTGCCCCAAACCACATTTTCGCAGGATTGCCGAAGTATATAGTGTAGGAGGCTGGCCGAGGACCGACCAGGGCCAATACACAGGTGGTGGAAAACGAAATCTGCTATGCATGAGCCAGAGCACATCAGCGGTTGCACCAGCAGCTGACGCCGAACCCAAACGGTCCGGTCCAGACCAGCCCTGCTAACTCACCCCCTCACACCCTACGCCCCATGCGCCCGACCTACCCCCCAAAGCCCTTCTCTCTGGCCCCAACACAGCCTCCTCACACGGTCCATACACCGCAAGCCATGCCACCACCCTCTCCCCACATGTCCACCAACCCCCCCCCCCCCCGCCTCCTCCCCCTCACATATCAAACAGGAAGCTAGCCGCCATGTCTACATTCCCGCCCGCCGCTTGCAGCGCCTGCAGCGCCGTACCCCGGTCCGCACCCAGCGACATCAGCTGCGCCAGCTTGGACTCCAGCTGGCTGGAGGAAGCACCGGTGGGGGCGGCGGGGTTGGGGGCAGGTGCAGGCGCAGGCGCGGGGGCGGGGGCGGGAGCAGGGGCGGTGCTTCCGGATGCAGGTGGCGGTGCGGGTGGGGTGGTGTTGGTGGCGGTAGCGGGTGGCGGTGCGGAGGGGGTGGCGGTGGCGGCGGTGGTGGTGGCGGAGGGGGCGTCGGTGTCCATCTTGTCGCGACCTGCGGCCGCGTCTGCGGGAGGGGGTGGGAGGCAGGGAAGGGCGGGGCGGTGGGCGGCGAGTTCCACCTAGAGTAAGGCCTCTTGGTGCGCTCAGTGCACGAGTTAGGACGTGAGCGTGGAACTCCGGTTGCTTCTCCTCTTTCCATTTCTCAAGCACTTCCCACCAGCACCCTGTTCCCTCCCTCCCTCACCCTCCTCCACCCTGCGTGCCGCCTCCGCCTCGCTCACATCCTCCACATGCGCGGAGAAGTCGGAGGGGATCTGCGCCTCCGACAGGAAGGGCAGCTCCACGCCGCAGGAGCCGATACGCAGCACGTTCTTGGACTGGGAGGGGGAGGGAGGGGGGCAGGGGCCAAGGGGGTGAAGGGGGGACGAGGGGAGGTTGGACAGGGGGAGGTGGGGAGAGGGGCTGTAGGAGTTGACGAGGCGTGCACACGTGAAGAGTTGAGGACGACTGCAGTAAAACCCGCATGCGTCGTGCGTGCCTCCCTCACGCACCTCCCGCCCCAGGGACTAAAGCCACGGGAGGGGGCGTGCTGCCTGCCGTCGGGTGCCATCGCCGTCCACATGCACCCCATGTGGGCCTGATGGCCACACGAAACACACACGAAACCCCTCCCCCACCCGGGTGGCTCCGTTTATCTCATCCCCCGCCCCCCCCCTACCAGGTCTATGCAGCACTGGTGCCTACGCAGCATGTCCAGCCCGAAGATGAACTGCGGGCCGCTCTTCTGCTCCAGCACCGTGATGGCGCTGGTGACAACATGGTCGCCCACCTTCATCTTGGCCTGCATGCAGGGGGGGGAGGGGGGTCGCATGAAGGGAAGAAGGGGCTGTCATGGCCCCCAGCCAACCATCCCAAGCCACGTGCCCTCCCACTCACTACTGCCCATTCTTTCCCACCCGCTTCCACCTAACCACGCCTCTCCCTCCCCCTCCTCCCATACACACACACGACTCACGGCCAGTTTCCTTAATACACATTCCCCCCATACACACACACCTTCCCCCCCCCCCACCCCCGCCCCCACTCACCTGGTGCACCTTGCCCAGGATCTTGCTGCTGCCCACCCCCACCGCCATGCCCCGGAACCGCTCGTCCAGCAGCCGCGTGAGGTGGCACTTCTCCGCGAAGGGGGCGGTCATGATGGTCATCTGCGCGCCGCTGTCGATGAATGCCTTCACGTGCACCCCGTTCACCTCCATCTCCACGTACAGCATGAGCACCTGGATGAAGTTCTGTGAGCGAGGGGGGAGGGTGTGCGTGCGTGTGCGTGTGTGTGTTTTGGGTGGGGGGAAGAGGGGGAAGGGTGGGGGGGTTGGGGTTGGAGAAAGTGGGTAAGCTCAGGAAAGCTTCCAATCCCCACATACATATCGGTACATCCCTCCCTCCCCCCTCCCCTCCCTCCCTCCCCCTACCTCCGGGTTTGTCAGTGTTTCTTTATTTTTACCCCCTCCTCTCCCTCCCTCCCCCCCCCTACATGAGTCGGGATATGGGATTGGGATTCGTTGTTTCACTTATATAATTCCCCCCTACCTCCGGGTTGTGCTCCATGGCCGCCTCGTAGTTCTCATCGATATTGCGCTGCCGAATGGCCGCCTCGATCTTAGCCTGAGGGGGGGTGGAGGAGGGAGGCGGGTTTGGGTGGGTGGGTGGGGGAGGGTGGTAAGGGGCACATGCTCCGCAATACAAAGGAGAAGTCAGCTGCACCTATGTACCGGCAAACCTATCTTCCCAACGCCCTCCGCTGCCACCCCTCCCCCTCCCCTCCCCCTCCCCCCCCCCACCTGCAGCTCCGGGTTGAAGGGGTCCTCCTCCTGCAGCCGGTACAGCCGCTCCAGCTCCTCATTGGCCTCGTGCTGGGCCCTGGGGGGGAGGGAGGGGGGAGGGAGAGGGGAGGGGGGGGTGACGGTGCGTTACTGAGGGACACACCGAAGACGTGCGCACGGGCTCGCCATGCATGTAGCAATGTAGCAATTCCTCCCCCTCCCCCTCCCCCCCCTCCCCCCCCACCTGTGTGCCCTCCTCAGCTCCTCCTGCAGCGCCCCCACATCCCCCGCGCTGATGGCCTCGTGCAGCCGGGGCGCCTGAGCGCGGAAGGTGTCCATCAGATGCCGGTCGGACTTGAAGGCCTGGGGGGGGGAGGGGTGGAGGGGGGGTGCAGTTGGGGCCGCAGGAGGTCACTGTCTGGCCTTACCTGGTTGCTTGCCGGCAACCGCACTCCCCGATATTGCCGCCGACCTAACGCCAGCAGCAGCAGCAGCGATTGTAGTCGCAGGAAGTGGCGGCTGTGACCGCACCTCCCTTCCTCCTCACATGCTCATTCCTGCGCAATCCCTAACGCAATCCCCCCGCCCCCTAACCCCACCCCCTCCCTGCCGCACCTCTATGGCCGCTGCCGGGTTGACCAGGCTGCCGTCCGGGTTGCGCTGCATGAGCTGCTGCTGCTGCTGCTGGGAGGAGGAGGCGGGGCCCACCCCGGGGTGCGGGGGGTGGGGGGGCTGCTGCTGCCCGCCCCCTCCTGCTCCTCCTGCAGCCAGGTGGCGCGGCTGCACCAGGATGAGCATGTCACCCGCTTGGACGCCGGCGGAGGCGGGGGTTTGGCTGCGGGAGGGGAGGGGTATAACGAGGCAACTAAGAGCTGTATGACGAGAGGGGGGATGAGGGGGGGGTGAGGAGGCGGTGGGGTTGTGGGTATGGGCGGAAGCAGGAGGGGATGGTCAGACGGTAAAGGAGGAGGTGCATGTGGAGGGCGGAAGGGTGGGGGGTGCGAGCACTACGGATGGGAGGAGTTGGAGGAGGAAAAAAGAGTGTGGGTGCCAGCGGGCGTTTTGCACGTGGGGTCTACCTGTCTTGTAATGGCCGGTTGTTGTGGACAAGGACGAAGGATGTCGACGGCAGGCCGGTCTCCGCCTCGCAGATGGCATTAATGTCCTCGAACAGCGTGTTACCATCGATCTAGGAAGCGGGCCAGAGGAAAGAGAAGCAATACCAGACAGATGCTAAAGGCAGCGCCCAGGATGAGGGTGTTCGGGGTGTTGTTGTGCCACATCCATTCCGCCGAAGAGCAGCAGACGCGTTCGCTGGCCTCCCCTTGCCCACCTCAACAGGAAAGACGTGCTCCCCGTCGGGCGTAGTAATTGTAAGCTGCATTCTGTGTTAAATATAGGCCGAACGCGTGAACTGCTAGCGGATCTCCCGTAGCCTAACGTAAAGCAGCTCACACTTTAAAACGAAATGCAGCGCAGCGTATAATGTCAGTTAATACTGTTGTAAAATATCGGATAACATTGCTGGCCTGCGACCAGTCAAAACCCCACCCTAGGGATCGACCGCATCGTGCAATGTACGTCGTGCAGCGGTGCACCTTCATGGGTTGGTTTCAGTAGTTATGTGGGCTCCAGTATGTTCCAACTAGGCACTCCTGGTATCATGGAGCATAGTCCTATGCAACTAAAGCGTTCATTTTAACTTTGGTATCCTTGCGCTAACTGCCTTCCATAGCCCACCTTCAACTGTCGATTCCCCTACATTATGAAATAAATCACTGGCTAAAAACTGCATTTCTGTGCCTTTGAAATGACTACCGTGAGCTTGAGCGGTCCTGCGCCAGTTTTGCCGACCGGTGGACAGCAACAATTGAACAGCACACAAATGGAGACAAAAAGCGGGAACGCGTCGTCATCGCTGCTGGCAGCGACTGTTGCGCCTGCAGACCATGTCCTGACACTTGTCTCCAGCTGTGTAAGTTGCTTGCACGCTAAAATAGCTGTCTGGCATCTGCAAGCTTCGTTGTCATGTATTGCATGACGGGTTTCCTTAGCTGCCTTGTTCTCGTGGTCCGTTGTACTGTTGATCATGCGCCAAGGACTTTACAGACCCACTTAGCCCTTGAGCTCGTTAACGAGAATTATGCAACCTGCATGCACAACTTCATGCTATTGTTTTAGTACGCTACAACCCATTCCTTTGTACCCAACGCCCCTTCAAGTTCCTCCATGACGCCTATCCTTGCGCCCATTTTAGAACACGCACGCACGTAATCTTGCCGCCATCTCTCAGCATCCCCGCCCATCCATCATCCTTCTATCACATCCATGCCTTATATGCCCTCCGTGGCTCACGCATCTGCCGTACATGTCTACCTTGACATCGTACGCTTCACGCCCGTTTGCCGTACAGGTCGTTAACCAGCGCGCTTTCGCCAACACCTGCGGCATCCCGCTGGGAGCCCACCTGGATTTCCTTCCGCCCAGCGCCCTGGGGCTGCCGCAGGTGGCGCGCCCGCCCGCCCGCTGCAACAGCTGCTCCGCGTACATGAACGTGTACTGCAAGGTACGACATGGCATCAGGGATTGGGGTTGGAGGGGCGGCGTGGCGTCGGGGACGGCAGAGGAAAGAAGCTGGTCGGAATGTTGCTTTCACTCCCAAACTCTTGGCTTGCGGTCTCCACTTGCATCCTATCTCACACCCTTCCGCCCCTCTTTCCGCCTCCCCTCTTTCCGCCTCCCCTCTTTCCGCCTCCCCCCCTGCCGTCCCCCTCCCCAGACCAACCTGTCCAAGTGGGTGTGGCGGTGTGTGCTGTGCGGCTGCGTCAACATCAGCCGGGAGGCGCTGGGGGGCTCGGCGGAGGTGGCGGTGAGGAGGGGGGCTAATAGGGATACATACATATTCCGCATTATGCTGGATTCCAGGATTGCTTTGTAGTCCTCCTTAGCGGTGAGGAGGGGGAAGGGAGTAGGGTATGAGAGGTAACTGACGAACTGTATGACGGGTGGCCTGATGTGGCCCAGCCACACCTCCAAACCCCACTACCCCTGCTAAGACCTGCTGCCCCTCCCCTTCCCCTCCGCTACCCCTCCAGAGCTACCCCGAGCTGTGTTGTGAGGCGGTGGAGTACGTGGCGCCCGCCCCCCTCCTGCCGTACAGCTCCCTCCCCCCCGCTGCTGCCGTACACCCCCCGGCTCCCCCCGCCGCTGCCCCCCACCCCCACCTTGTGGTGGCGGTGGATACGAGCATGGACCCGCACGACCTGCAGGTGGGGTTGGGGGGTCAAAGACCACACATACCAAACCATAGGGAACCACGGGTTAGGGCAAAGCAATGGGGATAGTGGGAGGGGCTGGTGGTATATATAGCTGGTGGTATAGCTGGTGGTATAGGAGGGTAGGGCGCGGAGGGAGTGCGGCACATGCACGGCCCCTCACCGAACCCGGTCGTAGGGTTGCAGAGCCATGGCGGGAGGCAGCATTGCAGCCCCGTACTTCACCACTCGTCCTCCGCAACCCCCCTCTGCATGAACACCTAACCTCCCCTCCCTCTCCCCTCCCACCCCCCTCCTCCTCCTCAGATGGCCAAGGACGCCCTCCTCTCCACCCTGCTCTCCCCCTCCTCCCCCCTGCCGCCCTCCGCCCTCATCTCCCTCGTCACATTCGACGGTTGTGTTGCCGTACACAGCCTCGGCCCCAACCACCGCTGCTCCCACATCATTCCCGCGTCAGCAGCAGGAGGGGCGGCTACTGCCCCTGCTACAGCTACTAGCGGGGCGGCTACCAACGCCCCCGGTGCAGCAGCAGCTGCTGCTACCGCCAACTTGCCGTACAGTGACCTGCAGGTTGCCGTACAACAGCTGCTGGGGAAGTACTGCAGTGCTACCGCAGCAGCAGCAGCAGAGGCAGCTAGTGGTGGCAGTAGCGGCAGTAGTGGCAGCAGTAGCAGCAGCTGGGGTGGCGGCGGTGCGGGTGTGTTGGTGGGGGAGTTGTGCCGAGTGGGTCCGCAGCTGGGCAGGGTGGTGGGCAGCTGGCGCCCGCTGCAGGGGGAGCTGCCGGTGCGGGAGAGGGCAAGGTGAGGGGGGAGAAGAGAAAGGGTGGGGAGCTGGCCAGATGAAGGAGGGAGGAAAGCAAGGGGGGCTAAAGATCATTCCGAGCCATAGGAAACCACAGATTAGGGCAAAGCAGTGGGGATGGAAAGCGGCAGGGGGGGAAGGAATAGCGAAAACTACACTACAACCCCCGCCTTCCCCCTCTCGTCTCGGCCCCCCCCCGCTCCCCCCGACCTCCCCCAACAGGTGCCTCTGTACGGCAGTGGAGGTGTCCCTCCGCCTCATCGCCGCGCGAGCTGCCGCATGCGGGGCGCCGCACCCCGCCTCGGGCATGCAGGACGCCTGGGTGCAGCCCCCGCAACAGCACCAGCAGCATGGGGGGCAACAGCACTCCCAGCCCCCCCAGATGATGTACGGCAGTCGTGTTGTCGTGCTCGCGGGGGGCCCTGCCACACGGGGGCCGGGGGCGCTGCAGCTGGAGCTGCTGGACCTGGTGAGCGGGGAAGGGGGGCGAGGGGGATAAAGAGGGGGGGAGGTTTCGCTGGGTTAGTGTCATATGCATGTGTGGGTTCTACACCCCGCACCCTCTGCCCCGTTCATCTCTTTCATCTCTTTCCTAACACACCCCTCTCCTCCCCCTCCCTCCCCTCCTCCCCTCCTGCCCCCAGGCTGTCCCCGAGAAGGGTCGCAGCGCCGAGAGCCGCGCTGTTGCAGGGGCGCTGGATGCGGGGGCGGCGCTGGGGGCGCTGGGGGGGCGGCTGGGGGTGCCGGTAGACATCGTCATGGGTGAGGGGGAAAGGGTGGGGGGGAGGGGACATGTGGGGGGCGGTGGGGGCTGGGGAGGGAAGAAGGGGACGGTGTGGGGGGAGGGGAAGAGGGCGCATCCTTTCTTTCCTTGACTCCTCATCCCCATCTCTCACCACTCCCCCCCCTCCCCCCCTCCCCCCCTGTGTCCAGGCTGCTCCACGGGTATGAACGCGCCGCTGCTCACGGCCATCTCCCACCTCAGCGGCGGCGAGCTGATCACACAGCAGCACCTCCTGCAGCTAACGCAGCACCTGCACCCGCAGCAGCAGCAGGCTGGCGCCACCGCCTCTGCTGCATTCCAACCAGACGGCAGCAGCAGCAGCAGCAGTGGTTTTGGAAACACGTCGCTGCTGTGTCGTCAGCTGAGCGGGTGTCTGAGTCGCGTGTGGGGGTCAGGGGGGCGGCTGGACTGCTACTGCAGCGAGGGGCTGCGGCTGCTGCAGTGGCTGGGGCCGCTGGAGGCGCTGGTGAGGGGAGGGGAGGGGAGGCGGGAGGGGAGGGAGGGTGGGAGAGAGAGTGAGGAGGGGCCGGGCTTGCGGGCGGTCCTCTTTCGAGCTCGTTGAAGGCTATAATGAGGGCGCAGGGCCTACCTGCCTGCGCTAGTGCTGTACCGCTAGTGCTGTTGCTAGGTGCAGCACCCTCCCATCCAGCTTCCCTCCCATCCAGCTTCCCTCCCATCCAGCTTCCCTCCCATCCAGCTTCCCTCCCATCCAGCTTCCCTCGCAACCGCCCCTCCCCTGCCCTGCGGTCGGGATATGGGATTGGGACTCGTTGTTTCACTTATATAAATTTTTCCCCTGCCCTCCGCCCCCCTTCCCCCTCAGTCGGACCAAGATGACGTCCCCCACATCCCCGCCTCAGCGCCCCCCGCCGCCACCACCGCCACCACCGCCACCCCAGTAGCACCCACCCAGTCGGGACCCAGCGCCGCAGCAGCAGCAGCCGCGGCACCCTACGGCCACCCCCACCCCGCCGCCACCACTACCACCCCTCCTCCTGCACCGCCTCCCCCACCACCCCCACCCACCGCATCTGCCCCCTCCACGGACCCCAGGACCACCCCCCTGGGGGCCGCTGCTGCTGCTGCTGCTGCCGGCGGTGCCCCCACCCCCACCCCTCCTCCACCTACACCCAACCCCACCACCCCCGCCAGCCCCAGCAGCAGTCCCTGGCGTCTGTCCCCCACCGCCTGTGCGGTTGCGGGAGTGGAGGCGGGCCGGGGCGCCTCGCTGCGGCTGGAGGTGACTCGGGACCTGGAGGGGGTGCCCTCGCTGTTCCTGCAGGTGGGAGGGGAGGGGAGGGGAGGGGGGTAAGATGCGGGAAGTGGTAGGGGATAGGTTTGCCCCTTCCTCCGTTGCTTCCTGCTTTCCCTCTTCATAGCTTCCCCTCTTTCCAGCTTCCTTCTCTTTCCTTGCAACGTACAGCCTGGTGTGATCAACCCAAGTACCCAAATACACGTCGTCCCCCCCCTCGCCTCCTCCCCCGTCCTCCTCCTTTGCCCTTCCCCCCAGGTTGCCTTCCACTTCCTGGACCTGCGCTCCCGGCGTCAGGTGGTGCGGGTGGTGACTCGCCGGCTGGGGGTGGTGGAGAGCCGCGGGGAGTTCCTGCGGGGGGTGAACCCCACTGCGGCGGCGGCGCTGCTGGGCAGGCGGGCGGCACTGGAGGCGAAGAAGGCGGGGGCGTTCAGGTGATTGGGGTTGGGGAGAGGGGGCCGGGTGACGTCTGGAAGGGAGGAAGAAAGGAAGGATGTGGAGAGGGGTGCCCTGCCCTGCCCTGCCCTGCCCTTATTTTGCCCTCACCCAGTCATCGCTGCCCTGACTGACAACCTGGTCCGCCCCTACCACCACCCAACCCCCGCCCCCCAGGGACGCCCGGCGCGCGGAGGAGGCCCGCCTGTCCCTGGCGGCCCAGCTGGGGTTGGTGGCGGCTCGGTGCGGCAGGGAGGTGCAGGTGAGGGGGTGGCGGGAAAGGGGTGGGAGGGGTGGGGTGGGAGGTCGGGGTGGGTAAAAAGAAGGAAAACTGACGAGGTCGGGGTGGGGTGGGAGGCAGGGGCACGCAGCTGGGCTTGGAGGGGGGTCGGGGGGTCGGGGACACATTGGTGGCGCTGGTGTCGGGTATGTGCACGGCCGGGGAGGGGAGCGCACATGCGGCGAGGATGTGTGCCGTCCTTACCTTGCGGAGACATCTGGGGACACATCCCTTCCTTGCTCCTACGGTACCTCTTCACCCTTCCCTTCCGCCCTCTCCCCCTCTCCCTCCCCTCCCGTCACAGACCTCCCGCGGTGTGCTGGGCTTCGGCGCCCGCAAGGCCCACCAGTGGCCCCCCGAGCTCATGCCGCTCGCATACGCCCTCTACCACCTCGCACGGGGGCCCATCCTAGCCCCCCCGCGCTCCCCCGCCGCCGCCGCCGCCACCGGGCTGCTCTCCCCCGCCGCCGCCGCCCTCCTCTCAGCCGGTGCCCACCCGCACCAACACGCGCTCTGGGACTGCGACCTGCGCCTGACCGCCAGCAACGCCTTGCTCCGGTCGGCGTGGGGGGACGCCTACCGGGCCATGGCGCCCAAGTTGTTTGCAGTACTGCCACAGCAGCAGCAGCAACAGCCATTGGATGGCGCCAGTACGGCAGCAGCAGCGGGGGTTGGTAATGTCGTACAGTTGGCAGCGTTGCCGTGTGTGAGCCTGGCGGCAGTGATGGCACGTACCGTACCGTTGCTGCTTGACGTGGGGACCGCCGTACTGGTTAGTCCTACGGAGGAGCCCTCACCGGGGGGGGATGGCAGGGGTAGCAGCGGTGGTGGTGGTGGTGGTGGTGGTGAGCTGACGGCGGCTCTGATTGACGCAGCGCTGCAGGCCGCCTCCGCGGGCTCCCTGTGCGGTCGCTTCCCGGTTCCCGCTGTCGTACTGACGCCCCATGCGCAGACTGGCCGGGGTGCGCTGGCTGCCCGGCTGATTCCCGTGCACCGGGACGGGTACGAGGAGCAGGCGCTGCAGCAGCCGCAGCTGCAGCAGCTGGGACCGCAGGTGGCGGAGCAGCTGTCGAAGCAGCTGAGGGAGGGGGCGGCGGTGGAGGTGGGGGGGCTGCCGCCGGCGGTGGCGAAGCAGGCGGCGGCGGTGGCGGGTGCGAGCTTTGTGGAGTGGTGTCGGTGTGTGAATGTGCAGCCCTTTCCGGTGAAGGTTTAGTGCGGGGTGTTTGGACGGAAGGGGGGGAGGGAGAGGGTGCGTGGAAGGGGGGGGGTATGTGCTTTGGGGTACGGAGGGGTGTGGTGGGTAATGGGTTGGTGCAAGGTGTTGGGGTTTAAGCGTTGCTATCACAGTGGGTGTGAGTACACATGTCTACTGCTGTGTTGAGAACTTGGGATTCAGTCGCAAACTTGCTTTTGTGGGTCTCTTGCCCCTCTTTGCTGGGCTCGTTGATACAGCTTCTGGTTGTGGGGTTACGACGGGGGACAGGATACGGTACGGTATGGTACGGCATATGTTGCGTCAGTAGTCCCTTCGTCACAGCGGGTGTTCTTGTGTGAATCCCCTCTGCAAACTGTGGTTCCACTCAAGGAAACATTACACGTAGAGGACTGGCGATGTATGTTTGTGGGTGGTGCCGTACCGATACAGAATGGTGGTGTGGGGCTGCTGCGTGCCGGCTACTGGTGCGACCCTCGATACGGTACGACCTTCTGTACCTGTACGTCATTGGGAGCGTGATTGATAGCGTCTGGTACCACCCCGGGCGGCGCTGCATCTGCGCAACACATCACATCACAGCGCTGTACGGAGCCGGCATGGCATGACATCTTTTGACATGACATGGGGTTGTCATCATCGTGGATATCAGGAGATGTGACTGCCCGCGTGTGCACACAGCATTACTGCTGGGCTGCAGCCCCTAAACAGATACACGTAATACACGGCTGTGAACTGCGGCACCCGATCACACACACATCGGCAACCACAGTACGTTCCAACTCGCGGCCAGTTTTCTTAACACACATGCACAGAAGCCGCCACGCCACGCTTCAGCAGCAGCAGCACACGGCGGACATCGCGGCTTCAGCAGTGGCCCACATACCCGCACTGGTAACGCTCGCGCATGACTTCACATATGTACCCAACACATACACACACGCACACAGCTTTTGTCAATCCAGAGGTCAGTGGTGTCAGTTTCGCGGCCAGTTGATTACCGGGTACACACCCAGCCACGTACAAGTTCCAGCAGTCACAATACGTTCCGACTCGCGCCCAGTTTCCTTAGCGCACAGCGTGGGCTTCTTTCCTGGTAAGATCCCTCTTCTTCCAAAACTCGTTAACAGGTAACACCCAGCCATGAGCCATCAAGCACATTCGAGTCACGCAGGTGCACACACGTACCACGTGCCATCAGCGCGTCCACACGCATGCCTCAACACACGGGCACCCAACCAACCATATAGTGCAACCCAAGCTTGGAACCCACCAGAGGCATGAATGCATAAACCCCCAATAACCACATGAAGACATGATGCAAAAGCTTCAGTGGTTCAACACCTTGCAACCGTAGCAGCAGCATTCACAAAGCTCCTGCGGCTCTGCCGGTGTCCACATAGCCGGCGTATGCCCATCGAACAGGAGCCATCCACCCATGCATCCATCAATCCAAGGAGTTTGTAGGAATAAGGATTCAAACAGGTGCAGCGCAGCCGCCCGCCGCCTCCCCTGCATGGTGCTTCACGTGTTCTTTATCACCCCCTGCCCTCGCCTGCCTTCACAAACAGGGGAGGCCAGCGGGGGAAAGCACGAGAACACACACGCACGTGTTCAGTCGCTGCCACATTTCTGCAACACACCTATTGAAGCGAACAAAAGCAGCACGCCTATGCAAAGGAGGCTTGACTGCAAATAACAGCCAAAGTAGAAGTTCAAAAGCCGGGATCACCGTACAACAGATCCCACTGCTGTGTAGCAATCGACGAGGGATGTATGCAACACGTAAGGGCAGAGCACGCAAGCAACCCAAGAACGTTAGGTGGTGGTCACAGCTCCCACCGCTTGTTGCCCAACTAGCCGCGCAGAGGTCAACCAAGCAAGCAGCCAAGGTAGGTCGCCTTCACAGTTCCGCTCCTCTCCCTGCATCCTCCCGCCCCTCTTCCCCCCCACACACATTCAGTGCCGGTAAGCGTCTGTTCATTGTCATAAGCGTATGGAAAGCAAGATAAGCACACAGTCCTACCAACCAATCCCTTCCGAGCAAAGTATGAACCACCACCACCATTACCATGACCATTTCACCTTGATACTTGCCTTCTTTATCTATTTTTAACATGTAGGTATGAAGATATACGGTGCCCCAGCCATCGCGGCGCATCACTGCTAACATCAAATACCCCCATGAACCGCCTGCTCTTACCAGCAGCCACTGTCATGCGTATATACAACATCATCCATCCTCCTCCATTACAGCCTCCTTCAAGCCAGCCAAGCAATCCAGGCCGCCAACGCTCCCACAAGCTCTTCACACGTCCTGCACGCCCCACTCCCGCACCCGCACTTGCATGCATGCATGGACCCCCCCCCGCGCGCCCGACTCCCTGCGCCCTCCTGGCATCTGGGCCCCCCTCCGCCCCCGCCACCAGCCTCCCGCGCGACCCAGCGCAACCGCCTACGTGCCCCCCCCTGCTGCCCCAACCCCCGCTGGGTCGGGTCGGCAACCATCCGGCGCATCCTTCCAAGGTTGCCGATGCAGCTCGTGTCACACAGTTGCAGTCATCTCCTTCCTCTTCCTCATTCCCATCACCCCGCCCCCACCACACCACACACTCCCCCCACTACAGCAGGTACCCAGGCAGCACCCAAGGGGCGCCCGCGCCCGCCCCCGCCCGGGCCGCCGCCAGGGCCGCGTAGCCCGCCGCTGCCGCCGCCCGGTTGCGGGGCCGCTCGCGCTGCAGCCCCTCTTCCAGCTGCTGCAGCTGCGAGACCACCTGGGGGGTGTTTGGGGGGGGGATGGGGATGGGGGATGTGGATGGGGGAGCCGGGGCGGATGAGGATGGGGATGAGGATTAGAGCAACACTGAGCCGCATGTACGCACCTCTCTAACCCAACAGTTTCTTCACCTCCTTACGCCACCCTCCCCAACCCGCCCCGCCCTCCCACCTGCTCCATGCCCGGCCTCTGCAGCGGGTCGGCGCTCACGCACGCCTCGTACAGCGGCCGCAGATGCGGGTGGGCGCCCGAGCTCCAAGGGGGCGCCACCGGGGTCAGCAAGGATCCTGGCGATGGCAGCGGGCCCACCACCGCCGCCTCCGCCGGCCAGGTCTCCCCAGTCGCCAGCACCCACAGCAACACACCGAACGACCAAACGTCCCCTGCGGGCCCGGCACCCGCCGCCGGGACCCCAGCCGCCGCCGCTGCGGTTGTCGATGCGGGCGGCGGCGGCGGCGCAACGCGCGCCTCCGGAGCAATGTACGGCAGGTCCTCGGGTCGCACGGAGAGTTGTACGGCAAGTGCTGCGGCTTTGGTTTCCGTCGGCACTGCCGCCGCTGTCGGCAGCAACAGTGGCGTCGCCGTCACCGGAGGTGCTGCTGATGCTGCTGCCGCGGTGGTCCAGGCGCCCACCCTGGGTTGCGGAGGTGGGGGTGCGCCTGCTGCTGCAGCTGCTGGGTTGCATGCGGGATGGTGCTGCTGCTGCTGAGGGTGGTGGTGGTGGTGGCTAGCTTGTTGCGTGGCAGCGGTACCGTGGTCGTCGAAACTGGCGAGGACGAGCACCTCCTGCTCCTGCTCCTGCTGCGGGGTGCTGGAGCGGGCAGGGGCGAGGAAGGCCCGAATGGGGTCTCCGACGGCGGCAGCGGCCGGGTTCTTATTGTTGCCCTTGTTGTTGTGGTTGTCGTGGTGGTGTATATTGTTGTGGTGGTGTTGGTTACTATTGCCCGCATGCATGCGAGCAGCACAGTTCAAGCTGGCATTCTCGTTGTGCTCGTTGGGGTCACCGCTGTCGCGGGTCGCAGTGGTGTGCAGCCCAGCAGTGGCAGCAGGCGGTGGTGCTGGGGATGATGCCGAGGGTGGCGGTGGCAGCAGCGGGGCGGCTGCTGGGGCTGCTGGGTGCTGCGGTGCACTGCAGCTGTGCGGCTGTTGGGAGGGGTGCTGCTGGGGGTGGGGGTGGGGGTTGTGGGGGTGCGGATGCTGCTGGTTGGTGCAGTTGTGGTGGTGCGGGGCGGAGGGGGCGGTACGGCAGCCCAGCTGCAGGGTGCTGGCGGTGAGGGACGTGTCCGAGAGCTGTCGCATGTGGGGAGGAGAAGGACAGGGGAGAGGGAGGGGTGAGGCGAAGTCGGTCGCGTTGTGTATTGCATACTGGTACATGCAACCTAGTTATTCGTAAGGCTGCAGCCTAACGCAGGTGGCTGGAGGAGCTTCATGTACATGTAGGAGCTTTTACTTGGGGCAGCTATAAGCCGGTAACCTACCGGTATTACTGAGGTCAAACGAAGGGGTGCGGAGGCGTACCCACTATGTCTCGTACACCGTACGTACGGCCTATGCCTGGGACCCCCTCCCCTACCCTTCCACCAAGCCCCGCTGCCCCTCCCTCTACCTTGACACAGAAGTTCCTGCGGTCCCGCAGCGCCGGCAGTAGCATCACATTGCTGGGTCGCACCGACCCGTGGGTCACCCCCAGGCTGCAGTGCAGGTGCCGCAGCGCGGACGCCACCTCCAGCGCGGTTCGCAGCAGTGCGCGGCGGGCCAGGTAGGCGGGCCAGGAGCGGTTGGGGCGGAAGGGCGAGTAGGGGGCGCGAGTGAGGGGGTCCAGGGAACCCTGTGGGCGGTGGGTGGGTCGGTGGGTAAGGAAAGGAGTGAGGCATCAGGAGATGACCAGAAGCACCTGCATGCATGCATGCATGCTTGCTTGCAACCAGGACCCTCAGAGGAGTTCCCGCGGTCGCGTGGGAAGGCACAGCAGGCGGCTCCTCGTAAAGGCAGCTCCTGCCTGATGCCCCCCCCACCACCACAACAACAACGATATCACCCCCTGCCCTCAACCACCCCCTGGCGCCTGAACCCTCACGCTGTCCTCACCATGCTGGCTTCCTCCATCACCACCGCCAGCACGCCCTCCCCCGGCCGCAGCCGCAGCGCCGCCAGCGCAGCCGCAGCCGCACCCCCCAGGTCGGAGCCGCCCAGCCCGCCGCCGCAAGGGCTGCCGCTCCCTCCCCCGCCGCCCAGCCCGCCATTCATGCCGCCGCCGCTGCCGCCAGCAGTAGCAGCAGGTGCGCCGGTATCACCAACTGCGAAGCGACCCTCGGTCCTTGCCTTACTACACTCAGCGATTGAGGCAACAGCAGAGGCGACGCCAGTAGCAGCAGCAGCAGCAATAGCAGTAGTAGCAGTGGCGGCGGCAGTAGCCGGGGTGGCGGCGGGCAGCAGCCGTACTCCGTACACTCGCATCATGCAGGGGTGTACGGCAGCTGCCGCTGTCAGCGCCGCCCCCAGTGCCGTGTTGCGCGCGTCCAGCCCGGGACCTGCCAGCAGCTTTACGACCGCTGGACCGCCCTGGAAGCGACCTGGGGAGCAGGGGTGGGGTGGGGAACAGGTAGCGAGAGGGCGAGAGGGCGATGGGCAAAAGGTCGCATTCAGACGCGTCACAGCAACCCAGCAATACGGACACGTGACCATGCCGACCCGACCCCACTCCAGCCACCAGCCACCCGGTCAGCTGCACCTCTTTTCACCCCACCCCGCTCCCTCCCCTTCCCTCCCCGCTCAGCTGCGCTCACCTTTCAGAACCACACTGCGGAAGCTGCCGCCGCCTCCGCCACCCGCCCCCGCCCCCGCCACCCAGCTGCCCACCGCAGCAGCGGGGTGCGGCTTTGCAGGCGGGTGTGGGCCCCCCTGCAGGGCCGGCCTGCCATTGGCCACCACGTGGTGGGGGCCGCCTTGGTTCCTCATGCGGATGAGGGGCTGACCGCCGCCCGGAGGAGCAGCCTCCCGCAGGCCATTGCGCTTGGATTGCGGGTAGAACGCCGGCCGCGACGGCTCATCTTCTCCGTTTCTTGCTCCGCTCTTCCTCCCTCCAACCCCTCGTCCCTCCCGTTCATCATTATCACCATTATCCTCGCCGCTGCAGGGTAGCAACGGTCTTAGCTCCGAAACCCCGTCTAGCAGCTCACGCAAGGAATGGCACAACCAGAGCTCCAGGGGTTCCCCGGGGGCCACAGGGACGCTGCCGCCCTCATGGTGGCGGCTGTCGTACAACACGGAGTTGTCGTACTGCCGTACGGTGGGTGCTCCGCCGTACCATGAGGACGAGCGGTGCGGAGTGGCCCGCGGGCGCCTCTGCTGTTGTGGTTGCTGCTGCTGTGGTTGCTGTTGCTGGTGTTGCTGCGGCGGCGGCAGTGGTTGCTGCTGCTGCTGTGGCAGCGGCAGCGGCAGTGGTTGTTCCTGGACACACTGCGGTTGTGCTTGGCTCGCGGATGCCAGGTCCGGCAGCCCCGGCACTGCGGGTCTTCGTGTCGCGACCTCGGGCGGCGGTCCAGTCGCAGTCTGTTGGTTCTGCACATTCACAGTGCGGTGGTGAGCGTGCGCGTTTACGTGGTCGTGAAGCGGCGGCGCGAGCGGCGACAGAGGCAGGGGCTGGTTGTGGCCTGGCTTCGGGGCGGCAGGAGGAGGGGCGGCGCTGGCAGGGGCGGCAGGCGGGGTGCTTGGGCTCCCATTCGGCGTGGGAAGGAGCCCGCATGTAGCCGCAACCGCCGCTGCTTGTGATGCAGCAGCCACCGCTGCCGCCTCCGCCTCCGCCGCTGCTGGGGTATCCGCCGGCGCCTCCGTCGGCCCTGCCGCCGCTACCGCGGGCGCTGCTGTTGGAGAGGCGTCAGACTGCCTCGGCCGAAACGATGCATCTAGGGCCGCTGACAGCACCTCTGGGATGGTTCTCAGGACCCGGCCTCCGCCTCCGCCGCTGGTGCCGCAGCCTCCGCTACCCAGGGCACTGCTAGCGATGCTGCTTGGGAAGGGCTGCGGATGGGAAAGCTGGTTGTGGCCTTGGTGAGGCTTCTGCTGTTGTGTCGACGTCGGCACGCGGGGCGGCTGCAAATGGCCCGGCGGGTTCCATAAGCTTTGCAGACACAAACCGCCTTCCCCGTCTCCCTCCGCTGCGCCCCCGCCCCCGCCTTCGCCTCCGCCGCCCCCTGTCGTGCTTCCGTGCGCCGAGGAGGGCGGCAGCACAAGCTGATAACGGGGAGGCGACGCCTCCGCACCCTGCCTTTGCAAGGCCGCCGGTCCCTGCTCCGTCGCCCCGAACCGTGACGGCGTGCCCCCCGCGCTGCTGTACGGCATCAGCCACAGCGGCGGCAAACCGCACGTTGTCGTACCCGCCGCCACGTCAGCAGCCGGCTCCAGCGGCGGAAAGCCATCGCCGTTCCAAGCGCCAGCGCCTGCATTGGAATCCTTTCCAAACACCGGCGCCGCCGCCGCTGCGGGCTGCTCCTCCGAAACCATGTGTAGGGTCGCAGTGCTGCCTCTCGCCTCCGCGGCGACGATGAGGACGCTGGACTCGCCGCCCACTCCGCCGCCGCCAGTGGTTACCCGCGAGGGGCCGTCGCCGCCGCCGTCAGTCGCCGCAGCACTCGCCTTCGCCTTCGCCGCCGCCGTCGATCCCGCCGCCGCCGGCGCGCCATTGGGCGCCGTACGAGCGGCATCCGCTGCTTGGAGCAGCAGCAGCATCCAGTGACGGTTGCGGCTGGGCGTAGGGCTGAGCAGCCTGCATGGCTGCCGAGCTAGCCGTGGGCTGGGACCGGCGCCGACGGCGGTGTGAAAGTCTGGGGAGACGTTCAGGGAGAAGGCTGGGGACGCTGCCGCTGCCGCTCCTCCTGTGGCGGTGCCGCCGCCGGAGCCCCAGGGCGGTTCCAAGCTGCCCAGGTACTTCCGTTCGGGACGCAGCTGTTGTGCATTGAAGGAAAGCGGCACAGCAGCCCCAGCAGCAGGCGGCCCTGCGGTGCCCGTTATGGTGCCGCTGTGGGGGAAGTGTGCGTTCAGGCCGATGGAGAGGTGCGACATGTAGCGGTTGCTGTTGGCGGATTGAAGCTGGCGAAAGGTGGAGAGCTGGGAGGGCGGGCAGGGCGGTGGAAGGGAGGAGGAGGAGAGGGAAGCAGAAGAAGGGTGAATGGGGTAGGTGATTCAGAGGTGAGGCGGACTGTTAGGGAGGCAAATTACGTGGTCTGGGACGCGGGCAGTCAAGGAGAAGCGGATGAACATGGAGGTAAGCACGGCGGTGGTCGTCCGGCTGCCAACCCCGCTTACCTCGGCGTCGGCCTTCAACCGAATTTGCATGGACAGCAGGAGCGATTCGCAGAATTCGCCTAGCTCATTAGTAGAAGCCCGTGGCTCGGGTTCGACTAGTAAAATGGGCGACAGCGGTGCCATTGCTTGCTTTGGAGCCGGCACCCAAGCCTCCTCCGAGGTTGACCCCATGTACTCAATAGGCACTGAGACAGATGCTAAGCGCCGGGGCGCTGCAGGCATTGCACGATCCGGTCTCGCTGGGCTTAGGGCGGTTGGGCCGGTTGCAGTTGAGCTGAGTGCGTTCGATGGAGTTAGAGACCTAAGCCTCTCCACCTTAGTAGACTCATCAGTTCCCGTAGAGACGCAGGTCCGTTCATGGCTTTCAGCGATTTCGACTGGATTAGCGGACGAAATGTCGTTGCCGTTGGCGCTTCTAACTTTTAGGACGTCATCCACATCCAGGAAGTTGGCAGGTGGTGAAGCAGCCCAAGCCTCTGCGACGCTCCCTGTGCGCACTGACGGGCTGCAGGGTTGTGAAAGGGACTTGACCTTGATGTCACTGGTGCTCCAGTGAGGTTGCGATAACGGATAAAGCTTTCCGCTTGCGCTGTCATCCACAGCAGATGTCCGCCCAAAGCCAAAGCAGCGAGCAAGGAAGGCCATTGCTGTCGCTGGGTAACGGGCAACTTGTGTAAGCTCCCTCCCCGCTAAGTGTACGTAAGCATTATGTCATGTCGCGTATCCTAAGCTCTATACATATGGTTTTTCAGATACGTACACAAAAGTCGGCTTTGCTAAGTCACAATTGTAACTCGAATGTTACTATGTCTGTGTTAGCAACCCGTCAAAAGCCGATAGTGCTGTGTTCCTCAACATACATACAATTCGTCAACGTAAGTGGACGCAAAATGGCGTTGCTGTACGAGGATCGGATTGCGGGTATTGCATGTCCAGAATCCAAACAGGTCGCTAAAAGCCGCATATTTTGGATGTGAGTGGCTTAATAGAATTATACAAGAATCAATTAGGACCTTCAGGCAGCTAGGGCAGTCGTACACTCCTGTACTGAGTGGTTATAATATGTACCGTTCGACGCGGTCCGTGAGCCTCCTGGCTCGTCTGGGCCTTACGAGCCTCTAGCTTGTAATTAGCATCATCATCAATCTCATCATCATCGCCGTTCGACAAGACCACCACACGCTCGCCGCACAACCCAAGCGTTAAACCGCGTATCCTTGTATGGGACGCTTCATCTGCATGGAAACAGCGGGGTTGGGGGTCTGTTCACATGCTTCGTATGTGTCTCTTGTTGGATTGCAATCCTCCCTTGTTGGGTATCTAGTGCACGGCTCACCCTACAGACCGAACGCGTTTCCTCGATTGCCTGTCGTTCAGCAAAAATGCTCTCCATACCCGTGCGTTGGCTGCCCCTTCTGAGCACCGGCACCTCCCTCGACGCAAGGGTGTACCACGGCTCGTGTTGGCGCATTGCTTTCGCAGGACGTTGAACTTGAACACCAACCAGGCATCAGGCTTCTGACATGTGGCGCAGCGCCCCAGGCACAAGGCACGCGGTGTTGCGCGTTGCAAGCGACATCGCCCAACCCGTGCCAGACGCCCGGCAGGGGGGCGTCATGGGCCCGTCCATGGCGCGTGATGGCGTGATGGAGCCCCTAAGGCTTCTGCTTCTGGGTGAGCAGAAGCCTTAGGGGCTCCTAGCGCCTGTATCTCGCTGTTTGTGAGCAATGGCTCCGCTTCAAATGCGTGAGCGTCCTAAGAATATCCTACATCTGCCGTACAGCAGCATGCTGGGATGCACGACAGTGCACAGCCGTTGGTCTTGGTGTGCATCAAAGCAATGATTGTATATGCCACAGCGATATTTGCCACAATGGACGTAGCTTACGGTGCCGGCCCCGTCAGGGTAGCATTGGCAGGGCTGGACTGAGCAGGAACTCTGAGCATCTCGTGCTTCCGCGGCTTTCAATTGCTTGACCAAGAAATGGAACTCTTTTATAGATACTCTTTTAGAGTCATAGCTGCTTTGGTAGCGGTGCTGGCTATCGAGTATGGAATTGTTCATCGCATTTCCCTCGACGCCATGAAGCGCAGCGATGTTGGACTTTCTCAGTGGAGGCATCTCGTCCCAAATTGCAACTGCACTGACTGTAAGTAGTACCCGACTCCCTTGTCACCCCGTTCACTCGGCATACTGTAGGTGTGTTTACTGAAGCCCTTTGCCATGGCGTTATAATAAAAGCATCGGGGTTGACTGACTTTAAAGAATGCTCAAGGCAACCTGAAGCGGTGCAGCTCTTAGTTGGGCACGTTGCAACATGCCTGGCGTTGACCCATGTCATGCGCGTTTTTCGCGCTGTGAAGGATAGATAACAGGGAGTAGCATATGCTCCTAATACGTCTGCCCTCTACCCTTCCACCTGATTTCCCGCCTTGCACAGGCGATGTGCAAACATGGACGCTTATCCATGATGGCCTCTACCAGCGGGCCTACTCTGCACATCTATTGCACCGGGTTCTCGCAATCAGTTCAGAGGACGGAGATCCTTATGAGGCGTTTGAACCATCGACTGACGACATAACTGACGCGGAGGGGGCCGCTGACGGTTCACCCAGCGATGCTAATGCCTCGTCAACAGGCCTCGTGCCCTCGCCCGCCGAAAGCCCCGGCGTACCCTACGCGTACGCCCCAGGCGATATGCTGTCCACGCCTCTTTCCATACTATCAACCGACGAGCTCCACGCATCCACCAACGGTGGCCATGCCGGCGTGCCTGCTCTGCTCGCACCCCCAACTAGCTCCGAATCCCAAACCCCGCAGCCCCTGCAACAACCAACATCCTCCGCATCATCATCCTCGCAGCAGCAGCAGCAGCGTGCCTACACCAGCGGCACCGGGCCCTCCGAGGCAGCAGACGCGCAGGGCTCCCCCCGGCTGCTGCAGGCCGTCGTATGGCAGCACGGCAAGGTGCTCTCGCTCTTCCCCTGGCAGCTCCGATCGCACTTCTTCCTGTCCCTCACCTCCACCCGCTTGTACCTGCTCATGGGGCTCTGGCCGCGCACACCCGCGGTAGTGGCGGCCGCACCCAGGCGCCTGCGCCAGCAGTACCAGCAACCCCAGCAACCCCAGCAGCAGCAGTCGCACGGGACTACGCCACCATCCGCTGCATTTCCTGGCAGCCCCGGCGGCGCTACAGCAGCAGCGGCAGCAGCGGCAGCAGCAACGCAGCACTCTGGCCACCATCAGGCCATGCATGCGACGGGGGCGGCGCTGAACCCGCCGTACGGCAGCGGCGGCAGCAGCCCGTACGGCAGCAACAGTGGTGCTGGCTCGTCAGGAGGAGGCGTGTACGACAGCACCGTGCATCCACACCCGCATGCTCAGGCTCAGGCGACAGCGCATGCCTACGCGCAGCAGTACGCCGTCACGCATGGAGGAGGAGCGTACGACGGGAACATGTACGGCGGGTTGTACGGATTGGGTCGTACGGCAATGGACGAGAGCCAGAGCCTGGCTGCGGCGCTTGCTGCCATGGGTCGCGGCGTGCCTGTGTTCCTGCCGCCGGAGATGCTTGTGGAGCACGGAGTGACGGTGCGTGTGTGTGGGGGGGGCGTGAGGGGTGGTGGGGGCGGGGCGTGCAGATGCATGTGTGTAAAGAGGAGGAAACTAGCTGACTGTGCGACTTGGAGGCTGCACCATGGGTTGCATCATGCTGGACCGGGCGGGGGCCATGAGTGAAGGAGGAGTGAAGAAGGGGTTGGCACGGGGGTGATATTGCGGGGGGGCCGTGTATGACGAGCGATGAGGCCCGCTGCGAGCCCTCTCAGTGCTGGTGAACCATCCGCGCGCATGCGGCGCCCGCCCCTCCTCCCTGCCCCGCCCCGCAGGAGGACCTGATGGCCAGCTGCGTGTTCAAGCCAGCTGTACGACATACACCTGGGGGCGGCGGTGCGGCCGGAGGCGGCGGCGGCGGTGGCGGCGATGGAGGCGGTGCGGGCCTAGGTACGGCAGGCGCGCGGGGAGCAGTACGGGTGGGAAAAAATGCACAATTAATGTTGGATGCGTTGCCCTGCCTGATCCTTGGACGTGAAAGCCTATGCTGCGCCTAAGCCACACTGTGTCAACGCGCCGCTGTCCCCCTCATCCTGGCCCCTCCCCTCCTCTTCCCTCGTATTCCCTGCCCCGCTGCCAGGTCGGCCCGGGGTGTCCCGCTGGCGCGAGTGGCCCTCCCTGCTGGGCCGCTGGGTGGCGCGGGTGGCGGGGCACATCGCGCAGCAGGGCGGCAGAGCGGCCGCGAAGCTGCGGGGCGGCGGCAGCGGACCACTGACCGCCGCCGAACTTGCCGCAGGGAGCGCTGATAGCGAGGTGCTGGACACTAGCAGCGGCTCAATGGGAGCTCCCTCTCCCCCGCCGCCGTCGCAGCAGCAACAACAACAACAACAACAACAGCAGCAACCTGGCGCGGCCAGCGCAACCACTTCCGCCTCCTCCACGTCGTCACCGCAACCTCCGCCTCCGCAGCATGCCTACGTGGAGTGCCGGCTGTACCGCACCGACCGCCCTCGCAACGTGTCGTACACCTGCCCCGCCGTACTCACCGTCCTTCCATCTCCACCTCGCAGCGGTGTGGGCTCGCGCTTGTTGCGCACGTTTGGAGGCATCGGCGGCGGCGGCGGTGGCGGCAGTAGTAGCAGCGGCCCCGCTGTTACTGCTTCTGCTGCTGCATCTGGTGCTGCTGCATCACCAGGCGGATATTATCAGCAGCAGCACAATCCCCACCAGCAGCCGCCCTCACGACCGCAGCAGCAGCAGCAGCGGCCACGTCACCACCACCAGCAACCGCAGCGGCTGCTACGGCGGCTTTGGTCGGACGCACGCTACCTGGTGACATGCGCCCTGGTGCCGTACAAGTGGGCTCCCATCCTGGCCGGCCTGCTGAGTCCGCACTTCTTCCTGCTGGCGTGTCTGCCGGCGGTTCGGGCGCTGGGGCTGATGGGTCCCTTCACGGTCCGGCTGTGCGCCTACCATGCAGTATGTAAGTAGGGTTGCATGGTGGTTTGGTGGCTTGATGCGGTGGGGGGTTTAAGGAGATAGTACACCGGACACCCGATGTCTGCGCCGTGCAGCCCTTCCTCCTTGAAACCCTTCTACCCCCCCCCCCCCCTCCTCGGGTTCAGACCAGCAGCCGCCCCCACTTGACTTTTGCCAACCCCCTCCCCATCCCACTCCCTAACCCCCCTCTCTCCTCCCCACCGGTGTCAGGTATCCTGCTGACCGCTGCGGACCACCTGCTGCTGCTGCGCCTGGCCGCCGAGCTGTTGACCCGGCTGCGGCGCAGGCAGCAACAGCCGTTGCAGCTGCAGCAGCAGCAGCTGGGGCAGGAGGGAGCAGCAGCGGCGGGTAATGGCGGCGGTGGGGGTGGTGCCGGGAGGCGGCAGCAGCGGTTGCGGCCGGTGTTGCGGTACGGCAAGTGGCTGCTGGTGGACGGATTCATATCCAGCGGCTGGGGATTCAGGTGAGGGGGCGGTGGCGGAGGTGACGACCCGCGGGTCGGTCAGTGCCTGCGGGTTGTTTTAAGGACGCATGGTGTGACACATGTCAGTCTACCGCTCGGGGATAACCTTGCATGCAACCCTCCTACTTCCTGCGTCCCTCCTCCGCATTTACCTTCCTCCTCCCTGCTCCTCCCACTGCCTCCCCCCTCCACCTCCCCCCTCTCCTCCCGCCGCCAGGGTGGTTGTGATGGGTATCCTGGCCTCCAAGCAGGTGGAGCTCTGGAACCACCTGTACGGCACCTCCTTCCAGCCGCACCCGCTGCTGTCGGCGGTGCTGGTGCTGCCGGTGGGCTGGCTGGCGGCGTGCGGCGGGTGCAGCGCGGTGTGGCGGCTGGCGTGCGGGGGACAGCCCACCTCGGGGCCGCTGCTGCTGTTCCAGGTGGGGAAAGAAGAATACCAACCCAGTGTGTTGCGTGACAATACTGTTTCACCTGCTGTTTCGGGTGGGGGGAGGGTGGAGCACCGGAGAGGAGGCGGCAAGCGGGGAGGGAAAAGGAAGGGAAGTAACTAATGCGTACAACGACAGAGGGAAGGGGGTGGGGGGGGGAGGCCGGAAAAGCGGGCTTGGGTACGAACGGTGGGCTTGGGTGGGGCTGGCGGCAAAGATGATGGTTGGAGGAGGGAACCAAGCCTGCCCCACCCCATACCCTCCTCCCCTCGCCGCGCAGGAGGGCTTCCTGTCCGGCCTCTCCTCGCCCCTCTACTCCCTCGTCTACATCTCCTTCGCGGTGCTGGGGCTGGGGCTGAACGGCGGTGGAGGCGGCGGTGGGGGCGGCGGCGGCGGCGGGGGGCTGCTGGGGTTGGCTGCCGGGGGCCGGCTGCTGCCGCTGTGGGTTGCGGACACGCTGTTCGTGACGCCGCTGCTGGCGGTGGTGACGCTGGATGTGCTGTGGAACATGGATGCGGCGGCGCGGGCTACTCCACTGCTGCAAGTGGTGGGTGGTGGGAGGGGTGACTAGATGAGGGGGAAGAGGAAGGCATGGAGTGAAGGAGGGAACGCATGGGGGGTAATCACGAGGGCATGCGGGCTCGGGTGCTAGGCTTGTCACCGGCGGCGGCGAGCTCTCACCCCAGTTGACTCGTCGTGTCCTACGCTCCCACCACCCTAACACCACCCCACATCACCCCACACCACCCACCCAGATCATCACGGCCCTCCGCGCTCACCAAGTCCCCGCCGAGGCAGGCGCTGCCGCCGCAGCCGCCGCCGCCGCTGCCCGCCGCCGCCGCCGCGGCGGTCGCTTCCGCGGTCGCCCCGGCGGCGCTCGCGACGGCGCCGCACTGCGGCACACCAGCCTGTGGATGCTGCTGGAGCCCGCCCGCTGGCTGGCAGCACAGTTGCATGCAGCACTGGAGGAGCAGGCGGAGCGTAGAGCAGGAGGAGGAGGAGGAGGACAGCAACCACAACTACAGCAGCAGCCGGGAGGTGGTGGTATTATGGGGGCCGAGGCGGAGGTGGTGGTACGGCGGGTCGCGCAGGCTGCTCGGCAGCAGGGGCTGCTGGGTCTGGGGGAGCTGCCGGTGGGGGCGGTGGCGGGGGTGGCGGCGGCGGCGCAGCTGCAGCAGCGCGTGCTGGCGGGGCAGGCGCCGGGGCAGGAGGGGGTGTGGCTGCCACCGCAGGAGGTGAGGAGAGGAGGGCGGTGTGGGGCGGGGTGGGCCGAAGGGAGGGGAAAGAGAGAGACAGGGTGGTGACAACGGGAGAGGGAGAGGGAGAGGTGCGCCGTCGCATACCATGCTTCCCCGTTCCTTGCTTCCTCACCTTTGCTTGACCCAATATCACCCCTAGCTTTCCCCGTGCCCATCCCTATCCCACACCCCCTGCCCCCTCCCCGCCACACCCCCCAGCCCCAGCATGCCTTTATCCTGGACGCACTCCTAGCAACCGTGGCAGCCGGCGCACCCGCAGGGGCAGCAGCAGCTGTAGATCCCAACCGCCTGCTTCGGCGCCGTAATCAGGGCCTCTTTGACGCGGGGGACGAGGCTGCTGGGGAGGAGGAGGTGGAGGAAGACGAGGAGGAGCAGGAGGAAGAGGGCGGTGTGCTGAACGGGGGCGTCTTTGGCGGCGGTTTCGGAGGTTTGGGAGCTGGGTTGTTCGGAGCGGCGGGGCAGGAGGAGCATGATGGGAGGGCTTTGATTGACATGCTACTTGGCGGAGGGCTGGGGGCGGGGGCGGAGATGGCAGGTGGAGGAGCAGCAGCAGGGGTGGCAGGAGGAGGCGGGGATGGCGAGGGGGGAGGCGGAGGTGGGGGGGAGGTGTTGGTGCGGCTGGGCGGCGGGGAGATGCGGCCGCTGTCGGAGCTGGAAGGGGAGCTGCGGGCGGGGGTGGCGCATGTGGCAGGTGAGGGGTGGGAGGGTGAGGGGTTGAGGGGCGGGCATGGGCTTACGCGGTCATGAGCTTCTTCCTCCTGTTCCGAGACACGTTCACTAAGCTGCGCCCCTCTCCCTTCTCCATCACCCCCTGCCCCCATGTTCCCACCTCCCTCCCCTCCACAGCCCTCCGCTCCCAACTAGCTGCCGCGGGTCGCGGGGCGGCAGACCTGCTGCTGCTGGGCCGCTGGCCTCCGCCGCTGCAGCTGCCTCCCGAGGCGCAGGCGTGGGGCGGTGGCTGCGAGGAGGAGGAGGGCGGGGGGCCCGCGGTGCCGCACGGCTTCCTGTGCCCCATCACGCACACCCTCATGAGCCAGCCGGCGCTGCTGGTAAGTCCGCAGCTCAGCGAGGCCAGCCCCACCTACGAGCTGAGCGCCATTCGGCAGTGGCTGCGGAACAGCAGGACCGACCCCACCACCGGCCGCCACCTGCTCACCTACCACTTCATCCACAACGACAACCTGCGCAAGGCCATCGAGGACTGGGTGCACGACCGCCTGGCGCGTGAGCGGCTCAAACAGCAGGCGCAACAGCAGGCGCAACACCAACAAGGGCAGCAGCAGCACCACCACCATTACCAACCGCGACAGTCGCCTCCGCACCCTCACCACATGAGCGCACCCGACAACAACAACACCCCGCTGTCTGCCGCTGCAGCCGCCGCTGCTGCTGCTGCTGCGGGCTCCAGCCATGCAGCCCCCGGGTGGACTGGGGCGCCGCACCCCGCAGTGGTGGTGGGGGGTGGGCGCTACCAGCCGGTGCCTGGTCCGGGTCCCGGGCAGCGCAGCGTGTGCGTGGGGACGTCCGAGGTGGGGCTGAGGCTGCAGTCGCCGCAGCGCTTCCCCCGTGCGAGGGAGGCGGGGGTTGCAGGGGGGGCGTGGGGGGCGGGGGGCGCGGGGAGGAGCAGGTCGAGGGGGAGGAGCAGGTCGCGGGGGCGGGCGCTGCGGGAGGATGCGGGGGAGGGAGGAGGAGGAGGCGGGGGAGGTGGAGGGGCGATGGCGGGGGTGTTGGCGCGGCAGGCGGTGCAGCGAGCGGTATCTAGGCAGCGGGGACTGCGGCGGACCTTGCCGCAGTGAGGCTGGGCGGTTTGTAGGCGAGCAGGGAGCGCTGGGGATGGCTGGGGGTGGAAGGAGCAGATGGTCGCAGGTGCTGCAGCACAGGCACTCGGTGTTGAGATGCAAACATGGAGGTCAGCTGGATGGGCTTAGTGTTTCATGCAGCCTGTTGCTTTGACACAGGCATGCCGGTTAATTGCCCCATCTTTGACACAGGCCGTATCACACAACGCTGTAGAGAACATCCGAAATATTAACAGTGGTTTTAGTTTCCTGCGTTGAACGGCGCTAGCCACAAGCATAGTAGCTGCGTTTGCGCATCAACCAACATTGCTAACAAGGACAGCCACCCTGCGTTAGGATTCAGCAAGAGTGCGATCAACCTGCAAACACCAGCAGCACCTATGACCTCCTCCTCCCAATTACCAACTTGCCGACCGCAGGTATCCAAGAAGTACTGAACGCATGGAACTCATGGAACACCAGACGGCTACCTAGGCGCGAATGCACCGCCTCGCTCCCCGATCTAGGTCCAGGCGGGCATGTTCCGTGCGGCTGTGCTGAGCCACGCAGCATGCCGAGGACTACCCCCCTGCTCCGCGCACCGCATCTGGCAACCCAAGCACGTAACCGAAAGGCGCCACAACCAAGGGACCCCTTCTCCAACAAGAGTTGAGGTCTGCCCACCGTACAACAACCTGCCTGCTTGCATGCCTCGACCCAAGCCACCTCATGCACAGCATGTCGGTTGCATTGGATGCAAAGTGCAGCCCAAAGCAGGAGCATCATTCACTAGGCAGAACGTGCCCGATATGCTGCCCTGAAGCCAACCTCAGCTCCCAAGACCTCTGTAGTAGCCTCCTCTCATGCATACCACTGCAAAGCGCGCTCGCCCTTCTATCCCCACCCTCCCGCTCTTCCTTCCACCTCTCCCATCCTACGCCCTTCCCAAACCTCCCTCCGCACAACATGCTAGACGCACACACGCGATCCTCATAGCAAGCCATCCATTCAGCCAACACAGCAATCGTCAGGATACCAGCTCAGCTGTAACCGCGCTCTGGTCCGCCTCCCCCGCCGCTGCCCCTCTCCTAGCAGTTTGCCTCCCCTAGCCCTTCTCTCCCACCCCGCTCCTTCTCTCCCGCCCCGCCCCCTACTCCGCCAGCATCCGCTCGCTGTCCACATTGTCGTGGTCCTCCACCTGCGCCCCTCCGCGCCCGCCCGCCCCCCGGTCCTTCTTGCTCAGCCCCGACACGATGTCATCGATGCGCAGCAGCATCTGCGCGCTCTCGATGGCCGTCTTCAGCGTCTGCGCCTTCACCTGGTACGGCTCCCACACGCCCAGCGCGCGCAGGTCCGCCACCTCGCCGCTCTCCCCGTTGATGCCCCAGCTGCAGCCCGGCGACTCGGCGTGCTTGGCGCGCAGCTTGGTGAGTGTGCGGATGACGTTGGCACCGCAGTTCTGAGCCAGCGTGCGGGGAATGACCTCCTTGCCTAGTTGCCTTGCCTTCATCGCACCCCACATCGCCGTCCGTCTTGGTGGCTACCTGGTTACCGGTACGAACTCCAGACAAGGGCTGAACAATCCCCTTACGCTCCCCCGGCTGCTGCCTCCACCACCTCTCCGTCATCTCCAGGGCGACGCCAAACGGGCGGTTGTTGCGGAATCCACATTCGTACCGCAGCCCGAGACAACCGCCGAGTACGAACTGAACGGCGGTTGCCATTACGTAATCATGCCAGCCACGTACGGCCCCGGTCGTACAGGCCGGTTTACGTTGGCGGTTGCCTCCTCAACCGCCTTCCAGTTCCGCGCCCTGGGTGGCGGCGGTGTGGGTGGGGTGTCCCAGGGGCCTGGTGGCGCGGTGCATGGAGGGTATTAGGGTGGGGCAACTGGGCGGGGCGGTTGAAGGTGAAGGAAGATGGACGCATGGGGCTCTGGGGGCGTGCCTCGCCTGCCAAGCAACTCCTGCTCCGTAGCGCGGTGTTTCCTTGGGTGGTGGGGGGGAGGAGGTGCAGGAGGGGGAGGGCACGCGGCCTGGCTGCGGCGGCCCGGTGGAGATGCGTGCTGTTGGAGGCGAGCTTGCATGCGTGCGCATAAATCTGGTGCATGCGTGCGTGCGTGCGTATGAACGTGCGGTGGTGAGGGGGTTGGGGTGGCAAGATCGAAGAGGGGATGCGAAGGAAGTACTTGGCAAGGGGTGTTGCTGCTGCCCTGCTGGCCCGCAGCCCCCGATAAACGTAACTCGACTTCAGCTGTTGCACTGGTGGGCGGGGGCTGCCATCAATTGGTGATCAGGATCTCGGGAGATCACTGCGCGCCCGTGGTGAGCCCTACCATAGCTTTACTGGGGGGGCGTCACCACTCACCAGCTGCCGGAATACCGTACTTGCTGCTCTCTTATCGAGAGGCAGGATCCATGTCGTCAGCAAGCAACCCACCCAGCTCGACGGCTGTGTCGCACGCATGGTAAGGGAATGGCGCACATCTACATCCCTTGCCGATGTTATCATCCATTCCTGCCGCACGTTCCGTCAAGTTCTAAAGTATCGTGTATACGTTACATGGACGATGCCCGCATCCGAGACAATTTGATCATCGTCCTCTCTCCAACAACAACAACGATTAACAACTACTACAGCTACTCTTAAGCCGGCACGACAAGGCCCTTCACATCAGAGCCCGACCCGGCTTCCAATCCAGCTAACGGTAGGCGGATCTAGGTGGGACCACGCCTATGCGTTACCCTACATGCGCTGCCCGGACAGGTGGGGCTGACAGGGGCGGGGAGCGGGACAGACTGACTGTGCCCCAAAAGGTCAGTCTGCTTGCGGCGGGACAGGAGCCACACAACATACGAGAGCGCGTGTGCGTATGGCCCTGAAAGGGGCTGCATGCGAATTGTGGTGTCAAAAGCGCGTACGGCAGATTAATGATCCCTATAATATTCATGAAACAACAGCACCGGAAACGCTTTCAGCACTGCGTAACAATCGGTACCAAACGTATTGTTGCCACATATTGTTGACACCATGTACATCTCCACCTGACATGGTGGGTGCTTCAGTGCCGTACAACCGCAACAACAACCGCATGATACATGTACATGGACCAGCGCAAGGCAATGAGATGGAACTGCAGACTGGGGGCACCTCTCCACAACCACAGGCCGGTTACGGACTTTCAACGGTGGGTATCCCCATTGTGAAACAAACGCCTTCCCCACCCAAAGAGAGACCACTCAGTGTCGCGAAGCCTCCATCCTATCAACCAAACCCTGCTGCGGTTTGTACGGCAACAGCAATAAAGCGCACACGCATTTCGCAGGAGTGTCGCATAACACACATCAACCCAGGCGCGCATTGGCGAAGGTCACATTGCGATTGGTACGGGCGCTGCGGGCACTGTTTAACATTCACAGAGTCCATATATGTAACAAACTCGTTGTGACCGCGTTTCGCAGCCGATTCTCTTGTTAGAGCCCACGCCCGGCCAGATGTCGCAATGCCAGCTTCAACCAGCTCTTTCAGAATGCTCATGTTTCCTTGGGCTGCGCACGCGTATAGGGCGTGGCCATCGTCCGCCGGGCGGGCGGGCGGAAAGCAAGAGGCCATAGTGAAGGCCCACGTAAGCTGTACGGGAGTCCGTCGTGCTGTATCATAAGTATCCAGGCTTTCGTCGTGCTGTACCATAAGTATCCAGGCTTCCGTCGTGCTGTACCATAAGTATCCAGGTACAAAAATTGGATGGGTGACCCGGTTGACAGGGGGTACATTACTCAGCGGCAGCATGTGAACCTGATGCGTTTTCGGCTGTGTGTGTGGGGCATTGAAGCCAATCGCCCTAGGGGTAGGCAACGAGTAGCGCGTGTCTGTCCTATGTGTGCCGTGCAGGGGTCGCCGGGGAGAGTGGAAGATGAGAAACACATCCTCATTGAATGTCCCGCTTACGATGATTTGCGTGATAAGATATGGGAAAGTGGTGTCCCACGGGATGCTGATATGATTGCTGTCATGGGCATGGAGAATCAGGCATTGCTTGCTAGCGTAATCACTAGCATGCGAAGTCGCAGGATTGCGCAGACAGGGTTTATCATATGATTAGCGTTCTGTTTGTTGTCTCTTTTGTTTACTTTTCTTCTTTTGGTTGTTTTCGCGTTTTGTGCTCGCGATCCATGAGCCTTCTGGCTCGGACGGATCTTACGAGCTCGGTACGAAGCTTGTAACACATACATACATACATCCAGGCTTTTTTCCCCTTTGCTGTCCCTTTCTCCTGAAATGACTAGGTTCCATTTATCTGCTTTGCGGCACCTTTTTCTGTGAGATGGCAACTGTTGTCGTCAGGTCCGAGGCCTTGTTGTCAACGCCGTCGGTGCTGAACCCAACGGTGAGTTGATATGGTATATTGGCCCTGCATGATCGGCGCTGGGTCCCTGTTCTCTGTTGGCCCCCCCTGGACGGACAGGCCAACAGAGAACTGCCAAACGAAGGCTCTTTTACCTTTATATTGACTCAGGGGGTCTAGGTAAATTATTGGGTGGCTATTTATCATTTTGCCTGCAAACTCTGAGCTCATTCTCTGACACCGGCACTGGCTAGTTGCCACAGTAAAGCCCAAACTTGCATTTAATTGCAACTGAAGATACCGGTAAGTTTGTAGGATGTAATATCTCCCTCAGCTTAGTGTCACGGTTACCTCAATATAAGTCTGTTGCGTCATGTCCAGCGACGAATCAGAGTTGCCTTATGAGGATTCCGAGGAGGACTATGACTGAGATGGATATGTAACTATATTGTTGCTGTATCGCTGGCGTTCCTTTGGAAGCGATGAAGGCGATGGCGACGACACTAGTAGCGACGATAGTGGGGGCTACGCGACAGCAAACGAGGGGGACTCGGACGGCTTTGAGGGCGAAGCCAGTTATCCCAGAGATGTGGAAGTGCGGGCGGCATATCAAGGTCTTGTTAGCTCCTCTCCTTGTCTTGTACGGGTGACGTTGGGTTTGGGATTCACTAGTTCACTAGACTCACAGGGGCAGCAACGTCATTCACAAGCACCTCTTGGCCAAGTTCCGGCTGGCATGCAGAATGGCGCAGCACCGGCTGGTGTTGGGGATGGACGTCAGCCTTCCCAAACTGTACATGATGGAGACGTTCAGGACCTAGCTGACGCCCTTCCTGCCACACCACTTAGGGGCAGCAACACGGCTACACCTGGCTACTAGCCCGCCTTCATGAGTATTATCATCCCAATATACCGTTATCAGCCCAATGTACAGTGAGCAGAAGCTTGTCGTGGCCACCAGGCATCCTGATAAGCTTGGTTTCCTTACAAAGCTTGATGGGGAAATTGGGGCTATTGCCTGGCTCAATAGCAAGTATTCCGGCAAGATTTCCACGACCTCCAATCCCATCAAGCATCCAGTACCGGTAGCATCTGGCGGGAGGTGAAACAAGTTGGAACCTGTACGGGACCCTTACGTGGCCGTGAGCCCCGCGCGCTTATTGTTGACACTCCCTCAGCATCACCACGGCATCAGTCTGTCCACGTCATGGTTTCTTACTGCCATAGGGTTGGCGTCGTTAATGGATACGATTAAGGCAACAAGCCTAAGGTGCTGGCATGGTACGGGAATGCATGCGCGTGCATAGACATGGTTCAGCATCTACCTGATTTGGACTGTTATGCTAGGAACCTCGGTGCCGGTGCGGTGTGAGGCTCAACTGCAAGGGTCCTCAGTGCTGGCATGGTGTTGCATGCTGCTCACTAGCAAGAGAGAATTTCGCAACGGGAAAAGCACTCTCAAACTCCATTCAATGACTACAACAAGGAATGGCAATCAACTCCAATCGTGTTTCCGGACCCCTCTCCCGGACCAGCCACATACCCTGCCCTGAAGGCCCCTCCAACTAATACCCTGCAAACACGGTTGCATGCTGCTCGCTAGCCAGAACGAATTTCGCGACGGAAAAAGCACTCCCATACTCCATTTAATGACTACAACAAGGAACTGCAATAAACTCAAATCGTGTTTCCCGATTCCCTTGTCGCATGCATGGCACATGCCGCGCTTGCAAACTACCCCGGTCCAATACCAAACTTCAACCTTGCAAGTCTGCAAAATTTCAAACCTCGTTTCCTATGGACATGGGCTTGACATGGTTGTAGAACCCCAGTTCTCTTTCATCGGGCGGTCCGGGGTGTCCATGTTAATCGCTGTTTGCTGTTACGAACAAGCAACTCGACCAGTATTAATCAAAGGAGGATTTGAGGTATATTGCGCCGGTTTGGGCTTTACAATACAGCTAGGTGGTGTGGTTATCAGAGATTGAGCGCAAAGTTTACAAACAAATCGAGAAACAGCCACCCAATACTTGGCATAGACCCCCTGAATCGGTCTTTGGTTAAAAGAAAGCTCTTTTGAGCGGTTCTCTGTTGGCCTGCCTGGCGCCAAGCCGTACGGCGGTCCGGACAGAGAACAGGGACCCAGCGCCGTGCGAGCGCCGGCCCTGCCTTCTTGAGCTTCGCTACTTATTTTCTGAGCAAAAGATACATAGGGCTTAAAGGCTTTGTTGCGTATGCGCTTAGCACTTAGCGCCATTGCTTTTGCAATGAGTACCCCTTGCAATCCGCTTCAGGGGCAAGCCTCTGTGGCGACAAGGCCTTCGGCGGTCTGCCGGAATCTGGACGTGACCTTTAATTTTGGCGCTGACGCAACCTGCGTGGATGGTGGAAAGCCCTGGCGGTTCGAGGACAACGACGAGCTAATCGCTCTCTTCAAGAAGAAGGGGGCGGAGTTCAAGGCGGCAAAGGCTAAGCTGGCGTCGAATGGCCAGTCACACAACTGCTGTGGCGAAGAACAACAGTGAGCGTTATGTCTTCGATACTTCAGCGGTACTGAGGTAAGTGGGAGGTCGCTTGTGTTCCGCACCCTGGCACCTCTTGACTGGATTACTGGTAACATGGTTTACTGGTAACATGTAGATACGGATGGCAACAAGACCTCTTTGGCGTTTACAAGCCCCCGTCGTTCTTCTCACCGATGCTGAAGGAGCTCGCCGATGACCTCGCTGTTGAAGGCCGTTGCACCTCGGACCTTGTTGTCGCTGAGCTCAGCTCTTTAAGCGAGGGCAACAAGCTGCGAGTGTATGTCAATGGTATTCAGCTGGTCACCGTTTTGGACTGGACAGCCTGGCTCACTAAACATGGCTTCAATTTGCATGAGGGTGGCATTGCGTTCCTGGAGGCGCGTTACAGGCACTCCGGGTTAGCTACCATCGACCCGGTGGACAATGCGATGGTGAGGGGGGAGGCGGGGGCGGCGGTGAGGTGTTGGTGCGGCTGGGCGGCGGCGAGATGCGGCCGCTGTCGGAGCTGGAGGGGGAGCTGCGGGCGGGGGTGGCGCATGTGGCAGGTGAGGGGGGGTGAGGGATTGGAGGGTTGAGGGGCGGGTAGCGGTATGGGCTTATGCGGTCATGGGCTTCCTCCGCCGATCCCAAACACACAGCATTGTTCACTAAGCTGCGCCCCTCTCCCTTCGCCATCATCCCCTGCCCCCATGTTCCCATCTCCCTCCCCTCCACAGCCCTCCGCTCCCAGCTAGCCGCCGCGGGTCGCGGGGCGGCAGACCTGCTGCTGCTGGGCCGCTGGCCTCCGCCGCTGCAGCTGCCCCCCGAGGCGCAGGCGTGGGGCGGTGGCTGCTGCGAGGAGGAGGAGGAGGGCGGCGGGCCCGCGGTGCCGCACGGCTTCCTGTGCCCCATCACACACACCCTCATGAGCCAGCCGGCGCTGCTGGTGAGTCCGCAGCTCAGCGAGGCCAGCCCCACCTACGAGCTGAGCGCCATTCGGCAGTGGCTGCGGAACAGCAGGACCGACCCCACCACCGGCCGCCACCTGCTCACCTACCACTTCATCCACAACGACAACCTGCGCAAGGCCATCGAGGACTGGGTGCACGACCGCCTGGCGCGCGAGCGGCTCAAACAGCAGCAACAGCAGGCGCAACACCAACAAGGGCAGCAGCAGCACCACCACCATTACCAACCGCGACAGTCGCCTCCGCACCCTCACCACATGAGCGCACCCGACAACAACAACACCCCGCTGTCTGCCGCTGCAGCCGCCGCTGCTGCTGCTGCTGCGGGCTCCAGCCATGCAGCCCCCGGGTGGACTGGGGCGCCGCACCCCGCAGTGGTGGTGGGGGGTGGGCGCTACCAGCCGGTGCCTGGTCCGGGTCCCGGACAGCGCAGCGTGTGCGTGGGGACGTCCGAGGTGGGGCTGAGGCTGCAGTCGCCGCAGCGCTTCCCCCGTGCGAGGGAGGCGGCTGCAGGGGGGGCGTGGGGTGTGGGGGGCGCGGGGAGGAGCAGGTCGAGGGGGAGGAGCAGGTCGCGGGGGCGGGCGCTGCGGGAGGATGCGGGGGAGGGAGGAGGAGGAGGCGGGGGAGGTGGAGGGGCGATGGCGGGGGTGTTGGCGCGGCAGGCGGTGCAGCGAGCGGTATCTAGGCAGCGGGGACTGCGGCGGACCTTGCCGCAGTGAGGCTGGGCGGTTTGTAGGCGAGCAGGGAGCGCTGTGGATGGCTGGGGGTGGAAGGAGCAGATGGTTGCAGGTGCTGCAGCACAAGCACTCGGTGTTGAGATGCAAACATGGAGGTCAGCTGGATGGGCTTAGTGTTTCATGCAGCCTGTTGCTTTGACACAGGCATGCCGGTTAATTGCCCCATCTTTGACACAGGCCGTATCACACCCTGTACCGCTGTAGAGAACATCCGAAATACGAACAGTGGTTTTAGTTTTTCCTTCGTTGAACGGCGCTAGCCACAGGCATAGTAGATGCGTTTGCGCATCAACCAACATTGCTAACAAGGACAGCCACCCTGCGTTAGGATTCAGCAAGAGTGCGATCAACCTGCAAACACCAGCAGCACCTATGACCTCCTCCCATTACCAACTTGCTGACCGCAGGTATCCAAGAAGTACTGAACGCATGGAACTCATGGAACATCAGACGGCTAACTAGGGGCGAATGCACTGCCTCGCTCCCCGATCTAGGTCCAGGCGGGCATGTTCCGTGCGGCTGTGCTGAGCCACGCAGCATGCCGAGGACTACCCCCCTGCTCCGCGCACCGCATCTGGCAACCCAAGCACGTAACCGAAAGGCGCCACAACCAAGGGACCCCTTCTCCAACAAGAGTTGAGGTCTGCCCACCGTACAACAACCTGCCCGTTTGCGTGCCTCGACCCAAACCATCTCATGCACAGCATGTCGGTTGCATTGGATGCAAAGTGCAGCCCAAAGCAGGAGCATCATTCACTAGGCAGAACGTGCCCGATATGCTGCCCTGAAGCCAACCTCAGCTCCCAAGACCTCTGTAGTAGCCTCCTCTCATGCACACCACTGCAAAGCGCGCTCGCCCTTCTATCCCCACCCTCCCGCTCTTCCTTCCACCTCTCCCATCCTACGCCCTTCCCAAACCTCCCTCCGCACAACATGCTAGACGCACACACGCGATCCTCATAGCAAGCCATCCATTCAGCCAACACAGCAATCGTCAGGATACCAGCTCAGCTGTAACCGCGCTCTGGGCCGCCTCCCCCGCCGCTGCCCCTCTCCTAGCAGTCTTGCCTCCCCTAGCCCTTCTCTCCCACCCCGCTCCTTCTCTCCCGCCCCGCCCCCTACTCCGCCAGCATCCTCTCGCTGTCCACATTGTCATGGTCCTCCACCTGCGCCCCTCCGCGCCCGCCCGCCCCCCGGTCCTTCTTGCTCAGCCCCGACACGATGTCATCAATGCGCAGCAGCATCTGCGCGCTCTCGATGGCCGTCTTCAGCGTCTGCGCCTTCACCTGGTACGGCTCCCACACGCCAAGCGCGCGCAGGTCCGCCACCTCGCCGCTCTCCCCGTTGATGCCCCAGCTGCAGCCCGGCGACTCGGCGTGCTTGGCGCGCAGCTTGGTGAGTGTGCGGATGACGTTGGCACCGCAGTTCTGAGCCAGCGTGCGGGGAATGACCTCCATGGCAACACCTGGGGGGGGGGAGGTGGGTGAGGGGGATTTGGAAGGTCGGGGTTTGAGGGAAAGGGTGTAGGAGAAGGTCGCAACCTCGACCATGCGCAAGGCCACCGCCGCCCATGTGGCACCCCCCCCCCAGCGCCCAAAACAGCAGCTCACCCACTGCCTTGTACGGCCACTGCTCCACGCCCTCCACCCCCGCCGCCCGCTCCGCCAGGCCGTGGCTGATGGCCATCTCGCAGGCGCCCCCACCCGGCACCAGCCGCGGGTCCAGGCAGATGTTGCGAGCCACACCCATGGCGTCCGTCAGGTTGCGCTCCACCTGTGGGAGGGTTTGGGGGGCGGGGGCGGGGGGGTGGGGTTGGGTAGGCGGCAGGAGGGAGGCAAAGGGATGGGGGTAAAGGACGGTTAGTTCCTAACCGTGTGACAAGGCCCACCATGTGGGAGGGTTGGGATGGGGTTGGTTGGGAGGTGCTGCTAGTGACCTTGCAAGTACCAGCGTTGACCAGACCTTCTCTCGTTACCCCACTCTTTCCCTCCTCGCTGTACCCTTTCCTCCCCCCCCGGGTATCCCACCTCGTTCAGGATGTCCTTGGTGGCCCCCCGCAGCAGCACCGTGCAGGCGCGCGGCTGGCTGCAGTCCACGATGAAGGTGAAGAACTCGTCACCGATCTTGACCACCTCGAACAAACCCGCACCCGTGCCGATGTCCGACTCGCGGATCTCGTCGGTGCTGGGGGAGGAGGAGGAGCGGGAGGAACGGGAGGAGAGGGAGAGGCATGGTGCTTAGGTGAACTGAGCAGCATAGTCAAGAAGTAGTTTGGCCGACAATACCAGGAAGAGTTCTTAACGCTTTCTATCCCGGCCGTCCAGCTTTCCCCATTACCCCCACAACCCCAACCCCCTCACCGGTTCACAATGGTGGCCCCGCACGCGCGAGCAATGCGGTTGTTGTCGGTCTTGCGCAGTCGCCGGATGGCGGACACGCCGGCCTTGGTGAGGTAGTGCGCCGCCAGGTCGGACAGCCCCTTCTCCGTGATCACCACGTCGGGCTTGAAGGCCAGGATCTGCTCGCACTGGCGCTGGATCTGCTCCTCCTCCTGCTTCAGCAGCGCAGCCCTGAGGCGGGGGGGGAGAGGGAATAAAGGATTCACGCCTCTCCTGCAGCCAGTGCTACCATGCGGCCCCCTCCTCCTTCCCCCCTGGAATTGTGACTGGAGACTTCTCTTTCCATGCAAATGTCCTCCTCCTCCTCCCCCATCCCCTCCTCTCCCCCCTCCCCCTCCCGCCCCACCAGTCCTCCTCCTTGGTGAGCTCCACGTTGGTCTGGTTCTCGCCCTTCTTGTACTCCAGCGGGCAGTCAAGCAGCAGGATGCGCGGGTTGGCGATGCGCCGCCGCATGCGCCCCGGCACCACCACGTCCTTGTTGAACATCACACCTGGGGGGGGGCGGGAGGGGAGAGGGAGTAGGGAGAGGGAGTAGGGAGGGGTGTGGGCACTAGGCTGCAGTAGCGCGGGGTAGGGAGCCGTCGGGGAGTCCCCGCAGAGCGCTCGGTTGGCACGGAGACGGGACGTGCGCATGCGTCGGTGAGGTGGAAGGGTAGAAAGGAGGAAACTGACGAGCTGTGTCACAAGGCTGCGCAGGTGGGGGGTGCGCACACACACGAGCTGCCGGGTGCAGCGGGGAGGGGCATGTGGCTGCCCTCCTCCAAAGGATGGAGCTAGGGCGGACCGGCAGCCAGGGTTGAGCGGATGGCGGCCAGCGAGCCAAGCAGAGATCCCCTCCCGGTCCATCTGCCTCAGCATCTGACCACCTCCTCATTCGGCGGTGGCCATGTCAGCAGCAGCCCTTCCTGGCGGCTCCCCAGAAGGTCTGCCAGACAGCTTCACAGCTAGCCAAAAGCCGAGTCCAGCCAGCCACTGCCAGCGTGCCAAGGTGTATAATGAAGTAATTAAGCCGCGTAACAATACAATACTTGTAGCTGCTACTGTAGCTGCTGTGAAGGCGTGTACCTGCTGCTGCTGCAGCACGAAGCTTGCCGCGAAGCTGCCGTGGTCAATGTCCGACTGCCCGGGCTCCCACCGCAACGCCGTTTTCACCGCTGCCCTGCTCGCTGATGGTCTGCTCGCTGATGTGTGTTGTTGACACTCCGCTTCTGTCGCCCGCTGCTGTTTCTGCTCCCTTGCTGGTTGACGCTCGTGCGGAGTCCCACCCCGCTCCAAGAGCACCCAGCTCCATGCTGCGCATACGTGGCTGTCCCCCACCGCATCCCTCTCGTCCCCCTTTTGATGCCCTTCCAGTAATCACCATCGATGTGTTCTCTCCGATCTCGCCCTTTACCCGCTACGGTGCCCCTGGGTGCCATGCACCACCGACCACCCCCAAGCATATAACCAACCCGACCCAGGAACCCCAACTACCCCCCCTCCCTCCTCCCCGCCTTGCCGCCCACAACCCCACACCCCTCCTCCACCACACCCCCTGCTGCTGCTGCTGCTGCCCCCCGGCTCCACCTGCAACCGCTCCACCCTCTGCCCTTCCCCCCTTCCTCATCTGTCCCCCTCTCCCCCCTGCACGCGGGTGCTTTTGGCTCACCCTTGAGCACGCGGCAGTCCTCGATGGTTCCGCCCGGGATCTTCTCCACCTTGGCGTAGTTCTTGATGTCAATCTCCTTGGCGCCGCCGCCCAGGTCCACCGTCACCGTGCGAACAGCGTCCAGAGCCAACTCCTGTTGGACCGCAGCAGGAGCAGCAGCAGCAGGAGGGGCGAGGGGCGAGGCAGGGCAGGGTGAGAGCAGGGTAAGAAGGGCATGCAGGGTACATGGTTTAGGTTGGTTGATGTTGGCTGTGTTTGGTGCTGGTGGTGTACATGTCGTGATGCGCTCGTGACGGTGTCAAAAGGGTCATCTGGGTATACAGAAGGAACAGAGGCCGGGGCCAAGTTGCCGAGGTGAGGGGATGTGTAGAAAGCAACCCGACGACCCGCGTCCATGGTCCCGGCACCCACCGCCATGAGGGTCCCAAAGCGGTGCGTGAACTTGGTGCCGATGCAGCTGTTCACAACGTTGAGCATCTGTTCCCGGTTGTCCGTGTCGATGGGGAACGCCAGCTGGTCGATGATCTTTATCGAGTCCTCCAGCGCCCGTGCGAAACCCCGCACGATGACGGTGGGGTGGATGTTCTTCTCCAGGAAGGGCTCCGCCATGTGGAGCATTTCGCCGGCTGCGGGTCATGGGCACCATTACCCGATGAGCAACGCGGACGGAAGATGCCATCTGGGTTGGTATTAAAATGCTTCTTACATACCTAGGATGATAACCGAGGTTGTGCCGTCGCCCACCTCCTCATCTTGCGTCCGGCTCAGCTGGATCATCGACTGCGCGCCAACAAATGGAAGTTCCTTAGCGTCCTACTTTGTAACCTGAAACCACCAGATCAGTCGGTACCTTTGCTGCTGGATGGGATACATCAATTTCTCGGAGGATAGCGTGCCCGTCGTTCGTCAGCACAATGCCGCCGTTGGGGTCTAGGAGCATCTTCAACATAGAGCGCGGTCCAAGCGTTGTTCGAATAATGTCCGCAACAGCCTGTTTCCAAGAATTTCGTTGTTGATAAATAAATCCGACTCTACGGGTAGGCAGCGGTCCGCGGGGCGCACCTTCGCGGCGGCAATATTGGCGAACTGCGCCTTCTTGCCAGTTTCCCGCTTAGTGCTGGCATTTAGCACGGTCACTGGCACCTGCATGTTGGCAGGCGTGCGAGTTCTAGAACCGCGTCCCTAGGGGCTATACTCAACGCGTTTCGTGAATGTATAGAGACGTAACGGAACTCCGCAGGTAAACAGAGAAGGACGCTAGAGAGGCCTAGGACAAGTCGACAGCAGATGGAGGGATCGGCTCTTCTCTCGCGCCTATTCCGTACACAGGGAAGAAAGGTCTTACAGTTGGAGCTGGTTTCTTCCTTCGCCTGCATACCATCTTGCAATACATGATCACGTGTTAGCAATGAAAAGCTGCTGCTGTTCTGCAACATAGTTGCCTTGTTCACCTCGTATTCCCTACCTGGGTCTACCCGAGCAAGCCCGAAGTATGGAGAAATACGAAGACCTCTTCATTATAGGGTGCGTTTCGCGGACAAACGGTTGACAACTGTTGTTGAGCAGGTGGCTTTACCGGGGGTCCTGAACATTTACAGGCAGGGGCAGTATGGGACAGCGTACCGAGCACGCGACAAGCACGATGGGCACCTCTACTGTATTAAGCGAATCCCTATGTCTGCAAAGGTAGGTTACGCTGGGTGCGAACGGGGCATGTAGGTCGTCGACATTCCAAAAGCCTTCGGCCTTGCAGGATGACCATGCAGGGGCGCTTCGCGAGGTGCAACTCCTTGACTCGCTTGACCATCCCAACATCATTCGCTATCGGGAGAGCTTCGTGGACAAGGATGGCGCACTATGCATTGTCACCTCTTTCTGCGAGGAGGGCGATTTGTTCACTCGTATCAGGAAGAAGGCGTCGCATAAGGAGTACTTTTCAGAAGAAGAGGTTATGAACATGTTCGTTCAGGTAGGTAGAGGGCTGTCACAGCCATGTTCGGGCGGCGCTTGCTAATTGTCACTGTATTGTTGCAGATTGCGTCGGCCATCAGCTATATCCACTCCAAGCGCATCTTGCATAGAGACCTGAAAACCCAAAACATCTTCATCGCACGCGGTGGCATTATTAAGCTGGGCGACTTTGGGATCTCCAAGGTGCTTGAGCGGACCGACTCGTTCGCAACGACTGTGACGGGCACACCGTACTACATGGCACCCGAAATCTGCACAAACCAGCCATACACCTACAAGAGTGACATCTGGTCGCTGGGCTGCGTGTTGTACGAACTCTGCACCCTCAAGTAAGCAATCGTGTGGGGGATCGTGCCAGGGCCTAATCACAGGCTTGGGGAAACTCCTGCCATTTGGGTCATCCGGTGTGATGAAGGTTTGAACTTCTCCGTTGACCCCTGGTATCCCCCTTGCACACACCGTAGGCACGCCTTCGCAGCGGATAGCCTGCTGTCGCTGGTGTATCAGATTGTGCGCGGCAACTTCCCGCCCATTCCGACTGACCAGTTCACTCCTGGACTCAGCGATCTCGTGAACCGCCTTCTGGCTCGGGACGCCAACACGCGCCCCTCCCTGGGAGAGGTGCGCACGCTCCGTTAGGATGGGCATGGGGCCGATTGAGGCCTTTTAAAACACGCCAGCATGCCCTGCTTCATGGCTTTCAGTGCATGCAGCCCGCGGCCCCGCCGTTCATTCCCAGGGTACACAGGTGTATGAGGTGTATACTGGTTGGAGTAGTTGGGCCAATCCCATCTGGGTCGCTTCATCCCTCCCCGGTTCGGCCCGGCGCCGACCCACATGGCGCGCAGGTGTTCAAGCTGCCGTACGTGCAGCGGCACCTGGACCGCTTCAAGTCGGAGGAGCAGCGGCGCAACCTGAAGCAGTCGGTCAGCATGTCGCGCAGGAGGCAGCTGCTGGAGGCGGTGCCGGGATCCGCCGAGGTGCGGGCGGAGGAGGGCGGGGGTGCGCTTATGGGGTTGCTCATAACGGGCTGCGGTTGTTGTAGAAGTAGAGGAGAGGCGGGGCCGCGCGCACAGAAAGCCACAGCGCACCGGATTGTGTGGGATATATGTCTCATATGGGTCGGGTTACCACGTCGCAAATCCTCGGTTGCATGCCAAGATGGCACGCTCATTCCAACCATGCTGGCCCTGTGCCCGGCACCCTCCAGAGCGACGCAGCCCTGACGCCCAAGCAGCGGCTCGAACGGAAGAAGGCGCTGGATCGCGAGCGTCGGGAGCTGGAGATGCGGGTGGCGGCCATCTCGGCCAACAAGAACCGTGAGCAGGCCGCAGCACGCAAGAAGGAGATGATCTACGGCTCCAACGTGGCCCTGCCGGGCGCCAAGCAGCCGCAGGCGCCGCAGCAGCAACAGCAGCACTACGCGGGCGGGTTCGAGGACGACGATCTACCCAACATGGGCACCATGCGGCTGGGTGAGGAGACGACCACGACGCGAGGGCCGCCCACACGGCCGGGCAGCAAGGGCATCTGGGATGTGGACGAGCCGGGGCCGGGCCCGGGTGCGACGGTTAACCCCTACGCGGCGACCCTGCCCTCGCAGGCGCGGTTGCAGCAGCAGGCGCAGCAGCAGGCTGGTGAGTTGCCGCGCAGGAGTGATGTTGCCCCGGCCCATCTGGGTCAGCACCTAACGACTTTGGCAATGCAGCACAGACGTTACACGGGTTGCTTGGGCTGTCGCGAACACCACTGTCCCTAACCATTCTGGCTGTTACTATAGTGCTTCGTTAGCGTTTAGGGCATGATGCCTCGTCACAAGCAATGCCCTTCTCTGAGGCGTGGTTATGGCGGAGCTACGATGGGCTAGGCCTTCTCACGCACACCCGTTTCGGCGCCATGTGCAGGTGCAGCGCAGCGGCCGTACATGCCGCAGGGCACCGCGCGGGGGAGTCCACCAGTGGGCGGCCCGGGCCAGCCGAGCGTCTCCTACGGTGCCACGCAGCGGGCGGGGGGCGCCCTGTCGGGCAGCCGCGGCGGACGGGGCGGCATGTGGGACGGGGACGACGACGTGCTGACCGGGACGGTTCGCTCGGGAACAGCGCGGATGGGGACCATGCAGACTGGCCTGCAAGGTAGGCTTCATGGATCATGGATGTGCGTTTACGGCGGACGGTCGATGCTGCCTGGGGGGGCGTGACCTGAATGAGCTCTTCGTGTTAAATATCGCGTGTGCCAGTAGCAAAGCTCTCCATCCTAATCAGCGATATGTATGATGGGTGCAAGAGGTTACCAACGCTCCTTCTTCCCGTTTCTTCCATCCGCAGCCACTGCCAGCGCCATGGAGCATGGTGGCGGCGGGGCGGGGGTGGGCCAGTACAACAACTGGGACCGGACCGCCCTGTCAGGGCTGCACGACGACATGCCCAACATGGGCACCGTGCAGATGACCCACGGGCCCGGGCAGCTAGCGATGCCGGGACCGGGCGCACGCGGCTTGGACTGCACAGCCGCCAATCGCACCACCGCCTCGGACAGCCCCCTCATGGGCTCGGTGAACCTAGGGAACAGCCGTACGCTCCGATCCGGGAGCGCGGCAACGGCTGGTGGTGCGCTGGGTGCCAGCGCGGGCCGTATTGGCAGCGCAGGCGGCGACCAGCCCGGCTCGCCATACAATGCTGGCGCAGGCGGGGCTTCGCCGTACCGCCCCGGCAGCAGCGTTGGTGGCGCTCCGTACCGCGGCAACGGCAGCGTGTCTTCGTCTCCTGACTCGCAGCGGTTTGTCGCACCTCCCGCGGCGCAATACGGCGCCCAGGCTGGCGGGAGATTGGGGTCCGCAGGGGCTGCTGTATCTTCACCGCCGCAGCAGAAGCAGCTGCCACTGCAGCAGCCGTTGAGGTCCCATGTGGGGTCTCCGGGCTACCCGCATGAGGACGATGAGGAGGACGGGGGCTACAGCGACGACTTTGAGGACGATGATGAGGATGAGGGAGTGGCGCAGCAGCGCTGCCGGATCATCCAGAACGTTGAGGGTGCGTGGCGAGGTGGCGGGGGCGGCGTGCAGGGAACGCTAGGGTGCCGAGGATGCCTTGCAAGTGGGACTGGTATTATGGGTCACAGCGGAACGTGTCTGTCCTTTGGGTCGCGTTTTTTTACTCCTGTGTGTCATCCGGGGGGATAGCTTGTGAAGGTTGCATGCACTGCTTCCAAGCCTGGGAAGCTCATTTACCGTTACCAATAATTGGCAGTAACATTCCTAGCACTCCCGTGCATTCCTGTTCCTTGAGCGCTCAATTCGCAAAACTCACCCACTGCCTCCGCACCCCCCCTTCCCTCACTCCACAGACATGGCCTCCCGCGCCTACGACGGTCGCGACAGCATCGCTGCCGTACAGGAGCGCGTCATGCAGACGGGCGCGCTGTCCGACAAGGCGCGCGCCATCCGGCAGGGCTGCCAGGCGCAGCTGGGGCCCAAGTTCGGGCCGGTGTACGACTACCTTAGCCGCGTGCGCCGCCTGGAGCCGCCGCCGGAGGAGAAGGAGGTGCAGCGGCGGCTGCTTGAGATCGTGGGCGACAAGGGGCTGATGCAGGGCTGCTTCACGGTGGACCAGCTGGTGTTCACAGAGCAGATGTACTCGTGAGGCCGCCCCTGGTCCGCGACCCCGTGGTCCGTGGCCAGGGGGCCCCTGGTCCTGGTTCGGTTTGGAAGGGTGGTTAGCGGTGTGGGTGGTGTGCAGTGGCCGGGGTGGGTGTTGCCCTGGTAATGTAACATGCGTGGACTTGGCAATTGGCACTCATCGTGTGGCTAGGTTTGGAGCTTTGGGTATACCGGTACTGCGTCAGCTTTAGCTGTGGTTGTAGAGCAGTGTGTCAGTGTGTCATACAAGCGTGCACGTACCTGCCGGAAGGCTTGATCTTGCTGTGAGGACCTGTGGCGTGAATTGCCGCCGTCTGCAGCGAAATGCTTGCGATCGCAGGACCTCTTAGGTGCAGGGGCATGCCTTGCGGCGCTAATAGAATACCGGTACTTTCTGTGAGCATAGGTACATGCGTGGGCGAATATTCGTATTGCACACACTTTGCTACTGTGTAGCCTTGCCGTGACCGTTCTTGTAGTGGAATTAGGGACCTCCTATTATCAGAGGTTGAAGGCAGTGATGGCGGCGGATATGAAGGAAGCATTGCCTGCTGATACATAATCTGCGCTGTGAATACTGCACTAGACTCTTGCACACATGTAGGCGACGTTACATGTCCTATTGGGCACCGTGACCTCTATACAGCCGTTGTGGCTGTCTTTCCTGGAGAGTGTTAGGATGGTGTCCCAGGCTTGCCTTTGTTGCATTGGTTTGGTGTAGCACACCCCTCCTGTCCCTAGTAAGTGGATCGGGTGCAACTGTTTCACTGTTAATGACCTCTCCGAAATGGAATACCACCTCTTAAATGTGCCAGCGACACCATGCACAGGCGTTGCCGTACCAACAACAACCACCGTAACATCTCTAAACCCTTCTACTCGTCTCGCACCTCCCAACACGCAACAATGGGTCCATGCAGCTCAAGAACGCGGTCAACGAAGAACCCGATCGAACTCCTGCCAACTCCCCACGTAGCACAGCCTTGATGCTCTCCCTAAGCAGCCATCACTTTCCATCACCTTCCACCAGCCCTCCCTCCTTTGCCCGCTTCAACTCTTGCCTCCTCCGCTTTAGCAACCACTTTTCAACCTCCCCAGGCCACCCAAACGTATAGGTCGGCAGCACCGCCGCCCAGTCCACAGGGCAGCCCTCCTCCACCATCCAGCGCACTATCGGCAAGGAGCTGTCATAGCGCACACACGTGAAGGTCTCCGAGCCCTGCCAGGGACAGCCCACTCGCCGCAGGCAACGCAGCATGGCCATGTCCCCCTGCCGGGCTGCTACCACATAAGGCGTACAGTGAATGACCTGCCTTGGAGCTACCTATGGGTGTGGGATGCGGCACGTGGGACACATGGTCAGTGGATGAGAGCCACGGGTGTGACTAATCATGAGCATGCTTGCATGACATACACACTATACACTCCCCCCACAAGCGGCTTTGTCCCTCCTCCTAACCTTCCTTCCAAGTACTGCTGCCCCCGGGCCCTGTAACGTAATTCCGCGGCCATCCCATAGATAAACTCACCCCACTGACCGTCCCTGTCCAAGCCCCACCAAAAATGCCCCGCCACCTGCACTCTCACCACGGGGCAGCCTCGCTCCGCCAGCCACTCCACCGCCTCCTCGCAGCCCGAGATAACAGCCTGGTAGAACACGTCGGCAGTCAGGGCCGCCCCCTCCCCCTCCCCCGCCTCATGCACCATGCGCATCAGTACGGCACTGCCTGCGCCGGCCGCACGCTCCAGGAGGTGTGGTGAGCGCAGCACATCCAGTCCCGCCACCTGGACCAGCCACTCCACAACGGCCACACGCCCTCCCTCCACGGCACACCGCATGACATCCCTGAGGACCTTGTTGCTTGCATCAGTTGCCAAGCAGCCGCGTGCATGCAGGAGCTGCAACGCCTCGAGGTGCCCCCTTTCGGCTGCCAGGCTAGCCCCCCAGCTGACCGCCGTGAGGCCCTGGTCCAGCCAATACTCCGCTGCAGCTATGTTGCCCGTTGACACCGCTTCAGCCAAGCCGGCTACCTCGTCATCCCTGTAAAGCGGGTAGCCCTGCTGCTGCAGCCATGTGAATCGGGCAATCGCATCAGGACGCCCCGCAGCACCGGTATATGCACCCGCATCCTTGGGGATGCGGAGTACCTTCTGTATCCACTCCAGCTTGGCCTGCCAATCGGCTGTCGGGCTGCCTGCTGCGTTGGAGGTGATGGCCCACATCTCACCATATTTGAAATCGAAGTAGGGCTTCTCCTCCTCCTCATCCTCATTTCCATCCTCCTCATCCTCATCCTCCGTCTCGACCCGTCTCATCCTCCATCCTCCCGTGTCTTGCTCGTCATCGCTGAACACCTCCTCGTGCAGCTGTTTCAGTGTTTCCAGGTCGCAACCCCACATAGCTGCCGCCAGGAAACCTGCTAGGTTGAGAGAATCGAAGCACCTTCCCAGCCAATCCAAGATCTCGGTTCGGCCCTCCGAGAGAGCTGCATACACGGTCGTCTCAGACACGCAACAGTGTTTATCCTCGAGCCACTTGCATACGTGCAGGTGCCCCGCCTCCGCCGCTGCATCGAGGGCACTGTCCCCTGCACGCCAGCGCCGCTGGTGCAGCCACTCACATACATGGAGGTGGCCAGCAGCAGCTGCAGAAGTCATCACCTTCTCCAGCCGGCTCCTAAGGACTCGAGATTCTGTATCAAAGCCCACGTTTTCAACCGCCACTTCAAGGTTAGCAACACTGCCGGTTCTCGCCGTCAGGCACAGCAGCTGCAGTCGCTGTTCCAGGTTGAAGCTCCGCATGGCGCCTGGTGCGCCCCAGCGCTGGGCGAAGATGTCATGTGGAACAGGCTTCCACAGCAGCACCTCGGTGTGCTCCGGCCCTCGGAGCGCTGACGCCGCTGTCTTGTCCACCAGACGTAAGCCGCAAGAAACCTCATTGGGCGGCAGGAAGCGGGCGATGCACTGAATAATGTCGGGAATCCAAATACACGAGGCGTTTCCATGGGCACTCCTGCCGGCAGCAGTAAGCACCTCTCCGTGCTGCTTATCGTTATTCAGCACTACCACCACGCCAGGCTGCAGCGGGCTGGGGTCATGGTTGCTGCTGCTTGGATGGACGCTAGACGAAGTCGCCAAGCGTACGCTCTGGTCCACCAGCACATGTTCCTGGCGCTGCATACTTTCGTGAAGAAAGGTAATGAACGTAAAGACAACACGAAGGCCCCAGCGATAGGTTGTGCGTGTCCTCCTAGGATGTGGTGTTAACAAGGTAGGGAGCTGCGCACGATTGTACTTTGCGCTTGTCTTAAAGTTCCCGCTTATGATATTGCCTGTACGCTTACCAGGGTTTTTATTGCGTTATGCAGCTACGGATTGCGTGCGTGTGTATGGTTATAAGCTCTACGCTCGTAAGGCCCAGATCGAGCCAAAAGGCTCGTGGACCGCCCGAGAAAAAGCAGAGAAAGCAGAAGAGAATGTTTTTGGCATCAATAACGCCAAGCCACACGCAAAGCTTCCAAAACGGATTGCAGAAATTGGGAACTGGGCGGTGGGCACTTTCAAAACCCCTCATCGCCAGCCAACCATATTTGAAAAGCTTACTCGTCTAATTCGCTGCAGGCGACGAAGTCACCAGACTAAAGATAGCAACACTGTCGCGCGTATTGCCAGTTAGGAAAGCCTCAGCTGCGACAGCTGCCCAAGGGCCTTCAGCGCCGGTCGGGCTCCCAGGTATGGCGGGTGGGAAGCCGCATAAAAAGCCGCGCGCCTCTGCCCCAGCTGGGTCTCAGCGTAGCGCCTGCCTACCAGTCTCCCTGCTTCACGGCGGGATCAGCCCCCGTGTCAGTCTTCAGCCGCGCCCCTTCACCATCCATGCATTCAGGCGGCTGTCAGTCCAGAGGCGCTTCCCATGCAGGCACCCTTTGCCGTGCACCAGTGCACAGTGCTACTGCCTACGCATCGCCTCATAGCAGAGGGACGAAACGCCCTGGTTTGATATGCACACAAGAGGGTAGATGGCGCTGTGGTGGGTGGCCAAGAGGTCTCAAGGAGACCCGGGGGTCATCGTGATAGGGGCAATTGAAGGAGTAACATAACATCCTTGCATAACAGACAAGTTACGCCATGCGGCCCTGCTATTGCACTAGTAGCCTAACCAGCAGGCATTAAGCAGAACAATGCACAGGCGTTGCCGTACCAACAACAACCCCCGTAACATCTCTAAACCCTTCTACTCATCTCGCACCTCCCAACAATGGGTCCATGCAGCTCAAGAACGAGTGGTCAATGAAGAACCCGATCGAACTCCACCCCACGTAGCACAGCGATGATGCTCTCCCCAAGCAGCCATTACTTTCCATCACCTTCCACCAGCCCTCCCTCCTTTGCCCACTTCAACTCTTGCCTCCTCCGCTTTAGCAACCACGTTTCAACCTTCCCAGGCCGCCCAAACGTATAGGTCGGCAGCACCGCCGCCCAGTCCACAGGGCAGCCCTCCTCCACCATCCAGCGCACTATCGGCAAGGAGATGTCATAGCGCAAACAGTACGTTAAGGTCTCCGAGCCCTGCCAGGGACAGCCCACTCGCCGCAGGCAACGCAGCATGGCCATGTCCCCCTGCCGGGCTGCTACCACATAAGGTGTACGGTGAATGTCCTGCCCTGGAGCTACCTATGGGTGTGGGATGCGGCGCGGTGTGGGAAACATGGTCAGTGGATGAGAGCCACGGGTGTGACTAATCATGGGCATGCTTGCATGACATACACACTAAATACTCCCCGCACAAGCGGCTTTGTCCCTCCTCCTAACCTTCCTTCCAAGTACTGCTGCCCCCGGGCCCTGTAACGTAATTCCGCGGCCATCCCATAGATAAACTCACCCCACTGACCTATGGCTATGGGTTTGGGATTCGTTTTTTCACTTTTATATAATTTTACCCCACTGACCGCCCCTGTCCAAGCCCCACCAAAAAATGCCCCGCCACCCGCATACTCACCACGGGGCAGCCTCGCTCCGCCAGCCACTCCACCGCCTCCTCGCAGCCCGACTTTACAGCTTGGTGGAACAAGTCGGCAGTCAGGGCCGCCCCCTCCCCCTCCCCCGCCTCATGCACCATGCGCATCAGTACGGCACTCCCTGCGCCGGCCGCAGCCTTCAGGAGGTGTGGTGAGCGCAGCACATCCAGTCCCGCCACCTGGACCAGCCACTCCACAACAGCCACACGCCCTCCCTCCACGGCACTCTGCACGACATCCCCGAGGACCTCGTTGCTTGCATCAGTTGCCAAGCAGCCGCGTGCATGCAGGAGCTGCAACGCCTCGAGGTGCCCCCTTTCGGCTGCCAGGCTAGCCCCCTGGCTGACCGCCGTGAGGCCCTGGTCCAGCCAATACTCCGCGGCAGCTATGTTGCCCCTTGATACGGCTTCAGCCAAACCTGCTACCTCGTCATCCCTGTAAAGCGGGTAGCCCTGCTGCTGCAGCCATGTGAATCGGGCAATCGCATCAGGACGCCCCGTAGCACCGGTATATGCACCCGCATCCTTGGGGATGCGGAGTACCTTCTGTATCCACTCCAGCTTGGCCTGCCAATCGGCTGTCGGGCTGCCTGCTGCATTGGAGGTGATGGCCCACATCTCACCATATTTGAAATCGAAGTAGGGCTTCTCCATCTCATCATCCTCATTTCCATCCTCCTCATCCTCTGTCTTGACCCGTCTCATCCTCCATCCTCCCGTGTCTTGCTCGTCATCGCTGAACAGCTCCTCCTGCAGCTGTTTCAGTGTTTCCAGGTCGTAACCCCGCATAGCTGCCCCCAGGAAACCTGCTAGGTTGAGAGAATAGGAGCACCTTCCCAGCCAATTAAAGATCTCGGTTCGGCCCTCCAAGAGAGCTGCATACACGGTCGTCTCAGACACACAACAGTGTGTAGCCTCGAGCCACTTGCATACGTGCAGGTGCCCCGCCTCCGCCGCTGCATCGAGGGCACTGTCCTCTGTCGGCCAGCGCCGCTGATGCAGCCACTCACATACATGGAGGTGGCCAGCAGCAGCTGCAGAAGTCATCACCTTCTCCAGCCGGCTCCTAAGGACTGGAGATTCTGTATCGAAGCCCACGTTTTCAACCGCCACTTCAAGGTTAGCAACACTGCAGGTTCTCGCCGTCAGGCACAGCAGCTGCAGTCGCTGTTCCAGGTTGAGGCTCCGCATGGCGCCTGGTGCGCCCCAGCGCTGGGCGAAGATGTCATGTGGAACAGGCTCCCACACCAGCACCCCGGTGTGCTCCGGCCCCCGGAGCGCTGACGCAGCTGTCTTGTCCACCAGACGTAAGCCGCAAGAAACCTCATTGGGCGGCAGGAAGCGGGCGATGCACTGAATAATGTCGGGAATCCATATACGCGAGGCGTTTCCTTGGGCACTCCCGCCGGCAGCATTAAGCACCTCTCCGGGCTGCTTATCGTTATTCAGCACTACCACCACGCTAGGCTGCAGCGGGCTGGGGTCATGGTTGCTGCTGCTTGGATGGACGCTAGACGAAGTCGCCAAGCGTACGCTCTGGTCCACCAGCACATGTTCCTGGCGCTGCATACTTTCGTGAAGAAAGGTTATGAACGTAAAGACAATTCGAAAGCACCAGCGATAGGCTGTGCGTTTCCTCCTAGGATGAGGTGCTAACAAGGTAGGGAGCTGCGCACGATTGTACTTTGCGCTTGTCTTAAAGTTCCCGCTTTTATTATTGCCTTTACGCTTACCAGGGCTTTCCTTGCGTTATGCAGCTACGGATTGCGTGCGTGTGTACGGTTACAAGCTCTAGGCTCGTAAGGCCCAGATCGAGCCATAAGGCTCATGGACCGCCCGAGAAAAAGCAGAGAAAGCAGAGGAGAATGTTTTTGGCATCGATAACGCCATGCCACACGCAAAGCTTCCAAAACGGATTGCAGAAAATGAGCACTACCGGTATGCACGACGTGTAGGAGCTACGGGCGGTGGCCACTTTCAAAACCCCTCATCGCCAGCCAACCATATTTGGAAAGCTTACTCGGCCAATTTGCTGCAGGCGGCGAAGTCACCAGACAAAAGATAGCAGCATTGTCGCGCGTATTGTCAGTTAGGAAAGCCTCAGCTGCGACAGCTGCCCAAGGGCCTTCAGCGCCGGTCGGGCTCCCAGGTATTGCGGGTGGGAAGCCGCATAAAAAGCCGCGCGCCTCTGCCCCAGCTGAGTCTCAGCGTAGTGCCTGCCTACCAGTCTCCCTGCTTCACGGCGGGATCAGCCCCCGTGTCAGTCTTCAGCCGCGCCCCCTTCACCATCAGAAACAGTAACAGCTTTGCGAGGTCCCGGATGTTGGGCGGCTTGCGTCGTGTTGACGCATGTTGCTCATTTGGTCATCTTATCTTTCCCGTAACCCTCCCATGTGGTTGTCCGCTCCCTAGTTGATTGAAGATGCTCACAGATCCTCCTGAGGAACACTGGTCCACATAGCGTCGGGAAGACGACAGCCGTGCGGGTCGCCATCGCCGGGAGGGAAATGCTGTCTGCGGAGTAATCCTTCAGGGGGTGAATCCATGCATTCAGGCGGCTGTCAGTCCAGAGGCGCTTCTCATGCAGGCACCCTTTGTCGTGCACCAGTGCACAGTGTTACTGCCTACGCCTTGCCTCGTAGCAGAGGGACGAAACGCCCTGGTTTGGTATGCACACAAGAGGGTAGATGGCGCTGTAAGGGGTGGCCAAGAGGTCTCAAGGAGACCCGGGGGTCATCGTGGTAGGGGTAATTGAAGGAATAACCTGGATAACATCCTTGCATAACGGACAAGTTACGTCATGCTGCCCTGCTATTGCACTACTAGCCTAATCCGCAGGCATTAACCAGGCTACGGATGGGCTAGAGTAGCATATGATTACACGACTTGGAACACATGGCACCGCCTTGAGAGTGCTTTTGTAGCAAAGCGTGGTTGCGCGTTTATGCATACGTGACATCTGCAGGTTGCTACCTCGCCAATAAGGCATGGACCCCGAGGGCGATGGCACGCGACGCAGTACATGAGCTAGACGATAGACCAACACTTAGCTATTGATAGACATACATCTTGTAATTGTCATGAATACTGTACGCTGCTGATCTGTCTGCACTTGTATCTTCTCCGAGCGACAGACGAACTAGCAAGTGCAACGACTGGCTCTATGCCCCTAAGCATAGTTGTTTGCAATCGAATGTAGTAATCTTTTCTAAGGCTTGAAGCATAAGCTCCCGGGTACTTGGTGTAAGAGTACTTAAGAATGGCGGAAAAGGAGGGAGGATTCGGCCAAAATGTGCTTGGCAAGCTCAAGCTGGTTGGTGGCAAAGTCGTGGACTTTGGGGGAACTGTTGCTGGCAGGGTTGTTGACGTAGGAGGCACCCTGGGCGACAAAATTGGGGACATCGGCAACAAAATTGTCGACGTCGCAACCAAACCGCTTTTCGAGAGCGACTTCGAGCGCCTCAGGCAGCTTAACCAAATTGCAAAGCAGCAGCAGGACCTGCGGCGTAAGTACACAGAGGAGGAGCTTGCAGCTGTGGAGGCAAAAGCAGACCTAGTCCTCGGCCAGCTCTATCCCGGGTACTTTGAAGCAAACTTCGATCCGGTAGCTTATGAGCTGTCAAAGATCGACGAATCGGACAACCAGGACCACATCGAGGAGTTGGTGGAACGGCTGACGCAAGGGGTGGAGGTATGAAGGGGTTCAAGGGCGCATCCCCAAATGCCGGGAGACCATGCTGCTGCTGCTGCGCTGCGCTGCCAATGCTTGGACCCCGTGAACGGCGCGTGCGTGAGAGAGGCCATGCCGTGGCCCCAAACCAACCACCTTGCTCCCGACCACCTAACTTGCTCCTCCACCGAACTGCTTCAACCCTCACGTCAGCTGACGTTGCAAAGACCGATCCCACCCGCAGTCTCTAACCAGTCCTCCTCCTCTCCCTCTCCCCGCCTTCTGCCCCTCCCCCGTCTGCCACCCCGCTTCTTCCTTCCCTCCTCCTCCTCCCTCTCCGCCCCCTCCCCACCTGCACCTCCTCCCCTCAGACTGTGAGCGGCCGGCTGTCCCGCCACGTCAACAAGAAGCGCGATGTGCTGCTGGCGGGCATTGACCGGGTGGCGGAGGTGGGGCCACGGGGGGAAGAAGAAATCCCAGGGGGGGTGGGACGAGGGAAAAGAAGGATCTCCAATGTGTGGTGTGGAGAGGGGAGGAGGGAGCGCGGGCGTGGGTTGGGGAAGGAAGAAGGTAAGTAAAACCTTGCCGCTATTATACCCTGCCGTGACCAAGGGTGCAAACAAAACTAGGAGTCGCCCATGCATGCAAGCATGGGGAATGGGCGGTTTGCTGGCTGGCGGAGGGGTGTGGGGTTGTGGGGGTGCCGCCCGCTGTCGAGTTGGGCGAGGAGCCTCACAAGGCCGGCCCACGGCGCCCGGTACCCGGCACGGCAGTGGCAGCAGCCAGGAGCCGCCGCGGTTCCGGGAGCGCCCCCAGTTCAGCAGCGGGCAGCAGCAGCGGGGCAGGCGGGGGGCACCTGCACCCGCACCACCTTACCCTCCCTCCCTCCCTCCTACCAATTGGGTATTCTTGTTTTCCCTCCCCTCCCTTCCCCTTCCCTGCCCCACAGGTCGAGGACGATCTGAAGGCGGCCTTTATGATCAGCCGCTCCAGCCGCGCCACGCTGAAGGCGGCTGCGGAGGAGGTGGGGCGCAACATGCGGGTGGTGGGGCAGAGCCGCCGCAAGCAGTCGTACATGGAGCTGATGGAGGTGGTGGGCAAGATCAAGCGGGCGAGGGACCTGCAGGGACTGCTCAAGTGAGGGGGAGGGGGGGTGTGGTGGGGATAGTGGGGGTACAAATTCTGCATTAGGCTGGGGAGTTGGGTGTGCGCAGTTGTTTCAGTTGAGGCAGGGGAGGGGGGGTGTGGAGAGGGCGAGGGGTTGGGGAGACCCGGCGCGCCTCTTCTCCCGGAGAAGAGGCGAGGGTGTGAGGAAGGGAAGGGGAGGGGAGGGTCGTGCACCGGCGCTGGCGGCAGGCGACACATGACGTGGGTGGAGGGCCGCTGGGGGGAGCCCTCTGGGAGTTGTGCGAGCTCCCCTCCCGCCTCCTCCACCCCCCCCAGACGTGCTCAGGAGCTGGGCGAGTACGGCGACGCCATCATGACATGCGTGCAGTGCTTCCAGGGGGTGGACTCGCTGAGGCAGCTCACGGTAGGGGAGGAGGAGGGGGAGAGGGGGGAAGGGGGGAGAGCAGGGGAGGGAGGGGAGGAGGTGTGTTGGCAACACGAGGAGGGGGAGGGGGGTTGACCGGGCGCCATGCGAGTATGCTTGAGAGGAGGCCCGGGAGCAGCCTGCGGGATATGTGTTTCTGTGTGCGGTGTCCTGCCACCTACCCCTGGTATGGTCTTTGACCCCCCCCCTCCCCCCCCAGGTGTCCTCCGAGCTGCGCGCCACCGTGCAGCGGCTGTACCTGGACACGCTGCGGCGCATGGACGCGGCGCTCACCAACATATGCGCCGAGTTCGACCCAGCCAAGTACACCAAGGTAGCGTTGGGGGGGGCGGCTGGGGGGGGTGAAGGGGGTGGGGGTGGGGGGCTGGAAGGGGTGGGGGGGCGGAGGGACGGAGGGGCAGGGCGTCGGTTGGTCTGCACGCCTGGTCAGCGAGCCCCGGCGAGGTGGGTGTGGCACTCGCCTCCCCTGCACTCCCCTGCACTCCCACGCGTCTCTTCTTGCTCCCCCCCACCTCTCATTGCTCCCCCCCTCCCTCCCCCCCTCCCTCCCCCCCCTCCCTCCCCCCCCTCCGCAGATCCTGGAGGGCTACCTGCTGCAGGGCATCCCGCCCCGCTCGCTGGGCGACAAGGTGCTGCAGTGCTTCAAGGAGGCCATCCACGACGCCACCACACGGGTGGTGCGCTCGCTGCTGCTCACTAAACCCAAGTGAGGGGGAGGGGGGAGGTGTTGGAGGGGAGGGGGAGACTGGGAGGAGCATAGGAGGGGGAGCTACGGCGGCAGGGCAGGGAGGGGTGTGTGGCGTACACACCGGCGGCTGCACAGCGGTCTGACTCCAACTTGCATCTAGTGCCACCGCAACTAGATCCATAGCCTTCTTACACCGCACCCACCCACCCTTTGCCTCCCTAACCCCCCTTGCCCCCACCCACACACACCCTCCACCCTGATCCCCTCCGCCTTATCACACGGTTCCTTGGTCGTTTCCTCTTCACCACCACCCCCTTACCCCTCCCTTAATGCGGAATCCTCATCCCTATTCATCCCCCCTCCTCCTCCTCTCCCCCCCCAGACTGGCTGACCGCCTTGCCTCCGGCTCCGCCAGCTCCTCCAGCTCCGCGCTGCAGCTGGGCTACCCGGAGCTGCTGCGCGCGCTGCCGCCCGACCTGCTGCGGCCCTGCCTGCTGCGGCTGCTGGAGGTGCTGTTCGACACGCTGGCCTCCTACCACGCCATGGCGCACTGGCACGGACTGGCGCTGCAGCGGCAGGCGCAGGTGGCGGAGCAGGCGGAGGGTGAGAGAAGGGAGGGGGGGAGGGAGGGAGGGGGGAGGGGGGGAAGAAGGATTCCCGATGCGTTGAATGATGCTGGCAACCAAGCCCACGAGCTCCTGGTGAATGGAACCGAGGGAGGAGGATGACACAGTGGTGTGCATGTTCCTTATAAATACACAGTTCGGTTCAGGTTCGGTCACCTCTGTTTTGTCTGTTTTGCCTGTACTCGCGGTTCACATGCGAACCTATCCCAACTGCTTGCTCTTGTTCTACTCAACTACACACACACACTCTTTCTCTCTCGCGCCCCCCTGCCTCTCTACACCCCCTGCAGGTCTGGATGATGAGGCCCGGCGCGCCCAGGCCGCCACCACCTCCTTCCTGGCGGCAGTGTACGACATGATGCGGGTGAGGGGGGGTGGGGGGTGAGGGGGCGAGATGCGGGTGAGGGGGTTGGGGGCCAGCCACGGGACCTGGGCAGCGAGGGTGTCATGGCTGAGACCCCAGCCTGTCCCTCCAGCCCCCTCCCGCCTGCCTTCCCCTGCAGCTCCCCCCGCACCTCCTCCCCCCTGCCTGCTAACACATGGTTCTTCTTCTCCCCTCCTCCTTACTTGTTCCCTCTTCACCCCCCTCCCCTGCCCCCCCCCCCGCCCGCAGGTATCCCGTCCCGAGGTGCTGGAGGTGGGTGCCCGGCGCATCCGAGAGCTGCTGCTGCTGGACAGCCTGTTCAAGGGGGAGGACTTCATGCAGGTGGGGGGGCGGGAGCGGGGGGGAGGGAGAGGGAGGGGGACCGGAGGCTCTGGGAAGGAGAGAGAGGGGAGGCTTTGGGAGGGGAGAGAGAGGAGGCTTTGGGAGGGGAAAAGGGACCGCCAATAAGGGGCCGCCAATGAGGAGAAGGAGGGAGGACTAGGACTGGCACCACACGGCTGACCGCTTGCATGGCTCTGCTGTAGCAGCGGTAGTCTGCGTCCCGCCCGGTGCGCGGGTCCTTCAGCGCGTCCTGCCTCCCGCCCCTGACCCCCTCCATAACTCCCCCAACCTGCCCTCCTGACCTGCCCCGCCCCGCCCTCCCCACCCGCAGGTTGTGGACTGGTGCGGCAGGTTCGGCGGCATGGCGGAGGCCTTCCTGGGGGGGCCCTGCGAGATAAAGCCGCAGGTGGGGGGGGGAGAGGAAACATCTAACTGATCGTGTGATAAGGCATCACACGGGGGGAAGAGGAAGGACAGGAGGCACACGGGCAGACATGCTTACCAGGCCAGTGCGAGCTGAGGGCGTGTCCTGTCCTAGCCCCCACCAGCCCCGCACAGGCCCCACCGCCGCCGCTCTAACCGCCATCTCCCTCCCTCCTCCCCCCCTCCCCCTCCCTCCCCCCCACCAGGTCATGTCCCTGTGCGCCCGCTTCCTGCCCGCCTACCACCGCTCCAACCTGGAGTCGCTCACCACCTGCCTCAACAACGAGGCATGGCAGGTAGGGGGGGTCAAAGACCTCCGGACCAAACCATAGGAGAACACAGGCTAGGGCAAAGCAATGGGGGAGGAGGCGGCAGGGAGGGGGGAGGCGTGCTATACCCGTGCAGCGACCCCCCAACACCTCCTGCACCCCCCCCCTCGTCACCCCTAGTGGGTTGCCACTGCCATTCAACACACGTGCTTCTCCTCCTCCCCTCCACACATTGGAATTTCGTTTTTCTCCCCCCTCCTCCCCTCCCCTCCCCTCCCCTCCTGCCCAGGATGTCGCTGCTGCCACGGGCGGCGCCGGTGCCGCTGCCGCCGCCTCCCGCCTGCAGCTGGACGCAGCCATACTGCACTCGCCGCTCTACGTGCCGGGCTGGGGCGAGGAGGGGGCGGGCGCGCCGTTCGAGCAGTGGATGGCGGAGGGAAACCCCTTCAAGCGGGGGTGGGTGTGCCTGGCTTACTTGATATACGCATAAACCACCTCACTCTCAAGTCCCCTCACCACACACACCTCCCCCCTCCTCCCCCCTCCTCCTCCCCCCCTGCAGTTCGGGTGCCGGCGCGGGTCCCCCCGAGGGCCGCCAGCGCTCCCTGCTGGAGCTGCTGGCCAAGACCAGTGCGGAGGAGCTGCCGGGGGGGACTGCGGGCCCCCACCCGCACCCGCAGCAGCTGTCCCGGACCCCCAGCCAGCACAGCAACATGACGGACCAAGCGGGAGGGGTAGCAGGGGCAGCAGGCAGCAGCACCCCCACAGCGGCCACCACGCCCGCCTTCTCACCGGACTTTGGCGGGCTGGAGGAGGAGGGCGGCAGGCCGGCGGGCAGTGCCGTAACCGGGCCCGCAGCAGGAGGCGGCGCAGCAGCAGCGGCGGCCCCCGCTCAGGCGGCGGCGGGGGTGCAGGGGGCGGGAGCCGGCAGCAGCAGCAGCGGTAGCGGTAGCGCGGGGAGTAGCGGGGCGGCAGGGGCGGGGGCGGCGCCGCAACCGGCAGCGGGCGCGTCTGGGAGACCAGCGGCAGTGGCGAGTGTGGCGGCAGGGCAACCGGGTCCGGCTGGGGGTGGCAGCGGGGGTGTGCCGCCGGCGGCTGCTGCAGCGGGTGCCCCTGCGGCTGCCATGCTGACCATCTCCTCGCAGCAGGCGCTCAAGTACATCAAGCACTACGGGCAGATCATGCGGTGAGGGGGGGGGTGAAAAGGAAACAATCAACGGGGGGGAGGGTGAAAAGAGGAAACAGGCGAGCTATATGACGAGGCCTTACCATGGGTTGCATGGGGGCTGGGTGGGGGCTGGGTGGGCTGGTGGGGTTGGCTGACGCTGTGCGCCTGGCGTGGCTTGACGTCCGTGTGTGGCCGCAGGTTGGATGGGAAAGGGAAGAGGGGAAAAGAATAATATGCGGTAGTTGGAGTGGCGGCCGCGTTCTGCCTTATCCACCCCTAACCCATCCTCCCCTCCCCTCCCTTCCCCCCCCGCAGCCCCCTGCAGGGCCACTCCGAGTCCCTCTTCCGTTGCCTGGCGGAGATCTTCGACGTGTACCTGCTCTACTGCTTCTCCGCGTTCGGGGGCATGGGGCTGGAGGACCTGGTGTGGCGGGACGACGTCATCAGCGCCCGGCTGAAGGGCGCGCTGCTGAGGATCCTCACCGCGGAGGGGTCCAAGTACAGGACACTGGTGGGAGTGGGTGGGGATAGGGGGTGGGGAGTGGGTGGGGGTAATGGGGAGGAAACTGGCGAACTGCATGAGGGAGGCTTCACCATGGGTTGCGGGAAGGGGAGCACGGTGAGGAGGAGGGGAGCAGGGTGGGGGAGCGAGAGGGCGGGCCAACGTCCCCCAGGGTGCGTGCTTCGGGCGGTTGGAGACAAACGACCAGCGCGGCTGCTGGGCTCCTGGGAAGCCAGCGTGCGGGCGCTCGCATGCCTTCCCCCATCCCTGTATCCCCTCTTTCCCGTGAGGATGGTTGTTGTTTCTTTCCCAATGGCGGTTCGGTGTTGGCTGCTGCTGCTGCCGCCCCCTCCCTCTCCTTCTACTGCAGGTTGAGGAGCTGGGTCGCAACCGACCCACGGGTCGCGGCGCCCCCATCGCCTCCACCGGTCTGGGCTTGCTGGACCGCTTCGGTGACAAGATGGAGAGCCTGGCTGACAGCATGGAGCGATCCGTGAACCGCATGGCGGTGAAGCTGGGGGACAGCCGCGTGATGCAGGCCATGGCGGGGGGCGTGGAGGGTGGTGGAGGGGGTGGGGGTGGAGCAGGAGGCAGCGGAGGGGGAGGGGGGCCAGGGGGAGGCTACTACCCGGGTGCAGGAGGAGGCGGCATAGCGGTGCAGGGCAGTGGCGCGAGCCTGGTGGGGCTGTCGCAGGTGGGTGGGGGAGGAGAGGGGTGGGAGGGGCAGGAGGCGAGTCGGGATGTGGTTCCTCGTTACGCATAATGCTGTCCGACTACTGCTGTTGCACCTCTTTGTGCCCCTCGCCTCTTAAGGCTTGCCTTCTTTGTTCCTTTGTTCCTCCTCCCCTCCCCCTCCTGGCGTGTACACGAGCGCCCCTTCCGCACCTCCCTTCCTTTCCCCCCGCCCCCTCCCTCCCCCCCACCAGGTCTCCGTCACCAGCAGCAACAGCGGAATGCTCACCCCCCTCGCCCCGCCCCGACCCGGCGGAGGGGCCGGAGGCGGCAGCAACAGCAGCACACCGGACCACGGGGGTATGGGTGGCGGCGGGGGTGGTGGCGGCGGCGGTGCGGGTGGCACCCTGTACGGCGGTGGCAGCCCCGGCGGCTCCTCCCACGCGCGGCAGCAGTGGGGGCTGCGGGAGCGGGTGGTGGCGGTAGAGTCGCTGCTGCACCTGGCGGGGGAGCTCAAGGCGGCAAAGCAGGCCATTATTGTAAGAGGAGGGGTGGGGGGAAGAGGAGACAACTAGCTGACCGTGTGTTGAGGCGGAGGGTGGTGGTGGTGGTGGCAGAGGGTTTGTAAGCAGGCTGTGTTAAAGGGGGGGAGGGCTTGTAAGCGGGCTGTGGGTGTACGCATGGTGAATGGGGCTGCAAAGGGAGTACGCGCTGGACTGGTGATACCGGTAGCTAGGTGTGCTGAGGTGGGGTGGGCAGCAATGCTGCGCATGGGTGATGTTTCGCATGCATTGCATCGCAGGCTGTCAGGACATGTCCCTTATCCCTTACCCCCTCTCAACCCCCACCCATTGGGCATCTCTACCTCCCCCCCCCTCCCCCCCAGCTTGCGCTTCCCGGCCGCTGCCAGCGCGAGGTGGAGGCCTACTTCAGTCGCACCGTGGAGGCGGCGGGCGACCTGCGGGACCACCTGTTCAAGGCGGCGGCGAGGGCAATGATGCAGGTAGGCCGGGGGGGAGGGGGGAGGTAAAGAGGAAACAACTAACTGACTGAGGGATAAGGCGTCAACTTGGGTTGCCGGGGGGTAGGGGGGAGGGGTGGGGCGGGACAGGTAGAAAGTAGAGGGCGGGAGGGGCTAGGGAGAAAGCGCTGGCATGCCTGCCTCCTCTCGCCTTGCACACCCCCTCCTCCTTTCGAAGGGACGTCCATAAAACGTACTGGCTTGGCTCATTCAGGTTGGGATCATGTTGCAAACCACGATGACGCTTCAACACACGGTTCGTTAGTCGCTTCCTCTTTGTCACCTCCCCCCGCCCACCTCCACCCCCCCACCACCCAGGGCGTGTGGGACAGCGACCGCGGCATCCCCGCCGCCATCTCCGTCACCGACTACAACGTGCGCTCCCCCGCCGACAAGCACTCCCCCTGGGCGGACTTCACGGTGGCAGCACTGGAGCGATTCCGAGCCCGAGTGGCGGCGGCGGGGCTGCCGGGGGGTCTGGCGGGGGCGCTGTGGGAGCACGCGCTGGGGGTGGTGGTGGAGGGGCTGCTGGGGGGGCTGGCGGCGGTGCGGAGGTGCACGCTGATGGGGCGAGCCAACATGTCGCTGGACCTGGCGCATGTGGAGAAGCAGGTGGGGGGGAAGGGGGGGAAGGGGGGGAGTGGATGGGGGGGAGGGGAAGAAAAGGAAACTGAGGGGCGGGAGGGAGGGAGTGGATGGCGGGTAGGGGAGGGGGTGCTGGCAGGGGTATGCGGCTGGGTGCCGGTATGGAGCGGCATCTCAGCCCTCCAATCAGGACTGTGCTGACCCTTCCCCACCCCCCTCTGCTCCCTCTCTACCCACTCCTCCCACTTCCCCCCCCCAGCTGCGCCTCATGAAGCAGCCCACTGCGCCCCTGGCGGTGGTGGACGCTTACATCAAGGCCTTCTACCTGCCCTGGGAGGAGCTGCCCGGGTGGTGCCAGGTGGGGGGGAAGGGGCCGGGGAGGGAGGGAGGCAGGGGGGGAGTGCCATGTTGGGAGGAGGGGTTCGGAGGGGCACAACGCCGCTAGGCCGCCTGGGCCTCCTAACTGTCTCCCCCCCAGTTCATTTCCACACCCACTGCCAGCGCACACCGCAAACCGCAATACCCTCCCCGCTCCTAAGCACCTGTACGCAACCCCCCCTCCCGCCCCCCCTCCCCCCCTCCCAGTCCCACCTGTCGCAGTACGGCAAGCAGCGGCTGTTCACGCTGATCGAGGTGTCCGCGGAGTTCAACAAGGTGCGCCGGGGAGCCAAGAACGAGGTGCTGGAGATGATTGAGGCGCTGGACCCCGCACGCAGCTTCTGAGGGGCGGCGGGAGCGGGAGGAGGGGGAGGAGGTAGCAGCTTCGGAGCCTCTGGGGGTGGTGGGGCGGGATGAGGCACGTCACCAAGCGGGCAGACACAGACACAGCCGCTCGCACTCGGCACGTACTGCGAGTTGACACCCACCCCGCCTAGTGTGTCTTCCACGTGTTGCATATATACCGTGTGTGTTGCGTAGCGTTATGGCGGGCGCTGCTGCCGTACATGGGCGCTGCGGCGGCGCGTGGCGGTAGGCATGGAGGCAGCCGAGTATATGGGTATATGAGTGTGGTGAGGTGTGATCATCGACCGATCGCCCTATCTTCCGAAGTCCGAGTACTGGTACCGCTGGTGGTGGTTAGGTTAGGGCTTGGGAGGCGTGCGGCGTACCGCTTTGCGCTGCGATGATGATGAGGATCAGTTGTGGGTGAAGGTGGGAAGGGAGGCAGGTGACGGCTCGACTGGCTCGTGCGTGCGCCGCCGCGTTGGCGCTGCGGGTGGTTCACGTGGCGGCGTGCTTTTGGCGGTGCTTGGGGAGGGGGGCTAGCGGCACCTTCACATGGCGCGTGCGGTGGTGCGTGGCGGTGGCGGCGCGTGCCGGCTGTGGGCCATGAGGGGAGCGGCATGGGTGGCTGCAGCGGGCTGTGGTCTGCTGCTGCTGAGGGGTCATGCCTGAGGGGATTGCGAGCGGGTTGAAAGTGCTAAGAGTGAGAGGGGGAAGTGGGTTATTAGGGGGTTTAGGAAGGAGCGAGCTGGGGGCTATTAGAATAGGGGACACGCCTTACAGGGGGTCTTGTACAGGGCAGCGCACAGCAGCATATCCCACTAGGAATCCCTGTGTGCGCCATCGTGCTTTTAGGAAGCAGCTTATTTACAAAGTTGGCGTGACATGCATTTTGATTCTGGTCTGTTTAGGAGTCGGAGTGCGTTCACATGGTTTGCTTGGCCCGCTTGGGAGGCATGTGTGTGTTGTGCGGCACTCACGGAGGAAAACCCGATTGCGGGGAAGTTACAAACGGCTTGACGGCTTGTTAGTTGTTACAGCACCACGTCATCAGCCTTAGAGTACATGTGTTTTGTCACGCGCGTGCATATATACATGGCTGCCGGTGGTGCCTGCATGCCTCCTCCAATACACGCACACACCATCACGTTTCGCCTCCAGCCCCAACCAGCCGGGCGATTCGTATAGGCGCATGCTTCCCCCTGTTGCCCTCCCCCTCGCTTGCCCCCATACGCGTGTCGTGCCTCACCACGTGCACACCCCGCAACCCCCCCCCCACACACAACCACCCGCCTGCATAACGTGCCTCTCCACCGGCTCACTCGCTCCCTGGAATAACCGGTTTACACCCGGCACACAGTGCGACCGCCCCCGTGCTAACGGGTGCTTCAATGTCGCCGCTATGATAGGGCGGTTGAGCGTTGCCGTACCATACTTGACTGCTGCAAACCCGTACAACCAATATTAACTGCTTTTGGCTCTCTCTTCAGTCCGGTTGCCACGTGTGAAGCCATGCAACTGCATGAAAGTGCATGCCCCTATTTTCCGGCCTCGCTTCTCGCCTCGCCACCCCTCCACTCCTCAATCCGAGTCCCCGCCATCCTCCTCCTGCCCGCCCGGCTGCGGCTGCTGCTGCCCCCCTCCTCCTCCTCCCTGCTGCCCCCCGGCCCCCGCAGCCATCCCCCCCGCCCGCCCCCCCGCCGGTCCCGCCTCCAGCGTCACGCTCACCTCCAGGGTGCTGTTCTCGCGCAACACCGTCAGCCGCAGCGTGTCACCCACCTGGTGGGGTGGGGGGAGGAGGTGGGGAAGCGGGGGATGGGTAAGCAGGAGGTGAGGTGAGGTGGCATGTAAGCGATGCCCCATGCCTCATCCCTATCCACCCACCTCTCTTCTCGCCCTCCCTCTCCCTTCCCACTTCCCGCACTCGTTCACCCACTACTCCATCCATTCCCGCACCGCTCACTCCTCCTCCAACCCTCCTCCGCTCTACTCGCTCCCCCCCACCTGGCTCTTATCCAGTACCCGGTACAGGTCGGAGCTGCTCTTGATCTTGTTGCCGTTCACCGCCGTGATGATGTCCCCCAGCACCAGCCGCCCGTACTCGTCCCGCCGACTGCCCTGCAGACCCGCACGCCAGGCGGGGCCGCCCTCGCGCGCACTCAGCACCAGGATGCCTTGGGGGGGTGGGGGGGGGGGGGGAATCCAATGCGTTGAATGAGAACGCGGGAGTGGGGCGGTGTCCAGTGTCCGCAGCTGCCCATGTCGCGGCCCCACCCCCCGCCCCCCCCACCCTTGATTCCCAGCGCCTCCGACGACTGGTCGGGCGCGAAGGAGATGCCCAACACGGGCCGAGTGACCTGGGGGGGTGCGGGTTGGGAGGGGGGGGTTGCAGATCAGGGGTTGGAGCCAGGACAAGGACACATGCAAGAAACGGGGTAGCGCCGGCATGCGCAGAGGGCACGGCCGCCCCTCACCCCTCCCCCAGCTTTCCTCCCTCCTCCCCACCTTGCCGTACGCTATGATCTGTCCCCCCCACCTTGCCGTACGCTATGATCTGCCCCACGCTGCTCTTCACAATGTCCACGGGGATGGCGAACCCCACTCCGTTGTTGGCGCCGGTGGGCGAGTAGATGGCGGTGTTGATGCCGATCAGGCAGCCGCCGCTGTCCAGGAGCGGGCCGCCGCTGTTGCCTGGCAGCAGGGGAGGGGCGGGGCGGGGGGGAGGGGCGGGGCGGGGGGGAGGGGCGGGGCGGGGGGGAGGGGCGGGGAACACAAGAGGCCGGCAATCACAGTACGTTCCGACTCGCGGCCAGGTTCCTTAACCCACCCTCACGTCACTTAACCCCCTATTAACCCCTACTCCCCTCACCTAACCCCCACCTGGGTTGATGGCCGCATCGGTTTGGATGACATCCTGAGGGAGGGTGGGAGGGTGGAGGGAGGGAGGGGAGGGTGGGTGGAGGGAGGTGAGGGAGGGGGGCAGCATGGGACCGTGACCGCAGGGGGCAGCAGGAGCGAGGGAGGTGAGGACTGTGTAGGGTGTTGTGTAGGGCGAGGAAGCGAGGGAGCTTGCCCGCACCTGTCTCCCTTTCCTTTCCATCCCGTCAGCCCTGTTAACACTCTCATCACAACGCATGTGCCCCCATATACCACTCCCTCCGTTCCCCCTTCCCAAGCATGGTACTTCTCCTTCTTCCGTTGCTGCACTTGTCATTTATTCCCCCCCTCCCGATCCCCTGCCCCCTCCCACCTGTATGGGCCGCCCGCTGATGGACTGTATTTCCCGGCCCGTGCCGCTCACCACCCCCGTGGTCAGCGTGTGGTCCAGACCGAAGGGGTTGCCGATCGCATACACCTGGGGGGGCGGGGCGGGGGGAGCAGCGAAGAGCAGGGGAGCAGCGGGGCGGGTGCAGAGGTCACGCTGGCAAGCCACCGCAGCGGCCCGCCTGCCGTACCGTACCGTACCTGCAGGGGCAGCTGCCCAGTGGCCAACACGCCTCCGCAGGAGCCCCTTCAGGGAACCCGTCATCCACCCATCCTCCCCTGCCTCCCACCCTCCCCTCCCTTCCCTCCCTCCCACCACCCACCCGCCCCCACCTTCTGCCCCACCACCAGGTCCGCTGAGCTGCTGCACACACTCAGCGGCTGCAGCTGGGAGCCCGCCAACTGCAGGGGGGGAGGCGGGGGGACAGCGGCAGCGGGGGCCGGTGCAGGCGAGGAGGAGGAGGAGGAGGGGGGCGGTGAGGCGGTGCTGCCCGCCTCCGTCCCCGTCCCCTCCCGCTGCTGCTGCTGCTGCTGCCCCCCAGCTGGCGATGCGAGTGGCGGTGCGGCCAGCAGCTGCTGCGGTCGGGAGCTGCCGTCTCCCTCCACCCCCGCAGCGGGGGGGGTCAGGGGGCCGATCTGCAGCACCGCAATGTCCTTGTCGGGATCCTGGGGGGAGGGGAAGGAGGTAGGTGGGGAGGCGATAGGGAGATGGGTGAAGCAGGAGGGGGCGTGGAGGGGCCTTAAAAGGGCGGAGTGACTCGAAGATGCTGCTCGGTCGGGTCCCCTGCCACACCGTCGGCTGGTTGCCTCCTGCTTACCTCACCCACTCCACCCGCCCGGCCCACCCAGCTCCCCCCCCCCAGCCAGCCTCACCACGCCCACCACCCGCGCTGAGAACTCCTCTCCGTCCGCCAGGGTGACCTGGGGGGGGGAGGGGAAGCGGGGGGGAGGGAACGGGGGGGTCAAAGACCATACGGGGGGGAGGGGAAACGGGGGGGAGGGGAAGCGGGGGGGAGGGGAAGAAGACTTTCCGATGCGTTGAAGGAGAATGCAAACCAGATGACAAGGGCGGAGAGCGGAGAGGCGCACAGGCCAACAGGAGTATCCGCTGTGTGCTGCGGGGCCGAGTGTCATGTTGTCCTCCTCCCACCCCCACACCACACATTGGAATTTCTTTTTATCCCCACCCCCACCCCCACCTTGATGTCGGATGCGTCCTGGATGACATGGTAGTTGGTCACCACGTGGCCCCACACGTCCTGGGGGGGAAGTGGGGCAGGCCGGGGGGAGGGCGGCTGGGAAGTAGGAAGGCAGGAGGGGAGGGCGGAGAGGTCATGGGAGGGCGGGAAGGGCATCACGGCTGGGCCAAGCAGGCAGCACCCGGCTGCCGCCATGGCAGCCGCTAGCAGCGGCAGCGACAGCGACAACGACAACGACAACGACAGCGACCCTAGAGACCTACCCCGCAGCTGCGGCCTGGGCCAGGGCCCCTTCCATGCCTTGCCCAGCTCCCTCCCACCCACCCTCCCACCCACCCTCCACCCCCACCTAGCGGCACACCGCCGCCTGCTCTCTCTATCGTCTTTTGACCTCACATATGGCTGTGGTTTCCTGCCTGACTCCCACCTCCCTCCCCGCCGCGCCTCTCACCCACACGAAGCCGCTGCCCTGCCCCTGCGGCAGCTCCAACATGTTCATGGTGAAGGTGTCACGTCTGGGGGAGGGGGTTCAAAGACCATGCACCAAACTATAAGAAACCACAGGTTAGGGCAAAGCAATGGGGGTAGTGGGAGGCGGTAGGGTGCCGCAAGACAAACGGTTGGTTAGTATTCCGGCGGGGAAGGAGGAGGAGGAAGGGGCGGGGAGGCAGAGGGGTTGCGGGCGGCGGAAGTGGGGTCATGGTGACAGGGTGTAGGGGACACATGGGGGGGGGCCGAGTGTCGTGAGGAGCAGGAGACCTAGTCAGGGCAGCAGCAGGGCACCGCTACATTCTTTCGCATGATAGGTTGATGATTCCTAAGGGGCAAAATCTTTCTGCCCCTCCCCGCCACTTGCTGCTAGTTGCCCCGCGCTGCGGCTGCTTACTTGATGGCTAGGTTTGTCACATTGACAACGCTAGGAGTGGAGCGCTTGAAGATGTCAATGGTCAGCTGCTCCTCGGACGTCAACCGAGGCTGGCTGAACGCCGGTCCGGGCGCGATGCAACTGCTGGTGAGCAGAGAGACTGCTCCCAAGCCCGCGACAACCGACCGCAACAATCGATGGACTGGAAGGCCGTCTGAGGTATCTCCATTAAGCCAGTCGCTCTCATGCTTCGAGCATGAGGTTTGTCTCGGCTTGGCCTGGCAGCACAGCGCGCGCCCGCGATCGTTGACGTCAGCGAATGCATGGAAGCATGTGCGCCGAGTCAAAGCAAGCGGTCGCTCAGCAGCAAGCCGTTTGCGCTGTGCATAGAAGGTGCTACAACACCGCGTAGAGCGTCCAGTTCCTGCACCTGCACATCGGTGCACATTAAAGGGGCATGGCTATAGGAGGCTCCAACAGCTCCGGATTTCTCCGCTAAAATCCATATCATCTTGGGCCAAAATGGATAAGATGATGGGTATAATACTTGTGTGAGGCGCACCTAGCGCTCCGGGGCCAGATACGCATTCCAAACGAGGGTTCATCCCCTGCCCAACTTATAATCCTGCTCTTCGAGGCCACGATACGACAGCTTTATGTTTAATCTAGGTACTGCAACATGAGTTAGACCTAACGCTATGAATTGCAGGTCAAGAAGTGTCCATCCGGCTTATCATGTCGTCCGATGGTTGGTGGTTACATCGCAGCGGTTGCCGATAAAAGGTCTTCGCGCACGCACATGCGCACGCCAGTTTCACTTCTAACACCTGGCACATGTTCACGGCTTAGTTTGAGAAAGGACTGAGGCCTGGGAGTGGTCATCCACGAGTCTATACCCATGGGCCCTGACGCGTCTGGACGTCACCCAATGCCAGCGCAGTGGGTGACATCATGTGACATCATGTGCCGGCCTCTTCGTCATGTCGGATTCCAACTAGCGTCTGGTAGGCTGAGGGATGCATGTACTCCGCTCCTTACGGCATCACTCTCCGTGTGATGCCCCAGGTACACGGCGCCTGCTCGTACTGCCTCCTGCGCACCATCTCACACCCGCAGCCCCTCCGGCCGGGCTGGGCCTGCCGCCATGAGCTCATGCCCACCCCCTTTTTTTCCGATGTGGACTGTTACAGAGGAAGGACAGGAAGACCACCAAGAAAACCAGCGAAGAAAAAAACCCCTGCCACGTGAGGGGACTGTGTGGCGCATGTGAGCAAGTGGCCCCCAGGTGACCCTGGGTGTGAGGAGTCACGTGAAGTCCGCAAGTAGACGAAGGACGGATGGAGCTGTTGCATGCAGGAGACCCTTACCGCCTTTTAGCCGCATTCACACCTAACCTACGCTCATGCCTCCTGACACCGCCCCCGCCCCTTCTTCAGTCATTACTGCCATGAACCATTGGACTATTTTGCATACCCGGGGCGGTCTCGTTCCCTGCTCGCGCTCACTGTCACTTGACTGACCAGCATACGCTTTCCCCTCTCTCCACTTCTCCGTTTACATGGGCAGCAGCACGCTGCCATCGACACTGTGCCATGCGACAGACACAGCAAGTGTGCCACAGGCTGCCTGTCCCGCACGCATGCATGAACGTTTAACCCAACCTGCACGGTTTGTGCGCCCGCCGTAACATTCCTGGGCTTCGTGTCTGGAAATGAGTCCGCGAGCGATGGCTGTTGCGCCATCCCTCCTACGGCTTATAAGCGCAGAAATGCCGACTCGCAGCCAGAATGACCGTGACTAGAGTCACTCTTGCCTTCTGTGGTTTTCCACCATGTCACACGTGGAAGTGACGTGCTTGACACACAAATTGCTGCAATGTAAAATGCCAAAGCAAACATCTGACGCGTTTCCTTACAGTGGTGTGTATACCATGAAGGTAGTATGTGGTCGTGACCACAGAGTACTCCGTAAGCAAAAGTAGCTTTCACTGACTGGGAGGTGTACGGTAGTACTGTATGTATGTACTTATGCTTGCATATGTCGTGCATGCTTTTAACCGAAACATACAGCCTTAACACCAGTTTCTCGCGTTAGTGTCTTGACTGTTAGCAGTACAGCGGAAAGTGGCCGCGCCCCAATGCAAGTATAGGTGCAAACAAACCAGGTAGTCCTCAAAATGGAATGCGTATGCTTCACCCTTATCGTCGATGACATTGTCCTGCCCAACGGAGAAACGGTTATGGAGGTGCTAGGCGGTGGTGGTAAGCACATCTGTCCATCTGTTACATCATTACCCACCGTACCTCAACCGATGTCGCCGGTACTCTCCCGACAGGGCCCCAGACACTATTCGGGTACCAACTGGTCACCAACCAGACTGCCTCTGTTGGACTCTCAGGTTAACTCCCATAACGACTAACTTAGCATCCACATGCGCTGACCAGTCCGGCTGGCCTACAATTTCGGGTCACTAATTAGCTTCCCGCAGCACGGATCGCTTGCCATCGTTGCCAGCTAAATGCAGTGCCTTTGCCTGCCCAGCATCACCGCCCACGTGCTTACGAGCTCACGTCGTGCAAACTCCGCATGTCGAGCGACATCCATTCCCAACAACCTATCGGTCCAAAAAACTGCCGCCCTTTGCTTGAGGTCTCGCACAACCGGGCCATAATCCTTTGCTGCCTTCCTTCTTCCAAGTAACGACACATAGTTCCCTCCCGCACTTGTCGGCCCCTCCGCAGCCGGCGTTGGTCCAGATCTGCCTCCCAAATGCAAGGTGAGATTGTTCCTGCAGCCACAGCACCACCACCACCGCTGCGTTCGCAGGCGCCAGGCTCCCCCGCCCTCTGCCCTAAGTGATTTCCCCCGCCGCAATCCGCGTGCGAACATTTCTAGATCTTCATTGTACGACAGTTGATCCCATGTGTGCCACGGGGACATGCAACACCTGCCTACCTGTGGGGCCGTACCCCCCCCCGCTCCAGCCGCGCCCCATAGCAGCCACAGAAGCCCCACTTCCACCTCGCTATGGTCACCCAACCCCCCCCAAATAGGCATCAGTTAAAGTGGTGTTATGCCCTTCTACCCTTTGAGATGCGTGTTATTAGTGCCTCCGAATGCGCTCACTGCATGAGTCGGGATATGGGATTGGGACTTAGTTGTTTGCATTTCTTATATAATTTTCCCCTCTCCCCTTTCATCCGCTTCCATCTCTTTCCTCCTCCCTTCCTTCCCCCTTCTTCCCCCACTTCCTCCCCCCTCTCCAGGACTGGCTGGTTTCCCTGGGGGTGGACGTGTCGGGTCTGGTGCCGCACCGCCGCCCCACCCCGCGGGCCTGGCAGGTGTTCGAGGAGTGGGGCCGCAGGACGCAGGTGGGGAGGCAGGGGGGCTGGGGGCTGGGGGTGGGCAGGGCGACGGGGCCTGACAGGGGCACCTCCGGGACTGAACCCGGTAGTCCTGGTACCCCGCATGTGAGCTCATCCAAGCCCTTTGTACGGCAGCCCTGTCCCAGGGAACGTATCCCCCTACGGTAGCCCTATCCGTAGCATCGTATATCAGCGGGACGCTGACCCTTCCCCCTCTTCCCATGACCCATGGGGGCATGGGGCGCCCCGCACCCCCGCAGATCTGGCGGGGCCGCGATGACCCCTGCGAGGAGTTGTACGACATGCTGCGGCCCCGGTACGACAGCCTGCCCCCCGCCTTCCGTACCTCCGCCAACTTCCACCTGGGGCTGCACCCGCTGCACCCGCCGCTGCGGCTCATGCGGCAGCTGAGGCGGGCGGCACATGAGAACGGAGGTGGGGCGTGCAGGGGGCAGGGCGCGGGTGCGGGCCGGGGTGCAGAGTGTAGAGATGAAACGACGCCGTTGTAGAGGCGGGGTGCCCCTCCTCGGGGCCCTTGTAGTGCACCAGGGGACACCTTCTCGACAACTGCCCGAACCCGCTTCCGCTGCCCTCCCGCCCCGCAGGCGCCTTCTCCGTGGAGCCCTACACGGCCGCTGAGACAGCCGCCTCACCCGAGCAGGTGACCCGTGGGTCAGTCCTGGAGACCCATTGTCCGCACCCTGTCCCTTCTTCCCTTCCCTTGCCATGCCCCAAAACCTTCTCCCCTCGTCCACAAACAAAGCATGGTTTCCCTTTTTCCCCCCTCCTCCTCCAGGTAACGCAGCTACTGGCGCACTGCGACATCTTCTCACCCAACGAGGCGGAGGCGGAGTCTATTGTGGGGCCAGGTGGGTGGGGGTAGGGTGAAGCACTGCCAGAAGTGCGGATGGTGGGGCCAGGTGGGGACCCGTCGCTGCTTCCTTCTCTGGTCCTTTCTTCACAATCACACCTCCTTAAGTCCTTAACTGTCCCCCATCCACCGTTCCCCACCATCTCTTTTACCCCTCCCCGCCCACGGTATCCCTTGGTTTGGTGCCTCCCCGACCCGCACCGCTCCCCCCTCCCAGGCTCCCCCTCCGAGCTGGCCAGCCGGCTGCTGTCGCTGTCCCCCCCGGGCGGTGCGGACCTGGTGGTGGTGCGCTGCGGGGCGCAGGGGGTCACGGCGGCACGCAGGCGGATCCCAGGGAGCGGCACCCCGGGGGCGGGGGGCCAGGGGGAGGGGGCGGACGAGGGCGGGATGGAGGTGGAGGCGTACCAGGTGAGGGGGCCGGGGCCGGGGGGGGATGGGGGCTGCTTAAGGGAGCTGGTGGATCAACCAGAGGGGGTTCACAGGACGGAGCAACGTGGAAGCAGCCGACAGGGGTGTCGCGGGAAGGGGCAGGCAAAGGGGCAGGGTAAGAACGCGGCGGCTGAGGGGTTTCCTGATCCACAGTCACAACCACCCCACCAAGCTTCAGTTTCTTCTTCTCCAAACCTCCCCCCCAGGTGCCTGCCGTCGCCGACACGCGGGTGGTTGACGTGACGGGCTGCGGCAACGCCTTCTGCGGCGGTTTCCTGGCCGCACTCTTCCGGGGGGGCAACGCCACCCGCCGCCAGCCGCGCAGCAGCAGCAGCAATGGCAGCGGGCACACGTGCAGCAGCAGCGACAGTAATGGCAATGGCGGCAGCAGCAGCAGCTGCGGGCACAGCGAACACTACGACACCGGCACTGCGGCTGGTGCCGCCGCGCAGCAGCAGCAGCAGGGGGAGGAGGGGCAGGAGGCGGGGGCGGAGGCGGCCCCCCTTCTCCCGCCCGCCTGGCTGCAGTCAGGCGAGCTGTCGGATGCGGCTGCGTGGGGCTGTGTGGCGGCGTCCTTCATGGCGGAGGAGCGGGGCGTGCCGGGCAGCAGCGTGCGGGAGCTGCAGGTAGGGGTGGGGTGTGTGTGTGTATGTGTTGAGGAAAGTATTAAAGAAGAAAACGTAATGGAGGTGGGGTGAAGAATAAGGTGGGGGCCCAGGGGGGGGGGTGCACCGGACCTTGGAGGTAAGCGGGCGCTGTGCACCGCATGTGCAAGGTGAGCTGGTGCAGCGGTTGGGATTTGGAGTACAAGGGATGCGGGTTGGGGAGCCGCTGCGTGCATAACCGAGTACCCGCACTCAGTTCCCTTTCATGTCGGTTGTCCTGATGCAGCCGAGAGCGAGGGAGCGACTGCGCCACCTGCTGCCACGCGTGCAGCCTGTGCAACTGATGGTGGCAGGTAGCAGGGCAAGGAGGGTCGCGAAGCCAGTTGCCAGAATGCAAGCTGGCACTTCAGTTTCGAGCGCGGCAAACCGGTCGTATCGCAGCGGGGTAACGGTATCGTGCGTTCGAGTCGCACCGGCCACAGCGCCTCTTGCAATTCGAGGTTTGCGCTTGTGAGGGAATGGGTAGAGGATAGGTCACATGTGCGTTTGGTAGCTCCGAGAAAAACTACCAAATGCAAGCTGGGGAGCTGAAAGCGTCGACGAGGATCGGCTTGCAATAGCAACGATACATTAGCAACGGCTTAAAAATGTAACGCACAGAGTTTAACCGTTTGATGGCATGGGGGATTTAGGCGCGTCGACCGTACGACACTACGGGTGAGTGTTAGTCCTGTGTAGGAGAGTGATTATTCGAGGTTGACGATAGTAGGTCCGTATGGCAAATGGTCATATACTCGCGAAGCCACAACAATCCTTGTTGTTGTAGAGAGCTCCTGCCTGTGAGGCTTCCATTCACAAACTTGACAGGCAGCGTGAGAACCTGGCGCCCTCAAAGCCTGCCCTGCTGACTTCTGCACAATTACCGTTGCCTACTACCTATGGGGATATGGTCAGGCACAGTGCTTCCATCGGTACCGCTTGACATAAGTGGAACCGTGGACTTCACGAATGCGCTCTGGGCGTGCGTAATTTGTGCTGGCATAGCGTGCCTTGGGACAGTGATGTCGCGGAGACGCTGTCAAGGGCGATTAAGGTGCGGTCAAGTGGCGCGCTTTTATGTCGGCGTTTATGCCAGGCCCGGTCTCCACTGCTGCAATACACGCATGTCGATAAACTAGATTCATTTTTACTTCATGGGCCGAAGGCTATTGCATTTTGTGTCGCGAGTAAGCCGGGGCCCGTGGGATGTCCTTTCGTGTGGACTGCTACGCGACATGCATGTCTTCTTACGAACGACTTTTACGTTGTATTTCTGTTCAGGGAAATGGTATCCATCCTGCCAAGCTCTCAGAAGAACTGGCACGGTGGCAGCACCGCCGACATACTGAGGACGGCTTTGCCGTCGCAGCTAGAAACTTCGTGCGAACTTTTGGATGCTCGCACAGAAGTTGATGCTGCAAAATTCAGCGCCTTCTTCTCGCCTAGGCCGTCCTTTGGGGTCATTGGCTGCGATAGCCCTTTTCCCTCGTCATGCAGTTCCACAGCGAGCAGTGTTGCCTCCAGCACAGCAAGCAGTCGCAGCAACCGAAGCGACAGCGATGCCGAAAGCGAAGGCAGCCGTCGTTCTGCTGTTGGCAGCCGCTGTAGCTGCGATTCTGGTGAAGAGGAGCTCGTGCGGCTCCGCTCCTCAGTTCACGAGGCTCAGGGGTCATCCGCAGCGTCATCGCCGACCTCACGTCGGGCTCTACGTCCGGCCCTCCGTCAGTCACAGGGGGGGCCTAAGCGCGCCAAGTCGGTTTCCTTCCAGGCAGGTGGGCCGGTCATTTGCTCCCCTCCGACTGTGGAGGCGCTTGGTCTCTTAGCCGCCGGAGCCTCGCCAGTGCCATTCCAGCAGTCTTCCTGCTCTCGCAACGGCTGTACATCTACATCGCCCTCGGCGAGTCGCGCATGTGCTGCTGCAACGGCAGTCACCGCTGCCGCAGCAGCTTCTCCTTCTGGAGCCTCCTCGGCCTCTTCCTGCATTGGTTCAACATCGCACTCACAGTCAAGAGGCAACTCCGTTGCAGCTTGCAAACAGCGGCCTAGCGCTCCTGCGGCAGCACCCACGGAAGCCCCTGGCCATCTGCGGCTACCAGGGACATTGCACGCTGCGAACAGTGTGCCTCAGGGGAATTGGTCCGCCTGGAAGCTGCCGACCCGGGCTCACAGCTGCAGCGCTCACTCGGCCCATGCCGACACCCTCGCACGCACCGCGGCGGGCCGGCAACGAGTGATGGCTGCCCTGGAAGAGGCAAAGGCCCGCCACGCGCACTTGGGCCGCAGCGCCTTGCAGGCGGGCAGACCTGTGGCGGCTCAGCGTGCTCAGCAAGAGCTGTCCAGCATGCTGCTGCAGCAGCAGGTTCGTGAGTGTGGCCTGGAGCGTCTAGCGAGTCTGCCCAACCTTCCGTTGGCATCGAAGGACGCGGGGATCTTGTCCGTTGGGTACGCTGCAGCTGCTGCAGTTGCAGTGTCGGCACCGGCTACCCAGGAGGAGGTGGTTTCATCTGAGCAGCGCGGGAGTTGCAGCAATGCGTCAAACGCAGCTGGGAGCAGCATCAAGGCGTTGGTGGAGGCTGTCGTGCCGGCCATTAGTCCTACCAGCTCTGGCCTCAGCACATCGCTGGTTGCGAGCTTGGCCGCTGCAACACTGGCGACTGGGGGTGCTGCTGCCACGCTCCGGGACGCCTCCTTGGCTGACCGTTTGAGGTTTGCCGGGGCGTTTGCGAAGCAGGGTTGCTAGCCGCCTTGCAAGACGCCATGCTAGTACTAGTCGTTTACGTAAAATGTAGTTGTGCTTGCTGTCAGAGCAGACCGTCTGTGACTGCCCAGGCGAGGCAGTGATCGGAACTGCGGCGCAAGCAGTAGGCTCCACTGCACGGCAGGCGTCGTGGTGTTGTAAGCTGTTTGAGAAGAGATGTTTTGGGGCTGTTGTGGGGACATATGAGAGTGTATGAGTGTTGAGAGGATGGGTCTTGAGACCTGCGCAGCGCGTCTTCCCGTGTTGCGAAATGATCCATCGCCATAAGTCATAAGACATAAGAAAGCACTGTTAACGTATCTTGGTAGCGTGGAGTCCAGTATGGAGCAAGGGCTGTGTGCAATCAATATGGAGCAAGGGCTGTGGGCACTTGGCTAACAGCATCATACTGTATGCGATTGCCGGTCCTGCATAACCTACCACGGCACGCTGTGTGTCGTTCTGGGTTGAAGGCTGCTGAGGTGTGTCGTTTAGCAGCAGACCCTGGTTCCCGTTGGTATTGAGACAGTTGTTTGACTGGCGCGTTAGGTCAACTGGCTTGAAAGGGCAGCCCTTTGTCTTCTGCAATCTGCTGGATGCTGCTGCTGTCATGACTTGGCGACCTGCAAGGATCAAGGATGTTAACCTGATCTGCAGCGGCAGAGCTGTCCTTGAGGGTTCCTGCTGCATTGCCGTTGGTCTCCAATGCCTTAGATCTACTGACAATAACATGGACTTTATGCAATGTGCTTGCATGTCGTGAGTGAAGTATGGAGTGTATGCAGTCGTTCTAGTTATTTTTTGTCCCATTTCGTGCAAGCGCTGCTTTTGCAAAAGCTCTTTGACTTGTGCGCTACGCAGGTTGTGCCTTTACGGGGCAGCCACGATTACTAATCCAGGCCTGCCGTACATAGCTTCGGTATGACGAGATTACGGTGTGCTCTGGCGCAGTCGTGTTCGCTGTGTCGTGACTCTTAGTGTCTGAAGGCAGCGCTAGTTTCGTATATTGTGACGGCTTTGTCGTAGAGGAGATCTATCGGAACAACTGGTTATGCGCCATAAAGCCGCATTCTCCAAGGTCCGGAATCCCCCGTTGCTTTGAAGTTTTACAGTTGGGGAATACCCATGACTGGGATGATGGCCATGTTATGCTCCTGTAACCGCGATTAACAACGAATGTTTCCCACCATCCATCTCGCGTCAGACAGCTCGCGAAACCCAAATGCTGACTGCAGCTTTATCCGGGATAACACGTTGCGTAACTGCCCTTTGTTACCTTCGTGGGACCACGGGGACAGCCATAGTGATAAGCTGATAACCTATTATCCTGACTTTTACCCTACCGGTACTTGGAAGTCGCTGAGCTAGCAAGTCTATTTTCATACTTTAGCTTGTTTACTTACATCAAAGGTCGCAGGTAGTCGTAAGAGACAGTTGTATAGGGCTATAGGCAGAGCTCGGGATAAGGCTTTTGCAGTACGTTAGTGCCGGATTTGCCATGCCAGCCGACTAACTTTTCTTTTCCTTACAAGTGCCCCCTGCATATAGCTTCAAATTCCATATGCTCGAAACTGCTGCTTAATATTATGCGCTGGTTGCAGAAGAGGACCAAATGAGCAGGCGGCACAATTTCCAACCGACAGCTTCTGGTCTCGCCCTCGGTCTGCTATTAACAACTTCATCTTACATTGTCCTTTGCTCAGCCCAGCATGTTGGCGTTCAACACCATCGAGACATCTGCGATGGTGTTGCAGCTTGCAGCTCTGCCGGTCCCCCGCTAGGAACCACCGCTTCATCAGAAGGCCCAAAGCCGAACACGTGGGCTTGGCTCAGGCAGTTACAAGAGGAGGAAAGGGCTGCCGAGAATGCAAAGAAGGGCATCCATGTCGGCACCGATTCTCGCCTAACCGTGACGCAGCACACCAACGCTATCGCTGCTTCAGCACCAGCTGCAGCCAAGGATGGCATCGCCTCACTTAAAGCACAAGACTCAAGCGCTTTTTGGGCCCATCAAAGCAGCTTGGAGCACGCTCATGCCTCCTCCCGCAAGCGAGGACTTGTTGGACTGCCAAGCGCTGCCTTTTTAAGCGGCCTGCTGATCGGCTTCGTTGTGGGCATAAGCACTGGCGTGGCTTGGGCTAGGAGGAGCAACCTTTTTAGCGCAAGCCCTCCTCCGGTTGGCCCAACAAGTAGTGAAGCAGCAAAGAGACCGAGCGGTGACGCAGCTTCACCAACTCTTCCTGACGATGTTGTGGCAAAGGTCGAGACCATTCCCAAGACAGCCACTAACACTGCTGTGAACGGTGCTCCACCAGCTGAACGTGGTTGTGCCCGCGCTGAGTACAGCGAGGGTAGCAGCACCTGGAACTGCGGGAAGTGTGATGACGGGATAGGGGAGGTATCAACTAGCAATCCATGTGATCCATCCCCAATAACTAAGCTCACGGTGAGGGTCGCAGCACCCGCGGACAGTGGTGCTGTTGTCGAGGGCAGTAGTGACAACATGACTGCTTCGGCTTGTGGGCCTTCTGCCTCTTCTTCCGCTGCCGTACAACCGTCTGTTGTAGCACCAGCGGATAGCGACGTCAAAACCCCGTGGCGGCAGCGGCCTGCCCCTCTCGATGTGGCTGCCACACCGGTTGGAGCTGCCAGCGGCGGCCAGACACCTCTTCCTGCGCAGACCAGCTGCACCACGCCCTCTTCTTGGCGTCGGTCCCCGCTGGCCTCCCCGACAGGTGCATTGCTGCGTTCCCACTTGCCGTGCTGGCTTCGGTTTCGGGTTTGGTGTCATTGCCTAGGTGGCACCTTCCTTTAGGTTAGGAATTCTTGTCATGGCGTATCGGTATCAGGGTTGGTGTCATTATAGTCAATGCAGGTTGTTTGGCAGGAAGCTTGCTCCCAACCGCCGAAGTTCTTAAGCCAGTCGCAACCCCATGCCCATGCAACAGAGGGCATCATCAGCGCGGCGGCATCGCTGTTGGCTATGCTAGCCGGTCGTGCGGACAGGCCCGCAGATCGCGCCACCCTGACGGAATTCGCAGCGGAGCTGCGGCAACGTCAGCATCTCGACCCCAGGCGGCGCCGTACGGTCACATCCGACGAGGGCACTACGCCAGCACCCATCATGCGCATCCCGACCCAAGACAAAGCGGACGAGCCGCCGACGATCCATGCGTCCAAGCCGCCTCTCGCACCCGCGGGCAGCGCACTGGGCTATGCCGGCAGGTCGGCAGGAGCTGCACCTTCGTCCTCAGCCGTGTCCAGGTCACCTGGGGATGGGGACCATGGATGGCTGCAGCTGCAGCAGCCCGGCGCGCTGGGACCCGTCGCCTGCTCCAGCGCCCTCCAAGGCCAGTTTCGGCTGGCGACGCTAGCTGAAGAGGCGGAGGCTTGCTCGCACCAGCATTATGCCATGATGCAGCGAGGCATGGCGGGAGATCCGCAATTACAGCAGCAGGCGATCTTGACAGCACTCGATATCGCACACATGTTCTGTGGTGCAGTGGGGGTAGTGTACAGGTGATGGGTGGTTCGTCACGGCTTCACTAGCAGCCTCCCAGTCGGGTTGCCTTCTGCTTTGTCTCCCTCGAACCACGTGTTCCTCTCATTGTCAGATCCAAGCACTACTGTCCCTTTTCGCAACCTGACATGTTTGCTAGCATCCGTCTACGTTTGCGTACCTTGAATGCTGCAAGACAGCATAACTTGACACCCATGTTTGACCGGCACTGTTGATCACCACAGGGCGGCGTCGGAGATCACGTCCGCCATCACAGCCGGCACCACTGCCATCAAGGAGCTTACCGCTGTGGTCGCGAACTTTGCCGCCGACATGCGGGATAACACCAGGGTGATGCGCGCCATCACGTTGCAGCGCGATCTGAAGGCGCAGCGGTTAGCGGTGCAGGCCGCCATGACGGTGAGATATGACGTACGGTGTACTTGGTCCCGTGTCAAGGCATCATTGCTGATTGCCGTCCATGGAATGTAGGCTTGACAGCGCCTGACATAGCGGTTACCCGGAGCACCTCCCGGCGCGTTTATACCCATAACGTGCCTTCCCGTCCTCCTACCGGCAATTGACACACCTCTCACAGCTGGTTCGCAAGCATCCAAGCGTTTGCGTACAATCGTACAGTTCCTGGGGTAAACCCTGAGGTTCATTGGTTGACCGGATTCCTCCCTTTTCCATGCAGCGCGGCATGTGGGTCAGCCTGATTGCGATTGTGTTTGGCTCGTGGATGTGGGGCCGCTGGGAGGAGGTGTCCAGGTAAGCGGCATGCTTGCTGTTGCGATACCGGGGCTTCAGGTCAAGCACAGGACCGGTGGTACACGCTAGGCAGCTTCGCTACTTCCTTCAATACCCCTGTCTTCTTCCCGTCCCGCAGGCGCTGCGCAGTGGAGCCAGGGCACTGGATGCCGCGAACGGCAGCCGCGGCGGCAGCGCCGGGGTTCAAGTTCCTGTTTTCGCCGGTTTGGTGGTTTTCACGGGCCCTGGGGCTGCCAACTGCGCAATCGTTCCGCGGCAGCAGCCACGGGGCCATGTTGGGCTTGCTGCACTGGCCCTACGTGTCATGGGCGCTCTGCCACGTCCACGAGCTAGGTAAGCAGGTAGTTGCATGGATGGGGTGCATGCTTTGGCCCCAACATGTCCACACACATGCCAACCACAGGCGTTTTTACGGCGCTGGGCGCTGTTTCCCCTTTGCGACTGTTCCCTTCTCGGCACCTCTGCTGCGCCCTGTCTCCCATCCGTTTTCGCCTTCCACTATGCAAACTTGCGCAGGCCTCTGGTGTGTGGGATGCCTCGTCCTGCTGTACCTCTTGGTACCCGTGCTCCGGTGGGCGGCCTCCATCGCCACACCGCACTCGTGGATGCTGGACATCCCTTTCACCTTTGGCATCCTCTGCGCTGCGCCGGGCTGCATCGCGGTTTCCTTCCTGGGAGGCAGCTGGGCGGTGTGGCTGGTGTCGTGGTGGCTGTGGTGCGCTGCGGGCTTTGGCCTGCATGTACGGTACCTGCGGTACACCCTGAGCCACATGGCGGCGTTGCTGATGCTGATGTTTGTGGCACCGGCATTGATGGGGGTGCTGCCGTACGCGGCCTGGTTGAGGCCAATGCACTATGTCATGGAGGAATGGGCGGTGTTTCTGTTGCGGCAGGGCATGCGCTCGCTTGGTAAGCGCAGCGAGGAGGAGATTGAGGCGTTTCTGGCCGGAGAGGGGTTCCTCTTGTAGCGCTGTTGCTCATGCGGACATGCGGGGTGTGTGGCGTGAGAGGCTGGATGTGCGGGGGAGGGCGCTACCGTTATGAGGAATGCGGGACTGGAAGACACGGAGTTAGGTTTGGACGGGTTGAGGGCAGAAATTGGCAAGCCGCAGACGATGGCAGGATGACGTGCGTGGCTTGTCACAGGGAGGGACGTTAAGTGAGAAGGATAGGAGATGCGTAGATGCCCCTACCCTTGGGACCGCTACCGCATGTTTGCATGGTAGGCGTCGTCTAGGATTCGGCTTATGTACCGGTATTGGAGGGGCGTCCATGGGCGAGTCAATAAATGTGCTAGTAAATTGCGTGCGTGTCTCTGATATAGGTGTATAGGATTAATAGCTGTCTTCTCCGGAGTTGTTGCCTTTCCGGTTAGCTGCAGAAGTTAGCTGTCAGACATCTAAAGATCCAACATCCTTCCTTCGGGTATGATTTGGTGTCCATACAAGTACAGTCAACGGGCGATTGTGACGGTTTTGGTAGGCTAATTAGACCCACACTCTGTCGCCTGCTTATAACGCGACCATAGACCGTCTGAATTTGGGATCCTCACAGTGCGGGTGACTAGAGATGTCATAAGCGCTTGGCTTTGCGAGCCTGCAGTGTGCGGCGATTAGGAGCCATGCTAGCTAGACTGAGGGTGTGCTGAGGATTGGGGAGAGTAGAAGATAGTGCCATGCCGTGAACGTTGGAGGCGAGGGGAGGGGTATATACACATGCAGGAGCGCTGACTGCATCAGCCCAATGACGGCACCAGCGTTAGGACCCTCAAGGTGTGCAGGGGCCGTACGCGCTACCCATGTATCTGTATATGCATAATGTGGGGACAACGCAGGGACGATGTGCTCCCCTTGCCTTTAATGCGGCAAGGAGCCAGATGAACGCAACATACTGTTCGGTCACTTCCATCCGTTCCATGCCATTTGAAGACGCTATAAGCGGCGGAGCTGGGCCCGTTAGTCGCTGGTACGGTACTGCAAGAGCACAACCGACCCACGGGTCAAACGCCTAGCAACAGCTTCGCAACAGTAGTTCTCACTACATATGCATGTCGAGATGATGCTTATTCTACCTGCTCATACATTGGGCGTCAACAGCGGGAGTAGCCAAAACAAGCAAAGCGGCCTGAACGCAAGAGGAACACAGAAGTGAATACCGTACCTGTGTCTGATCACCGCGCAGCAGGAAATTTAGGGATTATTTTATTTAACGCGCAGCGCTGTAAGGAATTATTTTTTTGTAACGCGCAGGGGTCTGAGCAATTATATTCCACTTCGCGCAGCCTTAAAAGTAGTAATGTATTAGCATAAAGCTTACACTAGAAAGGCCGGAAAGCAGAGCAATGGAAATGCAGACACCCAAAGCAGAATGGTTCAGATCGGGTGAGGGTATGGATGGGGCCAAGGAAAGAGTGAAACCCGGAACCTCGGGGCAGCACGCACTGGGGGCCACACCATGGGCAATTTTTTAGTTAACGCGCAGTCCTTTGGGGAGTTATTTTTTATTAACGCGCAGGCCCCGGACCAATTATTTAATTTTGCGCGTTATTGCACATTTTTCCTAATAATTATTTATTTTTGCGCGATGATCACTGGGAGGTACGGTAATAAAGCCGAACAAAACGACACGCTGCAGATACAAGGCCACGGTTTCCACGGTCAAGTTTGCTTGTCCTTATCCCGGCCACTCAGTCATTATGCTGTATGTAAAGGCGTCATAATGGTGTAATTCCTGCAAGCTGAAGCACCTCCACGTCATAAGGGTCCAACCGACGCGAAGGCAATGCAATCTCCTTACCCTAACCTCACCAGTCACCACCTCATTACGCAGACGTATGCAGGCCCCTCCAACCCCCGCAAGAAGCTACACAACGCAGTATCCTGTATGGCAACAATGCGCACGTCACGCTTGGCAGCAGCGGTGCATGTGCGCAGGGCACCGCAATGACCACCAATTGCCGCCAACGGCTCTCAACAGCGCCATTACAACTCACACACGGGAAGAGGGCCGCCGCCGTCGCAGCAGCAGCAGCACCCAGCCAGATCATCTTGCATGTGCCGCAACTCGGCTGCAGCACTGGCCCAGTACGACACCAGGAAAGGTCGCTTGGAAAACCTGGCATCACAACCCGACACCGCGGCTCTCCCTCGGGCGGCGCTACATGAGCTGTCCGATGCACTGGGGGTGGCCGCAGCAGCACTTCATGCCGTACACACCGTCCCGGCCCGCCTGCCGGGGAGATACGGTAGCGGGCGCCGTGCGAACATTGGCACAGGAGAGCATGTGCAGTACCTTGGTGTGAACTTACTGCAGGTACCATGTCACAAGAGTATAACCGCGTATGGGTGGGCAATACACGCTCAGTACGTAGGGACATGTGTCTGGGCGTCGGAAAAGCGTATACCGGTAAGCAAGCCCCCAGACATGGGAACCACATTTGCCAGACTTGGGCTCAGTTGTTAGACATCTCCTTACCTGGCTGCTTTTGCTGTGGTAGCCGTAGTTGTACGTCAGCTCTGAGCGCAGAGGGAGCGGGAGGGAAGGGGCGCCGCGAGTTGGGGAATTAACAGGAGGTGGAGTTCAGGAAAGGAGGGGGAGGGAAGGAGCGGGTTTCGAACACGAGGGGTGTTGGGTTATTAGCCAGGTGGGTTATTAGCCAGGGTTAGGGCCAGGGTCATGCAGCACAACGGCAACAAGCTCAGCATGACGGACACTGCCATTTCATTAAGTACGACATGTAACCTGGGCCTTCTGGGTTGACGTGCCCGTATTCCGCTGCCACGTAACCTCACGGCGCCACTCCCTACCTGCAAACTTGGGAATGTTCTCCATCGCGTAGAGGCCTGCGCGGAGCAAACAAGCAGCACCGGTTGTTGTCAGCGGCTGTAAACCCGATCAGGGAACACCTTTCCTTCTCCCCCGTCTCGCAATCGCCCTGCCCCCTGCATGCAAGCAACTCACTACGGTACGCAAACCGCACAATACAACGCCTACCCAGCCGCTGACCCCATCATTATATCACGTACCAACGTGATACAGCATGGTATTTCGGAAGTGCCCGGCGAACACCGCCTGGATGGTCAGGTTGCCGGAGCAGCTGTGGTTGATGAAGCGCCCCACGTTACCGGTGCCCTGCGCGTCGATCACAAGGACCGGCGCATACTCGTCCCCGTCTGCGCCCTCCACCGCGCCCTCGCTGCTTGTTCCTGCCGCCCCAGCCGGGACCCCTGCCTCATCCCGACTGAAGATGGGTTGCAGGTAGAAGGCCCCCGGGTCCTCAGCAGCCGCCTCCGCCGCCGTGGCAGCAGCACTCTGCAGCGCCGCGCATTTGGCTGCAGATCCCCCGAGCGCCGCGGGAGCTGCTGTCGCCGCCTCCGCTGTCATGGGAGCCGCTGCCGAGGAGGGCCCCGCCGCCGCCGCCGCCGCGGCGGCGCCACTATCATCCGCAGCCGCTATCGCCCGGCAGGACGCCAGCAGGCCACGCGCCGCCGCCGCCACCTCCGCAGGAGCCATCACTCCCTCGGACACACCCACGTCCGGACCCGAGGCGGCGGAAGCGGGTCCGCCCGAGGCGGCAGCGGAGCCAGCAGCTGCAGCCCCCTTCGCAGCCGCAGACGAAGCCTCAACGGTGGCGGTGGTGGCGGTGGCGGCCTCGCGCTGCCGGGCTGCGCGTACGGCAGCTGCCGCGTTTGCTTGGATCTGCCGTACCAGCTCCATGTTTGGTACGGGCGGGATCTTGTGCACGGGGATTTCCTCTTTGATGGCGTCCAGCCCCTTCTCCTTGATCTCCTGCATGCAGTCAGGGGGCGGTGGGGTAGTGGCTGGTGGCTATCAGCAGGAAGGAAGGAGAGGGCAGGAAAAGCGTACTCCTGTACGGAAAGGACAGAGAAGGCGCATCTGCATATTGCGTGCGTCTAAGACCGCCGGGCTGCCTCCCCCCTCCATTTCCCCACTTCCCATATCCTATCACTCCCTTGCTTTCTTTGAGACTCTCTACTCCCATCCTTTCGCCTTTTCTTTTTTCCCCCCTTTTCCCTGTCCTCCTCCCCTCGTTACCGCCCTCTCCTTCCCTCCCCGCCCCCTCCCCCCTTCTCACCGCGTACACGTGCGTGAAGAAGTCGAGGTCGAAGAGGTAGTGGTCCGCGCCCTTGCGCACCTCCGCCATGCTGTCCGTCACCAGCTGCCCCACGTAGCAGCACACGAAGGCGCCCGCGGGGATATCCTCGCGGCACCGCACCCCCCACCCCTTGCTGGCGGTCATGAACACCTCCAGCGGCAGCGCAACACCCTGGCTCAGCTGGGGGAGGGGTGTGGGCGGGAGGGGAAGGGGGAGGGGGAAGGGAAGGGGGAAGGAGGGGGAAGGGAGAGGGTTAGCATGGGAGGTATGCTTTGTTTTCTCCTCTTTCCCCCCACCCCCACCCAGCTCACATGTACCTCCACCCCCCAGCTCACCTGCTTGTTGCGGCGGCAGGCGGCGCTGGTGCACGTCTCGCCGCATTCGTGCACGCCGCACGGGTCCGTCACCATGAGGCAGCCCGCGGAGTTGTACTGCTCCTCCATGTGCGGCTCGTAGCTGCCGGGGGGGAGGGGGTAAGAAGGGGGTAAGAAGGGGGAGGGGGGGAGAAGGGGGTAAGAAGGGGGGGATGGAGAGGGATGAGGACAGGGGCAGTGTGTATGGGGTTACTCGGAATGGGCTGTACATGTGGTGCAGGTTGGAGGTGGGGTAGCTTGGCTGGGAGCGGAGAGCGAGGAAGAACAGGTTTGACCATAGTTGGCGTGGGACGACCGTAGTGGCGGCAGGGTGGTAGGAAGCTAGGAAAGCAAGTGCAATGCGGTGTAGTCAACTACCTAAAAACAGGTGGGTTGCGAGTTGGCAAGCCAAACTCCCCAAAACGCAGCATAACCAATGGTAGGGGTGGAGGTACAAGGAGGCACAGCACTGAACAGCGTCCGTCACTTTGCGTAAAGGAGCGACGGACCGTTCAAACGTTCCATCCATCTACCCAGCAGCTGGCATCATGACGTTGCCCGAATGACCGGTTCGATATTCAGGGGTGGCGAAGGGAGAACAGCGGGGGAGGGCCGTAGGGGGCAAGGGGACAACAGAGAGCCACACGGGGGGTTAGTACACGATAAGAAAACACGTGTTGACCAGGGGAAGCAAGTTCCCCTCTCCCCCCTCCCCTCCCCTCGCACACATCCGGTTTCCATCTTTCCCCCTCTCACCCCTTGGGCAGCTTGTCCCCCAGCGCCAGGTCCTTGGCCCGGATCATGCGGTTGAACGCCACCCCGCACTGCCCGCTCTCCCCCGCCCGCGTGAACTCGCGCATCTCCTCGTCAGCGAACGCCAGCACGGGGGCAACCTGGGGGGGGGGGGGGGGGGAGGTGTCAAATTATACTAAATAACCCACCATACAGGGCAAAAAAGCGGCACGGGGGGTAGGACAGGTGCGTGGGGCGGATGTGTGGGGTTGGGGCGTGTTGGTGGAGCACTGCCATGTGGCTCCGCTCCGCCAGCAGGCTAGCAGGCAGCGCCCCCGGGGGTAGGAAACCACAGCCACACAGCCTGTGGATAGGAGCCACGCGTACCTGCCCCCGATGCCCCGACACACAGCATGTGAGGTGCGCGTGTGACATCTCGTCTTCCCGCCTGCCCGCCACCATGCATGACATGCACGTCCTGGTACCCGCCCCACCCCCCCGAGCTCAGTGTGCTCCCACTTCCCCACCCTCTCCCCCCTTCCCAGGGGCTCCGTTGCTGCACTTCATCACATACTTCCCCCCCACTCCCCCGCCCCCCTTCCCCCCGCTCCCCCCCTCACCAGCTCATACACCCCGGGCGCCCACACGTACTCGCGGGTGTATTGGAAACCAGCGGGCAGCTGCTCCCGGCTCAACTGGGGGGGAGGGGCAGGGGAGGGGAGGGAGGAGAGGGGCAGGGAGGTGGATGCTGATCGGAGGAATGCTTAGGGAGATAGCAGATAGGATTAGGACGAGGAGAGTGCATGACTGCGGGCCCTCGCACCAGCTGGAACGGCGTTTCACCCCCCCGTCCCTTCAACCATGACCTGCCATTCCGCCTCTGACGGTTATCGCTGGTGTCCTCCTCCTTACCGTCCCCCCGCCCCCTGAGGGGAGGGTATGGTATGGTCTTCTGCTCTTCTCCCCCCCTCCCTCCCCCATACCCCCCCACCTCGTTGAGCAGGGGAATGGGCACCGGCTCCTGCCCCCCGCTGATGTCCTCACTCAGCAGCACGGAGGGTGGGTAGCGCCGCCGGATCTCCTCCAACATGGCCTGGGGGGGGGGGGAGGAGTGTGCATGAGGGGGGTGGGGGTGCTTTAAGAGGAAGAAGCCGACTAACCGCCTGACACAGCTTCACCATGGGTTGCACGAGGTGGGAGAGGGGGATTGGTGAGGTTGCATGGCGGGGTTGGAGGGAGGGTGTGTTACGATAACTGGCTGCGAGGCGAAACGCTTGGTTTCAAGCACCCCTATACACGGTGCCCTCTCCCCACCCGCTACCGCCTCACCGCTCGTATCGCCTCCGCCGCCCTCCTGTCTCGCTCCTGCCTGGCCCGCTTGGCTGGGTGCGGCTGGCCCCCTCCCGCGCCGCCCGCCAGCCGCCGCACACTCAGCGAGCTGGCACTACCCGCACCGCCAAAGATGCTGGCGGGCAGGGAGGGAGGGAGAGAAGGAAGGAGGGGCCAAACCACAGCTTGGGACATTGAGCCTGGCATTCAGGAAGACTAGGAGATGCCGCTACGTCCCTCCCCTGCCGCCTGCCGCCCTCTCCGCGCCCCCTCCTGCCCCCCCCCTCGTTCCTCACCCGAACTCGACCTTGGTGTTGACGGTGCTGTGCCCGGGCAGGCCGCACAGCAGGAACTTGCACACCAGCGGCCCGTCCTTGGAGGGCTGGGGGGGGAGGGGGAGGGGGGGGAGGGAGGGGGAGGGGGGGGAGGGGACCAGGCAGGGGGACGGGAGTGGGTACAGGGATCTGGCGGCCAAGCAACATCCCTATACTGAGGCGTTGTGAGCAGTGATGCGCTGTGATGCGGGGCCATGCAGCGGGTTACCTAGCAGCACCAGACGCCCCGGTGGACGAGGCAGCAAGGTAGTCCCCCACTTCCCACTTCCCCCTTGTCCGGTCCGCTCGCTCCGACCCAGCTCCAGTAAGAGTTTTTACCCGCTCGGTCCTTTCCCCCACCGCCCACTCCAACCCATCCCCCCCACCGCCCACTCCAACCCGCACCCTCTCTCCCCACCTCTTGCTTGTACTGCAGCACCAGGTAGAGCCCCTCGTACACGAACCCCTTCTCCCGCTTGCCGCCCCCACCTCCACCTGCTCCACCCTCCTCTCCCCCTCCCCCGCCGCCCCCCTCCCCTCCGCTGACGTAGCCCCGGATGACCCGCACCGGGGTGAGCGTGTCGCAGTTGTTGCGCAGCGCCGCGTTGGAGCCGGTGTCGAAGGACTGGTCCTTCACCTGTTTGGAAGGGGAGGACGGGAAACAGAAGGAGATACAAGGGGGTGGTTGGTAGTTAATGGTTTGAGGGAATGGGTAAACTGGGCCGTGGTAGTTACCCCCGTGGAAGATTGGAAAGTGATGACGCCCCCGGTGCTGCGATACCCGCACATGCCGCTTCCCCTCCCCTCTGTTTGGTATGGTCTTTTGACTCCCCTCTGACCTCACCTGTCGCTTGTTCTTGTCGATGCCGCCCTCCCCGGTGTACCAGAAGCTCTCCCCCATGTCCTCATCGTCGATGTAGCCGCCGCTCATCACCACGCTGTAGGCGCCGCGGGAATAGTCGGGGTGCTTGGCGGGGCTGAGCGGGAGGGAGGGGGGGCCGGGGGTGGAGGGAGGGGGAGGGAAAGAGAGAGGGGAAAGAGGGCAGAGAGGGGAGAAGTTGAGAGAAGGTTTTGCTTTAAGGGGGAGCAGACCGCTGCATGGTGAAGTTCCCGGAATTGGGTTTTCAGTGAAAGTTAAAATTGTTTTTGGAGATCGGCGGAGGGAGGAGTACTTACGGCGCATGGATGCCCTTCATGAGGGTTGCGTGCACGCCCGCGACGTACAGCCCGCCTCGGTCCTTGAACTTGGCACCCGGCTTGACCCCCGGGACGTGACCGAAGACGGTGACGACGTTGTCGCCCACAACCTCTTTTGGCACAACCATGTTGAGGCCTTTTCTGATCTGTTTGGGAATGCGCACAGGTTGGGCAGCTGTCAAGGCATCGTAGAAGTTTTCAAGACGCCGCTTCGTGCGTGAAAGGTGCTCTGTGCAAGCAAAAGTCGTCTTAGGCAATCGCGCCCCATAACTAACGGCAGCACTGTGGTATTAGCAAACGAACAAACCGACCATGCGCGGGGGACCTTACCCCAGCACGCATCTCCTCCTGGTATCGCTGCTCATATTTCAGTAATTTGGCTTGAACATTTGCTGCTGCCTCTGGTTCATCTGGGGGAAGGGCCCCTAAGGACGCAGCAACTTTCGCGACTGTCGCACGTTCTTCTTCCGTTATTGACATCCTCCGCAAGCCGTTAGGTACACGAATCGTTAAGCATGTACTAAAGAATTTGGTCACGCAAAACAGAACGACCAACTGCGCGGCTCCCGCAGTCCCGCTCCACAGTGGTTTCAGGGTATTTTGACTGCCGTATGGAGCAAAACAGCTTTCGTGCTTTCCTCGTAAAGCCTAATTTCGGTCTTAGGGTACAACATTCAGGAATATTTTAAATTAAAACGTCAAAAGATTGCTGGGTGGCTGGGTCCCTGGGTGCAGGTTAGTCGGCTCCAGCGTGGAGAAACCCCCTCCAGCGGTCTTGCAAGGCTTACTCCTTTGCTGTTCCTTATCGACTTTACACATGCTCTAGCTGCATTTGTTTGCGTTGCAGCATCTTTTTCTCTGGGATGGCAACTATCATCGACAAGTCCGAGGCCTTGGTATCTACGCCGGTGGAGCAGAACCCGACGGTGGGTCGAAATATTAGGTCGCAAAGGTCTGCGCTCTCGAGCTTCGTTATTGCTCGTTTGAGCGAAAGAAACATAGAGCTTTGCGCACATGCCTAGCACCATCGTTATCTGGCATTGAGTACCCCTTGCAATGCAATTCAGGGGCCAGCCCCTTTGGCCAGAAAGCCTTCGGCGGGCCACCCGAAGCTGAAGTTGGCCTTCAACTTTGAGGGAACTTGCGTGAAAGGTGGCAAACCCTGGACTTTTGACGACGACGACGAGCTAATTGCATTTTTCGAAAAGGCGGCGGGAGAGTTCAAGGCGGCGAAGGCTTACCTGCAGCCGAGTGGCCAGGCACACAACAGCTGTTGCGAGGGACATGAGTGAGGTTTACCTCTTCTATTCAACTTCAGCGGAGTCTACACCCCCCCCCCCCATGTTCGTCTCTCCAAGCTGGAGAAGCTGGGCAATGACCTCGCTCATGCATTGTTATTGGTGCGCTCAGCTATGTAAGCAGTGGTTGGCTGACAGCAGAGGTTAATGGCTTCAGCTCCGCCGCCAGCGCCTCCGCCGCCAGCTCATGCCGACCCTCCGAGCTCGGCTCCACTAGCAGGCACCTCACTTGCTGAGGCCGCCAGCTGTGCAACGGTACGGCTGCCGCTGCACCCCGTGCCCGAGCCAGGTTTCGACGCGGCTTCCGTGCGCCGCCGCTGCCCTATCCGTCACATGCCGCCGCACTGCGTTTTCTACTTCCGCTGGAACTGCTTGCAGCCGGCCCCTCTGCCACCGTCGCCGCCGCTGCGTCCCTCGCCGCCTGCCGCCTACCTTCTGCGGGCATGCCGCCGCCAGCGCCGCCACATGTGAAGCGCCCCACTCACCGCTGGCCCGCAGCTGCGGTCCGACACGCAGTGTAGCGTCCAGCAGCGGTACAATTTTCATGTCGACAAGCAGCAGCTGCCGCCCGCTGCAACGGCGGCAGCGGAAGAGGTTGCAGCGAACATATGCGGTTGTATTTTACTGGGAAGTACTCACACAAGTGAATTTAAGACGGTCATAAGCTTTTGCAGGGTACCGAAGTTGCGTGGATGTCCTGAGAGGTTTTAGCGTAGGAAGATAGAGATTTCCTGCAGATCCTTGACGACGACTCCTGAGCTGCATGTACGACAGTGTCACGTTGATAAGGTATAATGCTATTGGTAGTAAAAGCAAGCGACCGCGTACCGTACTCATTGTTTTCTTTTTTACCAACGTTACGGCCCTGAAGCAATTGGTTTGTAAGCGTATGTCCACACCCGGCCATATCTTCCTTATCTCACTGGTCACTCTTCGGGCGCTTGCGTTTGTAACATCCTTTCCATGCTCATATGAATTGCCACGCTTCACGCGCACGCAGCCACAGATGTACCGCCTGCGCCGCCGCCATTACCGTTGCCAGTGACCGTTGCTGTTGCCGTTAGCAGCAGCATTCTCGCGGCTACGAGCCCTAGCCGCCGCCAGTGCCACCGTCGCGTCCCAGTGTAAAGCATCACTCAGGGAGCAGACCTCTGCCTCTTCCGCCTTGCCACCTGCTTCCCCTGCCGCTTTAAGTTCAGGGTAAGCGTTGGGGTCACGTGGTAAGCTCGGCTTGGCTAACTTGCACAGTGCCGTCAGAACCTTACCACTGTTTATGAGCTCATGTCGTTCTCCTAGGTCACAATACTGTTGCTGCCGTACCCGCTACTGCTGCTGCCGTACCTCAATCCGCATGCAGTGCGCTGCAGAGCTCCTGTTACCTTGCGCCCACGGGTGAGGGGCAAGGGGGCGGCTGCCGGATGGCTTGGTTCCACTTGAGCTTGCTGGTGATGCCTTCGTACCTGCAGGAGGAAAGGAAGGAGGGAGGCAGGGAAGGAGAGCCGGAGCAACAGCACAGCTGCATGCCGCTTCAAAAAAGGGTTACAAACAATGCCGGGCTGGTGAATGAGAGGTGACGCGGATTTGGCCCTTTTTGCGATCCACACCTCCTCTCTTCTTCCCCCCTCACCGACACGTGCGGTTTCTTACGTAACAGTCTCCTTCCTCCCTCCCCACACCCCTCGCCCGTCCGTATCCATGCGGCCCAAGCTGGTGACGGGCAGCGGACACAGTGATGCGGTGAAGGACAGTGAAGTACCTCACAGCAACCTGATGTGCAGCGTGCAGTGCGTGCAGATTGGGGTGCGGGAGGTGTCCAACACACGTTCCAGGGTGGGGGCGAAGGTGGCAGCGTCGAAGGGCGTGAGGAAGCCCAGTGAGCCCATGGCGAAACACAATGTGGGCAGCAGCGGCTCGTCCTGTTGGGGTGGGGTGGATCGGGTGGGAAATGCTGAGGTGTGCAGGGGCAGGTGGTGGTTGTGGATTGGGCGGTTGTGGGGAGAGAGTGGGGGACAAAAGGGCGAAGTCGAGCCCCAGAGCTACCGGCAGCACTGTGGCATTGAAATGAAGAAACCGACCATGAGCGGGGGACCTTACCCCAGCACGCATCTCCTCCTGTTATCGCTGCTCATATTTTTGTAATTTTAGCCTGAACTTTTGCTGCTGCCTCTGGTTCATCTGGCGGAAGGGCCCCCAACGACGTAGCAACTGTTGCACGTTCTTCTTCCGTTATCGACATCCTCCGCAAGTTGTTAGAAAAACGAGACCTTCAGCGTGTCCTAAAGAGCTTGGCAACGCAAAACTAAAAGGCTAGCTGCGCGGCTTCCGCTCCACAGTGGTTCCATGTTTTATTGACTGCCGTATGGAGCGGAACAGCTTTCCTCGTCACCTTGCTTGGCTTCTTATGCTTTGCTAGGTAGCTCCTAGACACTGCTGTTTGCCTTCTAACCGACTGGCAGTCCGTTAGTTTACAGTGGAATATTAACAGTGACTCCAGACCAACGCATGTAGAGCCTTTCTGAATACACTATGTCACTTCAAGAATCATTAGGCGGCAGGTACGAATATTACATATCTCAGGTATCTTGCTATTATGGACTCGTTAGAAGCGTCAAGGGTTCCAACTTTTTGGACGACTTTGCAGAGGAAAGAGAAGAAAGCTACGTGATGGAGTTCTCAACAAGAATCTACAGGACGCGCGCAGGTTTGAAATGCTTCTTCAACGGCTGGGAGGGCCTGACAAACTGACCATTCCTCTGCCGGGTGCTATCCTTGCAGGGCGCTGTACCACTGTAACTACTGCCAAAAGGATATATCTCACGTGCCGCGCATAAAGTGCGCAGAATGCAAGGATTTCGACCTGTGCCTGGAGTGCTTTTCAGTAGGCAAGCAGGGCTTGGGTCCATGGGCTCCGTGCCTATCCCCATGCCGACACGCCTTTCATAAGGTGTCATGCGGGAGCTGAGGGGAGCACTGTAACTTCTGCCTATGCGTCAGGCTGCTGCCACGTGGGCTGGCGCCAGTCAGGGCGGCGTGTTTGGCGGTGTAGTGTAGCAACTCCCGACCCACATCCTAAGGCCGGCCAGGCCCCCCGACCGCCGCCCCCCACCGCCCTGGCCCCTCCCTCCCCCCTCCCTGCAGGTGTGGAGATCAAGCCGCACAAGAACACGCACGACTACCAAGTGGTGGAGAACCTCTCCTTCCCCATCTACCACCCGGACTGGGGGGTGAGTCGTAAGCAGCAGGACCCGGGGGTTGCCCTTGTACGGCTGCACCATCCTGCATGGATGGTAGGCTCTGGGGAAATGGCGAGCACACACGAGCAGGTAACGCCCTCCTCAGCTCCACGGAACCCTCCTAACACCCCACCGCCTGCCGCCGTGCACCCATACTCTGCCCCCGGCAGGCGGATGAGGAGATTCTGCTGCTGGAGGCGATAGACCAGTATGGTGGGTGGCTGGGAGGGGATAATCGGGATGGTACTCTTTTGCGTCGGGGGGATTCTGGTTCCTTATCTAAGTGCACGTGTACGGCACCCCTGCACCCCTAACAAGGTCTGGGCAACTGGGGCGCCATCTCGGAGCATGTGGGCGGCAAGACTCCCGCGCAGTGCCGGCAGCACTACTTCCAGGTCTACATCGATGTGGATTGCATGCCGCTGCCCAAGATGACTCCGGAGATGGAACAGGTGGGAAAGGAAGAAGACGTGGGGGAGGGGACTGGGTTTGAGTGGATGGGTAATCCGCACAGGGTGTGTGGGTGGGGGTGGGGGCAGCATGAGGGTGACACGTGTAGTAAGGCAAGTGTCAAACCCGGGGTGCCGCTCACCTCGTAAACCCAAAATGGGTTGTTAACCCTTGCTATGTCACGCCGCGCATCCATGTTCGGCTGCAGGTCAGCCTCGCGGAGTGCATTGCACGCGCGCGTCAGGGCTACGCACGACCGCAGTACCGGCCAAGCGGCGGCGGCGACCCACGGGTCGGGAGTGAGCCGCCGCTTGCCAATTCGCCTCCCCTTGACGGTTTTCTGGAAGAAGGTAGGTAACACGCAGACGGATGGACTGGAGAAGCACCGCACGGGACCCTAAAACGATTCTTACAAAGGGTTCAAAGACACTTTAGAAGATGATGACACGCATGTCGAACGCTTCGAATGCCGCGCAGGCGACACAGGGGCAGTGGCGGACGGTGTTGCAGCGGCGGCCCCGGGTGAGGAGCAGGCGGCGGGCGGGGCAGCGGCGGGCGGCAGCGGCGGTTCCAGCAAAGGGCTCAAGCGGCACCGGCACGAGCAGCATCTGGCAGAGGAGCATGCGGAGGGGTCAGGAGGGGGAGCAGCAGCAGCGGAGGCGCAGGAGGGAGGGGGGGCGCATGTGCAGGTGCGGGCCGGAGCCGGGCTTCGGAGGTTAGGCGTGACAGGGAACGCGCCTGTGTTCGTTGTGAATGGGAAGTTCGAAAAGGAAGTGTCTTGCTCCTCAGCAATGTTCCATGTCCCCTGCCCTCCTCCCACATCCATATAGACCGGCGGGCGCAGCATGCACCACGATCCCTCGCAGCCACCGGCGGCAGCAGCAGCCACCGGCGCGGGGGGCCGGGGGGGCGGCGGGTCGGCTGGGCTGGACGGCGGCGCAGGAGGCGGCCTGAGTGTGGGCGGCAAGGAGCCGTCTGGCCATGGAAAGGTGAGTGGCCGTCTGGGGAACTAGCCGTACTCACTCTCTCCTCCTCCCTCCACTCCCTCCCCCCCTCACTCCGTCATACAGCCTCGTCAGTATCCTTGTTTCTACCCCCACTCCGTCGCGGTTAACCCTACCGGTATACGCATCCCACCCCCCTCCAGCCTACTGGCAGCGGCACCTACGACGCCACCGGCTTCCACCCCAAGCGGCTCGAGTTCGACCCCGAGTACGACAACGATGCGGAGTGCATCGTGGCGGACATGGAGTTTGGCGAGTACGACAACCCCGCAGATGTACAACAGAAGCTGCAGATGCTCATGATATACAACAGGTAGGCGGGGAGGCAGGCAGCAGGCACGTATCTGGTGGTGGAGGGGAGGCGGCAGGTGAAGGGTGAGGGACTTGTACCCTATGCAGCATTGCCAACTTCACTCCACACAAACACACCGCACAGCTGCAACCCCACGTGCAGTGCGGTGCTGACCTTTCGGGGTCTTCTACTGCATTCAACTATCACAGCCCGCCCTTGCGAGCCATCACTGTTACTACCACCACCTCTCTGACCCCCCCTCCTCCACCGCACCCCCCAGGCGGCTGGACGAGCGCGAGCGGCGGCGCGGCTTCGTGTTGGAGCGCGGGCTACTCAACACGCGTGCGGCGCAGGTGCTGGAGAAGAAGCGCAACACGCAGGAGAAGGACCTGTACGCGCGCATGCGGGTGTTTGCGAGGTACCAGGTGCGTAAGGCGCGGCCGGCGGGCGGGTGGGCGGGTGGATGGGTATCACACTATCAGTCCAAGGTTTTAGCCCTGGCAAAGCACCCAATGCCATGCACCCCCCCTCCCCTGCATTGTCTTGCCCCAAGCTGTAACTTCCTATGGCTCGGTATGGTCTTTGACCCCCCCCCTTTGCATGCTGCACCACCCCAGTCCCAGGCGGCGCACGATGAGATGATGGAGGGTCTGCTGCTGGAGGCGCGGCTGCGCACCCGCATCGCGGAGCTGCGGGAGTACCGCCGCAATGGCATCCGTACCTTTGTGGATGCGGAAGTGTACGACACGGAAAAGCGGCGGCAGAAAGCGGCAGCGGATGCGGCGACTGCTGCGGCCAATGCCGTTCACGGGCAGCCGTTCGGCGGCCCGGGTCGCGGCGCCGGCTCAGCAGCCGCCAAGGCAGCCAGAGCGGCAGCAGCTGCGGGTGGGAGCATGGGGGCCCCTGGGGGCTACGGCGCTCTGGGCGAGGACGGCACCCCGGCGGGACTGGGCTTGACGCCCCCTCAGTCGGCGGTGGCTGCAGCTGCTGCCAACACCGCCGCTTCTTCCTCCTCCTTTGAGCTGTCTCGGCCCGCTGCGTCAGGTGGGAGAGCGTGGTGAGGGGGCTGACGCCCGCTGCTGGGGATGTCGTAGGCACATTCCCGGCGGCAGGAGGACGTTGTCCCATTCTCACCCCCGGCACTGTACACTGTATCTCAACACCGCCTCCCATGGCTCCCTCATCCCTCCCACACAGTGCCCATGGGTCGCGGCGCGGGTGCCTCTCTGGCCCTGTGGCGCGCCCGTCGCGGTGTCCCGCTGGACATCAGCTGCCTGCCCGGCGTGGAGCTGCTGGGCGGGCGGGAGCGGGAGCTGTGCGCAGCGGTGCGCCTGCTGCCGGCGCACTACCTGGCGCTGAAGGACATGCTACTGCGGGACTGCGAGAAGAACGGACCCATCAGCAAGCAGGATGTGAGCTGGTTGGCGGGTTTCGGTGCAGGGGGAGCGGGGGTGAGCGGTTCAAGGGGGTGTGGTAGGAGGTTGATGGGAAAGGGGGTGTTGGAAGCATTATACCGTAGTAGGGAGAGGGCAGAGCATGGGCGGTGGCGGTGGGGCACTGCAACTAGCCCAACCCCGCGTCTTCACTCACCCGCTACCGTTAACGCCCACTGTCCCGCAGGCTCGCTCCTTCTTCCGTCTAGACCCCGCCCGCTCGCTGCGCATATACGAGCTGCTGCTGGCGGCCGGCTGGATCAAGGGCGGGGCGGCTGGAGGCCGGGGCGGGGGGGCAGGCGGCAGCCACATCCGGGCCATCACGGCGGGTGGAGAAGCGGAAGGTGAGGGAGGTGTCCGTGTGCATATGACCATTTTGGCCTTGCTTGCTTGCCTGTGTTCCAGCTTGCTTGCTCGTTGCCCCTTTTGTGTGCTTACAGTGTCGCGACCAGTAGGGATGGTACCGTAACCGCTGACGTGTAGTCCTGTGTCATGTAGGCGAGGATGGGGCGGGAGCGGACGCCATGGAGGTGGACGAGCAAGCCGGCGACTACTGAGCCGCGCGTCTACATGCTTTTGCAGTCTCATTGCTGTGCCGTCGGGGTGTAATGCCCACAAGTGTACAACAGATAGGGTGGTCAAGGAGGTACACGTGAGGGCAAGTCAAAGGGGATAGGAGACACAAGCGGCATGTGTTGGAATGGTGGTTCGTGGAGGAGTCGTTTGGGGCGCCTGGTTTGCGGGTGATGGCATCCATGTTGGGTTTGCACTGCTTGGCGCTCAGCGTTCAGCAGCTGCTGCTGCATTGCTCCATGTGCTGAGCGGCTTGAGCCCCCTTGTAAGAGCTGTGGCATGTGTAGAAACGATGCGCTGCCGGGACAGGCAGGGACGCTGAGATCATGCGTATTGGGTTCTTGGCACGCCCAACCCAGTGGTAACTCGCGCTTAAATAATCCTACGACAGCCTCTTTCAGCCTGCGCAACATGGGACCCTCCTTTTCAAGCCTGGACATGAGTATCAACGCCACATCAAATACATCCGAAAGCACGGCGTCTCCCAGCCAGAAACCAGCATTGACCTGATATAACCGCCTTCAGGCCTCCATAACTAAAACAGACACATCAGGCTGTCATGCTACATTCTCATCACACGTTCTCGGTATCTGACAGCTAGCATCAGCAAAGGTTAGCCCAGAGTCTTGTAGAGAGGCAAGAACTCAAGTCCTACGGTGCAAATACCGGTACCTGAAATTTCGCAATGCATGCAGACTCGTTCTTATCTTACGCAGAAGACAGCTCTAACAAAATGGAATTCTGAAGGTATTCTGCTTTGTATGTTATGAACTTGTGAAGTACCTATGCATACCGGTAGTGGATTCAAAGTTCGCATTAAATTGACAGCCACGGACAAGAAAGTCACACACTAAGATAGCACCGACTATTATTACGTAAGTGTAAGAGCATTAACAAAAGTAAACATCCAGTATAGGTGGTGTTGAGAAACACCGGTTTTATTTATCGTCGGAGTTACAGAGGACCCAGGGCCATCCTCTGGGTGTTTAAGCGCGCTCGCCACGGATGCGGCGGGCCAGCTGAATGTCCTTGGGCATGATGGTCACACGCTTGGCGTGGATGGCGCACAGGTTGGTGTCCTCGAACAGGCCGACCAGGTAAGCCTCAGCGGCCTCCTGAAGGGCCAGCACGGCCTGGCTCTGGAAGCGCAGGTCGGTCTTGAAGTCCTGGGCAATCTCACGCACCAGGCGCTGGAAGGGGAGCTTACGGATGAGCAGCTCAGTGCTCTTCTGGTACTTGCGGATCTCACGCAAAGCGACGGTGCCCGGTCGGTACCTAATATCAGAAGCCAAAGAGCGGGTGAGTTGGTAAGTACCAGTACGATTATGAGTGAAAAGGTGGGAAACGGTGGTAACAGAAGTAATAAGGGAGTAGAAAGCTTACCTGTGAGGCTTCTTGACACCGCCAGTAGCGGGCGTCTTGCGAGCGGCCTTGGTGGCCAGCTGCTTGCGGGGCGCCTTGCCGCCGGTGGACTTGCGAGCAGTCTGCTTGGTGCGGGCCATTTTTAAGTAGGAAGAAGATTTTAAGACTCGTACTGTGTCTGTGGAAGATGTGTATAAAGTCAAGTGCGGATGGCAATTAAATAGTGCCGGGCACGGATGCGTACGTGCACGTACGACGGTCGTTGCCTCGGTGAGTACCGTTGACCCAGTGAGCATTTCGGCGCGAAGTGCTCTTCCTTTCAGATAAATACACCCGTTTTACTCGCAACAAATTCAACGTCTCTCTTATTTCTTTCTTCACAACATAATTATTCAATATGTCTGGACGCGGTAAGGGCGGCAAGGGTCTTGGAAAGGGCGGTGCCAAGCGCCATCGCAAGGTTCTCCGCGATAACATTCAGGGCATTACCAAGCCCGCTATTCGCCGTCTGGCTCGTCGTGGTGGCGTCAAGCGTATCAGCGGCCTCATCTACGAGGAGACCCGCACCGTTCTGAAGACTTTCCTGGAGAACGTTATTAGGGACTCGGTCACCTACACCGAGCACGCTCGCCGCAAGACCGTGACTGCTATGGACGTCGTGTATGCCCTGAAGCGCCAGGGCCGCACTCTCTACGGCTTCGGTGGTTAAGCTGGTTGGCTTGCTGCTAGCCTTTAGCTTGCTCCTTCAATTCCCGGTGTTTTTCAACACCACCAAAAGAATGGACTTGTTTTGTGCTGTTATTGTCTTCCTAGTCGGTCGGGGCTTGGACTCGCAACATTAGGGGAACTGTTCCATGTTTTGAAATGATGCTGAACTTCCTTCAATTACAACTTAGGTCACCTGGACCTGCCTGACGTCATGCTTTGTCTGATGCCCTCTTTACTCCTGGTCATTTGGTTCCCTCCCCCCTCCCCTGCCCTAACCTCTGGTCTCCTATGGTTTGGTACGGTCTTTGACTCCCCTGCCCGCTTGACGACAATCTATCTGGGTTACAAGGCATGTGCAGATGGCAGTGACGACTGCAGCAGCAGCGCATACGGCCCTCCGCTAGTGACTTCCTCCGTCAGCCAGGCTTGCACCGTAATGCTCAAGCCCAGTGGGCATTGTCCGGCTGTAGTGCTGTTTTCTGGGCATGCCTATAGGCAAATCCTTTCATACCATATGTATCCTCTGCTTAAACCCGCTGTTCCCCAAGAACGTCGTGGCCCGGCGAAGCAGTCAGATAATTGGAAATGCCCTTGTCTGAAAAGACAATGGGGCGAAGCTAACATCTGTAGTCTAATGACTGAACGCCTCTAAGTCAGAAGACGTGCTAGGTGCGGAGTCACTTTCCCAATGATGTCACCCGACTAAGAATACGTCCGCCTGTGCGGACGCTAGAGCATATCCGTTGGTTCCCCTGTCATTTGATCTCGTGGTAACGGGCCGATAGCTTCCCCTAGGGCCAGTGATGGCTTGGTACGCTTCACAGTACATACGGTTTCAGCCATCCCGCCCCAAGCAGAAGACCGAAACGTTCCAGGGAGGTACACGACCAACTTGAAGGCGGCCAGGAACGACGGTCCGCCCCTTCATCACCCTAGTCCCTTAGACTCCCTTCTCCTCTTCACCCGACAAAATTGCAACCAATCTTTATCATATACCAGCCGTCTCACAGGCCGCCTCGCGCCCCACCCCCCTGCCGTGGCCCCCACTGCCACTGCTCCGCTGCCGCCATCACTGCTCCTCATCCTGCTCCCCCTCTCCACCGCCGCTTCCTTCCCCCCATCCCGCTGCCCCCAGCTGCAGGTGCCGCAGCTCGGGCTGCAGCTCGGGGAACAGCCTGCCCAGCATCGTCGTCAGCAGGCAGTAGCTCAGCTGCAGCAGCATGGTGCGGCTCTGCAGCAGCCCCCACACGTCGCCCAGCACGCGGGAGTAGCCGCGGGGACCCACCAGGTTGACCAACACGGCCGGGGAGAGCGCGAACAGCCGGGCCCGCACCTGCAGGAAGGGGGATTAATAGGGATACATATCCGCAACAGGCTGGATTGTAGGATAGCATATAGTCAAACTTGTTGGGTTAGTAGCAAGGGGGGAGAGGACGGAGGAGGGGTGAGTTGGAACCAAACCAGAAGCAAAGAGCATGGCCCCTGCAACAGACGTTCAGCAGGTGTCACTTTTGACCCCAGGCATTCCAGGGACAAAGGATGGGCGAGGGCAGCAGCAAAAGCCAAGCCGCGGCACACTGCTAGCGACCCGCACAGCCCCACGCCCCCCGTCCCCCGCACCCGTTCCGCAATCATCTCAGCATCCGGCGGCGCCGGTCCCGGCTCCAGGTATGCTTCTGCGGTGAGGGGCGGCGAGGGACGCCAGCGGGGCCCGGCGAGGGGCTGCTGCGCACTGCTGGGCTGCTGTTGCTGCCCCCGCCGCTGCTGCTGCTGCTCCTCCATAGCCTGCTCTTCCAGCTGCTGCTCCTGCTGTGGCCGCTGCTGTGGTGGCTGTGGCTGCTGCGGCTGCTGCTGCTGCGGCTGGCTGCCAAAGGAGTACCAAGCGCCCCCCGGGAACAGCGACGCATGCAGCATCAGCAGCGCCCGCGCCAGGCTGTGTTCCGAGGTGAGGTGGCGCAGCTGGTGGGTGAGGTAGGAGTCCAGCGCGTCGCCGGCGAGCAGGGAGAGGGCCTGGCGGGCCACGGTGATGGCCTGGGGGAGGGCGCGGAGGAGGGAGGCGGAGGAGGAGGAGGGGGGACGAGGTTGACGAGGGAGGGATGGTGGGGGACCCCTGCCGTGAATGAAAGGGCTATAAAACTGAGAGCCGACGTGAAGCCTCAATTAGCCAACCAGCCCCCACCCCACCTCACCCCACCCCGACCCACCTGGCGTCGGAAGAACCCCTGCCCCTGCAGCCCCAGTAGCACATCCACCAGCTCCAGCAGCGGACCGCTTACTCCGCCAGCACCGGCAGCAGCAGCGGAGGCAGCAGCGGCAGCGCTGTCGGCACTGCCGGCGGACGGCTCCTGCACGCCCCTCACCCCGGCGCAATCCAGGACAACGGATGTGCCAAAGCCAAAGCCTCGAGCAGGACCGCTACCGGCAGCAGCAGCAGCAGCCCCCTCCGCATCAGCGTCAGCGTTGGCAGTACCGGTAGCAGCACCGGCGAAGAAGAAGCCGCCCCTGCCGGGCGGACATGGAGCTGCCCCCACACCTCCACACTCGGCACCGCCGCCGCCTGCCTCCACCCGCTGCTGCTGTTGCGCCCTCATGCGGGCAGTGCTGCTGCCGGGTGCAGTGCTGCCGGCACCGCCACCGGCGACATCAGCAGCAGCCGCAGCAGCAGCGGATTTCTGGCGACTCCCTCGACCCCCGCTGCCTGCCACTGCCGGCCTGGGCGCCGCCTCCTCGCCCGCCACTGTCCCACCGCCGGCGGCGGCTGCAGCTGCAAAGCAGGCGGAGGCTGAGGAGGCGGAGGCAGCCCTGCTCGAGGCCGGGGACGAGTTGGAAGGCGCCGCAGCGGCAACTCCGCTGCCCCCGCCGCCTGGGGCGCCAGCTTCACCCTCGCTCCCCCCGGGCTGCTGCTGTTGTTGCTCGGTGCGGGCGGCAGCTGGGGGGCTGGTGCCCGATGGAGGTCGTCGGACCAAGACCAAATCCCCCGCATCCCCCGTTGCCTCGCAGTAGCCACTACCACTTCCACCGCCACCACCACCACCTCCGTCGCCGCTGCCACTGCTCCTGCTCCTGCTACCGCTGCAGCTGCTGGCCTGTGTCCCCCGCGCCTGCGCCTGCTGCCGCTGTCGGCTCGTGGTGTAGTTGCTGTGCAGGTTCTGCAAGGCGCGGGTGCTCCAGGCGGTCAGGCTCAACCGGAATCCACCACCACCTCCACCTCCACCCCCACCGCCACCACCCCCGGTGGAACCCGATGATGCAGCGGAGCGCAGGGACGCCAGCGGGCCGCCGGGGCGACGGAAGCCGCCACCACCACCGCCGCTGCCGCCGGCGGAGGGAACGGCAGCGGCGGCAGCAGCACCATTATCGTTGCCCTGTACTGCCAGCAGGAGCTCAGCATCATCGTCATCATCATCGACCCCGTCATCCGTCAGCAGCTGCTCGTACTCCTCCTCCTCCTCCTCCGGCTGCTGCCCCGAGGGTCCTGACAGCACCGCAGCTGCCGTACGGGAGCGGGTCAGCAGCCCGGGGCGCCGCTGGACCTCTGGCTGCAGGTGCTGCTGCGGGTGCTGCGGGTGCTGCTGTTGTTGTTGCGGCGGTTGCTGGTGGGAGGAGGAAGAGGAGGCGGGGTGGTCCGCGGTGCGTGTAGGACTGCAGGTGTTGCTGCTGCTGGGGGGCCCCGAGGGTGGCGGTGGGGCGGGCCGCTGGGGCGGCGAGGCGCTGGAGGAGGCACCGCTGGGGTTGCGGCTGTGGGGGGCGCGGCGGGGTGGGTGGGCGGCGCTAGGGGGGGTGGCGGCGGGGGAGTTGTCGGGAAGCAGGAACTCCTGAGGGGGAGGAGGACGGGGGGAGGAGGGGAGGACATGAGATGAGGAGGACGGGGGGAGGAGGGGAGGACATGAGATGAGGGGGACGGGGGGAGGAGGGGAGGACATGAGATGAGGAGGACGGGGGGAGGAGGGGAGGACATGAGATGAGGAGGACGGGGGGAGGAGGGGAGGACATGAGATGAGGAGGACGGGGGGAGGAGGGGAGGACATGAGATGAGGAGGACGGGGGGAGGAGGGGAGGACATGAGATGAGGGGGACGGGGGGAGGAGGGGAGGACATGAGATGAGGAGGACGGGGGGAGGAGGGGAGGACATGAGATGAGGAGGACGGGGGGAGGAGGGGAGGACATGAGATGAGGGGGACGGGGGGAGGAGGGGAGGACATGAGATGAGGGGGACGGGGGGAGGAGGGGAGGACATGAGATGAGGAGGACGGGGGGAGGAGGGGAGGACATGAGATGAGGAGGACGGGGGGAGGAGGGGAGGACATGAGATGAGGGGGACGGGGGGAGGAGGGGAGGAAGGACATGAGATGAGGAGGACGGGGGGAGGAGGGGAGGAAGGACATGAGATGAGGAGGACGGGGGGAGGAGGGGAGGACATGAGATGAGGGGGACGGGGGGAGGAGGGGAGGACATGAGATGAGGAGGACGGGGGGAGGAGGGGAGGACATGAGATGAGGAGGACGGGGGGAGGAGGGGAGGACATGAGATGAGGAGGACGGGGGGAGGAGGGGAGGACATGAGATGAGGAGGACGGGGGGAGGAGGGGAGGACATGAGATGAGGAGGACGGGGGGAGGAGGGGAGGACATGAGATGAGGGGGACGGGGGGAGGAGGGGAGGACATGAGATGAGGAGGACGGGGGGAGGAGGGGAGGACATGAGATGAGGAGGACGGGGGGAGGAGGGGAGGACATGAGATGAGGAGGACGGGGGGAGGAGGGGAGGACATGAGATGAGGAGGACGGGGGGAGGAGGGGAGGACATGAGATGAGGGGGACGGGGGGAGGAGGGGAGGACATGAGATGAGGGGGACGGGGGGAGGAGGGGAGGACATGAGATGAGGAGGACGGGGGGGAGGAGGGGAGGACATGAGATGAGGAGGACGGGGGGAGGAGGGGAGGACATGAGATGAGGAGGACGGGGGGAGGAGGGGAGGAAGGACATGAGATGAGGAGGACGGGGGGAGGAGGGGAGGAAGGACATGAGATGAGGAGGAACCCGGCCGGCCTGGCGCTCTGGGCGTTCAGGGCGTTCAGGGCCGGCAGGCAAAGCAGGAGGGGAAGCAATACTCGCAGCGCTCCGGCTCCTACACAGCGGGGGGCGGGGGTCCTTCTTCCCCTTCTCCCTTTTCCTCACGTCCCCTTCCAACACAGCACAGCACACGCTCATGGCTACCACCCCCTGTCCCACCCTCAAACCCTGCATATGCCACACACACCCCCAGCCCCACTCCATCTCCCCCCGCCCCACCCTCAGCTCCGCACTCCCCGCCAGCTCCCGGCAGCCCAGCAGCTGCTGCAGGAAGGCGTCCAGCTCCGCTCGGCGGTTGTTGATGAAGGCCACGTCAGCCGCGGAGAAGTGGCCGAACAGGCGCTTGGAGGGCAGGGAGAGCCCCAGCGCGCGGTAGCTGTGCACGAGGGGAGGAAAGGCGGGGAGGGGCGGAGAGGGGGGATTAATATGGATACATTTCCACATTAGGGGATAGGGGATAGAAGGGAAGAGGGCGGGCAGGGGGTACGTTGTGTCGGGACCGGAGCACATGGGCGCGAGTGGGAGCTGGGCCTCAGCAGGGAGTGAGGTGTACGGACAGTAGGCGAGAAGAGAGGGCAGGCAGGTGGTGGTTCCCAGCATGGTTCCCATGAACTCCTCACCGCGGCTGTGTTGCCGCCAGCCTGCTCGCCAGCGCCTCGAAGCTCCGGAACCGCCTCGCCACCGTCCACTCCGCGCCGCTGCCCTCCTCCGCCACCCGTATCTGGTACTCTACGTGCTCAGCCACCAGGCCGAAACCCAGCGGCTCCGAAACCATGGCGAAGGCTGCCACACTGGCACGGAGACGAGGTGGGTGCGGCGAGTGATAATGAGGCTGCTGGGGCTGCGGATGGGGCTGAGGCGAGCTGGCAGTAGCAGCAGCAGGTTGAGGTGGAGGCTGAGGTGGAGGCTGCTGAGGTTGTTGTGGGTTTGGTCGGCGGGCAAGGGACAGTCCAGCAGGGAAGTCAAAGTCGAACCAGGAGGAGGGGCCTCGAAGCAGCAGCGACGCAGGCAGCAACGATGGCGGTACGGCACTGCTGCTCCTACTGCCGCCGCCGCCCCTGCATGACCTCACTGCCGCACCCGCACCCGCACCCGCTGCAGCGTCATGGCTGCTAGAGCGGCGGTGCAAGCCCGCCCTGCCGCCGCCACCGCGGCCCCCACCGCTCCTGGCGTCACTGGCGGGCCCCATGCGGCCCCCGCTGTCCCTGCGCGGTACCGCAGTCGCCTCTCCGCTGTCTGACAGCCCCTGCGGCCGCCCGCTCCCCTGCTGCTGCTGCTGATGATGATGATGATGCTCGCCGCCCCCCCCGGCTGGTGCCCCCTCGTCAGGTGCCGTCATCCCCGCATGGTAGGAGGCGGATAAGCCTCGCGGGCCCGAGTGACCCGGCGGGTCGGTGCCGCCGCCGCTACTGCTGCGGGCGGCGTTGAGAAGACGCGCGCCTTGATCCTCGCTGGCCGCTGCCTCCGCTGCAGCGGCAGCAGCTGCTGGGGTGCCGGCCGTAGCTGAGGCGGGAGCACTGGCGGCTGCTGTGGTGGCTGCTGTGGTGGTGGCAGTGGCTGGCAGTGAAGAGTGGGGTGGTGGGCAGGGTGGCGGCCCCCGAGGAGCTCCGGATGCCAGCTCCTGGGCGGGGTGGGAAGCGGAGTTGCGGGCTGCATGGGGCAGGGGGGCCCCGGGGCCGGGTGTGGAGGAGTGGGAGGATGAGGAGGCTGCTGGTTGCGAGTGACGGGGCTGCTGCTGGTGCGGGTCGGAGTGCGGCTGCAAGGGGGGCTGCTGCTGCGGCTGCTGGTGTCCTTGATGGGCCCCGTTGCGGCGCCCCGCGCCCACTCGCCTGCTGCCGCTACCGCTGGCACTGGTGGTGGTGGCGGTGGCCGCATGGTTGCTTCGGTGGTGCTGCGGGTGGTGAAGGTGAAGGTGGTGGTGGGGATGGGGATGGGTGCCCGAGCCACTCCGACGAGAGGCACCGCCCCGCCTGCTGTCAAGAAAGGAAAGGCATGAAAAAGGGGGGAGGCAACTCGCTTTTGCATTCCATACTCCTTGCATCCGTCCGCTTCGTTGGCTGGGTGTACAGGGCCTGTCTGGTGAGGGAGACGGAAGCGCCGGGCAACTCCAGGAAAACACAAAGTCCATGGCTCAAGGCTCAAGGCACGCGCAATGCTGTGGATGATGACCACCGCTGCGCACCCAAGCACACCCGCCCACCCATCCCTCCGCCCCACACCCACCACCCTGACCCCAGTCTCCCAACCAACGCCGCCTCCGCCTCCTCCGCCGCAGCACTAGCCGCCACCCGCCTCTCAAATTCCTGGCACGCCTCCGCATCCGCTGCCGCACGAGCTGCTGCTGCTGCTGCTACCTCCGCCGCCGCAGCCGCCCCAGCAGGCAAGGGGGCTGCTGCTGCCGCTGCTGCTGCTGCACCGCCGCAGGTTACCCCGCCTGCCACGGATCGCACCGCGGAGGCCACAAGTGAGGCGGGAGAGGCGGCCGAGGAGGAGGAGGAGGAAGGCTGCCAGAACTGGAGGGACCAGAAGCCCCCCCCACCCCCACCCCCACTGCCACTGCCACTGCCGCCTGCAGGCCCGTCTGGAGCAGCTCCCTGCACGGTGCCGTCCGGGGGGGAGGGGGCGGCTGGGGGCGCCGTGGCAGTAGCAGCAGCAGCGGGGGGAGGAGGTGCTGCAGACGTCGTCTCGGTGCTGTCGCCGCCGCTGCCGGTGGCAGCGGCAGTGGCGGCTGCCGGTGGTGGTGTGGTTGGGGCAGACGCCGAGGAGCGGGAGCAGGAGGAGGGGGACTCATCCGGAAGGGGCGGCAGCACCGCTAGCAGCAGCTGGGAGGACGGGGTTGGGGGGACGGGGAGGCGAGGGCAGGCCGCCACACATGAGGGAGAGGAGAGGAGAGAGGAGGGACATGCGTCAGGGCAAGGCTGCGTGTGGGTACGATACCCCCGTTTACCCCTCACCCCCCTACTCCTACCTCCCCGCCCTCCTCCTCCTCCTCCCCCCCGCCCTCCCTTCCCCTACCCTGTTCATAGTCACCGGCGAGGCCGCCAACATGAGCAGCGGCCGCAGCAGGCAGGCCGCCAGCAGCTCCCGCACCAGCGGCCGCAGCCGCCCGCAGCACAGCTCGTCACCCGGCCACAACACACCCACCTGGGGGGGGAGGTGGGGGGGAATAGGGGGATGCGGGGGTTGGGGGGAGGCGGCAGCGGTGGGCACCACAGCAGTGGGCAGCGGTAGTAGGGGGGAGGCGGCAGCGGTGCAGCAGCCGGGCTGGCTGGCTGCCTGCCGCCCATCTCGCCTCCTCGCCCGGCAGCACCCCTCCCTCCCGCCGCCCCCCGGCCCCACCATCGCCTCCGCCAGCTCCCGCACCGCCCGGTAGTGCCCCCCCGGCTGCTGGAATGCGGGGTGCAGCGCCCCCGCCCCCGCCAGCGCCCCCTGCAGCAGCACCTCCCGGGCGGCAGCCACGGCGGCAGCGGAGGGGGGAGCAGGGCAGCAGGAGGAGGCGGGGGCTGCAGGTGCCGCTGTAGGTAGCGCCCCCACCGCCACCCCGGCTTCTGGTGGTGGTGGCACTGCGGGCGTTAGCGAGGAGGAGGTGGAAGGGGCGGCTGCCCCCGCTGCTGCTGCCGCCCTCCGCGCCCGCGCCTGCAGCTGCTCCTCCCCACCCGCCCGCTGCAGTGCGGCGCGGTAGAGCTCCAGCTGGGTGGCCAGCGCCTCACACACATCCCTGGGGGAGCGGGAGGGAGGGAGGGGGGGAGGGAGGGGGCGGGGATGGGGCTGTGGTAAACAAGCAGCGCGTACTTACCCCCAGCGACACTGTCCCCCACTCTTTCCACTCGTGCGGATGCTTGTGCCGCCACCTCCTGCTCACAGCTACACCGCACCAGACCGTCCAAACGCATCCCACCCTCCACCTCCCCCCAGTCCCCCTACCCCCCTCACCTCATCACCCCGCCCCCCACATCCAGCTGCCTCGCTCGCCCCGCCAGCCGCCCGAACGCGCCGTTCAGAAGCGCGCGCACCTCCGCGGGGAAGGCCCGGTCGGGGCTGAGCACCCCCCACCATGTGTCGTACACCCAGGTCTGCACCACCGCCCCGCACAGCCGCTCCCACGCGTACTCCACCACCTTGCTGCCCACCTGGGGGGGCGGGGGGGGGAGAGGGGATGATAGGGATGGCAAGAGGTGACTCTTTGCACTCACTGGTAGCATAATAGGGAGGTGTGGCCTCCACGCTGGGTTGCCTTGTGACGGGGTGGGAGGGACCAGCCGGGTGCCGCAAGGTCCAGCACCTCTCCTCCCCCCTCAAGGCAGCCCCGCCCCCCCACCTGCGCCCTGTTTCCTCTTTACCCCACCTGCGCCCTCCAGGCATCGGTGTCCTGCCGCCCTGCTGCCCCTGCTGCTGCTGCTGCCCCTGCTGCTGCTCCAACTGCTGCTGCTCCAACTGCTGCTGCTGCTCCAACTGCCGACACAGACACCACCGACGGCGGCCCCCCAGCACCCCCAGCGTCGCGACCCCTCGCTTTCCCCGGAGGCTGCTGGTGTGGCTGCCGTGGCTGTGCGGCACCACTGCTGCCCCCCGCCGGCCCGCCTGAGCCTGCCAACCCGCCTCCCAACCCCTCCCTCCCTCGTGCATGCTTCCTCTGCTGCTGCTGTGGCTGCTGCCGCTGCACCTGCCCCTGTAGCAGCTGGTCCCTGGGGCCTGGTGGGGTCCACGACAGCAACCGTACGACAAGAGGAGCTCTCAGCCAGCCGGGCCCACCTGGGCCGCCCGGGATCAAGCGCTGCAGCCAGGACTGCCAGCCAGCACTACTGCGGCCGGCGGAGGCACCAGCTGCTGCTGTTGCACCTGCACCTGCTGCTCTCGATGCTGCTGCTGCTGAAGCACCCGCACCTGTTGCAGTGGCCCCATGGTGGGGGAAGCAGGAGGAGTAGCAGTGCTGGCACAGAGAAGACAGCTGGGCGAGCCTATAGGTGAGGGACGAGGCTGCTCGGAGGAGAGCGCGGTGGAGGGCTGGAGGCAGCGGGTGGAGGGGCTGCTGGGCTGCGGAGCGGTGCGGGGGTCCAGGGCGGAGGTGGTTACAAGGTGCGGTCCTGCGCTGCAGTTGCAGGTGCCACTGCACTGCGGCAACCACTGCGATGGCTAGCGGCAGGGTGCCCAGCAGGGACTGCAACGCACCTGCGTGGGAGAGAGGCAAACGGAATATGTTAGGTTCAGGGTGGAGAATGTGGGCGGTGTTGGAGCTGGACACGCGGCGAGGTTCGCGATAGCCTCGCTGGCATGACGGTGCAAATGGAGAGCCAAGCTGAGGACAGCAACGAAAGCTACGCCGGAAGTTATCATAGGATCATCGTTTCGCTTTAGCTTAGGCCAAACAAATGCAATAAGCGCTGCGAGAGGAAACTTCCTGCAGCTGAGTGCAACGTCCTCTGAAATATCTACCACCCTTCCCGGACAAAATCGCTTTCCCAACATCCAATGGGCTTTTGCTGTTACATAGGTGAGCCTTTCAGCGCTGTTAAGCGCAGCAAAATCGAGCAAGTCCCAGCGCGCGCATTAAGACCTACTTAGCAGAAGCGCCGTAAGCCATACGGCCAGCAACAGCTTGAGCGCCTTTATACACGCTCCGCGTAGAACAAAGGAGAAGGGTAGCGGAGAAGAGGCACTGGCGCTTGGGGGCGCCAAAATTACATTTAGCAGCTTTGCAGCATATGGAACAATTGAGGACAGCATTATATCTCTGTTTACATGACCGTGAGGTCCTGCCAGTCGGCAAAGGCTGCCTTGCGTTAAACGTGTCAAGTGGGCTCAACTGATACGAATCGTCGCCAGCGAAACCAAGGCCTGCCGTGACTAAGATACTCTTACAGCGCTTCCGTTGACAAGGCCAGGTGTTGTGTCGAAGGCCGTTTAAATGTTTAGATGGCGGTAAGTCGAATTGAGGCAAGGACGGAGCCGATAGAAGATAGGAAAACGCAACATCACATGGAGTCCTCGTTCCAGTATCCATCTTGCACTTACCCAGGTTTCATTTCATTATTGAAGGAGTGAAAGTGCTGACCCAGGTTGTGTCAGAGCTATCACAGGACTTCCTAAATTCCAACATCGGATGGAGGCAGACAACATCAGCATAGCACCCTGCTGCTCAGCCAAGTCGCCCTGAATAAGGTGATGACCTGGTTCGGGCATTGACGGTAACCTATTTTGGAGAAAACTCAACAAGAATTCCATTACTATGCCAAGGACGTCATCACAAAGCCCGAGGACCGAAGTGCCTGCTAGCGAACCGAAACACGCTATCAACCTGTCAACCACCATCGGTACTGACAAGACGAGAAGCTACAATACGCACCACAACAGCTTAACCGCAGTAATGCTGCAGCGGAGCTCCCCTTCACACCATGCCATCACCACTGCCGCCCCCCCCCACGCAACCCCATCCGCATCCCCATCCCTTGGAGTCACTTTCACGCATCCCCCCCCCACACACACATACACACACACCTCTCCCCTTCCCTCCCCCTCTTCCCCCTCCCCCTCATGGCTGCACATTGCCCATGCGCTTCCACGCGTCCAGGCTGATTCGCTTCACCATTGCCTTAATCTGCTGCCCGGGGCCCAGCTCGTACAGCGTCGGGGGGGCGCCTGGAGGGAAGGGATGGGAGAAAAAATAATAGGAAATGAAGCAAGGGAGAGGAGAGGAGAGTGGGAGGGGAGGGGAGGCCAGCAGAGAAGCAGCAGCGGAGAGCGGACACGGTAAGTAGGCAGGTGGTGCTGGTTGCGAGACGGACCAGAAGCGCAAGGTCGCAGCTGCCTCCCAGCAAACAGGCCACACCCCGCAGCCGCAACAGCAGAGGAGCAGACAGCAGCACAGCCAGGAAGGCCGTCCTGGCCCTGTCCTCCCCTCCACCAGCAGCCTCCCCACTGCCTTGCCCTAACCAGTGGACGCCTTGGGCGTTTCTCCTTCCCAACCGTCTACACCCCCCTTCATCAGCCCCTCCACCTCCGGCCCCCGGCCGCACGGATTGGGATTCCAGTTGCTGCACTTATCATTTATTTCCCCCCTCGCCCCCCGCCCGCACCTGCCCCCTGACCGCCCAGCAGCGCCGCCAGGGTGGCCTCCCACTGCACCGGCTCCACCAGCTGCCGCGCCAGCAGCGGGGGGATGTCCCGTGGGTCACCTCCCGCGGAGGGGGCGGAGGCGGGGAAGGGCGCGGCGGTGACGTTGGAGAGCACGGGGATGCGCGGGGCGCGCAGCTGCACACCTGCCAGAGCCTGGGGGGGAGACAGAAGGGGGATAGGGATACGCATTCTGCATTGGTCTGGATTGTAGGATTGTGGGTAGTCGTACATGTTGGGTTAGTACCAGCAAAAGGGTGGGGGCGGGGATGAGGGGAGTAAAGAAGGAGAAGATGTGAGGGAAGGGAGGGCGGTGGGCGAGTTTCGGGTAGCCCCCCCAAGGGAGCGGAGGTCCGCTTCTGATACTTGCATCAGCTTGTGTGCAATGCATTTGGCTACTTGCCGATTCTCCACCATTTTCCTTTTCCTGTTGCCCTTTTCCGACTCCCCGCCTCTCTCTTCCGATTTCCAATTCCCCCAATCGCCTGTCCTTGCCGGTTTCCCATTCCCCCAACCGCCTCTCTTTTCCCATTTCCGATTCCCCCAACCGCCTTTCTTTTCCCATTTCTCTTTTCCGATTTCGGATTCCCCCAATCGCCTTTCTTTTCCGATTTCCGAATCCCAAAACCCCCAGCCAGTCCAGTATTCTTCTTTACCGCCCCCTTCCCCTATCCCCATCGCTTTGCCCTAACCTGTGGTTTCAATATATCTCTGACCCCCCCTCCCCCCGCCCACCTGCACCTCTGACCCCCTCCCCCCGCCCACCTGCACCAGCTGCTCCCCCCCCCCCGCCCACCTGCACCTCTGACCCCCTCCCCCCGCCCACCTGCACCTCTGACCCCCTCCCCCCGCCCACCTGCACCTCTGACCCCCTCCCCCCGCCCACCTGCACCTCTGACCCCCTCCCCCCGCCCACCTGCACCTCTGACCCCCTCCCCCCGCCCACCTGCACCTCTGACCCCCTCCCCCCGCCCACCTGCACCTCTGACCCCCTCCCCCCGCCCACCTGCACCTCTGACCCCCTCCCCCCGCCCACCTGCACCTCTGACCCCCTCCCCCCGCCCACCTGCACCTCTGACTCCCTCCCCCCGCCCACCTGCACCTCTGACCCCCTCCCCCCGCCCACCTGCACCTCTGACCCCCTCCCCCCGCCCACCTGCACCTCTGACCCCCTCCCCCCGCCCACCTGCACCTCTGACCCCCTCCCCCCGCCCACCTGCACCTCTGACCCCCTCCCCCCGCCCACCTGCACCTCTGACTCCCTCCCCCCGCCCACCTGCACCTCTGACCCCCTCCCCCCGCCCACCTGCACCTCTGACCCCCTCCCCCCGCCCACCTGCACCTCTGACCCCCTCCCCCCGCCCACCTGCACCTCTGACCCCCTCCCCCCGCCCACCTGCACCTCTGACCCCCTCCCCCCGCCCACCTGCACCTCTGACCCCCTCCCCCCGCCCACCTGCACCTCTGACCCCCCCCCCCCGCCCACCTGCACCTCTGACCCCCCCCCCCCCGCCCACCTGCACCTCTGACCCCCTCCCCCCGCCCACCTGCACCTCTGACCCCCTCCCCCCGCCCACCTGCACCTCTGACCCCCTCCCCCCGCCCACCTGCACCTCTGACTCCCTCCCCCCGCCCACCTGCACCTCTGACCCCCTCCCCCCGCCCACCTGCACCTCTGACCCCCTCCCCCCGCCCACCTGCACCTCTGACCCCCTCCCCCCGCCCACCTGCACCTCTGACCCCCTCCCCCCGCCCACCTGCACCTCTGACCCCCCCCCCCCCCGCCCACCTGCACCTCTGACCCCCCCCCCCCGCCCACCTGCACCTCTGACCCCCTCCCCCCGCCCACCTGCACCTCTGACCCCCTCCCCCCGCCCACCTGCACCTCTGACCCCCTCCCCCCGCCCACCTGCACCTCTGACCCCCTCCCCCCGCCCACCTGCACCTCTGACCCCCTCCCCCCGCCCACCTGCACCTCTGACCCCCTCCCCCCGCCCACCTGCACCTCTGACCCCCTCCCCCCGCCCACCTGCACCTCTGACCCCCTCCCCCCGCCCACCTGCACCTCTGACCCCCTCCCCCCGCCCACCTGCACCTCTGACCCCCTCCCCCCGCCCACCTGCACCTCTGACCCCCTCCCCCCGCCCACCTGCACCTCTGACCCCCTCCCCCCCGCCCACCTGCACCTCTGACCCCCTCCCCCCGCCCACCTGCACCTCTGACCCCCTCCCCCCGCCCACCTGCACCTCTGACCCCCTCCCCCCGCCCACCTGCACCTCTGACCCCCTCCCCCCGCCCACCTGCACCTCTGACCCCCTCCCCCGCCCACCTGCACCTCTGACCCCCTCCCCCCGCCCACCTGCACCTCTGACCCCCTCCCCCCGCCCACCTGCACCTCTGACCCCCTCCCCCCGCCCACCTGCACCTCTGACCCCCTCCCCCCGCCCACCTGCACCTCTGACCCCCTCCCCCCGCCCACCTGCACCTCTGACCCCCTCCCCCCGCCCACCTGCACCTCTGACCCCCTCCCCCCGCCCACCTGCACCTCTGACCCCCTCCCCCCGCCCACCTGCACCTCTGACCCCCTCCCCCCGCCCACCTGCACCTCTGACCCCCTCCCCCCGCCCACCTGCACCTCTGACCCCCTCCCCCCGCCCACCTGCACCTCTGACCCCCTCCCCCCGCCCACCTGCACCTCTGACCCCCTCCCCCCGCCCACCTGCACCTCTGACCCCCTCCCCCCGCCCACCTGCACCTCTGACCCCCCCTCCCCCCGCCCACCTGCACCTCTGACCCCCCCCCCCCCGCCCACCTGCACCAGCTGCTCCCGGGCGGGCTGCATGAGGGAGGTGTGGAAGGCGCCGCTGACCTGCGGGCGGGAGGGGTGGGGAGAGGGGTGGAGGGAGGGTGTGTGATGACTCGGGTTGGGAGGGGGGGATTGTCGAGAGGGTGCGTGGGTGAATGGCGCGCGGGAAACGTGACTTTCCCCTAACCCCTTGCTTCCCTTCCCCTTCCCCTTCCCCTTCCCCTGCCATCCCCTTCCCCCACCTGCAGCATCTGCGCCTTGATCGCCCCCGCCTGCATCGCCGCCTTCTTCACCCCCTCCAACACGTCCAGATGGCCGCTCACCACACGACCCTGGGGGAAGGGGGGCGGGGCAGAAATATACCAGAACCACAGGTTAGGGTAAAGCAATGGGGATAGAGTGAGGCAGTTTGGGGGGAGCGGAGGGAGGGGGGGCGGATGAGAGAGGAGAGGAGAGAAGGCGTTGACATGGTTCAGCTGGCGAAGGATGGTGTGAAGGGGTGTCCCACAGTCCTCCCCAGCCAGCAAACATCCCACCGATTCCCCGTAAGGCTCCGTCTGCTCTCCCCCCTGACACAGCTTACCCATCGCCCCTCCCCCCTCCTGGTTAGTCGCCTCGTCAGTTTCCTTCTTTTTACCCGTGTCCAAAGCATGGCTCTGTAGCCTTGCCTCCCTTCCCCCTCAACACCCCTCCCACCTGCGGGAAGAGGTAGTTGGCGACTTGGCACACGCTGCCCGCCACCGCCGCCGCCCTCGCCTCCTCCACCAGCCTCCCCAGCACCTCGTCCCCCAGCCCCACCACACTCAGCATGCCATGCGGCCGCACCCCACTCCCCGGCGGCGCTGCTGCCGCCGCC